TTCGGGAAGCAGATCCAGCAAGGAAACCTCGGGAAGAGTATCACCGTGTGGAGACGGGGGGCGCCGACTCCGACAAATGCGGAGATACAGTCAAATCAGTGTTGAATATGGAATTGAAAGGGAATTATCCATTCGGGGATTGAATGAGACACATAATTTACATGGAAATTACATGGATGATCAGTGCGCGATTTATTCCTCATTCCAGCATTGCGCAGGGAGCACGGTTTGTGTTTCCCGTACATATTGATATATCGATGTATTGATGTTGGGGATGTGAGGGGATGGAAAATTGGAGTCGGAGTTAGAAATCTACAATTTACACGGTAGACCTTGAACTGGTGATGACAGCTACCAAGTAGAACTGTGAATAAAGAAAGACTGTAACCTGATTGGCTGTAAAAGCCGGGGAGGAAACCGCCATGGGTCTACGCTAGTCTTCTTTGGTTTTAAGATCCACCCCAATCCACAGCTACGAGCTCCTAGAGCCGCAGATAGTGCCGAAGTGGAGTCAAGCTATACCCTAATTAATTCTATTCGGTGTTTCCATTTTTCCATTTTTCCATTTTTTCTTTTTTTTCTCTATTTTTTTTTTTTTTTTTGGGGAAACTTTAGATCCTTCAAAAGGCTTCTGGAAAGAGATCGGAAAACTAATTGTATATTGTATATCGGAGGTCGGCGACGGAGACTGCCGCCCTAAAATATCATATGTTGCTAAAAACATATGAACTATACTATACCTATAGATAGGAAAATTATATTAAGGAACTCTTCCGATCGGAAGCTCCCCGGTGAGACTTTTAGGCCTCTGTTTCGAGTCCGCCGCGTTGACGATGATATTCGGCCTTGTGAATGGCTCTCGGTCGCCGACAGGCCCAGGGGTTTTTGCTTACTTATGTTAGCACGGTTGCGTTATTTTTTTTGCCCCTTCAATAATATTCTTTTAATTGTCAGGTCTGGAACCACATCCACTTCACGAGCTTTGTCGGAAGAAACAACTCGGAATCCAGGGATTTCATATCCCGTCGCCGATTGGACCCCTTGTCCGGGTAACCTGGCAGCTCTGTGTAAGGCGTAAAGCTTCTATTAATAATTTCATTCCTATGCTCTGCTCTACTGCGTACATATTGGATACATATCTCCGAACTCGTCAGAGCTTTTCCCACCTGCAGTTCCCAACGTTGGGCTTGCAAGGGCTTGGCTATTTCCCGCGTGGGTGTACATCGTAGAATGTGAATGAGCTCATACCATATTGGATGTATCATTCTCGAATTACATGAGGCATATATGTACATTTTTTTTGCTTTTTGTCTCCTTTATACCGCAGATCAGGGTCTCCCTGTCAATAATTACCCAGTTTAAACGCGCAGAATGGATAAATCGAGGATCAAATGGAGTAAACATCGACATACATCGAATTAAGCCCGATCTAATTGGACTATTGCCATGGTTGCATGAAAGGTTACGTGAATGGCCCGGCTAAATCCATAGCTTTCCCCAGATCGCGGATCATCAATTCTTTACATAATAGCTTCAATTACTTCCATCCAACCTTGGAAGCTTCAATTAATTCAGAGCTTCATGTCTCTTGATTATTTCTTAACTATTGAGGTATTCAAGAAATATTTCGTTAAGGTACATATGTACTTAAGTAGCAAACTAGCAGCAAACATTTACGTTGCACTGGTTGCATTGTAGTGATGTGTCGTCATGTGCCCAAAACAGGTTCCCGAGCTTAACTCCTCCCTACGCAGAACTTCAACCTTCATTTAGCTTCATCTCCAGACATTACTATTATCTCACACGGTCCAGTAGGGCCTTATCCAATATGTCCTCTGAGACTGAACCCCTCCTCCCTCGCTACGAGGATGACACCTCCCGTCAGCGACAACTTCACCAGAAACTACATAGCTACCAGATGGTCCGCGCCATCTCCGAGGGGTATATGCCATCAACTGAACAAACCATCGCCAACCTCCGCACTCTTCTAGCTTCCGACGTCCTCAACCTGCGCAACCAGGACATCGGCAGCGTCGGTCGCCAGCTAGTGCGGGACAGTCGACTGTGGATCCAGGTCTTCATCGAATTTCTGCAACAGAAGAACAGCCAAGACCAGCTCCAGGAATTTCTGTGGCGCCTGGCCCGTTCGCGCGTCGAGGTGGATAGCGAGAGGGTTTCGAGACAGGCCGCCCACGTGAAGGCGCGGGCAGATACTAAAGCTGGTGGGTCACGCATTTCCACCTCTCCCCAGTTTCCGGGCTTGGCACATGCAAATTACAAAGTGATGATCGTTCGCTAATCCCTGCGCGTAGCATATGACAGCTTCCGCACTGTTGGTAGTCTGCTTCTGACTAATTCCGATTTCCGTCTTTTCGTCGATGACATCGTTACTGTTGGCCGCCAGATCTTCGCTGATACCGCTGACTCGCTCGCTGAATCTTCCAAGCGAGTTGCGGAACAAGTGAAACCGTCCGAGGATGAAGAACAGGCGCTACAGGGTGCCGGTGCCGATGAGGGGCATGAACTATCAAAGGCCGAGGTGAAGGAGGAAGTTGCACATGTCGCGGATGTGACCGGCGAAGGGATCGCCCAGACAGGCCACGATGCTGTGCAGAGCGCTAAGGAGCACCTGTCAGGCCGGGAGAGGGATACCTTGCTGTTTCGGCTGAAGCAGGCGGTTCAAAACCTCCGGGAGAGGACGGACTACTCTGACTCGGTGGCGACACTTGCTCAATTGGTAGCACGATATGCTAAGATCTACGCGGATGTAGCAGAGAATACTGCCTCGGTCGCCCAAGAAGACCTGGAAGTCAATGCTGACCTCAAGCGGGCGGTCGATGAATTCTGGATTCTCTTGCGGTCATTCGGTAGCGCAGAAGAGTGGGATCGGCTTCAGGAGAAGTTCCACAATGTCTTGCGCCATGCAAACAAAGATCCCGAGTTTGACGATCTACTCGGAGAGGTCGGAACTTCGTTGCAGGACATGCTCACCAACCCCGAGTTCTTCGACTCGGCACCGCAGAAGCTCGATAAACTCAAACAACACTCCGAAAAAGTAGGCTCGGAGACGAGCCTGCGAAAGGATATGGACGATTTCTTAGCACAGACCAAACGCACGCTTAGAACCGTGCCGGAAGACCCAGCTGTCTCCAAGTTGATCAATGCCACTAAGAAGATCTACCAGGATGCTTGGGGCGCCTACAACGACAAGAAGGCCGACCTCCCAGCAGACTTGGTGAACGTCTTCCTCCCGGTGCTCCTCCGAGCAATCCAATACATCCCAATCCCCCGTCTGGAGATTTCTGCTCCAGAAATGGACCTCCTCCTTGAGAGCCTAATCCTTGAACCCGGCCACACAGTAAACTTCTCTTCATTCCTCCCCTACCGCCTGCATCTCCTCACGCGCAATGACATCGACGTGGTAAAAACCCACTCCAAGCGCACAGAAACACTCATGAAAACAGCCTTCACAGTCACCGTCCAAGGACTAAACATCAGCGCCGAAGACTTCGGCTACTGGTTCCGCACGCACACAGGCTTCTTCCGCCTGAAAGACGAAGGCATAGCAAGCTTTTACCTAGACCGCCGCGGTATCGACATCTCCCTAGACATCGAAGTCGGCCGCGGCAGCCTGGAGCAGATCTTCTCTTTGCGCGGCGTTCGCGTCTGCGTCCACAAACTCGACTACAAAGTCAAGCGCAGCAAGTGGAGATTCCTCCTATGGCTGACCAAGCCATTCCTGAAACATCTCGTGCGGCGCGTGCTGGAGAAGAAGATTGCAGAGGAGATTGTTGCAGCGACGTTCGCGCTGAATCGCGAGCTAGTCTTTGCCCGTGAACGGCTACGTGCTGCACGCATCGCTAACCCGCAGGACCTGGCGACCTTTATGCGGGCTGTCCTTGCGCGCCTTAAACCCGCCGACTCTGATGTCGAGGCTAGGATTGGTCTTGAGCCGCTCGATAAGGGTGTCTTTGAGGGTGTTTATACTCCCGGTAGTATTGTCAAGACCTGGCATGAGGAAGCTACACGTGCGCAGGAGGCTATTGAGGATGGAGATGAGACGCATGGGCTTGGTGGTACCTGGCATAATGATATCTTTAATGTTGCTGGGCGACACTAATTGCATTTCTTATCTGATTTGGGAAATGGTTCTCTTAGCTAGCAGCGTGTTTATGATTTTATGATGGATCCTAATGTCAGCCTGTCCTCGATGGCTTTCACTTTCTGTTTTAGTGCTCACCTCTTACTTCCTTTTATCACAGAATGATTAACCAAATCAAGACCCCTAATAGAGCCTAATAATGCTGTAGAGGTAGCATAACACAAGTGTGTTCTACCATTTAGGAAACAAGCTCGTTTTTGGAATCTCCCTTCAGTAGAACCCCCAGCCTTTCCTATGTTTGCTGTTTTCTGTTTGCTCAGGCAGTGTCTGTCAGACCTCTCTTTGCCCCTTATTCTGAGACCTGTTCTTTGTCTCTATAAGCTATATAGAGATAACTGCGTGGCAATGAATGCTCTGCAACTTTTCATGGTTATCCCATCTCCCGCCAGACCAGACCTGATCCTCTTCGGAAATCAACGTCGACAATATCCACTATATCAGAGTTGTCTTGTCGGATCACATGCAGGTAAAGGACCAGAAAATCAATCATCGGCCTGATAATTATGAGCTCATCATATAGTAGGCCGCAAAACAGCAAGTGGAACATGATTCCACCGTTGAGATCCGTGTCGGAGGCGTCGAATACTCCGTCGATATGAGCAAAATGCCATATTTTGCTTCCTTTCTCAGGTTCCAACGAGCCTCCGGTCAAGATATAGGCCAGTTGCCCACACATAACGAGATACCTTTTTTCGATGTGATCAATGAAGGAACCAAAAACGGCTTTCGTCGGTTCCTTCGCCGCATGCCAACCCAGCTTAGTGACTATCATCTTCTTTGCGAAACACTCGAATTTCTCTGTGTTGATGTCCTATCTGGACGCAATCTCCGCTCTATCATGGAGGCCTTAGGAGGGGCAAGAACCATTCGGATGAGCGAGATGTAAAAACCCTAGCACAAGACTCGGCTTTTAGGCTTGTGTACCTGTCTCTTCTGGGTGACTTCGAGGACGATATCAACGATAGCGATGTGGCCTACAACGCAGCTCTGTTTGTCGTCTCCCATCCCGGAATTTTCGAATACAGGACTCGAAAGATGGTTCGCGATGCGTACGAGGAGCGGTTTGATGGATGTGGATGGCAATTGGTGATATAAAAACATCTGGTATTTCTGCTACGTAAAAGGCAATTTTTCCTTGGTCATTACCAAGACACATATGTAGCACTTTGGGCCCACCTCTATACATCGATGTATATCTATGGAATTGAACAACACGGCAGACAATATAACAACACAAAGCTGCACCACAAATGAATAGAAACCTATTCAATAATATTCTCCAATAGAAAGTACTATTATAACTTGAATTCTAGTATTTTACTCTACATCATTGTTTATGGCTTATTTCCTAATCCGTGGCCATACTTGCACGTGATCCGGCTAAACATTGTTCCTTTTTTAGGCCACCTAATGTAGATCTAGCGATCTAGCACAATGAAGCCGCGGAGCCAACACCTCCAATCTCCAATTCTTTACTCTCTGGCATAAAGCTCGGTGGAGGAGAATACCTGTGTTACCGGCGATTGCATACTCCATGGTTAATAATTAAACATCACAACAAACCCACCAAAACCCTAGCTCGTCGAGGCTTCACCTACCTACATACCTCGGTCTACGCAAATACAAAAGCTCCACCTCCTCCTCCGAGCGCACGAGCAGCTGCTCGCGCAGCTCCCCACCGCTGAAATGCAATTACTACGACTCCTAGTCGCGCTAGCTGTGGTACTATTCTCTGTCGTTGTAATCGCCGCAGAAGATTACTACAAGGTGCTTGGACTCGCGAAGTCCGCGTCGGAGAGAGACATCAAGCGCGCGTACAGAACATTAAGCAAGAAATACCACCCTGACAAGAATCCGTGAGTGCAGCAACTATTCTCTTATTTCTATTTCTCCATGCTTTTTCTACTGCTACGCACATGGTACACATTACACCCATACCAGGCAATTGCTAACCCACCCCATAGCGGCGATGATACGGCGCGCGAGAGATTCGTCGAAATAGCAGACGCCTACGACGTACTCTCGACCAGCACGCTGCGCAAAGTGTACGACCAATACGGCCACGACGGTGTGGAGCAGCACCGCAAAGGCGGGACGGCCGGCGGCAGCCACGACCCATTCGACCTGTTCTCGCGATTCTTCGGCGGGGGTGGACACTCGGGCCACGCGCCTGGACACCGTCGCGGACCGGACATGGAAGTGCGGGCGGCGCTGCCGCTGCGGGATTTCTACAATGGGCGCGAGATCAACTTCCTCGTTGAGAAGCAGCAGATTTGCGATTCATGCGAGGGGACGGGGTCCAAGGATCGAAAGGTCGTGACTTGTGATCGGTGCGCTGGACGTGGTATGGTTATTCAGAAACATATGCTTGCGCCGGGGATGTTCCAGCAGGTGCAGATGCAGTGTGATAAGTGTCATGGACAGGGGAAGAAGATTAAGAATCCTTGTCCTGTTTGTGAGGGGAATCGGGTTGTCAAGAACCAGGTTGAGACTAGTGCTTCCATTGAGCCCGGGATGGGTAAGGGGACTAGGCTCGTGTTTGAGAATGAGGCTGATGAGAGTCCCGACTGGATTGCTGGGGATTTGATTGTTGTTTTGGATGAAAAGGAGCCTGAACTTGGGGTGGAGGAGGAGGAGAAGACGGATGGGACGTTCTTCCGGCGGAAGGGGAAGGATCTTTTCTGGAAGGAGAGTCTTTCACTGCGCGAGGCGTGGATGGGTGGTTGGAGTCGCAATGTTACACATCTTGATGGGCATGTTGTTCGTCTTGGACGTGGACGTGGTGAGGTCGTGCAGCCGTTGGCTGTTGAGACTATTGCCGGGGAGGGCATGCCACACTACTCCGAGGGTCATTTACATGATCACCATGATGAGAATGATGAAGCGGGCAATCTGTTTGTTGAGTATACTGTTATCCTGCCGGATCAGATGGAGAGCGGGATGGAGAAGGACTTCCATGCTCTTTGGGAGAAGTGGCGCAAGAAGGTTGGAGTTGACTTGGCGAAGGATTCTGGGCGACCGGTTGTGCCTCCGCCGGCGGAGGATAAGGATGAGTTGTGATGATTACTTTTCCAAGCCTAGTTCTTTTTTGATTCCCTTTTACTTTTTCGTGGTCATTGTATATTAATTGCATCTGTTGATTTGCATGCATTTTAAGGCTACAGGCTGGATTAGATTAGACCCTTGGCTTGTATTGAAATGTTGGATATGATATACAATAGACACGGCCTGAATCCTACTCGGTAGAGAGAGGTCTGCTTTTTCTTGATTAGAGGATGTTGTAGATATAGAATTCGAGACAGTCCAATTGGCCCGTCGGCAATTGCGCTTGAACTTCCAAGGTTTCTCGGTATACATTACTCAATGCAAGGCCAAAGCCCCTCTACGGAGTTCTCCGTACCCTCGTTCAAGTGGCGTTAATCGACACACGTGGGGCGACCAGGATACTGCCCATGCCGCCTTAATGCTGGATGTAGATCGACGATCTAGAAGATCTGACCGGGATTGAATTCTGTACTCCGTACCCAATGCACAAAACTTAAGATTCTGACTCTACCTAGCACCGTTTGGTCGCGATGCATACACCTCACATGAGGGGTTCTGTGGCGTAGGATGTAAACAAAGAAAGACCAGGCGTACAGCGCATAGATCTACAGCGATGGTCTAACTAGAATAGGCTTACGAGGGCAGGGGTATAGGACAGGGGCTGGATATTGTAGCGAATAAGCTTGGTTTAGCTTGAACTACACACATAACACACTTCCTTGACCGTCATTTCATGTTCGTGTTCAATGTGACTGATATCAATGTGTCGGATGTGGGATGTTCGTTTGAAGGTTCGGCTAGGAGGTCTCCATGTGCAAACAAGTCTAGAAGCATCCACTTCACAGGTACGGGCCCTGTTTGGATTTTGTAGACCTGGGGGTGCTGTTCCTGTTTATTGCAATCAGATTTGGTTTATTGTACAAAAGGGCTTGGTCTACAAAGTACCGTTTATGCTGTGGGCTTCATTTTATACCACATATATTATTGCTTTGTCGATATCTTCAAGGACGGAGGCCACATAAGCGGCCGACTATTCTTGTTTAGATAAAGACATATAACAGAAACACATATTGTGCTTTCACCCAAATAATAGATCTGAGATCCCTGATTGAATATCCATATATCCCTAGTGCTCCACGGAAACACCCCAAACGGGCCGGGGATGGGAATGAAATGCATTCAATTTGTCAAGGTTTCAACCGTCAAGTCAAAGTTGAAATTGATTTCTCCGCAAACACCATCTCGCACCGTGGGAAGTAAATATCCCCAAAAATGAGCTGGAAACCGCGGGATTTCGACCTATCGGATAACCCTAACTTACAATATAGGCAACGATAGACATGGATAACCATCTCGCACGAACTACTCGAGGATATACAAGCCTTGCAAGGTAGACTAGATTAGGCTACAACGCACAGTTCGTACCATCTAGTGGGGTCATCTTTCCAGAAAATGATTTGCCGGCATCACATCCTAAACCGCAGTCCTAGTCTCTTCCCTAGCGCGCCCCACCCCATATGCCGGATGTGGTATGCGTAGGCACCATGCACTGTCCATAATTTTGGGAAAACCTACTATACGAATGAACCTATGGCCGAGCAACGTAAACCGAATGGAAAGTTAGCCAATCCATACTATCCACGTTGATGGGATTGCGCCTAGATGCAGCTATAAACAGACTTTGGGGACGGGTTAAGGGCACGCGGATCCGGAATCCAGGCCGCGGGTTGCCTTCCGGGGCGGTAGTGTCATAGTACGATAGGAACTGTGAAAGAGCACCGCGCATATGGAAGCACTAATGACCATGCTGTCGGAAAAGGATTGGTCAATTACGTCCATATATCCAAGGTTTGGTGGATTCATGTACGTTGTAACATATCTTTTTGTGGGGCGGCGTGTAGTGCATCAAAGAAAGTTACGAGGATCGCTTTGGCTGCTGCAGTTGTGGAGCCCTGGAATCATGGAATCATGTTCTTTGCCCACGCTGCTGGGTGTTATCTCTTTCATTGACCAGCAATACCCCGGGGCGTGAGGGAATTCAAACAAATAGATCGGTCATAGCGGGTTGCGGTGTGGGATTGTGGTTGTTTTTATGATTTAATATGATTATTTGATTTACTGTGTGATGCTCTAGCCGTTTAGTACTTCAATGTCTTTACGATTTTCGGAGTAAGTGTTACAAACAGCGTTGTGTCAAAGTACTTCGGTTAGATTTATCAACTTATACCCATCTTCCCTTTTTGTTCAACAACTAACCTTAAAGAAATATACTAAAAGTCGAATTTAACAGCGATCGACAAACGTTGGCCTGTAGGTTCTAGTAACGGCAATGCATGTCCCCGTAGGCCCAGCGTCTCGGATTTGATGGTCTTGCTTCCGACTTACTGGTTTGGTATATACTCCAGGGTTTGTATCCATGCAGCCATCTACATCTGGAAATATCTATATACCCCCATTATTGGGATAGGAACCTCATGACGTCCGGAAATTGCTGTTTTTGTTTAATTGGGAGGAAATTCGTGCGACAATGGCTCCACTTAGAAGATTATTTCATGAATACATCATACTTTTCAAGATACATCCAGTCAGCCGCTTATGCGGCCGTGTGAAGTCTTTTTTGGTAGTCTTCTCAGATGGTCTCTTTAGATGTCTTTTTAAATGTATTTTTTGGTGGCCGTGTTTGGTGGTCCTGTCAGATTCTTCTCAGTTAGTCTTCTCAGTCTTTTTAGATGTCTGTTTTCATAGTTATTTTCTCTTCTTTCTCAGTTTGTTAGGGAGGAGGCAGAGAAAAGCGGCAAGAGGCTTAATCTGTAAAATGGGCTTTTCTATGTACAACCAGGGATGTGTAGGCCAATCATGCTCATAAATTGTATAGATTTGCTGTTCACCGTTGAAAGTACATACAAAGGAGGAATAACAACCGATATTTCAAATACCAACAAGCCTTCTATCCACTTCTTTAATGAACGCAACCAAAATAGGAAACTTGCGAAGATCAGTAGAAATGCTCGTGCCCACCGGTCAGACTGCCAACTTCGGGTTTCCGACGGTGCTTTTAGCTCTTTCGCGAATCCCGTTTCCCTTAGCCTCATGTGCCTTTACTAGTATGGTTCCGCGTCGAGGTTGTTATAAGAGGGGGCACGGAGTGGTGTTTGCTATCAAAATCCTCATCTCATCTCGATCCTCAATTATCTTATATTCTCACTCTATTCACTCTATTCACTCTATCCTATTACCCTTTAAGTGTTCATACCTCCTTCCTTGTCTTCTCTCCATCTATCTCTTCAAGACCCACACCTATTTCCATACCAACTATCCCTTATTGGCATCGGAAGATGCGTCCCCTCTCGCTGGAAACCGGTTCCGGGGGCGATGGAGTCATACCTTGTGATGCTCTGGAACCCATCGCTATCGTTGGCTTAGCCACCCGATTTCCACAACAAGCAACGACTACCAAGAGCCTGTGGGAGCTTCTCCTACAGGCCCACTCAACATGGTCATCGATACCCAAAGAACGCTTCAACTCGGACGCCTTCTATCATCCAGACCCCGAGCATGGTGGAACAGTAAGTTATATTCGAGTTGACAGATCAACATCCACATGAAAGAAAAAACCGGTTAACTGATATCTATCTGTAGTTTCATATCGAAGGAGGTCACTACCTCTCAGAAGACCCCGCCTACTTCGATGGCTCCTTCTTCAATATCATCAAGAATGAGCTCTTGACATTGGATCCGCAGCAGCGGCTGGTACTGGAAAATGTCTACCACGCCTTGGAAAATGCAGGCATTCCATTGACTACTGCGGTTGGCTCCAACACATCGGTTTTTGTCAGTGGATTCAACCATGACTACCTGGGTATCCTCAATTCAGACCCAGAAACAACTTTAAAATACAAGCCCACAGGTGTCACCAATGCTAGCCTGTCCAACCGTGTCAGCTGGTTCTTTGACTTCAAAGGACCCAGCATGACCATTGACACGGCTTGTTCCAGCAGCTTGGTGGCGCTGCATCTCGCTGTACAGAGCTTACGTGCCAGAGAGACGAACATGGTACGTTATCTATGTTGACATTGATATTATCATGCTAATATACTGATTACGATTAAGGCTGTCGTCAGTGGTGTGAGCATTCTTGAAAATCCCGTGGAAACCATCGGCATGAGCCACCATGGTCTGTTGGGACCTCAAGGGCGGTCTTTCAGCTTCGACTCCCGCGCCGAAGGTTATGCACGAGGTGAAGGCGTGGGCACAGTTGTAGTGAAGCCTTTGAGTGCGGCTATCAGAGACGGAGATACCATTCGTGCGGTTATTCGGGAGACTGGAGTCAACCAGGATGGCCGCACGCCAGGAATCACCGTTCCCAGCGCAGATGCCCAAGAAAGATTAATCCGTGAGGTCTATTGGAGAGCCGGTCTGGACTTCGAACACACAAGATTTGTTGAAGCACACGGCACGGGAACAAGCACAGGTGACCCAATCGAAGCGGGCGCTCTTGCGAGAGCATTCAAATGTCGCCGAGAGACTCCACTTTACGTTGGGGCGATCAAGTCTTCCATTGGGCATCTAGAAGGTGGCTCAGGTGTGGCAAGCATCATCAAATCTATTCTAACTCTTGAATCTGGGATCATACCTGCAAACTTTGATATGAAGGAGACAAATCCCTCCATTCCCGCAGCGGACTGGAACATTGCGTTCCCTACCGAGGCTCTTCCATGGCCATCGCCAGGACTGCGAAGAGTGTCAGTCAACTCATTTGGAATTGGTGGCACCAATGCTCACTGCATTCTTGATGACGCTTACCACTATCTCAATGACCGCCGTCTTACAGGTGCCCACCGAACCACATCTACTGTTCCCACAACCCAGAAAATCAAGAGCCGGCTCTTGGCCCTGTCCCGATCAGGAAATGAATCAAATCACGTCGTGACGGATTCATTCGACGACAGCGATCATTCTGGGCATGGGAATACCTTTATGGACACGCCCACAAGTGATGGATTTTGTGAATCACCAACATTTACATCATCCACATACACCAGCTTGGTCGAGAAACCAAAGGTGTTCTTTCTCTCGGCTTTCGACGAAGATGGCGTCAAGCGGAACGCAGCTGAACTCGCCAAGTACTTGAACCGGAGAACCACACAGTCGGTTCTCCATGACCATCTCCTTGATGATATCTCCTTCACCCTGTCAAAAAAACGATCCCAGTTTCCCTGGAGAAGTTTTGTAATGGCGTCCTCGGTCAAAGAGCTCGCATGGAACATGGCAGAATCGAATTTTGCCAAGCCAACCAGAACCACCAGAGTGCCAGAGGTTGAATTTGTTTTCACTGGCCAGGGGGCCCAATACCAGGCCATGGGTCGAGAGCTCATGGTCTACCCCGTTTTTCAAGAGTCTGTGGAGGAAGCATCGGACTATATTCGCCGGCTCGGTAGTCCGTGGTCGCTACTTGGTAATCATTTGCCTCGCCTGTTTCGTCTAAATGTGCTCGACTAACGTATTACAGAGGAGCTATTGACTGAAAGACAGTCACCCCGAGTTAACTTGCCCGAGATCGCTCATCCATTGTGCACAGTCTTGCAAATAGCGCTCGTGGATCTCTTGGCCAGTTGGGAAATCTTCCCAAAACATGTAACGGGTCACTCGTCCGGCGAGATAGCTGCTGCTTACTGCTCTGGCAAACTCTCCCGCGAAGGCGCCTGGAAGGTTGCGTACTACCGTGGATATGTATCATCCAAGCAGCTTTCCGCAAATGGAGCGATGATGGCCGTGGGTTTGGGTGTATCACAACTGCAGCCCTATCTGGACTCTGTGAAAAAGGACAACACTGGGGAGCTCATCATTGCCTGCCGCAACAGTCCCAAGAATAACACTGTGTCTGGAGACGACGCTATGATTGACTGCCTCAAGAGTCTTCTCGATGCTGATGGCATCTTTGCTCGAAAGTTGAACGTCAAGAATGCTTATCACTCGGCCCACATGCATGCGATTGCCCAGGATTACCTTCGTCTGATGAGAACGCCCGGGCTTTCTCACGGAAGACGGCTCGCAGCTCCACACCAAGTGCATATGTTTTCCACTGTTACAGGACAGCAAGTCAAAGAGGAACATCTGCCTGCTCAATATTGGGTGGATAATATGGTTTCTCCTGTTCTTTTCACAAGAGGTTTGGTTGCCATGACCTCAAATCCAATTTCCAGCCATGGCTCAACCGATTCCACTGATTCTCTGCGCCTTATTGTGGAAATAGGGCCTCACTCAACCCTGCAAAGTGCCATCAAAGAGACACTGGCCTCGCAGAGTCCCAAGTTGGAATTCAAGTACCTGACAGTTCTTAAACGGACAGATCACAGCCTCAACACTCTACTCACTACAGTCGGCTTCCTAGCTTCATGTGGATGTGAACTGGACTTCCATGCTGTAAACCAAGCTGTTCACTCAAAGGCAAAAAGGCGGCCCAGATTGTTGGTGGACCTGCCACCATACAGCTTCAAGCATACCGAGAAGATTTTATTTGAGAGTCGACTGAGCAAGAATCTTCGAACTCGAAACTTCCCTCGTCATGACCTATTTGGTGCACCAATCACGGATTGGAATCCTACTGCTCCAAGATGGAGACATTTTGTCCGATTGAGCGAGAACCCCTGGCTAAGGGATCATATGGTAAGTCCATAATTGTCTACAGGATAGCTTTTATTTGTTAACATGGCTTAGGTTACTGGCAACCACGTCTACCCTGGCGTGGGTTACTTGATCATGGCAATTGAAGCATCGAGGCAGTTGGCCGGCGAGGCAAAGATCATTGGTTTCCAACTACGAAAAGTCAACATCCGAAGAGCCTTGATTGTACCCGATACCAAAGAAGGAATCGAAGTCTCCTTGGCAATGGCAAATGTCGAAGACTCCTCGACGTCGTCACGAACGTGGCGGCGGTTCCAGATAACTTCCTACAATGCATCGAGCGACGAGTGGACAGAACACTGCACTGGTCACATCACCGTCGACCACGAAACGGCTTCTGACCCAGTGGACAAAGGCCGCGAAGCAGAAGAAGAAAGCCGAGCATTGGGATCGGAACTTTTCAGCGCAAATGAGACATGCACCAAATCCATGGCGTTCAAATCAACATACAACAACCTCCAAACATCCGGCCTCAATTTTGGTCCTTTGTTCAGAAACCTTACAGACGTTCTGGCAAGTGGGCGTGGGTTTGGGAAGGTTGTTGGAACAGTGACTGTTCCGGACATTGCACAGTCTATGCCAAAGCAGTATCTACATTCTCATCTCATCCACCCTGCCACAATGGATAGCATGATTCACTTGATGATAGCGGCTGTTCTTGACTTTACCGGCAAGTCCACCTTGGATCAGATCAGATTGCCAACTTTCATACGCGATGTCTGGGTTTCAGCGGATCTGAATTCAGCCCCTGCCCACAAATTCACAGGACATGCAACCGTGTCCATGGTGGGATCTGATAAATTTGAGGGCCAAATCCAAATGTCAGATGAAGGAACGAACACTCACCGCATCCGCATGGACGGTATCGAGCTCACTCCACTGGAGTCTGGTCTTGCTGAAAGCAATGAGCGAAAGCTATGCAGCGCAATTGAATACAATCCCGACGTTCATTTCCTCGACTCAAAATCGGCCTGTGCACTGACTTCTCTCAATGCCACCGATGACACCGAGGCTCTGTGCTGGGTGAAGCGTCTTCAGCTTGCAACGATGCTCTACGTAATGGATGCACTAGACGAGCTCAAGGATATCGATGTTATGAAACTCGATTTACACATGCGAAGATTCTTTGACTGGATGGAGCATATGCAAGGATTGCTCGAGCGCAATCAAATAATCCATCTGCCTTACAGCGAATTCCAGGAGGCTTTCCAAGACGAGGCTTTCAAGGAAGCCATTGGCAAGGAAATCGAGGCCCACAGCGCCGAGGGTGCTATCACCGCCCGAATGGGCCGCAACATTGCCCAGGTTGTACGCCAGGAGACTGATCCGCTGCATCTCATGTTCGGTCAAGATGCCGTGATGGAACAGGTGTACAAGGAAGGCCTCCACTTGTATAACCTGCCGCAGCATCTACAGAACCACTTGTCTCTCCTCCGCCACCAGCATTCCGAGCTGAACATCCTTGAGATCGGCGGTGGCACTGGCAGCTTCACTGCTGAAATCCTGGCCGTCCTTTCGCCAGACCTTGCGAAGAGCAAAGGAAACATTGCCAGCTACACATTCACCGACATTTCATCCGGCTTCTTCGAGAAAGCAAAACAGCGTTTCCAACCGTGGTCCGATATCATGAACTTCCAATCGCTCAATATCGAGAGAAGCCCCGTCGATCAGGGACTCCAGCTGGGGACATATGACCTGATATTCGCCGGCAATGTCATCCACGCCACTGCAAACCTGCAGAACACATTGCAGAACCTGCGATCTCTATTGAAGCCGGGTGGTCAGCTCATCATGCAGGAAGGAATCAGACAGGATTTCCTCTGGTATCCACTTGTCTTCGGTCAGCTTCCTGGGTGGTGGCTGGGCGATGAGCCGTGTCGTCAGTGGTGTCCCTACATCCCGGCCAAAGAATGGAATCCTCTGCTGCTGAAAGCGGGATTCTCAGGGATCGATGTCGAGTATCCCAGTTCGAACGATCCAGATTTAACATGGCAGAGCATCTTGGTTTCTTCTGCCATCGAAACACCGAAGGAGGAGTCATCGAATACTGCGGTTATCTTGACACTTAACACATGGAAAGCCGGGCAGGTCATTCAGAACCTCCAAGGGCTTCTGCCAGAACTGGGATACACGAGTGTGCTCGCGAAGGACCCTGCAGAAGTGGAAAATTCCATCCTGTCGGATGCACTTTGCATCTCAATAATGGACTTGGAGTCTCCTTACCTTTTCGATATAAACGAAGCAGAATACAACACACTCAAGAAGATGCTCAGTGAGTGCCAAAGCCTACTGTGGGTGACCTGCGATCCCCTCACACAGCCACACGCAAGTATGAGCCTTGGTCTTCTCCGAACAGTGCGCTGGGAGCGCGATGCCGATGGCTCAAATATTGTCATCCTGACAGAGGCGGAGCCAGACATCGCTTCGCCGAAGAGTCTTGCTACAGCTGTCGGCAAGGTTGTCAAGCGGCAATTCGTGGACAAGCCAGAGAAAGATCGCCACGCCGAGTACATGTTGCAGAATGGTCTCATACATATTGGCCGTTTGAACGAGTGGGAGGCTGCGGATCAGTTCCTTGCTGCGCAGTCCTCTCGGCGTGCTCCGAAGCTTCAACGCCTCGGTGATTATGATACTCCCATTGGGTTGCAGGAGGCTGCTGTTAGCACCGGGGAATACCACTGGGTCATAGATACGCGGCATGAAGAACCGCAAAAAGACACAGAGGTCGAGATTGAGATCCGAGCAATTGGTCTCTCTTCGGATGTTTCCGCCGGCCGCCTCACGAATGAGATTGCTGGTGTTGTGAGCAAGGTTGGACCGGACGTTGAAGGCCCGGCCCCGGGTGACAGAGTCATCTACATCTCGGGCGACAAAAAGGGTGGTTGCATCCAAACACACGTTCGAGCTAATCAGCTGCAGCTGGTGAGAATCCCCGATGAGATCTCGTTCGAAGTTGCAGCTGGTTTGGGTTGGGCATACGCGACAGCAATCCAAGGACTTAGGGAGATAGCTCATTTGGAACCCGAACACACTATCCTGATCCATACTGGTGCAACCGATATCAGTCAAGCAGCCATTCAATATGCCCAGATGATTGGAGCTACAATCTACGCTACTGTGGGAACGGTCGAAGAACGTGATTTGCTTGTCTCTGACTACGGTATCTCTCCAGACCGTATCTTCTCTAGGAGAGATCTGAGCTTCGTCAAGGGTATCATGCGGTGCACACAGAATACTGGGGTTGACGTCGTCTTCAATGCACTGAGCGGCGAAGCACTTCGGGGCTCAATGACATGCCTTGCTCCATTTGGGGCATTTGTTGATGTGTCGAATCCAGATCTGCGAGCTGATACCACAGTCGAGATGGCCTCTTTTCCTCGCAATGTGAGCGTCCACACCGTCGACATTTGTTTACTGGCTCAACGTCGACCAAAATGGGTTCGTCTTCTGCTCACCGAGGCACTGAGATTTTACTCAGAAGGCAAGATCGGTCAACTCCGAACAACAACTGTCATGGACTTCACCCAGATCAAAGAGGGTATACAAGCTGCGCAGAGCGGCAAAGCAGCAAAAGTTGTGATTGCACCACATTCATCCAACATGGTCCCTGTGGTTCCACAACCACTCTGGCCATGTCACTTTGATCCACACGCCTCGTACGTTCTTGCTGGTGGCTACGGCGGCTTGGGTCGCAGTTTAGCACGATGGATGGCATCTCGGGGTGCAATGAGTCTGATTATTCTATCCCGCTCGTCGGCTTCGAGCCCAGAGAAAGTGGAATTGATTGCCGATCTCGACATAATGGGATGCAAGGTTCATTCGCTGGTCTGTGATGTGGCCGATGTCTCTAGCCTCCAACAATTGTCCGAAGAAGCCTTTTCCGATCTACCTGCTATCAAAGGATGCATTCAAGCATCCATGGTCCTACGGGCAAGTCATCACGCTTTATTTACTTGGTAAACAACAACTAACATATTCCCAGGACGGCGCCTTCGCCGGACTCTCCTTTAGCGACTGGCAAGCAGCCATCAGACCCAAAGTTCAAGGATCCTGGAACCTGCACACAGTCCTACCAGACAACATGGACTTCTTCATCATGCTCTCCTCAGTCGCAGGCATTTTCGGCAACCGCGGACAATCAAACTACGCCGCAGGTAATACCTTCCAAGACGCGCTGGCCGCATACCGCGTCTCGAAAGGCATGCCGGCCGCCAGCATCAACCTGGGCAGCGTATCCAACGTCGGGTGGGTAGCCGAGAACCGAAGCTCGATGCGCACGCACACAGCAACGTTATTCGAGCTTCTCCGCGAAGAAGAAGTCCACGCAACGGTCGACTTCCTCATCCGCGACCAGCAAGACGGCGGTAATGCATCGTCGCGCTCACAGCTCGTCCTCGGTCTGCCGACTGCGGAGATGTGTCGTCAGAACGGCGTGCCGCTTCCTACGTACCTGAATTACTCGATGTTCACGCACTTCCGTAACACGGCGACTGCGAAGAGCAGTGAGGTCGTTCACCAGAAGACTGTCAGCACTGCTGCACTTTTCTCGGCGGCTTCTGGCTTCGAGGGTGCTGTGGCTGTTGTGTCCGATGGTATTGTTGAGAGACTCGCTTCGCTGCTTGCTATTCCCTGTTCGGAACTCGATGCTCAGCGGTTCGGCTTTGGCGGTATTGACTCCCTTGTTGCTATGGAGTTCCGGGCGTGGATTGTTAAGGAGCTTAAGGCTGATGTTTCTTTGCTTGATATTATGGGGGCAGAGAATATTAGGGCTTTGAGTGAGAAGATTGCTGGCAGGAGTCGTTTGAATGCAGGAGGATCTGGTTCTTAATCTTCATGAGGATCTTTTTATGTCTTTTTTTGCGAGTTTCCTGGGATTTGCTTTTGATACTGCTTTGCGCTGGGCTCTCTTGATTTATTGATCTCACGTCTGACGCCCCGTTACAAGATATGATCATGCTACTTTTTTTTTTCACAGGGCATTTTTCCAGGCTCCTCTTTTATGCTCTTTGAGACTAGATTCGGTGATTAACAGAATACATACGGAACTTTTCTCCATAGCCTACATCCAAGAGAATTTAAGATTTGATAAATGAGGTACTTCAATATTAATTCATCCGAGTCGTCCTTTGCGAATAGAAAGCATCCATTCCGACAGATTAATAGCAGCAAAATGCTGTGCTTGCAATAAAAATAGCTCATCAAAACACTAGACCTTCCATTCGTTATTCATTATATTCATCAACATCTACCGGGTAGGCCCAGAAGGGAAATATCCCCGTAGGCCCTGACCAGGAACTACACAAACAGACAACTTTGGTTCAGCCCCGGACCGCTCATGGTGCCATGCACGCTCGCGCAGGGCCAAGTAAACCGAGCGGAACGGCTGGAGGTCGCCAGGCAGCCGAGCAGGCGGTTTACGAGGATCGAAGCCCAGCTGCTGGAGTTGCGCCTCACACCAATGCAGGGTGTCTGGCGGTAGATATTGCTCTGTGTCGTAGTCGGCGTGATTTTGTTGCATGGCCTGCAGCGTTGGGACGTCAGTTGCGAGGCCGAAGTTCTCTACGCCCTTGGGCGGGTGGTGGTAGTTCATATAGGGTTTTCCGGGGGTGCGCTCTGGGTGGTCTGCTTGTTTGCGGATGTTGTGCATGTTCCAGGTTTGGACGTAGGATTTGATGTGTGAGCGGAGAGTGGGCATGTAGATTGCGAAGAGGGCGACTTGTTCGGGGATTACGGTTGATGAGAAAAGGCCTTCGTTGTGAAGTCCGCGGAAATAGTTCTAGTTGAGGTTAGTAATTTGCGATTGGATGTAGGAAGAATCTGTGGAAGTTGAAAATTGACTAACATGGTATAGTGTTACTACTGATTTAGCAAGCTGGGCCCACCAGGATTCAATCCGGTGGGTATCTGCGGCTCGTCCAGGTGCACAGCACTGCTCACGCTGGACATCCGGCTCAGTGACGCGGCGGAGTGCAAAGTGAGCATCGGCTAGGAGAGGAACCTCCGACTCAAGGTCGGAACGAAGAGTGCGTGGTTGGCGGTTTTTAGAAGCAACGGTCTCAAGGTGATTTTTGAGAACGCCCACGGCTGTGTGCGCATCCACGCCAACATGAATCCAGAGAACATATCGAGAATAAGCATCAAGCTCGGCGTGAATGCGGAACCCGAAATTGGCTAGCTTTGAGTACCCATTCACGTGCCAGGTCAGATTAGGCCCGGCTAGAATCTTTGGCGGGGGAGGACGCCTGGGCACATCGCTCGTGCGGCGTTCCACTGTATCCGGGCGCAGCATGCGGTAGACACTATAGAGACGATCTCGGGCAAAGACGTGCCCCTTGCTTCGGAAGTGGTTGTGCAGTAGTTCCTTTCCATACCCCTCAATGGTCCCCTTGTCCATTTCCTCGGTCAGAGCATCAAGGATCTCCTGGACCTGTGCTTGTTGTTGTGTAGGTGAGTCAAGGCGGAGGCGGATTCCGAGCTTGTGACGGAGTCTGCGGAGCGTACGGTGGGAGACCTCGTAGCCCTCGTCGTGTAGAACGGTAACGATCTCTTGGTCGGACAAACCCACGTCGAAGAAAAGGTTTTTGATGCGGGCGTGCAGCGCTTCATTGTTGGAGGAATTGTTTTCCGTCTTTTTCTTAACGCCCCATAGCTGTAGGCGTTTGGTCAGAGTACGCGCCGAGATCTGAATATCATGCTGCCTCTTCAGGTGCTTGCAAATGTCGTCACTCTTCATTTTCTTTTCGAACAGGCCGATGATCTCGGCTTTGTACGGCTCTATATCCACCCGAGGACGACCCGACATCTTACTTGGCGTACCAGCTGTATTCTCCATTTTGCAAATTCAGAACAAACAATGTTGATAAGAATTAACCGTGGAGAGATGATGGCAGCAGCTGGGGAAATACGGGCGGTGTGTCGAGACCTACCGGCAGAAATCGACCGCCTTGATTTTTTTGTTATCGCAGCGACTCTTCTCAAGAAATAACGTCCTCGCTCTGCCTAGTCACTCTCGATCTTTTTTTCGGTTTAACACCAGCCAGCCGAATCAATCGCCACAATGGTCCGCGAGCTCAAGCACCACGAGAAGAAGTACGTCTGCACCTATAATTCCCCCCGCAGAAATCTCAACCCGATTCATCCAACATCTTCAAAGCTTCACGATACCACAGAATATCAATAGCTAATACTAAACCCCCCGCAGACTTCTCCGGAAGGTCGACTTCCACAACTACAAGTCGGACGGCAATCACCGCGAACATGAAATCCGCCAACGATACCTCCTCCAAGACCCAATGGATTACCGCAAATACAACGCGCTCTGCGGTTCTCTGCGCCAGCTCGCCCACAAGCTCTCCCAACTGGACCCGGACGCAGACCCGCTGCGCAAGAAGCTCGAATCCGAGCTACTGGAGAAGCTGTGGCGCATGGGAATCCTGAAGCAGTCCCGCGAGCAGGGCGCCGGTCTGTCCAAGGTCGAGCGCGAGGTTACAGTTTCCGCGCTGTGCCGTCGCCGATTGGCTGTCTTCATGGTGCGCTCTGGCATGGTTGAGACTATTAAGGCTGTAAGTTGCGGTGTGAGGATTTGGTTTGGGGTGGATGTATGCAATGGAATGCTGACTTTTTTTCTTTCTGGTAGGCTACTACTTTCATTGAGCAGGGCCATGTCCGTGTTGGTACAGAGGTCGTCAATGATCCTGCTTTCTTGGTTACCCGCAACATGGAGGACTTCGTCACCTGGGTTGATTCCAGTAAGATCAAGCGCAACATCTTGCGTTACCGTGAGAAGCTGGATGACTTTGATCTTCTGTGATCGACTCCGCTAAAAAAAGCATTTTGGGTTTTTGTTCTGATATACCCGGCGCTTGTGCATTGTGGCCTGTTTAGGTTTGGCGTATTGATGTTTCATGAAATAATATCTCATGTCCAAGGTTCTCTGGATAACTCAATATGGATATGAATACTATCTGTTCTCTAGAAACGTAGAGAGTAACCCGCTGTACACCTCCAAGCGCTTACTGCATTGTCCACTGAAGAGGCTCAGCTTCTATTCCCCCGAGCTACCAGGACTGATTTGACATTGAAGATTATTCTTTATATAGAAGTAGAATAGTCGGCCGCTTATACGGCCTCTATACTTAATGAGATAGCGCGTAATCAGAATATCGAGTTGTTTGTTAATAATATTATAGAGGTTATAATTACGATTCCACTACGATATCTTCTGCATAGCTTTTTAATATATTGCTTTAGTTTCCCTTGAATGTCTTTTTTAGCTGTCTTCTCAGATGCTTTTTTTGATACACAATATCTATATGACTAGAAGTGCTTATTCAATTAATTATTACACCAAACCGCTAATTGGCAGTAAATTGGCTTTCGGAAATGGCTACACAACATCACATGTGCTTAAAAATATACTACTCCAAGGTTGATCACTGAGCAGTACTCCCCCGGGGCCGCTTATTTTGATTCGTTCGGGAAGTCCCTCTTGGCTACTCTTCAGCCCCTTCAGCCCATCCACCTGAATGCCCTGAACACCACTATTTTACACCTGAATATCCTACAACCCCTCAACCGCTGCCGTGTCCTTTCCTTCCCCTCCCATACTGATTTTTTTCTCATAGGCGTGTTGTTTTGATCACAATCCCCTGGTACTGGGATCAATCTTTGCTGAAAGACCGACTTCGTCGCCTGGATGCTCTGCATCGGTTTGGGATAACCCACGGAGACATACATGATTTGCATTTCGACTTCCCAATGACATTTACGATATAGTTCTATACGACTTCTCCGCGTTATACATGTTCTCTGAAACACAGCCTTTTCGGGTATCGGAAGACCTCGGCCTCTAGGCCGTATATCCAACGGTGAACGTGAACGTGTCCTAGTGCATATCTGGGATCGGTAAGAAAGAAGACTGAATCCCTTATATCATGACTGACATACGTTCAGAGCCCCCTCACGAGATCTTCGTTCATACCTTATAGAATCAAATTCTAGAACTTCTATTGATTATGCACTGCGGCAGACTCTCGATAAAGAGGAGAGGATTGTTAGAGTTAATCATGCTAAAAGTCTCTTATCGCCCAGATAGTCAGTTTCTATTGATCGTATCCTATATTTGAGACGTACATTACTAACTATGCTAGGCTTTTCGATGCCCACCTTAAATTCTATTTTCCCTTTCCTAGAAGCGGTTTGCCCGAAGTCTGACCTATACTAGCCTATTCGTAGAGGTAGGCTTTTATATCACTATAAGTTAGTTTAGGCAGTCTTTCGTGACGACAACAGCCAGCCCCTATCAATCACTTTCGATTATGAGCCGCAATTTGGAACGATCGAGACCACGAAGGACTCCCACTTTATCCTTTACTTAGTGCCAAATTCGTGGATTAGATTATTGAAGACGAATCCTGATTTTTCTCGCTTCTTGTTTTAGCCAACCCCCGGGGGCGGTTATTGGACGAGATGAATTTTTGGAAAGAAGCGGAGAGTAGAGAGACGCTCGGATGAGCAATTTTGTATAATGCAAAGCTAGGCCCTTGTTTCATATGGCATCAATGAGAGCAGAATGTACTAGATTATTACCCGCGGGATGCGTTTTGATAGTACGAAGGATGTTTCGATTGTAAAGAGAATATCGTTCATATTTCAGCCACGATTTCAGATTGCCCGCCTTCACTAATTTCGGTGGAAGATTGCAAAACTACTATCAAAATCGCCAGGGTTCCGACTAATTTGACTTGTAAACGGCGGTATAGAACAATATTTGAACATTTGAACATTTCTATATATAGCATGCGACAGAATAACACAACAGGGTATACTCCGGAGAACACCTGTGAATTGCCATTTTGAGTTAGCCTTGCCCTTTTTGGTTTAGCGCCGTCAACCTCGTATCTTCCGTCGACGCTCGTCCTCCCGCGGGCCATCCCGCTTGTTACTTTTCAGCCGCACACTGCAGTTTGCTGTGACCTCTAGCTTCAACTTTAAGGATATTATTTGGCTCCCTATATAGTATTTATTGTTCTTTTCCAGTGTATTGATTTTACCTATTCAGTCCATTCGATAATTGTCCGATTTGCTCCCTGTCCTTTTCCCTTAATATGACCTTTGTTGATCTTTGCCCGCGCGGGGGAGCTGGCGTGCTCAAGTGGCCCCACGGCCCCAGGGGCTTTGTCCTGGTCTACCTATGTTGTAGGTACCTTCCGCCTTTCCACACGAAGAAAGCGTTTATCCGCGATGGCATTCTTAGTGAGGAGAATGGTAATCCTCGAACAAAGGCGGTTACCTTCAAAGAATTCACAACATACTACTTTCGGAAGCCTAAACTAGAAGGTTATATGTTATGGTAGTCTGCCTAGGAACCTTCGCCAAGGCTGATTCCGCGACGATGATCAATGCCAAGGCACGAATATAGCCCTGCAGGGTCTGTTTGAGCGCAGGGTCCCTCTATTAATGAAACCCCGCTGGGTTTCACCAGTTTTCCTCTTCTGTCTGTTTTTCTTTTTTCTCGCTTCGGTTGACACTCGAAATCCAACATTTCCAATCTAGATCATTACCTCCTTCTGTTCTATTTTCCTTGCCTTTGGTTAATATACATCACGCACGTCTTCTACTCTTCTTAATCAACTTTCGTTTGGGTTTTTGATTCGTTCTTTCCTATCATGGCTGACAGCCTTGATTGGGGTCCCCCCTTCGGATTCGCAGTACGCAGAAATGGCTCCTGCCTCGAAGCACAAGGAGAATGCCACACCGACGCAGGGGTTGATCCTATAACAAAACAAATTATGTACCGATGCTGCCCCAGCGGCTCAAGATGTAGCAACGGAAACATAGGGATGTGTTGTCGGGATCAAAACTGCAAACAGCAAATCAGTAACCCAGCACACTGCGCCAACGAGACCTGGGATCTTTATAGAAACTTTGATGGCGGATATTTCTGTTGTGATCAGGAACAATGGGGGTATAATAGGACTGGGGGAGGGGTTGGGTGTGCGGCACTAGGGGAGCGTCCGGTTGACAGTATCACGCGACTGAACCCAACTTCTTTTGGTAAGATCCAAGTCCTGCTTACTCGGCATGAGCCCAGCTCTGATATAACTAGGCGGGACCCCAACATCGACTAGCTCCCCTACATCGAGCAGCTCACCAACATCGAGCAGCTCCCCTACATCGAGTAGCTCCCCTACATCGAGCAGCTCACCGATATCGAATAGCTCCTCTAGTCCAAATACTGGCGCTATCGCAGGTGGTGTGGTTGGTGGTGTTGCTGGGTTAGCAATAATTGTCGCATTGCTGTGGTACTTCCTGCGTCGTCGGCCACAGAAGCAATCACAAGCGATAACGCCCATCACCGCAGCATCAATGATGCATCACGAGCCTCTCCAGTCCCCGGGCATACTAAACGAGTTAGACGGCCAACGTTCTGTGTCAGAGCTACCTAGCCACAAAGAGAATACTCTCCACGAGTTACCGGCATCTACAAAAGCTCCATGAAAGGGTATTATCTTTATCTTAATATTCTCTGACAGAGCGCTAGATGATGATTTTTGTTGATGATAATATTCACTCATCTAATCGCTCTATTTTGTCTTTAATTTTATTTGATCGAGTGTATTTGGGCAGAGACATGCCTGCTGGCGTCATATTTCAGGTCAACAGGGTATCATCATCGCTATCAAAAGAGTCACACCGAGCCTGATGTACAGCTAGTAGTAGTAGTAGTAGTAGTAGTAGTGGTGGTGGTGGTGGTAGTAAATTCATTTACCCTAACCCCTCGCGAACGATATGCAAGCTACAACAACTGTTTAAATACATGTTTGTTTGATCTTCGGAGATTGTTCCAAACTTCCTGAGCGGTGAACTTTGAGCCTCACCTAGTAAGGCCTGCCGTGGCCTCGTTGCCGTTTGTGATGTTAGGCTGCCTTTATAGCGCGGCTGTAATAGATACGCGAATGAGACGGACAGCAACTGTCCCGCTTTTGGCTACATTTCTGCTAGGAACCGTGAGAACGCTAGTAATGCTGAGTTTAGAAATATGAACAACGATTCTGTTGCAGATGCGGGTTTGTTGCGGGTTCGACTAGCCGGGCGTTTTCTTGTCTCGTTCTCGAGCTGGAATGGTGGTGGTTTATTGTGGAAACGGCGGTGAAGATCTTCTTGTGAGCGTGGGTTTTGTGGGAGTAACTAGTTCGGGTGATGGTCGGTGTCGGTTGGAGAGGTTAGAGAGGTTAGGGAGAGTAGGTTGGTTAAGGTAGTTCCGATTTTGGGTCGAGTATAGCGGACGACGGTTTAGCGCGGGAATCGAGGTTGGTGTTAGAACGATCCTCCACTATAGTAGATACCGTTAGTGTTAATTGGGGTTGAGACTGTATACTGGAGTTGGCGGTAATCGTTTCGAGTTGTTTTCTGTCCGAGGTAGCATGGGGCTAGGAGTTGACTGTCTAGGCGAAGGGGATGCGTTGGTTGAGTGGGGGAATGCGTCGGGGTTTTGAGGTGTTGTTTTAAGTCCGCAGTCTGCCATATGTAGTTGCTGCGCCTCTTCGAAAGGGGTGCGCTTGAAGTTGTATTGCTTTTTGGCCGACTGACAAGCAAAACAGCACGCCAGGTCTCCAACCCCTGAGTGAGGCTAGTAATAGAAGCCATTCTGGGCCAGTCAACGCGGTGTGACGCCAGTGAGCACTTGTCCTTGGAACGAAAAAGCTCTTGCGGCGATGGTGGAGTAGGTGGTCGAAATGAGGAATTCCTCCTGGATGTGGGGTAGCTCGTTCTGGTGGACGGCGAATCTCGAGTATGGCGCGACGTTGAGTCTGGTGATGTATATCCAGACACAGAATCTGGCTATTGGGTCACAACGCATGTTGTTGATTGGTTTACTCCGCCGGATATGAGCTTCGTTTGATTTTCATATCTGCAAGTCTGAACGTGAATCTTGTAATTTTTCTTCGTCTGTCTACTCCAAAGTCGGCGGCACCTCGACTAGGAACTGCATAAAAGTGTATGGAGTTAGAGCAGTTGATTATGCCAAAGATAGCATCACTAGAGCCAAAATATGTACCGTATGAGGCTATGTACAGCGTTCCAATAATAATAAGGGTATCTCAGTCTTTAAAAAATGACAGGAGCAATGCAACGAATGCAGAAGGGACTGGAGATAAGACTAGGCTGGAGAGTGAGCCTCCCGCCAAGAAGGGACACGTTGAACGGCGGGATGGGAACCACTGGATGCAAATGCAAATCATCACTCGGGGATCATGGTATCATAGGGAAATCAGTTGAGATAGTGTAGTTTTGCGAGCAGCACCTGTGCTAGGCTCTGTGTGGTGACAAGGTGATAGTGATAAATGTTGGAGAATCCAAATCGAAACCAAGAATTTAGGCATTAGGAAGAGGAGATGACTTCGAACGGAGACACGTCCACCGTTTTCGAGAGCCATCATGGGAATTTGTGGAGGTCGGCGTTTTGCCCAGGAAGTCCAAGAGCTGGGCCTGCGGTTTTCCCTGATGAGAATCCGATTCTGGCTCTTCATCTTCGGGGATATCCATACGAAACCGACGCACGCTGCCTTCGCGCTCAGTCTTGCCTTCTTCGAAGAACGGGGTGCGCGAATCACGGGGCTGGAAGCAGCGAGGCGCGACGCGGCGCCAGAGGCCCCGGACACCACTGCTTGCCCGGTCGATCTTCTCGTACTCACGCCGCCGGGTATCGGGTGAGGTCCATTCCATTACTGTCGCCGGGACGTAGATGGACGAGGACGAGGGGCTGTGGTGGTGATTGGTGGGCAAGGTGTTTGATCGATCTCTTGATGTGATGAAATGGGGTGCGCTCGTCGAGGTGGGAGAAGTCGACTCTGGCTCGAAGCGGAAGCTGGAATATGAAGGTGCGATCGGAGACGAAGGTGCCGAGCTGCCTTTATCTGTTGATGTGCGGCTCTCACGCTGAGATCTATATGTAGCTGACGCTGTTCGGTGTAGAGAAGGTCTTGTCTCGGTCGAAGATCTGTTTGATCCATCTCCTTGGAACAGACGACATGACTCCCGGTGTAGGGCTAGTAGTGACTCGCGCCTGTCCTGCATGGAACTGCGAGCTGAGGTGACAGGTACGATGGCAGCGTTGGGCACAGCCCGGCGCGGTGAGTGAAAGGAACTGCGACGGCTGTTGGGTCGCGATCGCACGGTGCTGCGGGATGCCGAGCGAGAGTGACTGACTGAAGTAGATGTCGATGTTTGTGATTCTCGACGATCTTGCGATTTGGGCTCATTTCCCGGTGGATCGATCCTTTTGACCTTGGCCATCTCAGATGGGGATATAGGCGACTCGCATCCCTTGAGCTCTGTGATGACGGGCTCGCACTTGGAAATAGCCAGAGATGGCTGAAGGGCCAGACATGTGACGGAGGCCATTTCCCGTCAGCGGGAAACTTTGATCATAGGCAAATATAGGCAGGTGCCCTGATCAGATGTATATCGAGATGTTCATGTGGATAAGATTAGGGTTAATATGTATTAAAACGAGAGTTCAACTCCATCTTGAATATAACTTGAAAAGGAATGAAACACAAAGAAAATAAAGGTAAAATAAAACCCGACAAGCAGATGTCTTTCCTTTTATTTTCAATATGCGCACACCGCTCCTCATCTATTTTAGCGGAGTGGGGGGGGCGTCTAAAGTGTCTGGCCATGATCGTCCTATGAAGGCGTCTACCCTGCAGTGACTTGCGGTTACAAATGCAGGGGCTTTATTCAAATGTAAGAGAGTATGGGGTAATATGCTATGGTATTTTATAGTCTGCCCTGTGCTAATAATATAGTAACCTATAAGGAAAACCAAACCATTCACGTTCACATGGTCACATTGTCAATGCAGAAACCCTGTTTGGACGATCATATAGTATTTGGTAAAAAATAGAGGTCACACTAACTACACTAACTACACTAACTACACTAATTAGGAAGTACAGGAGTACACTAAGCCTATGATAGACATTGCATCCTGCATGTGTGTGTTGGGACACCGCTAAACGCTAGTCTCAACGAGATATACGAAATGACGAAAAAAAACAAATATTTCATAAAGAGAAATAGAATACGGAGTACGGAGTACCTCAATACATTTGTCCATACATACATAATAGTCTTCAACTTTATAATTTAAAGAGAATAAAGGAACTCGGGGTTCTCCCGATCTGTCAAATCAAGGAACCTGCAGCGAAGAGTTAGCAAAAGTTAGTAAAGTGGGCTACTAAACGCCGTCATAAATCACTCACTCTTGATTCTCTAGTCTCACATACTCTGGTCGAGCAGTAAAAAGAATCTTTTTCTGGTTCTCACGGCGATACCACATCCAGACCCCGACAAGCAGGAACAGACACACACCCCAGCAGACGATAACTGTCACCTCGGCGGGGACATAGCGGGGGGCATCCTTCGGACGGAAGGTTTGTGGGCCTGGATTGTGTTAGCGTGCTCGTCACGTTTTACCCCTTCTTGATTTTCTCAGGTACTCACCGATAATATTTCCAACACAATATCCAATCAGATACAAAGCCGCCACAGTCGTCTTTTTAGTATATCCCGCAACGTTGGAAGAAATCAGCGACAGCAATGCCACAAAAGGTGTCGGACTGGCTTGTGTGAGATAGTAGCCAATCAAACGACCGACGTTGTTTGATAGGGGCAGGGCGACAATGAGCAGCATTCCCACGATTGCAGCGACCAGCCCACCCAAACTGGCGAGGATGCGCTGTCCGGTGATATGTCCGACATAGCCGTTAAGCAATAATGCGACGATTTCCACTGCGCCGCCGGGGACACCCAGAATTAGACTCTCTTTCTCGTTGTATCCGAAACTTGTAATCTGGTGGACTGATTAGCATGCTTGGAATCTTCAAGTTCTTATAAGCTATCATCAACATACCAGCTGACTAAAGAAATTGGAAATACCCCCATTCGGAATATCAGCAATCAAAGCATAAAAGAAGAAAGCCCAGGTCATCGGATCCAAAAGCGCCTCCTTGACCTGATATAGCTTGAAGTGCTTATTTCCAATGCCCTGCTGGTTAACCCGCACACGGGCAACAGCCAAAATTCGATCTTCTTCATTTAACCACCGTGCATTGAGTTGATTGTCTGGTACAATCCAGAGAAATACCAGTCCCAGACAGATGGTGAGGAGGCCAGTGACGAGGAAAACAATCTTCCATGGATCGATGGAGGACCCGTGTTTCTCGGCACCGACGGCGATGCCATACGCGACTACTCCGCCGAAGATCTGGCCCACGCCGTTGAAGCTGAACCAGATGTTGACGCGGCTGCCTTGTTCTTTTTTTGTGTACCACTGTTTGGGAGTTAGCTCGACTCGTTGTATATAGCTTATAGCTTATGGTTTCTGTACCTGGGAAGTTAGAAGTGCAAAGCCTGGTGTCACAGCTGCTTCGAATACACCGAGCATAAAGCGGATAGCGATAGCCCCGGAGTAATTGTTGACAGCGGCAAAACAGCTGAGAATCACTCCCCATATCAAGATGCAGGCTGCAGAGTATTTTCCTAGTGGGAGGCGCTGGAGGAGGCGGTTGGTCGGGTATTCCCAGGCGAGATAACCTATGCAGAAGAGCTATTAGGCTTAATGTCCCCGGAGAAGAACCAAATTGAAGGGAGAAAAGCAGAGATGGAACATACCAAAGTAGAACAAACTCCCGAGCCACTGATACTGGTCTCCCTCAAGATCCAGATCCTTCTTAAGACCCATAACACTGGCATACGAGAGAGTGGTTTCTATACATCAGATCACATATTAACACTTTCGGTTGAATAAACAGCCAACGGAACAAAGCATAAAACCAAGATCGCTCATGCTTTGCACCGTTTGGAAATGAAATCGAGGAACGCTATGCACATACTATCCAAATAATTCATGCCATAGATAAAGCACATGATGGGCATCATATGCCAATCAATAATGCTCAACAAGCGGCGATTCGTAGCCTCATCCAGCTCGATAGTTTCACCCTGAAGATCGCCCAAGGCCTTCAGGGCCTCATCGGCGTCGTGTGCATGTTTCTCAATGGTGGGGTCAACATGTTTGATCTTGCCCAGGTCGATGCCGGTGTCCACGCCAGAGGAAATGCCGGTGGCTTTTTCCTCTGAGGCCATGGTGTCGGTTCTATGAGGTTAGTCGTAAAGGGACGGGGCAGTAGAGCAATTAAGATCAAATAAGGCCACACAGAACACGATTAAGCTCTCCCCGAGTTAGCGGTAGATGCAACTATAAGCAATACCAAGGAAATTTATAAGAAAAGACCAAAAGGAAGACTACAAGCGGGCGCGTACAGCTAAATAATGTAAAAAAGAGCAAGGGTGAGAACTCCGCACGCTCGATAGCTATTATAGGACGATCTTAGAACCTAACACTAAGTAGGTTACGTTACTATACCCTGTACCCTGTGCGTTTAAGCAAAGCCGGGTAGCTGCACAAGCACATATGTCTGCTGTTATCTCGAGAGAGTCTCCTCTCCAACTCCTCCTATCACGCAACGCACCACATGCAACACGGCAAGTAAGCTGTGGGTCTCTCCATGATAAGAAGCCGATGTACATACTCTGTATCTGGGGTTGGCGGTTTGTGCTGTATCTCATTGGATGGCCAAGAGAGGGGGGGTGAGGGGAAATGATCGGCGCGAATGGAACTACCCAGGTCTTTTGGCTGGGCATTATGTTTAATTTATTAATATGAAAAGGATATAACGTAGGGCTAGGTACTTGACGGTGTGTGTACGTGCGGGGATGCACATTTAGTAAGGGGATATTACGTCAAGGAAAGGTCGGATATTACAATGTACAACAATCCAAGGTTAGTATCGAGATGCTTACACTTCTAGTTCCGATGTGGATTCCGACGAGTTGAAGCAAAAGTACGGTGTTACTCTTATCTTTGTCCAGGTGGTTTCTCAAGTTTGGAGGTCTCCTTATCAAAGCTAGTACTCCAAATATTCGGATATTCAAAGATTCGCTTTTGATCTCTTGATTCGTCAAAGACGGGGTGAAGCATGCTGTTTGCAGAGTACTTGCATGTATCGTTGGACTTAACCTTGCCCTTGCATCGTCTGTACATGTAGGAAAGCCCTTACATAGCCCTGGAGACTCGTGAACAACGCTGATGTAAGAAACCACCAAGATGCAAAAGGATTATATAGCACGCCATCAAATATATATTTTTCATTATGCATCACCACACATGTACCTACAGTGGAACGTGGACTACACATTCTATTGCGCGCCCACGCGGGCCAGATACGCCTCCCAACCCTGCTGCTGGTACTGCTTAGCGGCCTCAACAGGATCCGCAGCGGCATAGATACCACGACCAGAGATAATAAAGTCGGCACCGCGGCCAATAGCCGACTGCGGCGTCTGATACTGCTGACCGAGCTTATCGCCCTTAGACGACAGGTTGACGCCAGTGGTGAAGACGACGAAGTCCTCGCCCTGGGCGGGCACCTCGGTAGACTCGACCTCGCCCAGCGAGCGGGTTGAGACAAAGCCCAGCACGAAGCTGGGGTACTTGCGTGCGATATCGACGGAGGCGGAGGTGTAGGCGCCCGTTGCAAGGGATCCCTTGGAGGTCATCTCGGCGAGGATGAGGAGGCCCCGCTCGGAGCCGTAGGGGAAGTCAGTGGCCTGGGCGGTTTGCGCGAGGGCCTCGACGATGCCCTCGCCGGGTAGGACGGAGCAGTTGATTATATGGGCCCATTCGGAGATGCGGAGGGTGCCGTTGTGGTACTGTTTCTGGACTGTGTTGCCGATGTCGATGAATTTGCGGTCTTCGAAGATGAGGAAGTTGTGCTTTTGGGCTAGGGCATTCAGGCCGTCGATTGTTGCTTGGCTGAAGTCGGAGAGGATGTCGATGTGTGTTTTGATCACGGCGATGTAGGGGCCAAGGCCTGTGCATGGATTAGTGGGTTGTTTCGTTGGAGGGGTGAGGTGGGTTGGGTTCACTTACGGTCGGCGAGGTCCAGGAGCTCCTTTGTTGTGGTCACATCAGCGGAGACGGTAACATTGCTCTTCTTTTCCTCGGCGACTTGGAAAAGCTTGCGCGCGAGGGGATTGGGGTGCGATTGAGCGCGGGCGCTGTAGGTCAATTGCGACTTGGACGACATGGCGGGGTTGGCGGGGTGAAGAGGCGGTTTATATGTATTTGATACGGGTTTTTGGGGTTTCAAAAGGAGGAAGGTTAATCAAATGACAAATGCCTCTTGAGTACAATTGTCTTTTAAGCTCCAAAGGCAGAATAATAGAAGCAAGTTTCGAGTCGAAGACCATCGGGGAACTTTTTCTGCCACAGTGGACCCCACCGGTCTAATCTTCTGAGGCTGGAACTGACTGTGGCGCATAATAGGCGCATAATACGTTGCATTGGATATAGAAATACATAACACATTTTCAATTTCGAGACATTTTGGAGGACTTCAAAGCTTCAAGCGCTTAGAAAGAAAGCAGTGGCCATCCAACACCGTAGACACTCAATCCAAAGAGAGCAGCCTGCACAAACCAGAAGAACGAACCGATCATGCGGCCCTTACCCTGCGCCTTGCCCGAGTACACATAGCCGTAAAGGAACAGAGCGCGGAAGAAAACCCACAGAGCGCCCAGACCAGCAGCCCACTCAGGGTACTTCAGACCGGCGACCAGGGTGAAGAGCATTGTCTGCGAGGAATTTTCGAGGAAGTTGGTGTGGGCGCGCTGAGCGCAGTTGAACTTCTCAGCTTTGGCCTATAACCAGTTTTTAGTAGGTGCCTTCTAGTACTTCATAGGAAGTACATATGTATGTTTCCGCTGAATATGGTGGCTTGCGATGGCCAGGTGATAGATGGGGAATTAGACGCACGTTTTCCTTGCATAGCTCCATGGAGGCATAGCTGTGGGGGTAGGGCACCTTGGCCTCCTTGCGCAGGCTGCCAGTGATACAGCCGTGGATGAAGCCCAAGACGGGGATGGCGCCGAGCGCGACGCCAATGACGGCACTGGGAAATAATGTTAGCCCCGGATTTCAGGGAAGCTTAAAGGTTGAGTTGGGGAGTGGCAGGACCTACCCGTAGTTGCCAGGAACAATGAATGCGACCATTATGATAAGAGAATCAGGAGAAATGAGGTGAGATAGTAGCTTGGTGTTGTGATTTCACCTCCTTATGGGGCTCCTTTATACGTAATTGGAGGTTCGGGGTTCACAAGCTCCGGGCTCCCGTCGGTGCAATCAATTTAGCCGTTCCGGGGTCTTCTAAGGTTTGCAGTTGTGATATAGTTGGCCTTTCGGAGTATTGAGAATGGCCTCAGGTAGACAAGGAATTTTCGAGATCCTTTGTTCACGCTGGTTTATCATGGAATTGACAGCCCTGGAGTTCTAATGAGAACATTGAAGGCAACAAGCTGACGTCATGCAAGGGATGTTTTCTAGCATTTCACGAATAAATGTTCAAAGAGAGCTATAAGTCCCAGCATATGTCAAGAGAAATGCGATACACAAAGCGGCTAAATGTCGGATGTTGAAAACTTCATGCTGCCATGTTCGGCACCATTCTACTTACACTCCCGTACTTGGCCTGCCAAGCGAAGAAGTACAGGAGCGCTCCAAGTGGTTGTCCGACCAGACAAAAGCTGACCCAGAAGATGCAGTTTCCAATAACCCTGCCTTCAGGCCCGCGCATATTATCCAACGGTGCGGTGAGGCTAATTAACGGCAGCTGGAACATCATTCCAAAGAACGCGACACCTGGGCTTGATTAGCCTTTGAGCTGTGACGAGAGAGAGAGTGTGAAAGACATACCAATGAAATTATGTGTGGGAATGCCCACGAGCATTTCGTGAAGAATTGCGGAGAGCGTGAAAACCATTCCACTCGCAGCCAGAGGACTCCATCCACGACCCACCAGCGGCGAGTAGACATGTCTCTTCATGAACAAGTAGACAGGCCGGTTCCAAGATCGCCAATACATACCCAGACTGGAGCTATTCCACCAATCGGTATAGAACTCGCGGTCTCCAAACCGCATGACCTCGGCCAAAGCGTTCAAAAGCGCTTGGAACAATGCAAAGAAGCCAGCAAGCCAAATAATCAACGAGATAGTGGATAGCTTCATCACACGCTCCAAAATCGAGGCGATGTCCATTACTGCGATCTTATCAATCGAGTTGCGCAACACCGGTGCAGCATACTGCGCAGACAGAAGCCAAATGAACATTGCTAGGCCAACGAACTCTGCAAGGCGCTTTGCAACAAATGACCACCGGATGGATGCTGTGCGCGGATAAACAGGCTGATACACCAGCGTCGGCGCCAGCCAGAAGTACGCCAGGTTATTGATGGTAATATTCTGTGGGTAGGGGCATGAGGAGTAAATTTCAGGCAAGCCCGGGTCTGCGGAGGGATTGAGCAGAGCGAGACGGAGGTCACGGTTTGTGAAGGCATAAGAGCAGTTCTTCAACCATACGATGATCGCGTGCAGCTGGCATATTGTCCCAATGCCTGGGTGGTGGATGTAGAAATACACCACGAAGCTGGTTACTGCGAGGCATAGCGTGGCATTGAGCGTGTGTAGGAAAGCAGTGTATGGCCAGGTAGACTGGAAGACCTTCTGGTCGTGCTCTTTCTCCTTTTCCGTCTTCTTCTGACGACCCACTGTTTGCTTGGCTGCAGTAGCGGCTGAGAGCTCAATGATGTATGCCACGAGCAAATGACATGGAACCGAGGCAAACAATATAGACCCCAGAACAACGTCTTGCCTGCGGTAGTCATGGCATTTAATACAGATTAACACGCCATACTATGATGTGTTTATTAGTTTGCAACTCGAAATAGTAATTGAACTTTTGGATTACCCACTTTCATGAAGTTCTCAATAATCAATCGCAGGTTCATCGCCACTGTCGGAACATTAGCCGTTTCCATATGTATACAATTCTTTAGCAATCCCTACCGAGTACCAACACCATGAGATTTCGAAACCCCAGGAAGTTGGGGAGCACGTCAGCCTCTCGACTGAGGCTGGAATGACGAGCTTCTGAGTGATATGCAGCTACATGGCGATATTTACTGCGTTTCTTTGCAGTTGAAGTTGATGGCGGAGAGACCTCGGCCTCATTCTGGGCTCCTTTCCTCGAATTGAGCTGCGATTCCTCGCGGGCGCTCGTAATTGCTCCAGTGCGAGTAGTCATCTTAACAGCCCTACGACCTCGGTAGTGTGAGAGATCAAAAGGTCTTCGAGTCGAGCTCCGATTAAACCGGAACACCGACGTGGAGCAATGCGAAGATTAGAGCAACAACCAGGCCGCACAATTATGACAGAGAAGAAGAGAAGAAGAGAAAAACAAGGCAAAAGACAAAAGCACCAGAAACAAGATGATTTAATACTGGCCATGGCGGGGGCAGAGGCATCATAGCGCAAGCTTGCAGATAAAACCCGCAGGGGCCAATCAGCGTCACATGCGCTCAAGGGACGGATCCTGCGCTCCGAAGAGCTTCGACTCTCTCCGCATCTTTTGTTTTTAGCCTTGGACCGGTCCGATTCAGTATTCGATCAGTATTTGAAACTTCAATTGCCTTTGCTCATGTTCGCGAACCGACAGCCTTGATCCTGTATATCTTTTCAACCGGTCGCGATGGCCTACTACGAGGACAATGGAGGTGAAGGTCCAGGGCGGTTTGGCAAGAATTTCGATGGTCCAGTCGGACCTCGCAGACCACGTATGTTTGCTTGCTTTGAAATGACCTTTGACTGAGCCTCTGCTTGTTTATAGCCCGACTGACAACCGTTACTCTTACTCTCAGGTCTCGTCACGGATTATGGCTCTTCAATGGTACAATGGATGAGAACACGGCAACCGAAATACAAAGGAGGACATCCACATCGATTGGAGACGGAACGACCGAGCCCCAGCTTCGCGGTCGATGTATGTGTCGCTTGAACTGTACTGGCCTGGCGAATAAAGAGACTGACTTGCGACAGGTTCTTCCCCCGATGGCGCGGCCCTATTCTGCCGTTGATACAATCCCCGTCCGACACCTTCACCAGTCGATCGGAAAATCAAAGAAACCCATCGTCGTGGTGCGATGGACTCCCGAGGGAAGGCGGCTGCTGACCGGTGGTCATACGGGAGAGTTTATGCTTTGGAATGGAACGGCGTTCAATTTCGAGACGGTTATGGATGTGCGTATTTACAGCTTCTATGGATTGCACCCTTGCTAATCTGAGATGTTCTTCCGGGACAGGCGCACTATGATCAAATACAGGCTGGTGTTACGTCCTTGGCATGGGCCCATAGCCAGGATTGGCTGGTCTCTGGTGGACAAAGAGGTGATATCAAATACTGGCGACCCAACTTCAACAACGTCGAGACGATAGATGACGCCCACCACGACGCAGTCCGCGATCTGGCCTGGGCACCCAGTGATACTAAATTCCTTTCAGCGTCCGATGACACAACCTTAAAAATTTTCGACTTTGCAACCCGAACGGCTGACGCTACACTGACCGGACACAACTGGGATGTCAAGTCTTGCGACTGGCACCCGACCAAGGGTCTGATTGTTTCTGGATCGAAGGACCACCAGGTCAAATTCTGGGATCCGCGCACTGGTCGTTGCCTGACGACCCTTCACAGCCACAAAAACACCGTCACATCGACGCGATTCTCGCGTGTGAACAGCAACCTCCTTGCTACTTCGTCGCGAGACCAGACTGCCAGAGTATTCGATTTGCGGATGATGCGTGATATTTGCATTCTGCGAGGCCATGACAAGCCGATTTCTTCTCTGACATGGCACCCGATTCACAGTAACCTTATTTCGACTGGTGCTGAGGATGGTTCTCTCTATCATTATCTACTTGATGAGCCGCACCTGCCGGCTGGCCAGATTCCCACCGTGGCACCTTACGACAGCCCGGACCCGGCCAATACTCCGCCGCAGGTGATCTACCCGGCACATCGTGTACAGTATGCGCACGGTGCTACAATTTGGTCACTAGACTGGCACCCACTGGGCCATATCTTGGCTTCTGGATCTAAGGATAACTTCACTCGATTCTGGTCGCGGACTCGGCCTGGCGAGACTAGCTATATGAAAGACCGATTCCACATCGGCGAAGAGGCCGCAGAAGCCCAGGGAACATGGAACCGCGGGTTTGGCCGGAAACAAATGCGTGAGGACGAGGAGCAAGAAATGCAGGACGAAGCTGACAGCCTGGTCGATCAACGACGACCAGGTGGCCCTGCTCTGCCGGGTATTCAAAGTGCGCCGCCGGCCGGCCCTCAGCCCGATGCTCCAGGGTTGCTACCTGGTATTGGCAGTGCTCAGCCTCGGCAGCCAGGGATGGATGGCGGCGCTATGGGTGGGATGGATCCGGGCCGTTTGGCTGCACTTATGTCCACTCACCCCTCATCACAGTCGAGTACCCCCACACCTGGAATGCATGGGTTCCCCATGCCGCAGGGTATGACCGGAACACCACCCATGAATATGGATCTAGCACAATTGCAAAAGCAACTCCAGGGTTTCCCCATGCCACAGAATCTCAACCTCCAAGCTTTGGCGAACAACCCTGGTTTCCCTGGTGGATTTGGTGGCCTGCCTGGTTTGCAAGGCGGTGGTATGCCCGATGGCAATCGGAGACAGTGATGAAAAATGGACATCTGATTTGAAATGCACGTTGAATCGGCTTGGCATTGGCGCAAAGGACATAGCATGGCTACTTTGATGCGGGGCGACGGCGTTATATGAGATATCAAATCCCATTTGTATCATATGAAATTTTCGGGCGTTTTGAAGTCTCCTGGTTATTTGTCGACGAGACTGTTTGCGTAGGGTGGTTGGACATATTCCGAATTCGTAGTTGCCCCCCACATAGAAAATTGCTATATTCTGTAGGTAGTATGGTCGAAGGCAGTAGCAGCCGGGATACCATTCAAAGGCCACCTTGCATGGGGAAGCTGGTTACAATAAGAAGCATAACATTGACACCACCCCATATCATCGGTAGCCAAGTTGACATCCTGAAATTGCCTGCTTCATACACCGCGCCGAGGCTATCCACCACAGAAGCGTCAGCTACCTAATCATTTCGGGGAGGTCAAGTGTCAAGCAACCAACTTACACAAGTCCAATTATACTCCCGGCTATAAGCGACTGAAACGCTGCAACAAAAATGTACACCAACGGCACAATCCATATCACATTCCAGTTACGGAAATGAGTCAATACCGCGCACCCAGCAACAGTGAGATGTGTCGCGCCGTAGAATATCAGCGTCCAGAAAAGTGTGAAGCGCCAGATGTCCTTCGTGTAGAATAGGTAGTATGCTTGTTCATGATGCGCCGGCAAGGGATCGTACAATGACGGAAAGGCAGGTACTTCGTAGTTAATCGGGACGCGATTGCTAGCCATGGAGAGGTAGCTGCGCCGGTTCAGCTGCAGCGAAGATCAATCATCGAAGCATGACACGTGAATAGGGAACTCATGCAGTCACCTTGACCGTATATGTATTGCACGCTTATCAACAAAAAAGGCAAGTCTGGAGACTTCCGGAGATGACGATGCTTGTTTGCACTGTTTGGCTCCGCTTCATTGGTCAGCTGTACGTGGACGCCCCCGTATTTGGCTGGAGTCGGACCTCGGCTTCTCCGCGGTTGATCATCTCATTCCCTGGGCGATGTAGAGCCTCTTGTCTGGGAGCATCCCTATCACCAGTCTTGAAATGGCCACGGAACGATCTCTGGCTACGCTGCTGCGGTCGCTGCAGGCGACTTCCAGCTTCCAAGATGCCGCTTCGTAAGTGCCACATACCCCCAATCTGATTGGAAGGGTCAATGTTAGGCTAACGACAGACCAATTCAGTCTTCTTCCCACAGCTACCAGTTTCCTGTCAATGTTGGGGAATCCTCTGAATCTGACGCTCCTTTCTTCACAACTCCTCACTGCGCCTTCGCTCTGGAGCCACCCGGTCGACCTCCAATCATGTCGCAAGATACTCAGCGTCTTCAACACCGCCGCCATCGCTGTCTTGCAGAATGATACTACCGACGAACCACGGATTCCGTACGGGCGAAATAGGAAGATTGAGTACGAGGCGTGGGTTAAGGCGGTCGCTGAAGGAGCGGATGATAAGTCCCCGCGGTGGAGGCATACGCTTCTGCTAGGCGGAATCTTGATGGGATTCGAGGGACAAAACCGACGGGGCTTACCACGGCATATTCGGGTGAAACTCGAGTCGGCGCTTGCGAGAGCGGCGCAATTAGCGCTGGAGGAGCTTGGCCCCGAGACTGGGGTTGATGGACAGTGCATCACTATGGTCTTGAATTACACTTTTGAGCTTCTGTCGGATCTCGAGAGAAGCAAGCTGGATTATGATCGCTTGCTCCCCACGATGATTCAGTCGGCATACTTGTCTTCGGAAGGCCTCGAGGGTGGCTATTTCTTGGGATCTATTGATCAAGATGTTGTTGAGGCTCCCGGGAAGCAGTTTCGCTGGTCGGCCAACTCCCCCACATTTGCTATTGTCTCAGCGGTAGCCGCTCGCCCGCTTGTGTCCACGCTAGGGCCTTTGTCTCGTCTCATCGCGCATTCTGTTGATAATGTTCGGGATCCGAGAATTGTTGCGCAGACTGTTGATTACCTGGCGGATTTCGTTCGGACGCTCATGGTTCAATGGCGCCAGAATAAACTGTCTGAGATTGATGCTGCGGAAGAAGCAGAGTTCCTGGATGCTGAATCCCGGGAGATTACACTTCCCGCCCTCTGGAAGGTGTTGCGAAATTGCTTGTATTCGGTGGTTATTACCCTTCGGGCTGTGCTGGGGAGAACTATCAATGACCCGGCTCTTGCTGCCAACAGTAGTAAGTTGCAGATGAGTCGTGATGTTTGTTTTGTACTAACTATGCTACTTCCAGGTGCTCCATATCTATCCATGCAATGTCTCCACATACTTCGCAACATGTATTTCATCTCTTCTCGGATTGGCCAGAATGCCTCATCGCAGCAGACGTTCGTGATGTTGGCAGCCATAGACATCCTTTCACAATACCCCGTTCTTGCCGAGAACTTCCTGCGAAGCATTAAGCCAAGCGATATTGGCCAAATTCCTGCTCACCCAGTTGAACGATGTTTGGATCTTTTCTTCTTGAATGCGGCAGAGCATTTCCCTCTTGTCATATCCTCCGAGATGAACGAGGAACTATTATTGTCCGCCGCTTTCCCATATCTCGCAGCCGGTGCTAATAGTCTTCTGTTGGAGATTTTCGAAGCTGCTCACAGCCTGGTGCTTGTTGTCTTCGCTATTCCCCACAACTCGGAATTAGCTGCCAAACACCTGCCTTTCTATATCGAAAATCTTTTTGCCGTGAGTTCCATCCCTGCTATTATACGAAAGTTGGTTCTAATCGTTAACAGGTTTTCCCCAATAACCTTTCCGCGCGCCAATTCCGTCTTGCTTTCAAGACTGTCATCCAAATTACAGCACCTCCTTCTCCCCTAGCAAATAGCCAGCCCCTTCTCCCTTCCATCTTGCTGGAAGTTGTTCACGACCGTGCTTTAAACGCTTCCTCTACACCGATCCCTCCGCAGGGTCCAAATCCAGACATGAGCCAGAGTCCACCTGTCTCCGAACAGGCTGTCTTGACCCTTGCTCTCCTCGATTCACTTTCATTCCTCCGAGTCGAGGATCTGAAAGAATGGCTCCCCTTAGCAGCACAATTGATCAACACAATTTCCGACCGCAATATGAGACATGCTTGTATTGATCGTTTCTGGGAAGCCCTAGCCGGCGGCGAGATGGATGTTGATCGATCCCACTGCTGTGTTACATGGTGGAGCACTGAAGGTGGGCGTGAGCTTGTCCTTTTCGGCGCCGAGACCGCCCCAAACGAGTCAGATGAGAGTGGACCTTACATGAGTGGCGCGGTTGGAGGAGTCGCGCCCGAAAGTAAGCTATAATGATGCCAATATAAATAGCTTACAGTATTGAAGCTACTACGCCTATGGGTGTGATCACGCCTTATACAATATACCAGACTTCTAATCGATCAAGTCTAGCTCTAGCTCCATACATTTTCACATATACTGATATGAATGGTTTCTTTGTATTTACTCGATTCAATATCCTTGATGCTGTAACGTTTTCCAACTAAATTCCCGGGATACCAACCGGGGTAGCTTTTCTGTACTGAACATACTCGTCGCCAAAGAAGGAGATCAAGTAAGCTTCTTCGCCTGTAGCCGCATAAACCAGTTAGCAAGATATCCAATACACAAAAACCGACGGACAACTTACGCTTAATCCGGCTCGAGAAGAACCGCCACAGCACTAGGGCATATCCAACAAAGCAAACCATATTCCCCAGCACCAGCTGTGTTCCCAGACCCCACCAGAAGAATCCAAAGTAGCTCGGATGTCGCAGATACCGATAAAGACCAGTATTAACCAAAACATGACCCTCCTGATGCTGACTCTGCACATGGTGATTGAAGTTGCTAGCAGCCTGCGCCATAGAAATAGTCCGAATAACCTGTCCGATCAACAGAAGCACAAAGCCTCCGACAAGCAGCAGCGAGACCGAGTTTCCGAAAAACGGCTCCGTCACAGTAACCATCCGCCCAGCAGCAGTCTGCCCGGGCCAGAAAACATGCGACACAAGGCACTCCACAATGGCAGAGCCGTGCGCAATATTATACGCCCATCCGTTCGATGATAGCAGGAACGCGGAGACAGTCGCATACCGCGTGTTGTACTGCGCCGTCACCCAGAACTCCAGGAAGTGGAACAGGCTCAGCGATGCGACGAAGAAGGGCACGCGCCACAGTGGAGTTTGGTACACGGTGCTTAGGAATAATGCCAGGCTTGATGATAGCCCGAGGCTGGTTCCGAGGAGCATTGCGCGCAGCGAGATCCCCGCTAGCGACATCTTGCCGTCTGGGTAGATTGAGGTATCGGGGTTGGGCGCGTCGGTCGACGCATCAGAGGGAGAGGAGGAGGATGCGTTGCTGTTGGTTCGGTCGTGGATTGGAGGTCTGGGTGTGTGGGTGAAGTTCGGGGCTTTGTTTGGCTCTGCGCCGGAGGTTGTTGCGAATGTGTTGGAGTACATTGTCAAAGTGGGGTGTTGGAGGAAACAGACTTCTTGGGGTGTTTATTCGGTGCGAGGATCGGGCATTTTCGAGTGAATTAGTGGAATTTAAATAGTGTGTGCTGGTGAGTGGGTGTCGGGTTTCATTGTCTGAGAACAATCTGAAGACAGTTGTATTGTTTTGTTATCGGCACCCGCGGACCTTTTCCCCGACATGACGCTGGGGGACAGTCCACCCCGGGCCCACATGGCCTTGGCTTTAGGGCTCTGAGACCTCTACGTGTCTTGAATTACAAGCTGGTGCCTGGCTTCGTTGTTTCTCCTCTTTTCGCTTTTTGTATGCGATAGCTATGACCATCACAGCTATGTCGGAAGCTACTGAGAAAGAGAAGATGCTTCGCGGGGAGCTCTACCACGCCTTCACCCCGGACTTGATAGCTGCTCGTGCGCGCTGCAAGTGGGCCTGTAATCGATTCAATAAGTCGGACGAGGTGCCCCGTCGGCGTCTCGTTGAAATGTGGAGAGAGTGAGTGATGCGGTCAGTCTGAGGCTTGGGTTTACTTCAATTTAGAAACATTACTATTTATACTTCATACTAAACCATCATATAGTATCGCCGACGACAAGACCCCTCTGCCACCAAAGCTGGATGACCCCGCAGCTGATGAAGCTCTCTTTGAGAAGGAACCCTGGGTCGAATCTCCTGTCCATATAGACTACGGGTTTAACGTCAAGCTTGGAGCAGGCGTCTTCGTCAACTTTAACTGTGTCTTCGTCGACACATGTCCCATCACAGTTGGGGCTCGTACTTTGTTTGGCCCCAATGTTAGCTTGTTCTCTGGGACTCATCCGCTTGACCCTGCCCTGCGTAATGGCACTGAGGGCCCTGAGACTGGCAAGCCGATTGTTATCGGGGAGGACTGCTGGCTCGGCGGGAATGTGACTGTACTTCCTGGCGTCACTATTGGCAGAGGCGTGACTATTGGAGCTGGGAGTGTGGTTACCAAGGTATGTTGTATGCACCTTCTTATAACTTGATTGTACAATCATGCTGACTGTAGCTCCAGGATGTGCCCGCCTTTCATGTGGCTGCGGGAAACCCAGCTAGGATCATTCGTCGAATTGAAACGACAATGAAAGAGTGATTGACTCTATGTTATTCATTGAGTGATATATATTATAGAGGTACAGAACTTCCTGGTGAGTTGCATATATGGGATATTGGGGGAACAATGAGACTGCGTCTATGTTACATGAACGTCATGCATGCCTGGCCCAAACAACGATATAGAAATGATAAATAACTAAAACTTCTAAAACTTGGACAAATTGAACAGGATTGGTTAGACAATAGACAATGAATGCCAAGAGTCCAGACTCGATGCATAAGACCGCATAAGGGGCTGTGCATTTTTGGGCGCTTTATATTCGCCTTATATATAGCTGGAGTAATAGTGAAGATAGGCAGTCACGTTTGCTACAAACTTCACAGTAATTATGTGCATTATTTTTCTTTTCTTTCTATGTAAACTGCAATATGACAATGTGCAATGCAAATAAGCGACAGTAAATCCCCAGAAGCTTGTGTCGTTGTTAAAAAGAGATCATCCTGTTGGCTCTCTCCACAGAACAACGTCACTGATCCTGGCGCGTCCCCAAAAAAAGCTGTCGACCGCTTTATCTTTTTTTGAGGACTTACCTTTACTTCTCTCCCACTCAATCCTTTTTCTTAAACTCACAACCTTATTTCTCTTCAACCTTCATTATTGCATTACCTTCATTTCACGCGTCGTTTCAACTACCCTGGGTCTACTACGCGCGGAAAATGACATGGCTGTACCCCCGCCAGATAGCTCTTACACCCCACCTCACACTCCCTTGATCGAAGAGTCTCCATTCATCAGCGACTCTATGGAGGATCTTGATCCTCAGGCGACCCGGAAACGTCCGCGTCTCGACAGTGGAAGTCGCGTCAGTCCGACCTTGTCGTTGGATGGAACCTCGCGTACTGCCTCCGTCGCACCTGCCTCCGACATGGATGAGGCCTCGGATTCTGGAAATCCAGCTAACAAAGTCACCATTAACACAAAATCTCCTCCATCTGTCATGGCTCCCGACCTCCCTCCCTCCGACCCTGAGCTCCCCGGTAGCGATCTGGAGCTCCTACCAGATACCGACGTAGCTCCCAATCCCATTTCACTTTCCTCCTCATCCTCCTCACCCCGAAGCCCTGAAATCGAAGTTGCTGAACCGGAAGACATCAATCAAGACCCGAATACCTCAAACTGGAAGTCACTGGGCCAAGTGGTGCGGGATCAAGATGAGCCCGAAGTGATAGAGATCCAAGACATGGCTCCTCTTTTCGACTCGTTCCCCAAAGTACACACTGAGATGACACCCCGAGAGAACTTCAAGGCGCTTGGTGATATGCTTGAACATGGTAATATGGGACTCCACTCAACGAGACTTGGCCATATACTAATTCGGCGAACAGGACACCCACGGGAAGGCACGGCGCTTGTTACAATAAAACAATGGCTTCACACTTGTGCGCGCGATATTGAGCGGCTCACAATCGAGGAATTTGCGTCGGATCTAGATTTCTGGGAATATTTGCCCTCCGTCCTGGACCGTCTTTTGCGCAGACAACAAGACCTGCAATTGGATGCTATTGAAGATCTCTCCGGCTTTTTCGAGCAATATCTTCTCGATTATTCCCGCATCGTCCTTCATCTTGTTCGCTTGGACACCACGCTTCTCAGTGCCGTTGATGAAGATGACGAAGATGTCGAAATTCCTCCAAGCACCTGTCGACGATATCTTCATAGCTTTTCTTGGATGTTCCATGGCAACCAAATTCCCTTTTTCCGGGTCCTGGAAAATCAGTCCCGCACTGGAACTTGCAATCTTTCTGCTCGACTGAAAGCTCAGGTCTCAGCCCCTCCGTTTGATGCACCCGGCGCCCTCGTTCAATACGCTTCGCACCTGCTTGCATTGCTTCCGAAGTGTCCGCAAATCGTCACCATGCTTCCAGCCCCTTTGGTCAACATGCTCGCATTGTTTGAATGCGACACGGAGATTGACCAAAATGGTGGTTCTGATTCTCCCGTTGACCTGTCTGTCGATTCAACCAGCCTTCAGCCTTTTTACGATACCGTTCGAGGAATCGACAAAGTATACAACACGTTTGTCGAAAAGAAGTCGCAACTGGCCACCAGTGAATTGAGCGATAGTCTTCTGAACCCAATTTTCCGCAGCTACCGTTTCCTTTGCTTCGGTTACTCGGAATTTTTGCTTCAACTTGCCCAAGAATTGTCGATCCAAGTACCCGAGGAGGCAGATGCAGAGCAAGCCGCTTTGTGTGTTATTTGGACATGGAAATTCGATACCTTGAAAAGGCAAATCATGGAAGGTCGAATGGAGCTTCGTGTCCACGGCGTTGAAATGATGCAATCGGATTTGGTTAGCATCTGGGGTCAAAATGTATCCCAGAACCGCGAGGGGATCGAATCGCCGTTCCTGAAATACTTGGTTGAATATCTTCGAGAAAACAAGATCCTCGATTATCTTGTGGGCATTGACTCACACCCACAGTTGATCAGCCGCAGCAGTAACATCTTTGGGTTTCTGATCGTGACGGCGAAATACACCGACCATGACACGGATGTTATCTGGAAAACCGTCACCGAGAGCCAAGATGATCGCACTGTCTGTGAGGTCATGTCCATGCTCGCACGAACCTTTGCTATGCATCAGTCGAGGTCTAAGGCGTTGCTCTATGTGTGCTCAAAATTACTTGAGTTTCCCTTGGATCGCTTCGACAGTCGGATAATCGATTTCTGTGAGCAGCTGGTGCCTCGAATGCGCGAACGGCCCGTGGATCGCGATCGGGACTACCGCAACATGTCCGGTGATGAGAATATCGATTCTATTCCACTGAAGCTCTGCATCCGCCTAATCCGGGAGAGCTCGGGGGCGAAGGACCTCCCACTGGAACAAAAGGAACTTATGCAGGGATTTGGAACCGAGCAGCTGGGACAGTTCATCAAGGCTGGACTCAACGAAACCGACATGGCAGAGACATATGAGCGCTGCATTCAAGACATTGGAGAGATGAATGAATGCACTGCGGGCAGCATCCAAGTTTTGAATGCACTAGTACCCCGTGATGATGCACGAGAACTTTGGAAACTTGCGACTGATTTCGACTTGACGCGCTTGGTGATAATCGAACTTCACCATCTCGTTACTCAAGACCACGCTAAGCTCAAGGATCCGTCTGCCAAACACGGCTTTTCCTCGCGGGTGGAAATCCTGCGGCGTCTTATTGATCTGGCCCCAGAGACTATCACACCTGATCTCGGGAATACGCTCTGGAAGGAGATTTTCATGTCCGAGAACCTGACTCCCGAGGAGCGTCAAACGATTTGGAAAATGATGGTTGATCTCACCAACCGTACCATCAAAGAGAACCCGTTTCTCGAACTATGCACCCATGAGTATCTACCAGCTGTGCTTCCAAAGGACTACTCGCGCGAGGTGTTATGGTTCGCTCAACAGTCGGTTCACTACGAGATTCGAATCAAATCACCTCCCATTGTCGGGGAAAATGAAGTCATATCTATTCCTGGAATGGATCGAATCTGGAACTTCATACTGACGGCACCCCCACAATCGATCGAAGCCGAGGCCATCAAGTTCGCTATCGATAGCTATCTGGACCACGGTATTGTTCGCAGATCCCCCCGATCGGCTATCGACGCTACTCATATTGCTCTTGTCAATCGCTGCGTGGACCAACTGAAGTCTGCCGCTGTCGCGTTGAAACCATCTTGCAATGGAACAGCCGATGACGATGTTTCTATGGATATCGGCAATTCCAATGGCGATGTCGGAACCGATGAACTTATGTTCAGCCGGTCTTTACATTTCCTTCGTCAATTACTCCATGGATTGCGAACTCGGCCGCAGTATAGCTCACCTCGTGGCTCTCCGCCTACCCTCCCGGAACGTCCCCTGAAAGGCGAACCCATTGAATTTCGATATCAATGTTTCAATGGCGCTTCCATGTCCAAAATCTGTTCAAAGCGCATTGGTGGTCTCTCCACGGCTGCCGAGCTTGTGGAAATGCTCGTGCAACTGAGTCGATTCTCTAAGTTTACTGCTATACTCGGTGGACAGAAGGTCGAGTTGCTGCAAGATCCAGAGGCACTTGTGAAAGACTTAAAGCTCTCTTCAGGTTTACTCATTCTTCGAAAGGCCCCCGATGCCCATGAAATAACGTGGTCTGGGAGACGGCAGTCTCTGACAGCAGTGGACAACGAAGTGCTGAAGCACTTCGACGAGCTGTATGATATGCTTGACCTCAAGGATGATTTGGCTCGACAGGTATGATCCCGTCGGCTCTTCTATTTTAGCTGAACCGACACTTACACTTTGCAGATAATTGACTTCCTGGTTGTCTTCCCGCCTCAAGTGCGGGCCCTCGAACTTGTTCGATCCAACAACAATACCGAGAAAGACATGTTCCCGTTGCAAAGACCCTTCAAGGCCTTGTACTCCTTGAATACATTGTCAATGTGTCTCCACGAGGAGGCTGCAGAGGTGAGTTGGTCGCTTTTGATTTGAACGATATTCGTGCTAAATATCGTTACAGATGTCTCCAGACCAAGCTTTTGTGTCTCATAGCAACCGGGTTTTGGTTGCGTTCCTCACGTCAGATGAATTGTTCAGCTCTCTCTCCGGTAACTCGATAACCACTGTCCTCGCCACTAGAGCCATCGAATGCCTTCTGCTGGCTATATCTGGTATGTCGAATATTAATCATTGTTCAGCCAATGGGCCTTAACTAATTGTGACCTAGTCTATCGCCCGACTGATGATGAGTCCGTTCTTATTACCGATCCAATGTCTTTGGTCCGACGCGTTCTTGACCTGCTTGAAATTGGCCGCACCGGTCCCACAGATCCACCGGTTGGTACATGCGCCCAAAGTTTGATTTGCAATTCTTTTGCGGTCCTAGTCGAGGGCTCATTGCGCGACCTTAACGTCTGGAACGCCGTTAAACAGCATGCGGAGTTTGATGGCTTGATCCTATCTCTACTCCTGGAAGAAGAGCGGAAGCCAATCCGGACTGATATTTTGGAACGCTTGAAGATAATCTGTGGCCCGCTGAAACCGTTTAAGCTGTCAATGAAAAAGCCCGATACGGAATCTCCTACTGCGGAAAATCCCAACCGGATCGACATGCTTGCCACTATTTGGTCTTCATTTTTGCAAGTGATCCCCAAGACCATTGAACATGTTCCCCAGTCGGAAGAGTTCTTCCACGCTGCTTTATGGATGTTCCGCACAGTCGCACAGAAATCGCCTCTGGACTTGATATTCAACGAGTATCTTCAACAATGGAGTGCAGTTATGCTCACTCACCAAACAGAAGAGGTATGTATCTTCATCCCCAAAGACAGCTAAATACTGTTTACTAATGATTTGTAGTTTGTTGGGCGTGAGCCGGCAGATAATTTGATCATCGGGTTTTCTGCTTTGTTAGAATGGTGTCTGGAATTGGCCAACGCCGCGGGCGTTACTTTGGTCACTTTGTACGTCACACTTCTCTGTCTGATCAAGTCTGCAGACATCTAACTGGGGGTTTAGGAACATCGCCGAGGAAATATTCAACAAGTACCTGTTCCCAGATTTCTCTCCAGACACGGTGGAACATGCAGTCCCTCAGGTTCCAGTCATGCACAGCTACACTCGATCGAGTCTTTACAATCTTGTGAGCTTGTTGTGCAAGCAGAGCGATGAGACTTATTGTCAAGTTTTGGAGCTCCTCAACACAAATGTTCCACGAGGTTCGCATCCCTGATTCATGCCTACTGCAGTTTATTTTCACATCAAACTAACTGCAACCCTAGACTCCCATTATCTGGAATATGCCTACAATAGATCGCTAATGCTCCGGTCCCCGGAAGGCTATGCGGGCCTCAAGAATCTCTCGAACACATGTTACTTGAACTCCCTCATGACCCAGCTTTTCATGAATATTGAGTTCCGAGACTTTATCCTGAATCTCCCCATTGCTGATCGGATATCTCAAAAGCTACTCTATGAAACCCAGCGCCTGTTTACATGGATGCAGGAGACTTGGAGCAAGAGCATTGAACCCTCAGACTTTGTGAAAAGCATTCTCACATACGACAACGAGGAGATTGATGTGACCGTCCAGATGGACGTTGATGAGTTCTACAACCTTCTCTTTGACCGCTGGGAGGCTCAGGTTCTCGATACCGAAAAGAAGAAGACGTTCCGGTCTTTCTATGGAGGGCAGCTTGTTCAGCAAATCAAGTCAATGGAATGCGATCATATCTCGGAAAGACTAGAGCCATTCTCTGCGATTCAGTGCGAGATCAAGGGGAAAGCGACTCTTGAAGACAGTTTGCGGGCCTACGTGGCAGGGGAGGTGATGCAGGGAGGTGAGCTAATACTGCGCCCTTGAGGGAGCTCCAATTCTAACGAGCTTTCAGACAACAAATACTCTTGTACCTCATGTGGCCGGCATGTAGATGCTGTGAAGCGGTGAGTGACAATGACATAGTGACACAGACAGATTTCCTGACTCCTATTTAGTGCTTGTCTGAAAGATGTTCCTGACAATTTGATCTTCCACCTGAAGCGGTTTGACTTCGACATGGTGCACATGCTGAGAAGCAAGATTAATGACGAGTTCCAATTCCCTCACCACATCGACATGACTCCCTACACGGTCGAGCATCTCTCTGACCCGGAGCAGAAAATTGCACCGGATATCTTTGAACTGGTTGGGGTTCTTGTGCACACTGGTACGGCCGAATCGGGCCACTACTACTCATATACCCTTGAACGTCCCTCGTCTGGCGGCGAAGCAAATTGGGTCGAGTTCAACGACTCCGATGTCGGCAAATTCGACCCTAGCACAATCGCAGGTCAATGCTTTGGTGGTCCGAGTGAGACGATGCAGTACATGAATGGAGCACCTAAGAACAAAGTGTGGAATGCATACATGTTGTTCTACCAACGCGTGTCCACGATCGAGAAGTCCAAAGAAATCTTCAAGCCAACGAAGCCCAACCTCCCTATACACCTCCCGGTATCAATTTCGACCCAGAACTACATTGCCATGGACAACGAAATGCTCATTCGGATTTACTGTCTTCTGGACCCACAATACGCATACTTCGTGGGCAGATTGCTTCAGCGGTGGCCCGACATGGCAACAGAAAATGTCAACAAGACTAGGGCAGAGTCATTGGCCATCAATGTCGGAATGGACACCATTGAACAATTGGTTACGCGTACTAAGCATTACCAAGGACACCAGGAGGTTTACAGCGAACTCGTCGACATGATCAACAAAAGCCCCAATGCGGCTCAATCGGCTCTTGAGTGGGTTATTAATCGGCCAACCTCAATTTACAATCTTATGATCAAGACGCAGAACCCGGAAATCCGAAGCAAGGGAATTTCGCTTGTCAATTATGCCCTAAACCATCTCCACTTGATGTCCACAAGCCAGGATCTCGATGAAGATGAACGGATCTCATGGCGCGACCGATTCGATGAAGCCATTCAGCAGATTGTGCCCATGGTGACAGCTCTCTGGACCGACGTTCAATCCCTTTTGCGAATTTGGGATGACTACTTTGGCATCTTATTGAAGTTTTGCAACTATGGCCCAGAGATCATCCAGGTCTTACTCGACCAAGGTCATTTTGCTGCCTGTCTGGAGATTCTCTGGATCGATGAGGACGATACGAAGAAGCTGCGGATCCGGTATCCCAATTATGTGCGCCTCTTGAACAAAGGACGTCGGTTCAACCATCTGATTTTGCTGTCATTGTGCTTGGTCTTTCTCAAGCACGTTGACCTTTCGCTCCGTCCAACTCCCATTGGTGGACAACGGCGGTTTTTGAATGGCAAGTTCTCAACCAGCGCCAGAGAAACGGAACTCATCAAGGACGTTGAGAATGATGGGTCTTTGTCTATCTTGCTGAAGCTTCTGAAGCATGAGACTCTTTCGAGGAGCCAGACTACACGCGCGTTCATTGGAGTTCTGTTAGACGGGGAGCCTGACGCAGGTTTGTTGGATGCGATTCAACTGACACTGGAGAATGGCGTCAGACTCGAACCCGCCATCATGTGCACGCCATTCCTGGAGGCAGCCACAACGTTCTGCCAGCGTTGTCCGGAAAAGAGGCGAGTCATGCACATGATCGACTTCATTGCCAAGGGGGTCGAGAGCATTGACAACAGCGGCGGCCTGGAGCATATTGACTTCTTCATGTGTCTCTGTCGCGGTAATAACGAGCGGCTAAATATGGACTCCGCTAATTTTACTGAGGTTGTTCTTGACAATATCTCGGTCTGGGCCCCGACTTTGCTCATTGATAAGGACGAGACTGTCCGTCGCCATATGCAGAATATCCTCGACGAGATGATCTTCTACGATAAGATCGTGGAGGACAACGCAGAGGACTCTGGACAGAATGGCGAAGGGCAGACCATTATCACACCAGAGCGGCGCCATAGCATTTGTCGTCGGCTGCTGAACGCATGCATCGAGCGGCTCAAGTCAGCATTCCTGACCGAACAGCTCAGTCATATTGACGCCAGACTGCTTGAGAACATTACCCCGGTGATCAACTATTGTTTGGCAACTTTTTATGACGACTCTGAGACGGACCAGCAAGAAGTTCAACAGGCCAATGGTATGTTTAACTGTATACACTTAGGGTTCTCTCAGCCCCACTAATACGATCCTCTCAGAACTCCTCTCCCTCCTTAAATCGATGTCGCTCGAAGAAGTCCCTGATGACCCGCCTTCCGGTATGCTTCAATCTCTATCCCTCCTGAACGGCCCTGGAACATCATCTAACCCGATCTCCCTAGAATCGGACATGGCCTCAGTTGAGGAATGGGACGCAAACTCAGCGATCGCATCTGATTCCGAAATGGGGGTCGCTGGATCTCCTTAGACAATGACCTTTCCCGCTGCAATGTGCTTTATGTTGTGTTTCTTTTCCATGCGTTTTTGCGATGTCAACGGATTCAGCGAGCACTATGTGTGCATGTGATTCAAGGCAAATTCTCATACCTCACGGATTTTACGAATTCTTGCTGTTGTTTTTTTTCCCCCTTACGATGATTGTGGTTGTTACTGGCGTTTTCTTTTGCTCATGATGAGCCGGAGTAGGATTTATTTCTACGAAGGGTGACTTTGGACGGACAGGTCATCTACATGCATTTCGCAAGCCTATTTCCGAGCATTGAAATGAAAGAGTTTCTGGTCTCGAGACCTTAAGTCTTTTGAGTGGATTTTATTTAACAAAGTTCGTAGCGCATTATTGTTCATTTCGTTCAATGACGGACTAACACGTATCTTTATTTTGTTTGATTAACCCTCTTGCTCTCCGCCGGCTGGGGCATCGCCCTCATCTTCTGATTCAACCTCCACGGCAGCAAGTGCATCCTGCTGAGCGCGCGGAGCGCCACGAGACCTATTACCAGCTTTGGGGCTGCTGGGGTCAGCAGTGGTAGGTGCAGTTGCGAGTTTAGCCGCTGGAATGCCACCAGAAGTAACATAGAGGAAGTAACCCGCAGGGAAGTGATCGATATGGTTGAAGAAAGAACCAAAGCTGTAGTCAAAGTCAGTATTGTTACCTCAATGCGAAATCAAACGTGGGGATTGATTGGAAAAATATCATACCCGGCACTTTGCTCCTCCTCCCGGAAAATCCGATCATAGATCTCCCGCTGCTTGAACTCATTCATCTCCGCCTCGAATTTCTGGAAATTGAGCGGCTGACGGTCAAGACCCTGTGCCTTGTTATTGTAAGCATCAAAAATAGGCCGCTCAAGCAAGAGGCCCAACCCAGGCGCTTTGGGAATAGCAATACGCTCCCGGCCATAGGTCTCGGTGATCCGGTCTGGATGGCAGCCCGAGCGCACAACCATTGTAGCCATGGCGACCATCTTGCGGATCTGGTGCATCATGAAACTCTGCCCGTGGACCTTCAGGCTTAGCCATTCGGTGCCATCGATGATAATCGGCGTGGTGTTCGCCTTGAATGACTTGATGTGTCGTTTGGCTGAGGGGTCGTTGTGCGTCTTCTGGATCGTGTAGTTGTGGAAGTTCTTCGTGCCTACGTAGCGGTCGAGACATTCTTGCAGGCGGGCGATGCGTGAAGCGGGCGCGCGGTAGTCTCGTTTCGCGGTCAGGTATGCTGCTTTGATGGCCTTGATGGCGTCGATGATGGCTCTTTGGCGGGGGTCCATGACGAAGGGTTTTTGGGCCTCTCCGTTAGCAGGTTGTTCGGTCACGGGCTGTTCGCTGGTCTCCTGCTTCGCGGGTTCCTCGGCTGCCGCGGAAACAACCCCCTTCTCTTCTGCGGGTTGGAGTGCATCGCGGGATTCGTCTTGGTAGAGAGACTTCTCGACGACGCTGCGGATGTCTTCCGGAAGGGTTTCTAAGATCGGCTTGATGTACTTCTCATCAACGTCTTCCCAATAGCTTGCGACCTCTTCCTGTCGAGCTGTGACGGCATCCAACTCGCCTGCCTTGTCGGCAAACTCGATGATCTTCTTTCCAAGATAGGTGCTTGGGTGAGGCGGAAGCAGGCAGTGACTTGGCAACAAATATTCGTAAACTCGGGAATCGCACATCTGGTAGCAGCTGAAACTTTTGCTGGTCACTTCGTAGCCCCAGACACGGATTTGGGGGCTGAGCTCGGCGTTGATTCTCTGAATGATATCCTCATCTTCGACGATCATCTTCAGCGACACAACATTTCCAGCTGCGTGGACACCCTTATCTGTGCGGGCACAACGGACGAAAGATGATTTCTTGGGATCCGCCGCATTCGCCTTGGAAACTGCGCCGACGTTGACGAGGGCCGTGAATAGATCACCTTCAATGGTGCGTTGCCGCTCGTTCCTATACCGTATCTTGTCAGCACAACGAATGATCATACACTGAACAAGAAAATGCTTACAACTGCATCCCGGAGTATCCAGTCCCCGAGTATCCCATGAGAAGCGCAACCTTCTTTTTGGGGCGGCGCTCTTCGCTGTCGATCTCCTCCTTGGAGAACTGGGTCGCGTAGATCGGCAAGTTGACGTCTTCGCCGTTCTCGATCTTGCGACGCTTGGCTTCGGCCTTGTCTTCATGACGCTGTCGCTTATCTATCGCTTGGCGACTTAATTAGTTAGCCGATAATGCGAAGAACGGGAGGGTGCAATTGATGCGCCATACCTCCATTCCGCTCGCCCCATATCGCGGTTCTTACGCCTTCCACCACCTCCGCCTCCTGCTCCTTTGTTGTCGGCCATTGTATCCGTTGGAAGACTTCTGATAGCTCCGCACGAGGTGCAGACGGGTCGCGCGAGAAAGAACGGTAAAATTGACGACTAACAGCGTGGTTCTGGATGTTTTGAGGGAGCGATCGAATCGGAATTGAGCTTATGGGTGCAGTTAGGATCCTAGACAGGTTCCGCTGGCGAATGATCGAGGCACGCATGAAATCAATGTTTCGGGGAAATTTGCCCTTCGACTCCGCGCAGTTACATCTTTTCCATGATCTCGGTACTAGGCCTAAAATGGCTTAGTGTATGGATAAATAACACTAGCCGGATCTGGTCGCATTTACACCTGAGGAATCAACTTTGCATGTGACGTGAAGCTCTGGGCTTTGAACCGGAATTGCGACGCTCATTGTTCACTCAATCAAATAGCTCGGCGTTGCCTGTCGCTCAAGCGCAACTCTCACTTCTGTCGTGGACCCCCTCACTCCTTTCGCTGCGTTTGATCAACGCATGCTTGTCTCGTCCAATATCTGAACACTGCGACTTATCGCCTTGCGCCCCAGTTGAATTCTCTCCCGGCCTTCTTCCAGATCACCATCTTTTGCTCCGGAGCCTCTGCAACCATGGAACTTTCAAAGACGCTTATCCGAACTGTGGCACGTGCCTTTTACGAGACCCGTCACATCTTGGTCGTCGATGCGCTCTTCCTACATTCAGTGTATGATGAGAGTTGATCTCTGTTGATTGGTCACCTTACTGACCAGATACAGCCTTCACGCTGAGGATCTCGCCTTTTTGATGGGAATGCAACAGAAAGATCTTCGCAAGCTTTGCGCTAAGCTCAGAGAGGATCGTTTGATCGGAGTGTATGTCACTTATCCCTGATGTGATCCACAACAAAGGGTTGAAAACATAAAGCTGATTCAGTTCTATGTTGACTATAGGAGCACACGCGCCGAGATACGTGATGGATCTACTCGCCCAGTCAACCGCGAATACTATTACATCCCCCTACATCCGGTTGTCGATGCGATCAAATTCAAAGTCTCCAAGTTGACAGCCATCATCAAGTCGCAGTACACACCGAGCGAGGAGCGCAAGGAATACATTTGCATACGATGCAAATCGGAGTGGACCGAACTGGACGTACTGAGTCTGGTTGGAGACGAAGGGTTCGAATGTCAAAATTGCGGCGCCATCCTGGAACGGACGGAGGATGTCAAGGGCGCAGAAGGGATGGACCGTACGGGCCACGAGAAAAACAGTAAGCTTATGGCACAGCTCGACAACATGCTCAAACTGCTCAAGCAGATTGATTCGGTCGAAATCCCGCCGAATGACTTTGAAACAGCGTGGGATCACAAGGTGGAGGTTATCCGAAACCAGAACACACACCCCGTCCGCGCCGCGATTGCTGTTCCACCCAAGGCCCAGGATATCACACGTCCCAATGCCAAGACGGATGCCGCTGCACTGGAGATCTCTCTCACCTCAAGTGAAGAGAAGAGTGCCGCCGAACAGGCTGATGAGGCCGCTCGCAAAGCAGCACTTGAAAAGCAAAACGCACTTCCGGTTTGGCACACACATTCTACGGTTAATGCAGCCCAGGCTGGCAGTTCCCAGGTGAAGACCGAGGTGGGCACTGTGGTGAAGCCTGAGCTCGCGGATGAGGACCAAAAACCCAGTGTGGATGCCCTGGACGACAAAGTCGCCGCCTACTACGCTGAAATGGAGCGCGAGAAGGCACTGCAAGCTCAAGCAGATGCCAGCAGTGCAGACGATGACTCAGACGAGGAAGACTTTGAAGACGTTGAGGGAATCTCCGGGCCAAGCGGACCGGGTACGCCCGCCATGGCTGGTGGCGTTACAAGTGTCCCTACTACATCTTCTGGGGGTGCTGGCATCAAGCGTGAACTCGAACCGGTTTCCAGTGCCCCTCCATCCTCTGTTGGGACTCCGTCTACTCCTGCCGATGATGGACCTGCGGCAAAGAAAATCAAGGTCGAACCTGATATCAAGCCTGATCCTGATGCCAAAATTGAGGCCGAGGTCAAGAAGGAGGCTGAGGAGTCTGATGAGGACGATGAGGAATTTGAAGATGTATAATGAAACCATTAAAAAAAGCCAACATTGGCGCTGGCGCCGAATAATTATGGCAGACTGGGGAGCCCTGGAGGCTTACAATCGCACCAAAATCCCGCATAGCCATAGCATTGCATTTTACCCAATCTTCAAGACTCCACGAGAAGACACTTGAGAATCAAATTATGTTGACAAAATTGATCGCAAAGAGCACAGAAAATTAACAAAGCAAGCACACTAGATTTTAGCCTTCATTAAATCCTGATAGTAGAGCTTGATGATTCGTCGTGTACTCTCATCACTCTCAGCAATATGGTTCATCACGGAGTAGACGTCCTCCGTTCGACTTCGCAACTGTTCTCTAAAATTGTCGTTTGTGAACAATTGCAGCTCTTTACAGCTTTCCATCAAAGGGTGCCAGCTAAGAGCCACAGTCTTGTCTTCATAAAATTCGAAAGAAGTGCCGAAGAGTACATAGAACTGAGCCAGGAGATGCTGCTCACGGGACTTCCAGTCCAGGTCTTTCCAATTCAAATCAATATCCCCAGGCCTGCGACGTCGCGAAACCGCCGAGTTCCACCACTCTATGAATTGATGCCGTGCTCGTTTCCCACTAACTGCATGAACACAGCCCTTGGTTCCCATAGCCAAATGGGCGAGCAAACGATCAACAACCACGTCGACTGGAACCTCGTCAGCAGATATTTGTGAACTTTGTGCTGCTTTCGTTGCAATAGTGGCCATGCCACCGGGCATCAGTGCAATCACAGCAGCAACGATCGTCACTGGGCTTGATAGAGGCAAGTTGTAACCAGGAATAGGAAAACTCTGGGCCGGTCCGAGGATAGAAGGACGCACAATAAGCACTTTGTCCTTGACACCTCTCTGAGTGAATCGATGCAGAAGAAGTCGCTCTGTCAGGTTCTTTGCGTATGCGTAAGACCATGGGAAGTCATGGGCTTCATAGGCATCACTAGAACCAGTCTCTTGCACTTGTGCCCACTCTTTCATGACGTTTGGATGATGATTGGGATCATAGATGTCTTCCTTGATCTCGACTTCGATGCCTTCGCCAGTTGGAGGTAGGTAGCTGTTGGAATATGCAGTCGAGACATAAACGAAACGATCCAAATTCGGGCAGGTCAGAGCGATGTCTGCCATCCTTTCACTGGCTGTGGTAATCACCTCTGATAGTCCGTCGAGAGACTTGGCAAGATTTATAGAGGATGCCGAGTGAATGATAACATTGACCTCCTGTCGAAGTGTGCTTAATTCGTCCTGGGAAAGCCCGAGGTCGGGGGAGAGGATGTCACCATCCATGACCGTGATGCGATTGGTGCTAAGAAGTTTTTCGACTGTTGCCGATGATAGCGATTCTGTCCATTTTGATCGAAGTTTCCTATAGTTCGAGTCATTTTATTTCTCCCAAGGTTTGCGTCTGAGAATGAACTGACCCTATATCTCCTCTGCAAAGCATATATACGTGACCCACAGATGCCTGCGTGAGCAGGCGATATACAATCGCAGTCCCCAGGAAACCAGTTCCGCCCGTGATGAAGATGGTCTTGTCATTGTAGTAGTCCCACATTTTGGATATGAAATCAGATATCGTACAGAAACTTGTAGATGTAGACGGTATTTATCTAACTCATTACTTTTGACCTTCCTTGGATTTTAGGTTTAGGACGTCATGTCGATTCACCTACATGGCCATATTCTATAGCCCTCACCCATGCAACATTCTCACGAGACTGGTAAACTTACGGTGTGTATGGGCGACGAACTGTGCAAGGCAGAACTTTGGTATTGGTCAATATTGAGTTGCTACTTGTCCTGAGTTTGTCAATGTACAACGTAGATATATGACTATCACTTATTTAAATTTTTTGGGAAGGATAATTGTAGAGTTTATATATAATCTATCAATCAATTAAAAGAGATATCATTTCGTATAGATTAGGTAAACTGAAGGTCGATAAGTAGGGTCGATTCCTAACGTAGGTGGTACAATTATGTCACTGCATATGTTGTACTACCTAGGTACATATGTATGTACAATATCGCCCCCAGGGTTCTGGTGCCCCGGCATACGAGTCCTCATGAAAAGGGGGTGAATAGTACCTACGTCATATTTTGCCGGTAATAGCCAACAAGACCAAAGTCCCTGGTGGCACAGTTCGTGTGGAGCAAATGCCGATTAGAATATTCTCCCTTGTATCTATGGATATTCCCAGAAATATCCTCGATCTGTAGCCGTGCTGACCAGAAACTTGATCTTTGACTAAGATCAACACAGGAGACTGGTTGGATCATCGTGGGTGCCTTCGGATTAGCTTTCAATACTGTTGAATGAAGTCATGTCTCTCATCCAAAGAGGAGAATGGCCATGATACGCGTCACCCGCGGAATGACCGAGGTATACTCTAGGGCCTCTGGCGCGTCTGTGGGAATTAGGCTTTGGTTTACCGGATAGACCATAAACGGTATACCGATACTTCTTGCAGAGTTGATGTTGTGTAACAGTCGATACACGAAGATCGAGAAGTATACTAGCACCAGTGCGCCGATGATGCCGACGTACACGGGAATCGTCTGAATTTGAGACCACGCAAAGCCGGCCTAGCAGAGATAACGTGATAACGTAAGAAAAAGAGAGGATTCAACACTAAAAGATGCACCTCGGGCAAAGTATACGAGCGCTAAGGCGTGAAAACACTTGGTGTATGGGGCGGCACTTCGTATAAGGGTCTGTTCTATGTGAACCACCAGGCACAATATTGAATAGAACCCACTACGAAGTATGGCTTATGATAGGTCCAACCTCTACTTATAGCGGCCTCACTTTCAATATAGTTAGTTACAGCCATACAGAGAAAGGGAGTGTAGTCAGAGTGCGGCCGGTCATGAGTGCTACTGTGTCTATTCCTTGGCTGAAAACAGCTACCCAAGCAAATCTAAGCAAAGTCGAAGATATTTCCGTGCTTTTCCAGATTGAGACTGTTATACGACCTGAAATAATCATCTACTTTGTATTCGGCTAATGACTTCGGAGATATTAGAATGAGATAGGGTTCCATTCTAGGGCTTCTATTCTACCCAATGCCCCTCTTCAAGGAATTTTCTCTACCAGTTAGGGCTAACATTATCAAAAATGACATGCACAAAAATAATCTTCTTGCGGCATTTTACAATTACATTAGGGTCTCGACTCAGAGCTGACAGTCCCGGCATTGTATCGTCGACAATGGCGTTTATTTCAGCCATCGGGGACGCCGTGAGCTCTGAATCAGCCACGATTTCGCACAACGCCCATGCTATCATATTAATTACCCCGGACATCAGCCTGACAATAGCCACCGGATGACAGTCTGCGAATCTCTCTTGAGGGGTCTCGAGAGATTCGTAGAGAGAAGGGAGTCGTGCGAAGAGTGTTGTCCCTTGAGTCATAATCCCGAATATTTGGTAGATTTCTAAGCTCGCCCTTAAAGGGCTTCGATAATTCTCGTTTGAAAACACTGGTATCGAGATCAGTGAGGAACTTTTTCCTAGTAGGCATAAGGCCCATAGAAGGTCCAACAGCAATATACGGACTTCAAGCTTAGGTGATGCATACCCCCGAACCACTTGATATTAGGTAGGTCTAGGGGGTTAACCAAATGAATTCCAATTCAGAATCTTCGGGGTTTGTATCGGCGAGCGTTGGGTTGCACCGGCGCACTTTCGTGTAAGTCAACGGACACGACTGATTGGAGGGTTCTTTGCGTACGATAGTGAGGAAATATACAAATTTGAGCCTTTAGTTGCAAGTTGAAATGCAGTCGGTATGCCCCAATGAAGGGGGAATAAGATAAACAAAGAGGTAGGGAAGAAGGAGTGCTCGCTGATACTTTTGACCATAGACTGAGACTGATTATAACACAAAGAAGCCATGCAGTTCCCAGATAACGATGTAGTAACTCTTGCGGCCCTCGCTGCATATTGCTACCTCTATGGCGTAAAGGAACACTATATCATGGTTTGACTAAACAATGAGATTCTTACGTCTCAATTTAGACATCCCAGGAGTCATGGCGATGCTTTTGGCAAAATGGTGAGCCGGGTACATTTTCACTCAATCTCGGAGTTTCTTATGTTTTGTTTGAGCTATATATATCAACCTTGGAAGTCCTGTCTTTCCATCATTTGGCTTTGCTGGCATAGAAAAAAGTCTCAGTAAAACACGATGGCAGCTACACTATTCTGCCTATTTTTATTAGCAGCTGCCAGTCTTTATGGCTTGGGTCGAGTTATATACAATGTGTTCTTCCACCCACTGCGAAAATTCCCTGGGCCTTGGATGGCTGGGGCCACGTCGAGTTGGAAAGCATACAAGGAAGTTATTAAGCAAGAGTCGGCGGTTCATGAGCTCTTTCATCTCCATAAGAAATATGGTATGAAGAAATTGCGATTATGAGACATTGTTTAACATTCCTAACAGGTGATATTGTCCGCGTTGCCCCGAACGAGGTGAGTTGTCAGAAATCCAACAGTCTACACTTCCCTCTCTGGTTATAAGGCTCAAACAGGCCTATCACTCACCTCTCACAGCTCCATTTCGGAAGCCCAGGTGCGTTCCACGATATCTACCATAGCAGCAAAAGGTGGGACAAGGATACGGGTCTTTACCGAACTCCCGGGGTTTCATCCGGGTCATTCACATTTTTGAAGTATGCTCAGGCAAAGGAACGACGGGAGGTGATTCTTCCCATTTTCTCCAAGAAAGCCATTAATAGTCTTGAACATCTCGTCTGGCGAAACGTAAGTAGTGTATTGCTTTATTTCCTTTTGCTGCCAACCTATATATCTTAACCATTGCTAAATCGCCAGTTCCCAAACAGGCAAACCGCCTTGCATCTTCCATCGCCAAAACCAATGCATCAAAAAGTTCCATCGACCTGCTCTATGCATTTCGATCCTACACTCTTGACACCATAATGTGCTTCACATTCGGCAACTGCGTAAACGCCCTCGATGCGCCGGCATTCAGCGACCCTCTGATTCTAGCCATGGATGCTAGCCTTCGTATGCTGCCCCTCATGAAAAATTTCCCCATGATCCGAGACCTTATCTTCGCTGTGCCGCCGGCCTTGGTCATGCGTCTCATTCCCAACGCTCAAAAACTAGCCCCACGGCTGTACCAGGTCCGGGATCTCGTTCAGAAACAGCTCCAAGTCGTCTTAAACTGCCCTTCAAAGCTCGATACCGTGCCCCACCAGACCCTCTTCCACCGCATGCTCGACGCTGAATCATACCGAAGCAAAGAGGTCCTGAATCTAACAGATCTACACGACGAAGGCTTCACACTCATCTTCGCGGGCGCCAACACAGTAGCCGACACGCTGCTCATGGGCCACTGGCACGCAATGCAGAACCAAACCCTGCTAACCCAACTGAGAACTGAGCTCCTGACCGTCTGGCCAGATGTCGAAAAGCAGCCATCCCTAACAGATCTCGAGAACCTACCCCTCCTCACGGCAACGATCAAAGAATCCCTCCGGTTTATTCCGTCCGGCGTATCGCTAACACGCGTTGTTCCCCCAGGAGGCGCAGTGATATCAGGGAAGCATATCCCCGGCGGTACGGTAGTCGGAATGGCTATTTTGCACGTGCATCAGAGCGCAGAAGTGTGGGGTACGGATGCGCTTGTATTCCGACCGGAACGTTGGCTGCAGAGCGTGGAGCAAGAAAATGCCCGGAACGGGAAGAGTGAATTGGATCACTGGCTCGTTCCGTTCAGTCGGGGGCCGCGCATGTGCTTTGGTATGAACTTGGCCTGGGCGGAGATGTACATCGCTTTTGCCACTATGATAAGGCACTTTGACTTGACTATTGACGGCACGACGGAAGAGGATATGCAATGGCGGGAGTGCATTGCGGCGTACTATCCTAATAGACACTTGCATGCGTGGTGTCGCCCGGTTAGGTCTGGGAAGATGAAGTAAAGAAGAGGTGGTGTTTATATAGCTTTGTGGTATGAGACACACATTTTAGTGTCCCTAGACAAGCAGGGATCGTAATTGGGGCTTGGGAAACCGGAGATCATACCAGAGAGATAGGTAATAGGTATTATCGTGCAGTTTTGAAGATAAAAACTATTCTACGTACACGAAGGACATATATTTGCTTTGAGACATAGGCTGTGATTAAAGGCCTGAAGTAGCCGGTTCTCCCTAAAAATCAGACTTGTAGATAAACCCCCCTAAACGTACACTTAACCACGATAGAGGATATGTACTCACTGTATGATCTCTATCCCCGATGCAATTGGCAAGGTTGCTGTCATCAACAGCTTCCACCTGGGCAACTAGGCAAGGTTCCTTGCCCGCTAATGCAATTTGGAAGTTATGCTGGCATTTAGAGTCATCCTTGGTCAATGGCGAGATGACAGGCTCATTAACAAAAAATGAGCTTCCAATAGGTTTACTACGTGTGTAACCGACTTGTGCTTTCACTCCCGGGTCTACTGGCGTCTTGTTCATCAAAAATGCCCTAGAATACAGTCAAGGGTAATTCTGATCACTCTCGGGGGAAAAGACAGTAAAAGCATCAAGGGCTATTATAAAGTCCGATGGACTGATTTGTGATGTTTTACACTCTCGGTGTCACCGAGTACGGAGTACTCCGTATAGAGTCACATAACGCAACCCAATATAGCCTTTGTATGTAGGCTGATATATTTAAATTATCAAGAGATCTTACTTTGATAAGCTGGGACTATCGAAGTTCTTTTAAGAGCGATGTTCACTTTGGTCGCTTGATGATTTGGGTGTACGTCTGCCTTCTAGCTGTAGCTCCTGTTCGAATATCAGGCCCAGTAGTTTGCCAGTGATGGATGATTCCACCGTCTTCCTGTTCATTATGATTTGGCCGAAGACTGGGTGAGGTGGGTGAGTTCCGATTTCTCCGCAGCAACATATGGTTCTTCGGCCTAGGAGTAGACTCTCTTTGGGGCTGTAACTCTATGAAATCCATTTCATGAGATCCATCTAGACATCGTGCCCCAACATCATGGCACACTTGGCAGATATCGAAGTCCCCTCCATAACAAGTATCGCAATGGTAGGAAGTCTCCCCCTCCCTCATATAAACCATGCAAACATCACACAATATTGTCGTGTTCTCAACCACTGAGTCAATCGTCAATTGAGACATTGTCTCAGAAAATGTCTTTAGGACTTTCACAACACCAAATCTCTTTCGCATTATAGAATCGGATAGTGCTGTGCGACCAAACTTATCTCGAGCCTCGCAATCAACACCGTCACTTTTCAGTAGTGTGAGAACTGATTGTAAATGACTGCGGATTGCAGCAACATGTAGAGGTGTTCGGCCATATCGATCGGGTTGATGGATGTTCCTGATCTTGGTCGAAGTAAAAAGAGCAGTCAGATTGTTGTATCTGTTCGTTGAGGCTGCATAGAAAACCACACCGCGACCATCATTATCCTCAGAGTTAATATCAGCGCCATTCTCTAGCAGAACCTGCATCACTTCTGTACTCTCACAGATTGCCGCCTGAATTAGTGCTGTGCGACCAAACTCATCTTGAGCCTCGCAATCAACACCGTTACTTTTCAGCAGTGTGAGAACCAATTGTAAATTACCGTGGGTTACAGCAACATGTAGAGGTGTTTGGCCATATCGATCGGGTTGATGGGCGTTTCTGATCTTGGTCGAAGAAAAAAGAGCAGTCAGATTGTTATATCTGTTCGTTGAGGCTGCATAGAAAACCACACTACGGCCATCATTATCCTCGGAGTTAATATCAGCGCCATTCTCTAGGAGAAGCTGAATCGCTTCTGTACTATGACAGGCTGCTGCCCAACTTAGTGCGGTCCGACCCTTGGGGGATTTGATTTCCAATTCAGCGCCCCACTTCAGCAAGAGTTGTATTACCGACGTAAAGCCTCGAATTGATGCGCATATGAGTGGTGTGTCACCATAATAATCGGTATTATTGGGGTCGGCGCCCCTGTCTAGGAGAAGCTGAACTATTGCGCCATGCCCAGACCGCGCTGCCGCTGAGATTGAGGCATTCAATTCAATATCTTGGAGATTAACGTCCAGATCCCAGTCAAGAAAAAGGTGCACCAGATTTAAGTGACCGTAATATGCGGCCTCATACAATGGAGAGTGGTCGTATCGACCTTTCCGGTGTGTAAGCCCTCGCTGTAAAAGAAGACGGGTGATCTTCTCTGATCCACTTATGGCCGAAGCATGAAGTGGTGATTGACCACCGTTGTCACTAGACATCAAATCACAGTTTGCTTCGAGTAGTAACTGCACTGCTTGTTCGTGGCGCCGCTCAGCTGCCAAAAATAGGGGTGTGTCGCCTCGGCTGTCTTTGATGTCTGGATCTGCGCCATGTGCTAGGAGTAATGTTATAGCATCTAGGCGGTTAAGTTGCGCTGCCCATGATAAAGGGGTCTTTCCAATAGCATCAACACAGTTCACCGAACCGCCAAGTGAAATCAACTTTTGGGTCACATCAAGCAATTCAAAGTAAGCCGCAAGATGCAGACCTGTAGCAATCTGCGAGGTACTTAGTGGATAGTGATTACTCCCAAAACGCATCATGTTTGAGGGGAGATAGGCATATATAGAGGACATGAACTGAATACAGGAGCTGACTTTCGGTGTGTCTAGCAGTAGTGCAACGATGGCTTCCTCGATTATAGATTGTTCCCTATCGGCTTCGCACTCTCGGACGTGACTAGCCCAGAAAGCAGCTGCATAATCCCCAAAAGGATAGTGATATAGGCGCGATGTAAACTCTTCTGTTGTTTGGCAATGTCCTGTTTTGAAAGTATCATATGACAAATATGCCACGCAGATGCTGCCAATATCATAATTTGCCTTTGGGAACCAAGTTGAGTGATTGCGCTGGAAAAATTCCTGGGTTGTATAATGCACCAGTCGAATGATATTGCTTTGTTCATCGATTGTCACCAAACCGGCACAAACCGAGACCATATCGATTATATCGGGGATATTATCCTCGTCAAAATCTGACTCGTTTATTTCGACCGCTAGTGCACTTTGCAGTTCTGCCGTAGTGAGAGGTCTCTTGGCACAAGTGATCCATGCGAGGACTTGCATGGCCAATTCTGTTTGATCAGACACCTGTCCTTGAATTCGTTTCATTGCATCGCCATAGGCGGAATCGTATTGCTTTGTACTTGATGATATGTCTTTCAACGCGGATCTGATTGCTTTAGGTGATCTTTTCCCGACCAAGGAGTTGAGGTAAAGCTGGGCGAGTAGAAACCTAGGTTCTTATGTTAGAGAACTGCAAATAATTCCTAAGTATTCTTTCTCAAGCGGTAAATATTCACTTACATTCCATCAACAGCTCTGGTTATCTCTGTCGAAATCTCCGTTTGCAATTCCGGATTTCGTGAAACAAATGCTGGGAGCATTGCCAAATTTCCACGAAGATATCGCATGACATCTACCGTGCTAGCACGGATTTCAAGTGCGGCCTTTTCTTTGAACCTTTCAGTTATTTCAAGAATAAATCGGGAAGTTGCGAGAAGGTTTATATCGCAAGCATCCTGAAGTTCAAATATCGTATCCAAGAGTCTTGTTCGCGATCCATCATGCATCTGACACTCATCCAAAGCGTCAATTACGATGTAGACCTTTGCAAAATTGCTAGGTTGTGATAGTAATTGGATGGTCTCGGATACTTCGCCTATTGAAGGTCTTGTTCCTTTCGCGACATGTTTAGCATACATCCCTTGGATGCTACTAGGCAACGATGACTGTGACTGAGCCAATTGTTTCAAAATGTTTGATAACAACCCAATAGCGCTTTGCTCATCGTGTCGCTTGAAATTGCAGTAGAGATATGCAATAACAACATCCTCGCGTCCATTTGCAAATTGATCGTTGAGCTCATCAATCACGATAGACGCTAGAATGGTTTTCCCGGCACCTGGAATACCAGGACAGAAGAGCGTTTGCTTTGAACCGGAGACCCAATCTTCAAATTCGGAGGAGTCCAGGAACCACTGTCCAGTACCTTGCTCACGTCGACTAATGTAGTCACTTTGCTGGGTGGCATAGTTTGACGGCGAGAGCCAATCAAGGACTTTCTGACGCTCTACCTCATCTTGATGCTGGACCAGTTTTGCCACGCTGCGTTTCATTATTTGTCCATTGAATGCAGTCAGGAGTGCGATGTTAGTGCCTATTCGAAGGCGGAGTTCTTGGACATCGGTTGGTTCCCATTTCAGGCGTTTCCACACTCGCTTCGCGATGTTTCGTTTTCCATCATTTGTTGTCGACAGCTCCGTGTAGTCCTCAATTTTCTTCAAAATGGCGGCAAGGACCTCGTGGCAACCCCTTGATAGTTCGTGTAGCTCAGCCTGTTGCTGACTGCTAAGCTCCTTCGCGGATATATCGATCTCTACATCTTGCAGTACAAGTGAGAGGCTTCTGACTCTGTCAACAATGTCTGTTAGTATACTAGGTATAACAGATCGAGGTAGGTAAGACCAAATTTAGGTTCGACCTACTCATCGGAAATGCTCTTAAATTGAACAGGTGCTTCGACAAACGCTTTTCGAGTCTCGTTGGCGAGTTTGATGACTGCGAGGAAGTCCCCGATACCAAACCCAAAGCTCATTTTGGCAATCAATACCGAGAACACAGAGGGCCGGATAATCAGGGTTGGGAGCGTACAAACAAAAGCAAGACTGCTGCTGGAGATGTAAGAGAAAGCTCAGCCTCACTCGAAGGCGGGGTTGGGTCGACACGCAGCGCGTAATCTGCCCCCCACGCTATTAATTGGCCATTTTTTGGGTGAAATAACGTGTTGATTTATGGCAATCATAGTGTATTTGGCGTGATGTAAAAAATCAAGGCATTCTATGCGACTTTGCCCCACTTGACGAGGAAAGGAGCAAGTAGAGAAGCGCGATAAACCAAGAGTGCCTACCGTAATAAGCTCTACTATATAAACAGGTGATGTTGAATGTTGACGCAAGTCGGCATTATCCAATTAATACATGCGACTGTAGATGAGTCTATTTATAGGTACATGAGTGATCGCTGACAGCACCGAGGGTGTCACTCCCTCGGGGTCAAGTCCCTTCTCCTTCGCACGGTCGAGAATCGCAGTACAAGTGTCATAGAAATCCGCCATCGTCGTGTCCACCACAGGGTTTGCACGTGCTTCCAACTTCAAGATTTCTGACATTACAAAAGTGTCCAACGCAGTCGCGGTCTCCAGTTGTCACAGCATAGCAATCAAAGCATGGTAAGGTAGAAGGCTGGCTCCGAGATCGATTGCTGAGTGCAATTTCTGTTTCAATCCAGCAACAAACTCCATAATTGACGAGAAACTCTCGAGCTGAGCGTCCCAGATATCAAAACACGCCCGCTTTATGGCGCCACGGCGTGGACTTTTCATATGATCCTTGAAAGCCCTCATAAACTCATCCGCGTACCCCTTGTGGCCTTCAGCAACAAGTTCTTGCTCCAAGCCAGGGTCAATACAACTGCTTAGCCAAGCTCTCACTTTCCTAGTGAGCTGCAACCATGACGCAAAGTTAGGGTCATCACGGAAAGGCCTCTCCTGATCAGAATCAACAAGGCGATGAAGCTGGTGACACTCTAGGGACTGGACAACCTGAGCATACCAGACACTAAAATTGGAATCCAGTTTGAGAGCTGGCTCTATTATGGGAAGTTCGAATAAACTGGTCGCTGGCAAACCTGTCGCTTGGTTGCTATTCGCTGCAATCCACCGTTCAACGGTATGCCAGTCACGGTCGTGAGGAGCACCCGTACCAATAACCGGTTCCGCCATGATGAGTAGCTTCGGAAATTGATGAAACCTCAATGAACAAACCCTTTGTTGATAGGAAAACTGATATCGGCGAGTTCAGATACCAGAAGACACCTGGGCAGCAATGAAAGTGGTAGATAAGCGATGAGTTTCATGAGCTGATGGCTGGAGCCATCTACGTGCAGATAGATAGAAGTAATAAGAGAAGTGCAATAACCTTATAGCGCCTGCTACCATGGGCTATCTAATATAACCCATTGGGACAAAGAGAGTACTGACAAACACTGTTTCAGTGTAACCATACATTCATTAATCGTACTATAAAAGAAGAAGGCAGATATGTATCTCAAACCCCAAAGTGACAAATAAATCACAAGTCAATCTAGACAGTAACCCTGTTGGCCATCAAATACTCATAATCCGGCATGGAATCTCGAGTAGCCTTCTCAAGCAGCTCAGCAACCTCCTCCCCAAACTCGACACGCCACTTAGCAACCTCCGCATCAACATCAACCGACACCGGAGCCTTATCCTTAACAACACCAGTCGACTCCTCCAAAGTCGAGAACATGATAGAAGCAGCATTCGTATGCAACGCCAGCTCCTCAGGATTACCAGTGTTTGTATTCTCATCCGCCCAGTTCTCAGACTTCTTCTCAGAGCCATTCCACTCAAACTGCATGGATGCAGTGTCGAGACCAGCCTTCTCACAGAACTTAACCACAGCACCGGGGTTATGGATGACATCATTTGCATCAATGACCAAAGGTGCGACAGACTCATCGGGCTGCTCGAGACACCAGTCGAACAATTTCCGCGTCCATTCCATGCTCAGGTTCGTGATCGAAAACCCCTTAATATCATCGTCATCAATGAAACCGGCCTTGGACAACTTCTGCATAGCGCGGTACATCGACGGCCAAGCTAGTGCCGGGTGACGGATGATAAAGGCCAGCTGCCAGGTACGCAGGTACTCGTCCGGCATGACGGTTTTGTTATTAGCAGAGAATGTCTGCGAGGACCCGTAGCGTTCTGGCATGGATACGTGGAACTCTTTCAGCAGCTCGGGGTCGGGCTTTTCGGCGCCGTCCATGTTGCTTGTGAAGACGCACGGGTTGAGGAACCAGAAGGCGTGTTCTTTGGCGAACATTATCTTGTTCTCGGCGCGAGCTCGCGTGGAGTATTCTTCTAGTTCGTTGAAGCACTTTTGGATGGAGGCTTTGGTCGCGCTCTTCGCGTCTGCTGTCCATTGGTCTACCGGCTTGTCGATGCGACCGTTCCGGCCGGCTGTCATGAAGGCATCGTAGAAGAAGTAGCCGGCCTTTGGGCTGGTGAGAATGTTGGGTTGGTTGGGGATGTTGAGAATCCTCAAGAGAAGATTCGAGGCGGTGCGAGGTACACTGACGAGGAGGACTCGGTGGGGTTGGTTATTATTTCCGCGGGCAGTGGTAGCGACAGCCATGGCGGATGGACTTTTGGTTTGTTGATAAACGCGATATGTATAGAATGTGGTGGCTGAATGATAATTAAGCTTAACTTGCTGCGAGGCAATGAGCGTGAGAGGAGATGGCTACATTCTGGAGCTGGATGGCGTGATCTCAGTTAAATAGATTCGATTCTCATGTCCAAGCGCAAGATCAGCGCTCTTCTTTGATCCTATTTTTTCCCTTGCCCCCTCTTTATGCATGCAAGTGGGTGGAGTTCTGACGGAATCGGTATCAACCGCTCCGATCGGTCTTTGTCGCTGTTTGTCAACGCCGAGGGAGGGTCAACGATGAACTTCCTTATTGGACTGCAGTAGTGATCGGCAAACGAGACCTTCAGAAAGCAGCAATGGTACGATGTATGTTTCAGCCCTCGGTCTTTCGCATCGGAGGATATGATCCGTAATCACCGGTCGAGATGGTTGAGTCATGATCTTTTGCCTTGATTATGCGCATACCATATGGATGTCGACTGTCATACATATGCACATCTTGAGGGCGGGGTACGAGGAGTGGAGCAATAAGATTTGACAGATTGGAGATATTTATGATTCTCAAGGCTGGTCTTGACAGACAGCCCCGATGTCACGAAGGCCCAGTCGAAGATAAACACAGCTACTAAGGTATCGAGACTGAAGTGCAGCACATGAACCGCCAATCACCTGATATCTCTGACTTCCAAGGCTATTTCGCAGATACTAAGCTAACAAATTAAAATATATGCTTTCGCACGATATGTTACGCAAAACCTGATTTTGTACTCAACATACTCCTATTTCAACGAGGAGGGAAATCAGAATCACTGCTCTCCTCCTCCGCTTTAGCAAGACTCTGCTCCTTAGTGAGCGTCGGGTTGCGTATAATAAGGGCAAAAGCAATCAAAGGGACTGTCAAGCAGATACCCGTGATGCACAACAGCCGCTGCGTCTTCTGATAGGCGAGAATGACGTTGTCTCGGTCGGGCGTGCCCACTGGATTGACCGCTGCAAACGCAAGGGGCTGGGCGTAGACCTCCGCAGCGAGGGTTTCATTGCCGAGTCTATAATTTAATTCAGAAGGCAAGACTTGGTTCCAGATCGCGCCGGAGATTGTGTTTCCTAGTGCGCTACCGATGTTGTAGGCGGCGAGGTAAAGACCGGTTATAACAGCGACATCTATGGGATTGTTAGCCTTTGGGTTGTTTGTTTGGTAGACTAAAGTCTGTGGAGGGATACTAACGTTCGTGCTTAGACGCAACCTGGATGCTGGCTTGAGCTGGGTAGGGGAACATTCCACCAGCTGGGAGATTTGTTAGATATGTTCAATCAAAAATGGAGCGCAGGCGATAACTCACCAATACCTAGCAGAATTTGCGCACCAATGACACCAGAATGACTGGAGTCCGCAGCGCCACCTCGGAAATAGATGAGGAGTCCGAACGCAACCATGAAGAGGAGGGTTCCGGCCACGATGAAGGGCTTCAATTGGCGAACCTTCATGACGATGAAGCCGAGAATAACGCCCGTAATAACGGAAACAAAACTGTAAAGATTTGTGATCCGACCCGCACTGATGATTGATTCGTCGAAGCTCACGTAGAGCACTGTGTATAGGAAATCTCCTTGCAGGTACCACGCTACACAAATGTTAAATCTCGACCATGGATGAATAGTATTCTAAAGGACATACCAGTGTTGAGCATGATAGGGATTCCCAGGGCACCCCAAACAGCACGGTCTTTGAGAAGCTAGAGCCGAAGCAAGTCAGCAAAACCATGAGTGTGGCTTTGAACATTCAACTTACCTTGAATGGCAGCATCGGGTATTGACAGGTTCTCTCCCAGACAATCCAGACCGGGATCAGCAAAATGCCGATGACAAGTGGCGCAATTACTTTTGCTGTTTTCCACTGTGTAGTTACGCCTCCAGCGAGGGTGAATGGAACAAGAATACATGCCAACATGGCAATCAACAGAATGTTGCCAACGATGTCCAGATGCCAGAACAGTTCTATAACCAGTTGCCTTCTTCCCAACAGCTGGAGGGAGCTCTTGTACGATTCAAGCGCCCCGGACTTTTTCGCGCGTCGTTGGACGATAAAGAGGACTGCAATAAGAGGAAGGGCACACACGGGATAGATGATAGCAAACATGCCAATGCCCCATTGCCACGTGGTGGCCTTGAGAACGGCATCAGTCAAGTTGCTGTTGATCCAGGTATTTATCTAAAGAAGATTTGGTAAATTAATATGCTGTGGTTGGTACGTGGGAGTACGTGTAGTACCCACAATAAACGGCAAGGCCGGGATGTAGGAGAAAAGAAGACGAGATCGGCTAGAAGTCACATCGGCAATCAGGACTTCGACCAAGAGCATAATACTGGTGTATCCAATCTAGAGAATATTAGACATAGACCCAGAGTTCATGGGCGCATATCTCACCTGGTAGATAACAGCTCCCGCAGCGAAACCCTCCAAAGTCTTTGCGCATGATTCCACGATAGTACCGACAGTATAAAAGACTATCGAGACGAGGATAAGTTCCACTCTACCGAATACATCTGCAACCTTTGCCGCGGTAGGCTGTCAAGGGAAGTCAGCTGCTGTGATGAATTGTTGGCCTCTGGATATCCATACCTGTGCAGCAGCAGCGATTACGGCTCGGAGAACATTAATGGTCGCAAGAAGACTGTGTTGGCCATAACTCGAGGTAGCATAGGGCTGTCCAAAGCATGAGGTGTTAGTATGCTCCATTCTCGTCGATATGTCTTGACGTCAGAAGTGCGGGATAGGTACCTGGTACGTGTAGCGAACAGTTCCATCCAAGCCGTACACATAGGCGATCAAGAAAATAGCAATAAAGAGGAAGACGCGATCCCACAATCGGAAGTGCGATGTAATAATTTCGATACGACGAACACCTGGACTGCCTTGACCAAGCAGACCGGCAGGCTCACCAAGTGGGAGGGCTTCGTTGCGGGGGTTCTTCGAGTCCCTACTGACGGGGTGGTCAACGTTGACCTCGTTAACGAGCGACATGGTAGTTGTGCAGAATGGGTTCACACGACTCAGATCACCTGCGATGTAGAGAAGAAGAAGGACATAGAGGGAAAGACCAGAGAAAATATGATTGCCAAGAGGTGAAAAAGTCAGATAAAATCGCTCGCTCAATCTTATCTGATGGGCCTAGGACCCAGGAAGGATCCAAGGTTAGTGCCGAGCCGCGCTAGGAGTGTTTGTCTGAGAAATCAGCCATTCACGCAGCTTAGATGAGGCCCACCTCCCATTCAGCCATGGCTCAGGGTTATTATTCGACTGATTTCGCTCTGGACTTGCCGGTGTCTTCGAATCATAATTTTTCATGGGTTCTTTGACACCCGTGGGTATTATATCGTATGATCTCCTGTTCCAACATATGCGACTTTGGGATCTATAGCTGGAGCAGAGGTCGTGGCTGAGCGACTAATATTGTCACAACATACAGTCATAGGAGCATGACACTATCTCTCAGAACTACGCACGTGTAGAAAAAGAGCATTGTTTTGCAAAGTACACAACAAATCGAGAGAAAAAAAACCGATCAACCCATACAAAGTAATTTCGGGGCCTCAGCTCTGGCCCCCGGGGAGGCCCCACCTGGGCAGGGGATTGAGCCCATTACGTAATGATAATGCCCCCACCTGGCCGGCAACCCCGGGGCCGTGGAAACCTGCCACATGGCCGCATCCGCTCAATCTTGGCCCGACGCGTCTACTGGTGGATGTGACTCGTGCGGTTACTTGAGCCGCTGCTATCAAAGATTCAGCGGGACTTACCTCTACTCGAACTGCCTTGATCAGACGTTCTGCAATTATGGCCACACCTTTGTCAATTTTTCCACTGGAGCTTTGGTTGATAATATTTCGGTATCTTCACGACGAAAGCCCACAACATACCAGCAGGCTCGCACAGACATGCAAATCTTTTTATCAAGAAATCAACCATGTTATATACCAGTCTGTTCGAATAAGGCGGATAGAGAATGCTCGCCGTTTCGCCAATACTGTGTTCAGTCGCCCAGACTTGGCAGCACTTGTCAAAGAAGTGCGATATTCCGGTGATATGCGCTTTAAAGACTTTTCTCCCTGGTCTGAGCCTTTCTACCAAGCGCTCAACAAATTGCAAAACCTGCAAATCCTGGCCACCATGAGACAAAAGATTCGCCCAGGTGACGAGTACACGCCACAAGTGGCATTGCAGGAACTGTATATCCGAATTTATTATAACTTCAGGAACCAATGCTTGAGAGAATCATGGTCGGAAAATCCCATGTACCCGCTTGACTCTCTGTGGGATCCGTTCAGCCTTGGATTCAATCCTTGAGAAGAGGACTTCTCGTTCGAATGTTAGGCGGAAGAACCGGTAGACCACACATATTTTAGCCGAAACGACCTTAAAAAACTTAATTTCTGTACTACGAATATGTAAGTTGCCCAATCTATGGGCTTGTCGAAAGTATTCATGCTTACAAAAGACAGCTTATCTTGCAACCGATTCGGACCTTAATTCTTACCCCAACAGGGGTAGGCATCAGCCTTCTATCAAATTCAATGAAATAGTCTTCACCCTGACACTGCGTCACTAGTGCTAGGTTTCGGAATTTTGAACTGACACAAGCATCAATTGACAATTGTGCCGCGAGTATAAGAGAGTAGCTGCTTCTCAACTGATTGCCGAGCTCAGAGCGTGCGTGAACCGGGTTGTGGGGGACCCGGAGGTGGGGGACATGGAGGTGGGGAGAAGGGTATATAAATTGGTAACCTGTCATATCAACCAAAGGTTGATATAGGTTGATATATGTAGTAGTCGTTTTGGTTAACCTTTAGTTTTCCAGATAAGTACCCGTTATTGGCGGCGTGGTGTCACATCTATTTTGATATCTTAGCGTACACATTGCACGTCCTCAACCCACCATTTAGGGGGTAGATGAAGGGTTCTCTGAAGGGGATTTGGGGCCTGTGGCAAAATATGCAGGATGGGGATTATATGCGGAAGAGCTATATGATGGTTTGCGACGACGGTGATGTTTATTGAGCTTCATATTTAGATCTTCCACTTGGGGATTGCTATTACTCGAAGTTGGATCATTGCAACAAGACTTGACTATAAGGATTGCCTGGACATGGAAGAAAATTACCTCCCATGTTTGAGGACATGTATCACAATCAAAGTCGAGACTTGAACGAAGCTTGTGGCCCAGTCACCGAAGGCAAGCTATCCTGGCTGAGACGGCTCATCTCGGGATCATAAAGCGACTCTGTCTCAACAGTTGCCCTGATGCGCTTTCCGAAATACTCGATCTCCACTGTCTCACCTTCGCTCACGCCTCCAGGAAGCCATGCGTAGGCAATTGGTTTGCGAATCGTGTACCCAAATGCAGCGGTAGTTACATAGCCAGCCGCTTTGCCATTGTAGAACACGGGCTCCTTGCCAAGAATCATCGAGCGACCATCATCAACGGTCAAAGCTCGTAGTCGCCGCGGGGGTACTTGGTTAGAAAGGCGTTGAAGGGCGGCTTTGCCGACGAAGTCATCTTTCTTATTTGTGTCCACGGCATAGGAAACGCCAGCTTCGAACGGATTGTGCTCTGTCGTCATATCCACGCCGTAGGTTCGGTATCCCTTCTCGAGGCGCATCGAGTTGAACGCACTGCGGCCTCCAGCAATGAGTCCGTGCAGCTTTCCAGCTTGCCAGATCGTGTCCCATAGGCGTTGACCGTACTCGGCGCTGGTTTGGATTTCCCAGCCTAGTTCGCCGACGTAGGACTTTCGGATCATTGTAACCGGGATACCCTTAATAACTGCTTTCTTCAGACTGAAGTATGGAAGGCCCTTGTTGGAGACATCGACTGTGCTAATTCCAGTGATAACATCCCGGGCTCGAGGACCCCAGAGCCCGATGCAGCATGTGCTGCCTGTAATATCGCGGACTTTGATCCATTGCCCAGGAGTATTATGTTCCTGGACTCGAGCTTCTCTGGTGAGATATGCCAGGTCGGTTGCAGTGTTGGCTCCGATCTGGAACACGTCATCGTCAAGTCGTAGTACAAAGATGTCACCTCGAATGCCACCGTGATCATTTAGGAGGAGAGTATAAGTAACGGTCCCTGGCTTGGTGGTAATATCACTCGTGGTCAGCCGCTGAAGCAGACCGACTGCTCCAGGACCGGAGACTTCGAACCGGTGGAAAGCAGTCATATCAAACATAGCAACAGCATTCCGTGTCTTCCACGCCTCGGTAGCAGAGATAGGCGAATGAAGCTGCGCCGACCAGGGATCCCGTTCGACAGGCTTCCATGATGGTGGGAGAGACTTGACAAGATCTTTGTTTGCCTCATACCACCACGGCCGCTCCCAGCCTCCGGTCTCGAGGAAGAAAGCCCCCAGCTCGCGCTGGCGAGAGTGGAATGGACTAACGCGCAAATTGCGAGGCGAGGCCCGTTGCTGAAGGGGGTGGATAATATCATATATTTCGACAAAGTTCTGCTGCCCGGTCTCGCTCACGTAGTCTCGGTTGAGTTGGACCTCTTCGAAGCGGGATAGTTCACATTCAGACACGTCGATCTCAGATCGGCCGGTTGTGAGTATTTGTGCGAGAGCTCGGGCGACGCCTGCTGAGTGTGTAACCCATACGGCCTCGGCTACATAGAAGCCGTCGAGATGGGATGGTTGGCCAAGGATTGGACCGCCGTCGGGTGTGAAGGAAAAGACACCATTGAAGCCGTCTGCGATCTCTGTGTCCTTAAGAGCCGGGAGGAGCTTTTGAGACTCTTTCCAAGCTGGGTCGAAGTCTTCGGTTGTGAAATCGAGACGGGAGGGCATGTTTTGTTCATCAACATCTTTAGGAGTGAGTCCTAGTGATGACGCAACGACGGGCATTGGACGGTGTCCGTAGTATCCAATGCCGTACTGCCCGCCATGTTCACGGTAGTAAAGACGCTTATCCTGGTGCCGGAGAATTGGGAGTGTGGCATTAATTCCATTGGGCAAGCTGTTGATATCTCGCCCAGCAAGAGCGGGTACCGCTGTGGTCTTTGCATACTGGTGCGCCAGCGGGAGCAAAGGGATTTCCACACCGACCATCGCTCCCAATTCAACCCCCCAGAACCCAGCGCAAGAGACAACAATATCTGCTGGGATAGTGCCGCTTGGAGTACTGACTCCGGTGATACGACGACCGTCCCGGTCAATTCCCGTCACGGGAGTATGGCCCAGATAACGAACACCGGCCTTGCTTGTCCGTTCAATGAGCAGCTGTGTTGCCCGGGCTGCTAGTGCGAGACCGTCACTGGGGATATGCAGACCGCCCAACACCATATCGTTGTTCAGGTGAGGATACATCTTAAGGCACTCCTCCGCGCTCACTAGCCGCGCCTCAATCCCCCATGATGAAGCGTATCCGTGTTTCCGCTTCAGATCCTCCAGCCGTGCGGGGGTGGTTGCTACTTCGAGACCGCCCACTTGATTGAAGCATTTGTGTCCATCCTTCTCTATCGATAGAAGCTTCTCGACTGTGTATCGCGCGAGGTGTGTCATTGTCTTGGAGGGGCTTGTCTGGAATACGAGCCCGGGGGCATGTGACGTCGATCCGCCCGGCATGTGCAACGGGCCCTGCTCGATGACAGTGATATCGTTCCATCCTCGAGAGACCAGCTCGTCGGCGAGGTTGGTACCCACGATACCGGCTCCAATGATGACAACGCGTTGTGAAAGGGACATTATTATATGATATATGATAGTTAATATGATACGCCCATTAGAAAGCGGCAGACACCTGTTCTATTTGTATATTCATCTACTTGGATGAGTCGTACAATATGTGACATTCTCATACACATCTCCCCGCACCCCGCATCCTCGTGCGATAATTATATAGTGTCCCTTGAAGCTGAAGATAAAGATATTACGCCCCGCACGGGTTCCGGCGATGTAAAGCCGAGAATGCCAGTAATGAACACGGATGCCATTTTGCAGCAATCGGGATGGAGGGGTATATCCTTGGCTGCCCCACGTTGATATAGATAATGGAAGCTGGTCAGTTCAATCATAATCGGCCAACCAGCTTGATGTGGCGCTTTTGCGTTGACAATGGATAACATTTCCTATTTGGGTCAAGGGTCCTAATTTTAGTATGGGGGAAATCGTCATAGTTTCCTTGACGAAGTTCGAGTTTTATTCACACTGCTATCCACAGGCCGAGGAATTACCAACCTCTTGTTTATATAGTCGAGTGTCCTTGCTGGGTAACTAACTAGTTAGTGGGTGGGGCCTGATACGTGCGTTTCAGGGCGACAATATGACCGGAGCGGAAAATCAAAACATCCGTATCATTCTCTATAGTTACTGTACAAAGTACACTCGAACGAAACACCAGATACATATAAATTCCACCATTAAGTCGACAGTTATTACTGTAATTTATCTGGAGGGTCCGTAGCAGTTGATGTGGCAACTTGGGTATAAAATATGACGTCCTTAGGGCCCAAAATAAGCATAGTAAGAACAAGGCTGAGTGACGACAAATGTATACTAAGCTAACCTTCTCGTATACGGCCACCCGTGAATAGCCTTGTAGTATATTTCAGCTTATCATTATTAGGCTCTTCAACGGTGCTTCTAGGACAACATTTGAACATATTGAATCAGATAACCAACACGTCAGATTTAAGCAACAGTATCCGAGCTTTAGACCGGGATCTAATACATCTGCATGTTTAGATTTGAGCTAGCTATTTGTAGTAAAGAATATAGGTGATCGTGCAATAAATCGTTGGTTGTGATGAAATGTCATTGGCAGAACATTCCAACATCACAGACGAAAATGATGCAATCGCCATTCTATGGCCCCTGATTGGTCAAGGTCAAAACAGATGCAGGGGTATTTTCGATGGAGGCGTAGAGTATACAAATCGGTTGTATATAGTTTCAGATGTGAGATATATCGTCAACTTCTTTTTCTATCTTCTCTGAAGCTTTATGATACTATATGGCATCCCTAAAAAACAAGTTAACCCCATACTATGCGGGGCAAATGTTTGACGTTCGGCTGGAGCCGATCCGTGGGGAACCCAACAAGAAAGAATCCCTGTCTTCGGGACTTTCGCTCTTTCTCAAGAGAAACTCCTCAGCTTGAGGACACTCTGCGATGCTATCATCTACATTCTTCGTCGATCTCTCATCATGACCGAGCCTGGTGAACCCCCTGTTCCCGAGGAACCGCCCAACGCAATCCTGACCGACTCCCGCCCGACATCCGCTCGTGACACCCGCGATGACGACCGGGAAGCGTTAGAGCTTCATTCGATCCAAACGCGAGAAGACAACGATCTGGATTACTCGAGCCTATCGGGTTCATCTGGCGACGAGCACTATGTGCCCACACATCGGACTACGTCTCAAGCCGATTCCTGGCGCAGACGTGAAGCCCGCAACGGCCTTTGGGGCCAAATCTGTCGGTTCTGGACTCGACATGTTAGTATAACTGTGCCGCAGAAGAGTAATCGAGATCACTTTGGTATGTTGTGCTCTGGACACGCTGTTGGCAATCTAATTGACATGATCAAAGCCCTGGAAAGAACGTTCCTTGCGTACATACGCACGTCCACGGTTATCGCTATGCAAGGGGCACTCGTTGCTCAACTTTTCCGTCTACAACGGCCGTTGACAAAAGTCGATCGCCTGTCGTTTCACGAAGTCGGTATCCCGCTTTCGGTTGCCTATCACTTTGTGGCTGTTATCATCACCTTGATAGGTGCGTTCCGGTTCTGGAGACAACAAAATGCTATTGCTCGTGAGAAAGTATATGCCGGAGGGTGGGAGTTAAACTCGGTGGGAATTTTATTATTCGCTGTAAGTTCTCCTTCCCTACGTAGGACGATGCTAAGCCTCTGGATTCTAATTAACTCCCTGCGCTTAGGTTATTGTGGCGACCTTGGTTCTTACTGTTATCATCTCAATCCAAGTCGATTTGAACGCCAGTGCCCTTCCCACTCGAATATTATGGTCGTGAAATATCGTCCATGATTTTGTCACACTGGCCAGATATGCATTTACATAGCGAAGAAAAAGTTCACCCAACATGGGCATCTTATGAGATATACAGTTGTGGTTTCATTGTATGGTCCACATATCTTCGATCCCCTTACCGATCAAAGCTGTTTCTCAGTTGTAGATCACACTCTCCTTTCTATCTCAGAGCATTCCCCTCAATGAACCCCAAAGGGGCATAGAAGTTCTCCAGAAAATTCGCATGCTGACCTAGCTATCCCACAAGGCCCCACCATAATTCCGAAGTGTCCGCATATCTTGCAGTGTTCTGCATATCCTTGAGAGCAGTCAAAAATAACTGGAGTGCAAATCAACTCCTGTTCGTCCTCTTATTCATCCTCCTGTTATCCGCATCTTCAACTTCCTCGTTGCTGGTGTCTGCATCGTTGACAGGACGACTTGCAGGTGTACTTCCCTTGCTACCAGTAGATCCAAAGCCACGGAATGGGATCGCCGAGATATCTACATGATAGACATCAGACGGAACTGGCGCAGTGACGACCCTGGCATATTCATAATCTTCCACGCCACTGCTAGTTTCTGTGGCATTCGGTTCGGTCCTCCTTGGCTCAGGTGGTGGAAACGGACAAGGAAACTGCCACTTGCTGGTCGAAGGAATTGAATAAGACGATGCGAAAATGGCGATTGAGGTGACTGCGACAGCAGAAGCTAGTTGAATGGGTTGCTTGTTGCCCCCCTAACTCTGTCTGGTGTTGTCCCTCTCGACGGTGGTGCCCTGCTGGATGGTGATGTCCCGCTGGTGAATGATTTCGGCCGGTACGTTCATTGTCTATAAAAAGGATCCATGACTATGTACCCAGGGTAGGAACACTGGTAGTCTGGACAGGGTAGTGGTCACACTCAGGTCAACGTCTAGAGACTAGATAATTTGTTTGAAGTGAAGGGTGAGCTGTGGAGTAAGAGAATGGTAAATGAAATGAGAGCATAGAAAGAAGATAAAAAGAGCCAAAGCCCAGCGAGACGAGAGCGCAGTCTAATCAGATGGCCTTTCCCTATCTACTCTCATCACCTCACTTTTCCCATCCTTTCTTCTCCCCATCTTTTACACTCTTCGTCATTTCCTCTCCACGCCATTTCTTCTCTTCTAACTTCTCCCCATCATATCCTTTGGGCCAAGTCGAACTTTGACCACTCCCAAACACTACCATCCAGGCTCATCCAAGCTTCAGATCTCAAACGCCATCTTTAATTATGGCTCAGCCTATCCCACGTTATGTAAGTGGACATCTTGTCTAGTTGTGGATGGCTGCATCAATTCCACAAATTCCCACCATTCTGGCACTTTCTCGGTCATCCAGCCAGCCACTTTGAGTCTTCTAATGGCACCCCCTCCTAAGCATGGATGTTTGCGCCGCGTTGGCATGGTCTGATCCTGCTATGTCGTGTATCATCGTTCCTGCTCTGAATCCCTCACCCTCCGCGCCCTCGAGCGTGTCACGAACTTCTAGGCGGAAATCGTGTTTTGTTTGTCCAGCTTCATCTTTGTATGAGATACAACTTTGTATCGTCCACAAGTCTCTACTATGTCCTCCCTATCTACCCTAGCAACCACAAACCCGGATTTACAAGGGTCTATGGACGTGAGCTGACATATACTAGTTGTTCTGCACGTACTGCGAGATAGATGGACACGAGGTTATCTCTTGCCATCATCCCTTCGAAGCTTTAACCAGCTTTGCTGCAGCCGCTGGCCTTACAACTGGCCAGTCCGCCCAAGGCTCGGTGAGAACTCCAACATTCATTCGATGACAGAACAATATATTGATATGTAGTCTTTGATATATCAGGCTGCTTCTGGCAACCAGAAGTCCTACCGTGTTGCGCGCTGGGGTGGAGGAAAGAAGAGTAAGTTTAATACAACTATTTGGGGCCAGTGATGATGTGCAGCAGGCTAACTAGTGTGGTAGAACGCTTCGTCAATGACGCTGCGTCGGGTGTCCCTACTCAGGGCACCGGCCACCCATCGAACTACGGCACCTATCTCAATCTAGCCGAGGCCCAGATGCTGGCTACCTACCTCGAGCAGCAGCGACTTTACTGGCTCTGGTGCCGTGCGTCATGGGCATACAGTGCGATTGATAGGCTGCACCGGCAGCCAGAGTAAGGCCTTAACAGGAATCGCCCAGCAAAAATAATCAAAGCAGAAGTACTCAGTGAGAGAAGGGATGATCTCGGGCTTCTCATACTTTAAGTGAGCTAATACGACATGACTCAATTCGGGTGTTATTCTCAGCAGATTCTTCGTCGTTTACACGTGAAATACTATGAATGACTTTGTAGACATAGTTAGCTCTTAAAGTACCTTCTCCTTATTGTTGTCGAGGAAAGGATATATTGTTCGAGGGCATGAAACGTGCCGGCAGATACGATAATCTTAGTGATCTCAAATTTACGACTACTATGTGATGCATGAAGGCATCCCGCCAGCAAGACAGCGAGGCTTTCCTTGCTTGCCTCAGTTAGTCAGACCTCTCTTTGTCCTCGTGAAGCATATAAAGGGCTCCATGGCGGTAGGTAGATTCATCATCATCATCATCATCATCATCTATCTTGATCTTCTTTTTCCTTGCTTCGTAACTATAATACCAGATCTGTCAAGGATATACATATAGTTGTTCTGTGACCACTGCCATCGTCTTTTCGAAAGCTTGACTAGCTTTGCCAAAACCGTTGGCATTGCAACTGGACAGCCCACCTAGGGCTCAGTAAGAACTCCACCATATATTCGATAACGGAACCATATACTGATATCTACTCTCTGATATATCAGATTTCTGGCATACGGGAACCCTACTGTATTGCCCGCTGGGGCAAGGGAAAGAAGTGTACGTCTTATATAACTATATGGAGCCAAGCGCAGTATCCTCCCGTTCACAACATCGACCCCTTCACCAAGGGTTGAACCGCTTTCATATCCGCCGAGCTGGGTCGCCCTAGCTCAGCCCCAAGTCATGCATGCTTTGGTTATCCCAACTTTGTCCTATCAATCAACACAGTTCGCAAATTTTGTCAAGCCAAGATCCTAACATTCAACTAGCTTTCAACCATGCTCCATTCACCACCGCGTCGGGAGTCCCTGGTTAAGGCAACGGCACCTCGTCGACCCTTAGTGCAAATCTGAATCCTATTGAAGCCCAGACGCTGGCCACCTATTTGGAACAACATCGGTGCCACTGGCGTGTTGCAATTCATGGGCGCATCTTTGATATATGAGATGTCCTGGCAGTTAGAACAGAGAACAGGGCCCTGGAAAACCTGAGGTTTTTATATTTACGCAAGAAGTGTTTGCTCTGTTGGAGTTTCCAATTCGACCAAAAAGCCTACAATTGCAGTAGTCGAGGATCTTTCTACCATTTTCAACATGCTCTCATCAAGCAAGTTTGCCTTGCAAATTTCTATTGCCTTAATGAGCAAGGTACCATATGTCCATCCAGGGATACAACATGAAGCTTGGCGCCGCCACACCCATGGATTCTGAACAGAGCTCTAATATTATGCTCCGCCGAAATTTCGTACTCGTCACTACAAGTACATGTGTACTCTGTATATTGTAGAGGCAGACCATTGACCAAACACCCAAAGACCCATCGGAAACCCCCGAGCTCTATCAAACTAATAAAATCGGTCAAACCGCCGAATAATAAAACTGACATCAACGTTCGGTTTCAGCGTTTCAAATAAAAATGCCCCATGAAGTCCTGTAAGGCGAGACGATCATCCACCAAGCCCTATTCTGAATTCCGACCTTTCCGCCAGACACGCGGTGAACATCGACGATTCTTCCCATTTCGAGCGTTAGGGGACCAACGTATCTGGAAGCCGCAACGAACGCATCCTTCTCGGAGACACCGTGTTGGATCGGCGGCGCAACACGTCGCCTTAGGACAGTACAGCTCCGTACGGAGTACGTTGTACATCGTATACTGTAGCTCAGCTGCCTACCGGAAGTCCTCGGTCCGCGAGCGGAGCTGACTGGATCCCGTACAAGTCGAAGCGGAGAGAATGCCGAATGTCCCCTCAGCCCCAGCAACCAACCTCGAACCTTGACGGAACATGTTTCCGTCAAAACGAGGGGACTATAGTCCGTACCACGAAACCCCACATCGTTTACGGAGTACGGAGGAGAAGAAACCCACAATAGCGGTCACGGGGGGCTGACTGTTTCTCGTATTGGCAGACTGATAACAAAGGATATGTACGTTGGATGAGGAAGGTGGGGACTTTCTATGGACACTTGTTGGATACTCCCAGACAAGGTCCCAAAATACCTCAACCTCATAGGGTAGGGAGTGGCACATCGTCATATCGGCAGTTACTGTATTTGAATACTCGGCTAGTTCCTTGGCGCGCATTGGGCCACTCGGAAGTCACGAAATGTGTTGCTTTACGAGGGTGGGTTTCTTGGCAAGTGGCGATCCAGCCTTATTTCTTGGATGTGGATGTCTTGGCTTCTTTCAGGGGAGAGATTGCGACAGGTCGTTTTTGGTTCTGTTTTTTGTAATACCGTGTTTTGGTTGTTTCATTCGGAGTTAAGACTTGTCAGCCCCCTATGTTGCTGGGGTTAATGAATGTTCAACGCGAGTCATGAGTGAGACTCGAGGCCATCTAGGCACCTGGACACCTGGTCAGGTTGTATTGCTTACGTGATACTTGTTTTGGAAGGTTGAAGCTCGGCAGTTAATCTAAGTCATTCGGGTATTGATTTTTATGTTCATATGTACATCCGAAATTAGCCTGTCACTGACAGTCCTCGGCTCGATTGTCTCCATTTGGTAGACAAACACAGAGAGGGGGGGAAAAAAAGAAGAACACCAATCATGATCTGAACAAATATGATAGCAATAGGCCAAAAGGAAAGAATCAAAAGGTGAATCATAGAAAGGAAGAAAATGCAAGATATGAAAAATAAAACAGAGTGACATATAGACACTTGACAGGAAGCGAAGGCCGCCAGGGTATTGCTTCTCAAGAAATCATTCCAACGTCTTTACCAAAATGCTCAAAAATTAAGCTGTCTGCATAGGCATACTAGTCATAGGCAGTTGGGGCGGTGGCTGCTCACCCTCCTCGAACATCCACTTCTCCAATTTTTGGGCCATGCGCGCGCAGAAGGGATCAACATATCCAGTCCACAAAGTGGCGCAGAAGTAGACCAGCACGATCCAAGCCGGGATACTGATAGCCACGACCCAAGGGGCGCGGATAGGGATCCAGTGCGGGTGAAGGGGTTCTCCATCCTCGCCGTAGATCGGGTTGCCCTTCTCATCGACGATGTCGCCGTCCCAGGGCTGGCCAGTAATTCCGTAAAGCATCCAGCACAGAACGGTGCGCAGGAGAGTGCCGTGCACGAGGTAAACGGCGAAACTCTGCTTTCCGAGCCAGAGGAGCAGACGGCTGGAGAGGAAGTCCTTGGTGGAGGGTGAGATGTAGATGGCGAAAATGATGAGGTCAACGCCCAGGGCGGAGTAGCGCCTGCCGACGTTGACCTTCGGAGGGAAGATATAGTGCGAGGCCTGTTCCATGTAGGTCGACCATACAGCCCATTCTGGGTGTTCTCCGGGGTACGAGCAGACAATTAGGCCGAGGCAGACAAGGAGGCCTGCTACGATCTTGCGGCCCCAGCTGTGGCGTTCGACGAATTCTTTGAAACCGTTCTCATAGGAGAGATCGCTGAGGAACATGCCGTAAACTGCCTGCATTTGGAAGGTTTCTGTTTCTTGATTAGTACCAGGCGTGGGGGAGTTGGGTTTCACATAGAACATACCGGTGTTCTGGGCTGCGTTCTGGTGGAAGTAGAGGTACATTCCTAGGTAGATGGCCACGCGGAATCGGAACTTGCAGAACATTGTTGCGCAAATAAGGATGTAAATCAACATAGATGCCTGGAGCAGCGGAAGCAAAGCCCACTGGTGGTCATCGTACGCCATATATCCCGTGGTCCAAACCTCAAGGAAGGTCTTGAACAGGCGGACGAACTCCTCCCAGAAAGTAGGTGCCAAATCGACGGCCGCGTAACGGCACCACCAACAGTCGGAGCGATTAGCTGCGATGAAGGCGCCAAACTGTGCCATGACCCATGATATAAGCAAGGCGATAGTAGCGGGGAAGATGAGGCGAGGTGGGCGGCGGAAGGCACTCTTGCCCACCGATGTGAAGGATCCAAGGATATCGCCATTGCGAGACTGTTTGAGCGGCTTGAGAGCACAAACATAGCCAGTCAAGAAGGCGAAGATGGTGACACCCAAACGGCCTTGCCAAGGAATACGGAAGACGGGCCACTGCAGAATTCGGGGAGGGGTGTCAAAATCGTCCCGGGGGGAAAAGAGGTCATAATCCCATGCTCGGGCAAGGTGAGTGAGGATAACTAGGAAGGAAGCGATTCCTCGTAGACCCTATTGATGATGTTAGTAACAAGTCCGACCTTATAAGGCTGAGATGCGAACGCACATCAATCCACTTCACGCTTTTCCGCGGATCGCCTTTCACCGATGGATCTGCGGACTTCCAGGGGATGTTGTCCAATATGCGCGAGTATAGATGGTTGGGCTGTATATACTCCATGGTGGGTGTAAAGAGTGAATGAGGAACCAAACAAGTCCGATAGGAGACTCGGGGTGTCTAGTTGGTCGGTTGAAATGGAAAGCCAAATGCGACCATAAACATTGAATGTTCAAAAAGCTCCAAAAATGCCAAAACAAAGACAAAAAGGCTGAATATTCAAAGGAGAGAGAGGAAGGGACAGAGGTTACTGAGAGAGCCTAAAAATGCGAAACCTCCCCATAGATCAACGAGCGCAGAAAGGAAAGTTTCAAAAGCAAAGGGGCCAAGACAGCAGAATGGGATATATGTAAGAGAAATCCGAATCAATTCATGTTTTCCCACGAGACGAAGATCTTGGCTAAGCGGAAATCGGGTACGAGGCGAATGAGCGCGAACTGGAATTGGGGGATTGACCCTTTGTAGGATAGGTGTCGCGTGGGGCCGACTCGTTAGTGGGGCCCTTTGAAAATACAAGTTTAATACCCTTGAAAGATGGCAAATGTGACGAAAGGCTATGTAAATTATACTATTTATAAGATGCATAATTATACTATTTGACGAGTACTCCGTATCGTCCGCTCGTTTACCGTATTCTGTTGCCCTCAATTGTTTAGATATAGATAAAAGAGGACGCGTAGCCTACATGCATGTATATTGCATGTAACTATGGATGGTGACATCGCCGTCGGGGATGAGCATCCTGCATACTCCATACTCCTTACAAACAAGCGAAGGGGCTAATCCAACGCGTAGCAGATTGAAGCTATCTCCAGCCTCCTACTGTAGAAGCTGACGACGCTCTGCACATTAGATCGAACTAGGATCGAACCAACCAATTAATAGCCTGTATTTTCCCCATATGAACCATGGGCTAAAGGCCGCCTCAAATTACGCCAAATCTTGGCATTGAACGCACGAAGCCCAGGTCTCCATTTTAATTGGCCAGGGTCATACCAGCGGCAAATCGGAATCTAGGTTTCGAATTGATTTCCTTTTTCTAAATTTCTCGCTACGCTTGGGGCGTTAACGCTATGCCACTTCTACTAAGGGGATGGAATTCAACCTTTGGAAGTTAACCCCCTATTTCCGCCAAATACGAAACCGAGAACCTTGGGCATTTGGATTCACGGGGTGCGGAGGATACTTCGTATGTATGTTGTGCTCCATATGGAGTATGGAGTACGGAGTACGGAGTAGATTGTATGGAGTATATTGTACACGTTATCTGACACTCGGACTCCGTGAAGATCGCCTGTGCCTCGGGAACTTCCCGATAACCCTCGTGAACACTGGAATGATGAACAACAATTGAACCTTACAAAGATAACATTCCGTCCCTTTTTTGGAATGTGACGGCAGGTGAATTTGATTTGAATTGGAATTTGAAACATTTATAGCAACTCAATAACATCGTATTCGGCCAATAACGCAGAGCAAACTCTTGGCGCCTAGTCCTAAGTCGTGGGATTAAATTATTCAGGTGGCTCACTAGACTATTGAAAAAAATGGGTCCTTCTAGAATTTTAGTATTTGTTTATTTGCCCTATGTATTTGCCCTATGACAGTTGATCGTCCAAACCTCTTATGATCCTACGGAGTACTCTTGTACAGCACTACCTCGGTTCTCAATCACATGATGACATGCACAAAATAGAGCAACGTGGATTTTGAAGCTCTTTTAAGACTAACTCAACTTTCGTATTTTCAGGTAGTTTGTAGGCTTCACAACTTCTGCCTATAGTTAGAGCCACAAATAAACCGACACATACGTCGTAATGCTAGGGGGGATACAGCGATCGTAATACACGGCTAAAGAAAAAAAAAAAAAACATCTAAGCCCTATGGGGATCTTCTTCCCGTGACTGACAGCACATAGTATGTACTCCGTACGGAGGAACGAGTACGGAGTACAGTGTCTTTGTATGGGAATATCTCGGTTCTTGGCGACCCATTTATTTGGCAAAAACTGGAAGTCTGAGCGATTTTCAGCCCTGGAGGATTCATATTGTAGGAAGGATCGTCTGCCTTGTGGAGGTCAGAAGTTAGAGGTTCCCCTGCATGATGGGGGTAGTTATGTGCAGGGGTGTATGTGGTGGCTGTCTGTAAAACATATCCCCGACTATTCGGAGATAGGTATTTACGTCTGTCATACGGAGTATCTACGTATTCGGGGTTGAGATGCTATTTTAGCCACTGTGTACTTTCTGCGCACTTTCTAGTCAAAACTACGTTCTAGAACCGGCATATTCCGCCTCTGGTGGACCAATACCCACTTTTATTACAATTTAAAAAGATCTAAGGGTCTCGGGAAATTGATCAGATATATCGTTCTCCATGTCAGTAATGTAATTCAAATGACAATACATCAATGCTTGGCAACAAAAGCCGCGTGGTGGCGGGCCAAGATCACGCAATTTTAATTTCAACCCGACACATCCATTTAGACCGGTCTGAATTTACCCCTTAGTCAGGAGAACTTGATGGTTTAGGGGTGTAACGGGACCAGAAGGACCAAAAGAACCAGAATCTGTGTAGGAACAACTCTGTCATTTCCAAAATGCGACTTGGACATACATTTACGACCTTTCTTTCATGGGCCGTGGTTGCTTCGGCCACTATTCTCCAGAACGGTCAAGTGAGAGAGAATGCATACCCGGGCCAGTTACAACCGGTGACTTTGGATGATTCATGGAGGAACTATCCCGCGGATGCCCCGGAGATCTCTTACAAAGGTCGATGGGATAGCCAGCACATTTCTTGTATGTTCCCCTCTCCGGGCTCCTCTTCCCCGGATTCTTGTGTTTTAACCTTAAAAACTAACCTTGGAACGAAACTTAGGGTGGTCGTATGTATTACTCTCTAGTATTTTGTCCTGTATACTAATTAATTCAGTGCACCGGGAATCAAAGTCGAGTTTTCTGGGGAAAAGGTACATCTTGTCAATTCCGATCAACCTTAAAAATGGGTCCACATGTTAACATCATTCTAGCTTGCTGTCCATTTTGGCCCAAACACCAACACAGGTGTTCTAGTCGCTTACCGGTATGTATACATCTCCATCTCCATGTATTCATTATTCTAAATCTTAGCAGGATCGGCTCTCTTGACTGGCAATTCTCAAATATCACCGCCTCCTCAACATATCAATTTGTTGGTCCGTGGTCAGAGCTCAAAGATGGTGATGAACCCGTCGACAAAAATGTGTTTGAGATGAGAGGTATGCATTCTATCAAACCCCACTGGCGATCTGTATACTGACTGCATTATAGTGACAAATTGGGGCATTGGATAAGTCTCTCCCTGTCGTTCAATCTGTTCATTACTTACCGTCCACACAGTCCAAATCGCTGGTGTAGCAGTCGCCAATGGCGCTGTCCTGACTAAGGCCCCGACCTTCGAAAAGAGAGTTGAGATCATCGGTGGCTCGTGAGACTTCACTCCCTACCAGATAGTCTTCCAAGCAACTAACCGTCCCCAAGGCTTGCATCTGGGCAATTCGCCACCTATGAGACAATATCCTCATGGTCCTTCCTCTTCGCCAACGGCTTAGGTAATGTCGAATATGGCATCACAGCCTATCCTGGCGTATGTCTCGCCGATGAACAATGTTACAACGGCGGGTCTCGCGGTGTGGTATGTCACCAACCTCTCATATCCACTTGGAACTCCACCACCAACTAACAACGCCACTAGGGATGGTACTGGCACCGCGCCTCAGACCCCGGCTCTCGCGCACGTTCAATCTACGACCGCAACCCCGAGAAGTGGGACGTCAAAGCAGAGCAACCGGCCGATCTTGTGATCATCCAGATGGGCGGTAACGATCATCGCCACCCCAACGACATCCCTGGCAGGGATTACTACCATGCCTACGTCGACTTGGTGGAGGATATCCACTCTAACTGGCCTAATGCAATCATCGTCCTCATGGTACGTCTTTCTTCTATCTACAGCTTTGGCTGTAAATGTTCATCCAACCTAACTTTCAACAGTCCCAATGGGGAGGTTTCACCAAAGAAGGCAAGAAGTACGTCGGTAGCACTTACTACCAAGAAGAGACCCAGGAGGTCAACGAGCACTTCAAGGACCGTGGTTTCGTCTACTATTTCCCCACCGAGGGTCTTCTGCAACATAATGATATTAACCCCAAGAACCATCTTACGGATGTGGGACATGTCAAGATTGCGAGTCACATGTTGCAGTGGGTTAAGTTGGTTCTCAGGTGGAACCTTGAGCCCACAGGTGAAGTCCACTCTGGAACTACTTACTGGAACGATCAGCAGGAATACTGATCGTCCTTTCGGGGGACTGAAATTGGGGCTGGATAATGATCTGGCCTTTGTACATATATTTACTGGATACATACTTAGCACATTGTGGATAAACTGCAGGAACATATATATAGAACACATATACCGCCTTTTACGGCATTGTACATTTTGCGAATTTTTAAGCTTGCTACTCTAAGTCGGTAGTATATTTCCAGACAACCAAAAGTAGGGTAGCCATGGGAACTGGGAAATGTGTTTTTTTGGAATACTCACCAAAATCCGAAGCCATGAGCGATCACAGGTACGACCAGATGTTGAATATAACCAGGCCTTTAAACCAATGACCTTCCGCCGTTTCTCAATCGCACAAGTAACTCTTGTCAAAAAAGTAGTCGGTTCCAGCCAAAGCAGTTACTACTGCAGTAACAAGTATGTCCTCTGTCAACGCCGTCGCTTCCGAAGGCCTGCTTCTCGAATACAACATTTCGATCAACTAGGTTCGTATGGAAGGGTCATATATCGTGGATATCATTCGCAGCGTATTCAGCTGCATTTCATAGGCTCGATCTAGCCTATGGCTTCGCTCAAGTTCTGTACTCGTGAGGGGTATTCAAGTGTTTGCCTGTATCTCTCTTCAGCATCTCTCCATCCACCATCATGATCACCATGGATCTCCACATCTAGGCCTCCGACAACACGTTTGCGCCGATAACACGAGATGTCAAAGCAGACCAGCAGCTTGATTTTGAGGCCCCTTGCTGGGATTGTTGTTCAAGCGTCTCCTGACAAATATGCACTTCCATCATAATACATGTTTTTCGCAACCCAGATCTTCCCCTCCGTCCAGGGAAGGGAAGAAATAACGAAGGAACTCTTCGCTAATTGGGTCATAAGGGAAATGTGCATCGCCTGCAGTGTACTCTTGGGTATTCGGCGTGGATAAAAGTCCAGACGTCAAAGAATCAGTGAGATCCGAGTCATTGTTGTAATGGTCCACGGCATGACTTTCATGGGGATGAATTGACGATTGACATTGACCGTTGGAAGGCAAGCCTTGCGCACCGTCAGTTGTTCCATCAAGCTGTGCAGGCGGTACATGGCCAACATTATCACCAAACAGGCCATCTCGCTGCTTATTTGGTGGTGGTATGTCGCTGGTGTCGTATCCCATGCTAGAGACCAGCCGGCGAACTGCACTTTCGCAAAGTTTCCATGCACGATGCGACGCAATGCAATGTGTGGACATCATGTAAAGCCACCGGACGGACTTCTTTGCTGACTGAACCAAACTGCTTTTTCGGTCTGGCATATGCACACAGCGGAACGACAGCTCCAATATGATTACTGTGGCTGTCTGCATGATATAGTGAAGGAAACACCACCATGGGCAAAACTGATATAAATGCACAGAATTCGGCTGGTCCGGCAACAAATCGAGCATTTGCATGGCCGACTCAAGGGTCATCACAGCCATGTCGTGACTAAATCCCTGCTGGTCGAGACTCCGTTCCTTGTCGGGCCGATTTGGGTTGTGCCGACAGAGACATGGTCGACCTAGCATGATTCGTGTGCTATGATAGTGGAATGCCAAATTTGTCTTCGCCCAGTAGGTTTGTTGATTTTCGTCTTTCACAGAAGTGAAGTCCAATCCGGGAGGAAGACTCGATAACCATGCATCCACATTTGCCTTCAGCCGATCTATGCTGCCTTTGATGTCTTCCCAAGATACTGTCGCATTCTCTGGTGAATAGATATGATCTAGGATTTCTTGGTTCATAACTGTGAGATCACAGTAGTATAGGAAATAAAGGCTGGGATTGACTGGCAGGCTTTGAAGCCACGCGCGCCCAGCTAGTGAATCTTCAGTCTCCTGACGGTCGGGGTGGCGAATGTGCGGGCTAGTCATGGCCATGTCCACGCGTTTTTCTCTTATACCCAAGTCTCCAAGAAGCACTGTAGCCGGTGGCTTCGACAAATGATCTTCGTCTAAGGGAAGAGGCAGTTGAGTGGTATACATATTGGTCGAAATAGCGGTTGCCCGACCAGTCATCGAACCTAGCGTGTGTTCGACCATGTAAAGACACCACCAAATTCGGCAGCCTATCTCCTTCGACACACCTGACATTTTATGGGAACTGCTCTTCAGGTTGAGGCCAAGGGAGGTGGCGGACCGAATTGCTAGAGCCGAGATTCTCCACGCCCTACATTTATCAGATTCATTCCGCAACGAAAAAAAGATCAATGGACTCACCTATTAACCTGATTTGTAGATAGCATGTGAAATGCAATCAACCCCTCTATTTGCACTTGCTGAAGATCCGGATGTTCGAATAAACTATCGCCGCCCAGACCTAGCATTCTAGCTCGCGTTAAGTAGAAGAGGTGGTCTTTGATATCCCCCCGCTGTGCCACATCGCTGTTATATAAGTATTCTGTCGCAATGGCGAAGATCATATTCAGTATTGCCATCCATTTATCACCCGCATAAGATATCTCATCGAAGAATTCCCTGTATTGGGTGGAAAACAGATTGCTGTTGATGATAGGGAAATGCGGGTGAACTGCGAGCAGATAAGTTTCAAACAGATGATCTGCCAGCTGTCGAGGAGGCACCCAATACATTTGTACCGGGCCGGGTGCTTCAACACCAAGGTCATCAAGATGATAGTTGATCGTGGATGGAGAGATTTTGTCACTGGTGTGATCTTCGGATGTAGCTTGTGGTGATTGACCGCGAGTTCGCTGCTCTGCCTCTTCCTGCACCCGGCCCATCCATGTGATCTCTGAGCTCTTGCCCATATATCCAGTGGCCCGGGAGCTTTCTGTTAAATTGAGGTCTTCCTCGACTCGATCTACCGCTTCCAATGACCCGATGGACGAAGGTGAACTGGATCGCTTAGATGACCCATTCCGGTCCTGAGACGCATCAGGCGTTCCATTTGAGGTATACCCTGAATCGGGGTTATACTGGTAAAGGGATCAGTCAAGGGGAAATACTTGAGCGTATTCTTGATATGATGAACTCCTCACCTTCTGGAGTAGATCTTTAATGCGCTTCGCAGATCGGCCGTCGACCCGATTTCCCATCTCTTTCAACATAGTCTCATAATCCTGCACCTTTTCATGAAGACCTTCGATGTGCCTTGTAGTATGTTTAGCTCATGTCCCAATTTAATGCATATAAAATAGGTATAGATTTGGTTATTGAGACAGATGAGTCGTTCTGGTTGTTCTTACTTTGTCGTTTTCTCACGCGACTTTAGCGGATAGATGCATGGACACTTCGTTTCTTCACATTGTTTACAAGTTGGCGTTTGGCCGTTGCATTTTATTTTTCGTTGACGACATGCTTCGCACGCCCGTGAGACTCGTTTGTTGGATGGCGGTGCGACGACGAACCGTTGTCGGGGAATTGCAACTTTCATGGCAAAAATTTCCCCCCTGCAAATATAGGTAGTCAAAAATATGAGGGTATCAATTACTTCAAGGACGTCTCCATTGAGCTTTGGTAAGTCACGAAATGATGTCACGTTGCCTGGCTCCGTACAGCTTTTTACGATGACATCACGAGTTGGGTCTGATCTACTATGAAAAACCGGTTGGGAAAATTTGCTTTCCAACTATTACATTTGATTGGATAACAGCAATTAAATTTAGGATAATTGAAAGGAACGAATGAGTAATTCTAGTAAATTGTGGGATATTCATGAGCCTCCATATGTACAAGACTGTATAACCAAATTTGGCAATCGTGAGGTTTCAAGAAACATCAAACTCGCCAAAGGACGTTATGTCATAATTTGTCAGCAGGCCTCTCTTCCAAGGTTTGAACCTATACCTAGGTAGGGCTGTATGCAATGAAGCTATATGGTTGCTACACCTTTCCACACCAAAAGTTGGATTCTAAGTGAAGAGAATCCATCGGGTGAGATAAAATTTGAGCTTCAGCAAGATCAAAAAAATCAAAATGAGCCCCGTACACTACAGAGGATGCTGGCGAACTAGGTCCCTACAGCAAACTTCAATATGATTGCTTTGAGACGATACGGTCGAAGATTATTAACAAGAACTACTCCAAATGATTTGACACCACATCCCCCTCCAGCAAATTCCCGTCTATATAGACCCAATCCCGCCAAATGCACAAAATGAGACACGACATCAAGATCAAGGATGGTGAGCCGCAATTTTAGCCACAGATATGTAATGGACATTCGTTACGTGTGTGGCAGCACTCTATACAAATGTACCAGTGTGTCCGATGGTTTGGTCTCCCACTTGGTCTTCTTATATATGATTTGGGACCATCCTTTCGTTTGCATTATTTGACTGCAAGGCATTTCTAAAGCATATGGCGAGGGGTAATTTGAACTCGGACTTTTACGGTCCGTGTCTAGCTAATGCCCTACTTGCAAATGCATATGTGAGTATGTACTGAACACCCAGCTTCTGTTGGGGATGTGTTAAATGGACTTAATCAAAACTATTCGCGATATTCTGGTTTTCTACTGGAATAAAGACGTTATCCGGACAAGACATACTTGATCACTTTGACTTCTTCGCAGACCAACAACCCCCGTAGCCCCGGATCATCAACCCCCGTACTCCCCACAAATACGGAACTTGTCCGGAGAATCCACGCTAGACATGTACGTCTTTTCGCCAAGTTCACAGTAAACCAACGATAATGGAAGGGGTACGCCATGATATCAAATAGTGGATCATGAACTTCGCAGATCGCTCGGACATTCAAAGCTTTGCGTCTTCATTACCCCAGATTGGAACAGTCGAACTACGCGCATGATAGGCTAAAGGTATTAGTGTATCTGATTTCGCTTTTGGGCAAGTTGTAGAGCCTGAGCGGCTGATTGATGATCTCTGTCAATCCCCGCATAGGAAATTCTGTTATTAGAAGGGACTGTCCCACATCGGGGGGTATAAAGCGCAAGCGTGCTGTTTCAATTATTCTAATATTCCTCCACTCTGTCTACTGCCAGCATAACCCTCACACCTTCTTGATATATCCCCATAGAGTCCATATATAGATCACTATAACCAACATGGGGTTTTTCAATCGGCTGCGTATGACAGACACTCCTAAAGAAGTCTTTAACCGCCGCCTCTTTTGGTCTGTTGGAATCTTCGGTACGCGTACCCTCAATCCTTCCATACTTAGTGCTAAAGAAGAGTAACAGGTATCCTTGGGGCGGGCAGAGGAATCGATGAGGGCCTCGTTGGCGGCATGATCTCGCTCAAAAGCTTCAAAAGCGAGTTTCCATTAGAAGTGGGCTCTGCGTCGGAGATCGCGAACCGCGAATCAAATATCACTAGTATGTTGCAGCTTGGATCAATAGGCGGCGCACTGCTAGCGTTTCTTCTGTGTGATCGAATCGGCCGTGTAAGAACACTGCAGGCCCTCACCCTGATATGGGCCCTTGGCTTTGTGATCGTCATTACTAGCTTCGGCAACATCGGACAGATTCTTGCCGGCCGCTTGATCGCCGGCATCGGCGTTGGTATGACCACGGTGGTTGGCCCGACATATTTAGCAGAGGTTGCTCCGAAGGAGATTCGTGGTATGTTGACCAATATCTTTGCCGGCGCCGTGTACTTCGGTGTCATGATTGCCTATTTTGCAAATTGGGGCTGCTCTGTGAACATCTCCGATTCTTCTCGGTCCCAATGGGTAATTCCACAATCTGTTCACATCATGTTTGCAGGGTAAGTAATGTCCACAAGAGTTACTATGTCTATTATAGACTGACACGAATTTTGATATCAGAATTATCTTCCTTGCATCTTGGACCGTTCCTGAGACTCCTCGCTACCTTGCCATGAAGGGAAGGTATGAACAAGCTCTTAATAATCTCTGCATACTACGTCAACTGTCATCCGATCATCCAAGCATCGTGTCTGAGATGCTCGAGGTTCGCGATCAACTAGAGAGCGAACAGGAAAGCAGCCGTGGATCTTCATTTTGGGGGAAATTGAAGGAACTTGTCACGATCCCAGCGAATCGCTACCGCTTGATGCTGGGCGTGATGTCGCAACTGCTCGGGCAATGGTCTGGCGCGTCGGCGATTACCATTTATGCAACCAGCTTTTTCGCAGCGCTTGGAAAAACGGGCCAAAGCGAAAAACTTTTCGCCACGTGCATCCTAGGCATTGTCAAGTTTGTCTCCGCCTATATTTCCGCATTCTTCCTCATTGATTTCCTCGGCCGTCGTCGCTCCCTTTACACAGGAATCATCTTGCAGGCCCTTACCATCTGCTACATGGCCATTTACCTGGCTAAAGTTCCTGCGTCGGTCCATGTCGGCGATGATGGTGCAAGTGCGATAACGGGCTCTGCCAAACGTGCGGGCATTGGCGCAGTCGCAGCAATCTATCTCTCTGGCTTTGGCTGGGCAATCGGCTGGAACTCGTTCCAATATTTGGTCAACGCGGAGATTTATCCCAGTCGACTGCGCGCGCTGGGCTCGTCAATTGTGATGTGCACCCATTTTGCGAATCAATTCGGTAATACCAAGGCTGTTCCCAGCATGATCATTGCAATGACCAACTACGGCTTTTTTGTATTTTGCACGGCGGTTTGTGTTGTGGGCCTTCTCTGGGTTTGGTTCTTTGTCCCTGAAACTGCAGGAAGAAGCCTTGAATCGATGGAGACATTGTTCGATCTACCTTGGCATCAGATCGGTCGTCATGGGAAACACCTTGCTCCTGATGGGATTGATCACTTTGACGAGAATGACAGAGAGAAAGCCGCTGCAGTTCACCAGGAGTAGCCGTGAGATGGAACATTTTAAAGCTTTCCGGTATGGACTTTGCCTGGGCATTCTGTGTCATTTGTCACTTGGCTTTACCGAGAACCAATATACAATATAAAGGCAACATGTCGCAAAAGATGAAGATGTTCAAACGAAAAAAGTAAAATCAGGAAGATAAAACCCGTATCCCGAGGAAACTCACTCAGAAATAAACGTATTCTTAGAAGGAGCGATAGAAGTGATTTTTTTACTCCTGGAATCGACAGCCGGGGGAGGTGGGGGGAAAGACAAGAAAGAACAATCTTGGAAGGAGAAGCAAACGGGGCCTCTCAACCTGAGGCATCAACCTCAATACACTGCTCTCACATGTTTGCACTGTCAAGTTTGATAGTGCTCGCTCTTCTTTGCGTACCGGTGGCCCCTATGACGAGGAATCCTTGATGGCGGTTCGCATATTGCCCAGGCATTCGACATCTTTTTTTTATATAATCTACACTGTCCTTAACACCATACTACATATTACCTATTAGGATGATCTCTATCTGATTTCACTCTTCGTTCGCGGTACTATCATTACTATTAATTCTTCCCAGAATTTGAAGCAACCGAGACGTGAGCTGTCTCACCTCCCCCAACCCCACATGTTCATTCCTTTGCGAAGGATTCGCCGGATCTCGCATAATACTCATATCCTCCTCGATATCATGCAGCATCTCTCCCAACCGCATGGTAGCATGACGCAGAGTCTCACGCGCCACAACCACCATTTCACGGCTATCTAGCTGCATACTCCCCAGATATCCCGTCACCTCAGTTACAATTACTGCGGGCTTTGTTTCCACCGATCTATCCCTGCTTCTGTCGCGAGTGCTCGATGGCTTGTTGGATCGATCTAAGCCACCCCCATTAATCACGAGACAGGGTTAAGTCAACCATTTCGGGCCGAGGATCCACATACCGATACCCCCACTGCTAGGCTCCTGGGTCTTATCCGAACCTTCGAGTAGAGATGCAACAGCTGCCTCGTATAGCGTGAGCGTCTTTACTATAGCATCTATCATTGTTTGCAGCATTCGCGCATCCAGATGTGTATCGGCTACGGGGCAGCCATGCAATAGCTCCCAGTGCTCGACCAAAGCTGCTCCGAGGATGAAGACTTCATCTGCAGGTATGTACAGGGTATCTGGTGAAGATCTAGTCGGGAAGTCTGGGAAGCGATTGAGAGCTTGGGCTGTCCGGGCGAGACAGTTGCAGGGCGATTGGGGTTGGAAGTGCGGCATTATTGGAGGTGTGTTTTGAGCGAACAGTTAAAAGCTGTCCATTTGTCTAGAAAGTCGGTTCACTAACTTTGTTATAAATAGGATTAGATCGCACTACCCGAGGGTTTCTTTTCATGGGCATTAGAGGGTTTTGCACCATCAACTACTGACCATTGCCTTACAAATCAACAATTAACCCGCCTGGGCATGGATGCTTCCCGGGGTCCGGACAGCTGTGCTTACAACAATTGCGGTATAGATGCACCCCACCATAAAAGGTGCTACAGTATTTACTCCGGACTCCGAACTCCTTACAGGGGGTGTTTCATTTCCAAGCATAGAATGGCCCGACACAACCTTCAAAGGGATGGTCGGGGCATTTTCACATTAATAATCCATCGGGTGCTTTTTATTATTGGCTGGGTGCTTTGCTGTCCAATCAAATGATATTCAAAAGTACCCGACACGGATCCCTCGAAGGTGTTCAAGTTAATGGAAAAATACGTCGAAAAGTTTACCTTGTGTTAATTTGCAGTAAGTAAAGTCATGTTGGATTATGGTCCCTCTTCGCGAAAAACCATGTACAAAATATTAAGTTATTGAAGATCAGGAGACCAGCCATATCGAGATGGTAGTAGGCTAAGTTCCGATCCCACCAATTCCACTCTTCCTTGTAAGGACTCTACAGGTGGTGAAGGTCTTCGGTGATCTGCTTCGCAGATCCTTGTATAACACGGGTCCCGGGCCCGGGGCCCGACGAGCCCCTGAATATCGACCAATGTCACTAACAGTTTCTGGATTCGACGCCTTAGATCTATCTCATAGCTCATGACTTTGCCTCGCTGCCTACTCTGAATTTACCCAAAAATACATCGCAGTCTGCCTCCTGAACGGGACAAGTCATGTTTCGATCGAAGGCCCCACGGATAGAGCGTTCAAAGCGAGCGGCAGACGATGAGCCGATGAGGTTCTCGTCCCGCCGGGAGAAACGGGGCTGGGGATTATTAGCCATGTGGCTCTAATAATGTGCTCACTCTTGTGGGATACTACCAGCCACCCGTGGACCCTTGCTAGCCGGCAGTAAACTAGCCACTATCGACCTATCGGCGCGGGCTTGATCTACGCCTTTGATCTGACTTCCGGTCTGGGAACTATCATCGGATATCAAATTCTGTGCAGCACAGGCACCGGACTCTCAGTTCAGATCCCTGTTGTTGTAGCAGGAGCATTGAGCTCAATAGATGACTAGGCCATTACCATGGCGACTGTTCTGTCCAAATGTATTCCAAAAACTAACAGCCAACCCACTGAACTGTTCACAGTCTTCCAATTCATCTCGGTCGCTTACTGTGTCGGCTCCACGGATTCGATCACAAACAACCCATTTCTTAGAAATATCCCGAAGCGTGGGGGCAAAGTCCCGCGGCCGGGTGAGGAAGGCAGAAAGGACGACCAGGGCAACATTGTTCCTATCGCCTAGTCTGTTTGAACGGGCTAGGCTTTGCTTATCTTGGTTTTGGTGTAGTGGATAGTTGTCTTCAAGCTTTGAGTTTCGGGGTTCGGGGTTTCTGTACTTCGGCGTTTCCTATGTGGAGACAAGAGTTATGCATAAATCTGGGATATAGATTGTGAAAAATAGAGATCAGGTACCGTAATGAGTTTTAATAAGTTTGAATAATTCTCAGGTTGATTCTAATTAGGCATCTCTACAAGCACCTAAGTATTCAATTGCGACTGAATTGAATCTCTCCTATTCTTTCCCATCATTTATGCATCGGGCATAAATCATATGAATTGGCCCAATTAGGCAATTGCCGAGGCATCCAAATATTTCATTCGCCAAGTCCTTTATATTCTTCCCAACAACTCCATATCCCATGAAAAGATTGGTGCTGAGATCAAACAGTTCCCAACCGTTGTTGTTCGGCCAATGCTATATCTCCTACAGCGGGATAATTTCCACATTAGGTGGCCATTGAAGGAGATTTTCTTTTCTTTTCTTTTTTTTTTTTTTAGAACGCCAGCATATAATAAGAAGACAGAACCAACGAAAGGCTTCAACAACCTGTCTCAATTTTGAATTAAAGCTAAATCAAGGCTATCGGTCCCCTTGCATAGGCCCTAGTAACTCCACATCCCACGCTTCCACAATGGCTCCACAACCCCTTCCATTCCCGGGGTTCACCCCGATATCTGATCGAGTATACCTTCGCAATGGCCACGAGAAGGCCAAGTCATCCCCAGCCGATGAGCCAACAACGATCATCATCTCCGGCTGGGGCGACGGCATGCCGAAACACGTTACCAAATATTCCGACGGCTACCATGAGCTCTACCCATCCGCGCGGATCATCGTCATCCTATCGCGTACCTTCCAAGCCACCAACCAACCGGAGGAAGCCAGAATCCAGGCCATGATGCCGGTCGTTGACACCGTTTTCCCCACGCCAACCGGCAGCGGAAACGAAAAGGAGCGCCTGCTTGTGCATGCCATGTCAAATACCGGCGCCATCTTCACTGCCTCCACCGTTATCGCATACCAGCGACGCCATGGCAAGGACAAGCCATTCCCCCACCAGCTCATGGTGTTGGATTCCACGCCGGGAGGTCTGGTCTTCACGTCTCAGGTTACCCGGTGGTCGCGTGCTATGACGGTCGGCACAGCCAAGTTCTTCCCTTGGCCCTTCATTATCACACATGGTATGTGGTACGCTTTCCTCTGGGCGAATTACCTGTGGCAAGTCCTGCGCGGTGCTGTGTCTTCTGGTGTGTGGGCGGACAGGATCATAAATGATAAGTCCTGTGTCGCGACCGATTCTAGCAGAGTTTACCTGTACTCTAAGGAAGATGAGATTATTGGTTACAAGGATTTGGAGGAGAATGTCGCTCATGCCAAGACTTTGGGCTACTCGGTTGATCTTGAGATGTTTGAGGGCTCATCGCATGTGGGACATATGAGACTTCATCCTGAACAATATTGGAATAAGATTTCCAGCTCTTGGAAGCAGGCCATGGCGGAGAAATAAGGTGCTGCGGGGGCTGGATATATTGTATCTTGTGCATTTGTATTTCTAGCTTAGACTATGTTTATTAATTATATAGAGTTATTTAATTGTTGGTAATTTCATTGGTATCACTCGCGAGTTTCTAGAACAAGGACAACTAATCTCTAGCTTAGCCAAGCCCTAAGTCCGGGGTTTGCGGGGGTGTCGATCGAACCCTGCATGAGAGATGGACCTACAATCCGCTATATCGGTACAAATTGGTCTTAGGTTATACTTTTTTATTGCTCTCAATCGCGATTCAGACCTCAATTTACAAAATAACCGGCAAGAACTTCATAGGTTGCAATTCATTAATCGTAATTCAATAACTCTGCTGAGCACTATCAATCTGGTTCTTCCAAAACAATGCGAAATGAATATACAACGACCCATCAACTTCACTCTGGAGATAAAACCTAGTCACGGTCATCAGGATGGAAAACCAATGCTCGCACTTCAATACTCTCTCTTCCTGCTTCATTCTCCGTTTCCGGATTAACAAAGGCAGTATGGGGCACACGACGAGCTCTTCCATCAACCTTGGAATCAAAGCATTTGATAAGTGTCACCAAATCCGGAGTCTGCCCGTAGCGGTAATACCACTTGATATTCGGATCCGGCTTGACGCCGTATGTCTCGCCCTCGCGGTCCGGGTATATGAGTCCGATGGGCACAAGGTCACTATCTGGCACCGAGTGTGCATCCGCCACAGCTAACGGATCCTTTAGGATTGTCTTAATCGGACGCCAGACGTTGATAATCTGGTATCGGCCCTTGAGAAGCTCGGGTGCCTCGTCGGGGAGGTGGTGGGAGACTCTGCTCTTAGACGCTCTGTAGGATTGATCGATGTGCACGCGCTGTACGGGTCCGCGGATCCGGACACCGATGGATCCTTCGGCCGGTGCTCGGCGGATAGTGTGGTCGAAGATGAAGATGCGGGAGGCACCGGTGCTGGGCGGGTCATTGTTAGTTTCATTCAAAAGGACTCTGGGGTTTGGGGATTGCGTACGCGTCTTTTAGCAGTTGTTCTGTTTCTGGGTAGTATTCACTCTTGATCTTCTCCTCGTCTAGGAAGTCCTTCTCTTGGCTTTCGTGGTAGTAGAGCTGGAATCCATGGCTGTCTAACTTGTAGTCAAGCTCATGGCCGCTGATATCGTGGACGGTGGTTGCGAGAGGAGCCACAGGTCGATCATAGGTTTCTGGTTTGCTAGTATATGTTGGTGTCGGTGGAGAGCCATCCTCATTCTCTTTGAAGAAGTTGAGTGTAGTCTGGACATGGTGAGGCTTTTCGGAGATCGGGGCTCCGGGCTTTTCTGAGAGCAGAGGGCCGTGAGAACCGGGAAGTTGAACAGCTGCAGAAGCCATAGAGTGTTATTTGAGTTCTTAGTTAATAGAGCTTGTAACAGATGATGATTAGAATTATCGCAAAGAAACGGTTCTTTATATAGTATAGCTGATGTTGCGGGGTGAGTTCTATTTGTCAGAACACAGCACGCAATATTCGTATGACATGGAGAATTGCTGATAAATGCACAGTTTCATCCGGCGAATACAAGAATCAAGCCCGCAGGTAACTATGTTGTAGGCAACAAACACAACATGTGATGGAATCCCATTATTAATGGATGTTGTCGTGCATATGCCATTTATAATGTCGCATTCCCCGGAAGATCATTCGGCAATCGAGAGATGACGCAACTTAATATCAAATTTACGAAAACGACATTCCTCTCTTATATGTAACCAAGAACTTATTTTATTATAGTTCATTGTTTTTCTTTATGAGTAGACTACGTAGGGGATTTGTAGTATGTAGATGTGATATGAAACTCGTCTAGTCCAACTTCAATCTTTACACTCGGTTACCACATTTCCGGGGTCTCAAAAGAGGCAAGTAATTGGGCAAGAGCTTGGAGGGAGATATGTCTCAAGTAAAAACAAAATCTTGTCATTATTCGCAGCCAAAATGACCAGCATCTCGTTTTGTAGATTCCACAGCAAATGACGCCTTTTCTATTCCAATGAGATGGTGTTGTATCCGAATTGGGCTATAAGATATTGATACGGACTGAGAGAATTTAGGAGAAACAAGAACGAGGAATGTTTCGTGCATGTAACAATTCAAAGGCTATCCAAGAGTACTAAGAGGAACCTGAAAAACCACATATACCAGGTGAATTCATTCAGAGTCAGGATTCCTTAACATATTGGAAGATTGCATCCGTCGGGGGCTCATTTGGCTTTTCTCATTAGTTGTGGCCCCCAAGAGGCGCATATTTGTGTTACAATCATTGGAGATGACCATCTTTGTCTAGAGCATGCGAATCACCGACAACTATTCCACTGTCCGAAAAATCATGGACCTGACTGAGGGCCAGTTTGAATGGAATGACGACTCTGAAAAAGAGAGAAAGACCATTCTAATTGGCGATAGTCTGGCAGGTTATGTATGTCGTCTATTAGCTCGTGGTTTCTACACTGACGATTTGGCCTATTACTATGAGACTGGGGGTGTCTTGTTGCCGGCAATCGTGATTACGCTGCTTTCCAGATGAACTCTACAAGAGTAGTCGGCCGCTCATGCGGCCTCTGTTTTTGACGACGTAAATCTATTTGGCCCAAGGTGATAGTTACTAGTTAGTTATAACTAGTTACTTTCAACATAGTACATGTAAAGTAAGTGTGGATCTAAATTACAGCCTAATATAAGCCAATGAGAGAGTTGTGCCCCGGGTGGCATACTTAGTCGCCCGTAGCTTAGCATGGCCCACCAAGGTCCTCCTCAACAAAGTCAAAAGCATCGGCAACGGGTTTCCCCTCGACAGTTCGTCATCCGTATCAGAGCACAGCCTCAAATCAGTATTCAACAAACACAAGCGGGGCCCAGTAAGACGGCTTTGAATTGAAAGCAACACCCTCAGAGTCTTGGTATAAAGACTTCTAAAATTCTCGCGATCCATATTATCCCAACATCAAATAATCCAATCAACCCCACTTCCATCACCATGGCAGTAATCCAAGCAAAATGGACCAAAGTCGTCGAGGCAGAGATCTTACAGCGATCCTCCCAAATAGTCTCCGTCATTGACAGACAAGTCTACATTTTTGGCGGGGAGTTGCGGCCACGAGAACCCAGAGACAATGACGTCCACGTTGTTTCACTTGGAACTCGTAAGTTTCCCTATGTGTCTGTCCACAAGCAATATCATACCTAATTGAGGGAACAAAATCCTCATAACCAATACAACCACATACATACAACTAACCAGTCCCATAGCTGCAACCCTATCCACCAAACCACCCACCAACCAATCCCCTTCACCACGAGTAGGAACCGCATCAACAACACTCAATGGCAAAATCTACCTATTCTCCGGACGCGGAGGCACAGCAATGGCCCCTGTAGAAGAAAGCGGCGGGATCTGGGAATTCGACCCCAGCTTAGAAAAATGGTCCCTCCTCGCACCATCCGAGCCAAACCCGACATCCATCCCAGCAGCGCGCAGCTACCACTGCACAGCCAACGACGGCAAAGACACCGTGTTCATCCACGCAGGCTGTCCGGAGAAGGGCCGTCTATCAGATCTGTGGGCGTTCAGTGTATCCCAAAAGCAGTGGACGGAACTTGCTCCGGCGCCGGATCCACCGCGCGGTGGCACGTCTATTGCGTTTGCCGGGGGCAGACTTTATCGGATGAATGGGTTTGATGGGGAGCGCGAGCAGGGAGGTAGAGTAGACGTCTATGAGCCTGGAGCCAATGTGTGGAGCTCGCACTCATTTGTTTCGGATAGTGTGAGTGGGCCATCGCCGCGGAGTGTCGCAGCCTTGCTTCCTGTTGTTGTTTCTGGTCGTGTGTACTTGGTTACCCTGTTTGGTGAGCAGGATCCTAGTTCCTTGGGACATCAGGGGGCCGGGAAGATGTTGGGTGATGTGTGGGTGTTTGATATTGAGTCCAAGTTATGGACGAAGGTTGAGGCCCAGGGAGATGGGCGTCCTGATCCACGGGGTTGGTTTGATGGGGATGTCCTTGATGCTGGCAGTATTTTGGTTCATGGAGGACTTGGAGAATCGAATAATCGGTTGGGTGACGTTTGGACTCTCGAGTTTTTCTAGTCTGTTGAAGACACTGGTTTTTTAGAAAATCCGATAGCCTTTTAACATCAACAAAAATGAGCTTCGTAGGAGAATTATGAACTTTTGAAGAGAAATAGCATAGTAAGGAGAAGTTTATGTATCATGAACGTACAGCGAAAGCACAGAACAAATCAAAAGGAAATCATTTGTGCGTGCTATGGGGTCTTGAATCGTACAGTTGCCATATTTGCCTTCGCGATTCCGCAACAATTCATGAGAATAATTTGACAGAGAAAAAAAAAACGAGTCGCACCATACACCAGCACCATAAGGGAAAGTCCTGTGAAAAGAAATGAACAAAAAGAAAACCAAGTGACTGTCGTCGCAAAACGGAAGCAAAAAAAAGAAAAAGAAAAAAAATTAACATGCAACAGAAGACCTCCGAGAGACAAATAAAAGAGTAGTTATTGTGACAACTGACATCATGCACAGAAGAAGTGAAGGATGATCTGTGCGTTAGAACTCTACTCATGTTCAGAGTATTGCTTAGAACATGAGAGAGCGGGTCTTCTGTCGACGCGCTTCAACACTACCCATCTCAGGTTGAGAGTAGGTGTGCTTGTGTCGAGGACGTGGGGATTGAGGCGCCGGCGCCCCAGATCCCGCAGAAGATGGAGGTCCCACCATTGCACTGTTTCGGCTCCGAACCGGAGACGGCAGCGAGGCAGGTGGTGTGGGAATCCCACTGGGCGGACGACGAGGAGCAGTCTCATTGTTGGTTTTCATGCTACGCTCGCGCTTGAGCACAAGATCAGCCCAGGGCTTGAGTGCACCATTGCCGGAGGTCGAGCCCTTCCCAACAGCTTCAGACATGACTCGAAGCCAGCCCTCTTTATCTGCGGGGCTATCCGCGTAGAAGTCAATCACTTCACCATTACCAAAGCGGATGCGGAATCCCTCCTCGACAAACATGTAGCCATCTTCTTCCTCGGCAAAGGCAGACTTGCGGCGGGAGCCACCCTTCGTGCTAGTCTCCTTCTGAAGTAGAGAGGATCGATCATCAATGAGCTTGGAGGCCTTGGCTAAATTGATTGTAGCACGAGGTTGGCGCGTTGTTTCGTGGAAGGCCGTTAACTTGGATCCCTGAAGCTTGAAGAAGCGACGGCGCCAGTACTATGGTAATTGATTAGTTTAAATCGGCAATAGAAGACTTTATCAGCACTTACTGGACAATCTCCACCCTGTTGGGAAAGGAACCCTTCCCAGGAGCGAGCTGCAACACTCTCTGCATCACGCATTTCGCGAATGCAGGCATTCATGCTCTTCGGCATGTCATCATCCTTGCTACCCTTGGGCTTAGGCACAAAGAGCAGTTGCACTTCTAATTTTCCAATCTTGTATGGAGGTCGACGCTGCGTGTTGATGCTGGTCGCACTCTTCTTGCTCTTGACGCTGCTCATTTGTTCCTCAACTGCCCATTCGTTGAAGCAAGCAACATCAACAATGTGGGGACGGCCAAAGGCCTGCTGCTCATGGTCGCTCAAAGCCACATATGCGCGGCCAAAGCTACCATCACGCGCAACCAAGTTTCGAAGCCGTTCGTATACAGGGGCATTAACGTCCTTGGTCTTCTGTTGCTGCGACTGCATTTGTTGCTTAATGTCAAGCTCCTTACGCCGACGTGGCGATGCAAATACACGGCTGAGGGCCGACGCCTTTTGGCGTGATGGCGACGATGCGGGTTCTTGAGTTTGGAACTTGCTCTCGTCAATCTTCATCTGCAAGGTCAACTGGAACTCAAGGTCATTCTGGACAATAAGCTCAAACTCCTGTCCAATGGGTGCGGACTTGCCCATCTCCAACCAGGAGGTGGTAACACAGTGCAGTCCGTTATCCAAAGTCAGTGCAAAGTACGACCGTTCACCTAAAATTCGATCAGTAACTGTGATATTGCATTCCGTCTTATGATAGGGTCTTACCGCGTGGGAGAGGAAGGTCGCAATATTTGAGGCCTACAACCTTCACAAACAAACGCCCTCGCTCTTCTCCATCTTCGAACGATTCAGATATGGCTGGCTCGTTTTCTTCAATAGTCGCGGGAGCTTCCTGAACATTGCTGGGCTGTCCAGGGAGAGGTGGGACACCACCCGCACCAGGGACAGGCTTTTTCTTCGGGATACCGGTGGCTGGCTTAATACTTGGGCGTCGCGCTGAGCCGTTCCAAGGAACTGTGGTCCAGGTCTGTTGGCTAGGCTTGCGTGGAGAAGATCCAGCAGAACGTGTACCGCGCGGGTCTTGGGCAGTGTGTTCGGGAGAAGGCATGGCTTCTTCTTCGTTACGGCTGCTGGCAATAATAACTTTGGTGTTCTGTCTCATGAGATATCCTCTCTGTTTGGGGATAGGAGAGTCAGCGGGGTGTGTACTATTTCCTAGGGTTGCGGGATCCTTGTGGGGTATTGCCTGGGAAGGCGGTACAGAACCAGGGCTTTGGGAAAGGGCAAGGTGAAACGCAACCTTTTGGGATTCAATGACACGATCAAACTCCTTGTCCAGTCCAAAACCGAGACTTTCTTCCTGAATACTGAAGGGGATGTCGAGTTTCAAACAACTGCTTTGTCGCTGGGCAAGATCAGTGGGCAGCCCCAACTTCGGTGGCAAGTCAATCTGCTTATGTTCACGGTCCGACGGGTTTGAGTCATTGGAGATCTGCTTGGTCAATGAAGGGACGGGTGGAACGTGTTGGCCACTGATCTGACGGCGGGTAGCAGCCATGGACTGCATATCCGCAGGGGTCAGTGAGGGTCGGGTCTTGAGACCAGCACCAGGAGCTCGAATTGTTGCGACGGGTTCAGGAACAGACTCGTCGGATGAGCTCTCATCATGCTCCGGCTCCGGCTCCTCTTCCTCCTCCTCATCTTCTTCTTCTTGGTGTTCGTCTTCGTCTTCGTCATTGTCATCGTCGTCCTCAATCGGATGACGAATGACAGAGTCTGGGGTAGAAGGCTCGGAAGCTTGGTCTTGCTGCATATCAGGGGTAATAGGCCGTGCGAGAGACTGACGGATAGACACCATATCGAAGGACTGGTCTTGAGGGGCGTTCGGCTCTTTGTATTCCTGGGCATCCTCGTTTGGCTGTGCAGGATTTTGGGCGTCGGCCAGGGTTTCAGCATTAGGGGTAGTCTCTTCAGACCCCTGTTTGGGGGTATCATGTCCAGCGTGTTCGCGCTCGGTAGCTTCGGCAGCAGAGCGTAGCGAGTAATTGCTGTCCTCGTCGTATGTGGCCCGTTGGTCACGGGACGACAGGCTGTTGTCTGACCTGTTCTGATAATAATCCGTGATAGAGTAGAGATCTTCATCTTGCTCTTCCTGCTTAATGATTACACTGGAGGAGTCATCATCGTCGTCGATCTCCATGGATGGAATGGGAACATCAGGGTCATAATGGTCATAACGTTGGGGGCTGGAAGCAGTTTGAGAAGAGTCATCGAAGCTGTCATCCTCATAACTGTCACCCTTGCGAATTCCTCGCAAGATTGAGTCGCGAGAAATGCGAGGCGGAGAAAAGAAGTTCTCTTTGGCCTCGCCATCTGTGTGGGTATCATCTTTCGATGTAAGTGTTTCATCTGCTCTAGGAAGCTCTAAGGGTTCCTCAATATTCTGAGCGTCGTCATCATGTGTCTCATCATCATCTCTGTCCTGTAGCATCATGAGACGGAGTCTTTCCTCTATGGACATAGCGCCGGGGATATCAGACTTTGTATATGAGGCAGGAGCCGGAGGTGCAGGGAGCACACGCTGGCCTGCGCTACCGAGCTCAAAAGCAGCAGCCAGCTTACCAGCCGAGGATGGACGCGCACCAGACATGCGATTGACCGATGGCAAAGGCGGGAGGGGACGTCGCTCGCCATTTGAGTCCAGCGATTCGACGCGTGTGTGCTGAGAAGACCCTCCTTCACGTGAGATGGGTCGGTCCTCGGTGGTGCCTTCTTCAACGTCTTCGATGAAGGGATCGCCATCACTGTTTGTGCTTGGGCTCATAAAACGCCAGTCTTCAGGCAACACAACAGGGGTTTTCTCGACATCTTCCAGTGAGGCGTCAAAGCTATCATCACGCTCAATGGATGACTCGGCCTCAAAACTGAGATCCCCCTCTTCCTCGGACTCGTAGCTGTTCTCTCGTGACTCAGATGCAACTGAGGAAAGATCCGGTGTTGTCATTTCATATTCATTGATTTGAGGAGGCGCGTGGTCAAATGTGACACTCTTCGCATGTCGATGCCCAGCACTGCCATACTCGGACCAAATATCATTCTGAGGGTCAAATCCCTTGCCGTACCGGCTACCTTTGGATAGCGAGGACTTGCTAGGCGATGCTTGGTCTTTGCTCGGGGATGACGGGCGAGAAGTATCTTCGTCGAATTGGGATTTCGCAACATTCATCTGGCTGTCCCGTTGCGCAGACCTCTCCGAGGCCAAAGGTCTCTGGGGAAAAACTACTGAGGCCGGGTCATACTCTTGACCACCTTCGAGGAACATGCTGTGATTTTTGACCTTCGACACGCGTTTCAAATTTTCGAGCGACGGGCGCTTTGCGGGGAAATAACACCCCTCTGGATCATATGGCGCTTTATTCTCGGCTCCCTTGGGGAACGGCGATGGGGAGTCACGACCCTTCCAAAAGAGGCGTGGGGAGGTATTGTTATTCAGAGACGAGACATCGTATGCAGGCGATTCGCCATGCGGCATCTGCTAGTCTTGTTAGTCTATTTTATCACATGCGACATATCGTGTTGACAGTACCTTGGTAACTTGGTTCCAGCTAGGCGAATTGCGCCTCTGAGCCATGGGGCTCACTTCAGAAAGTGGCCGCTGACCAGATCCGTTACCCATACTGAGGTTGGGTTTGCTGGTGACTCAGGATACGAAGTGTGCAATCGTGATAGAATACCAAGACAGGATGTCTATGATGTGTCAGTGCTTGTTCATCAAGTCCTGATCGGCGAGTGGGTTCGACTAATGACAAAGGACATGAGGCAAAATCGCCCAGAGATCAGGTACCATACCTTTCTTAATAACCAGGAGTCGCGTGGGAAATAGTTGCCAGCGAGTCCTAATGCATTCGCTACAAAGGCGTAAAAGTCGTGTCGATCGTGGCAGGAATGCTGCGGCAAAGGGCGAAGGTACCAAAACAAACCCAAGTTGGGTGTCTGGGTGTCGAACCAAGGCCAAAAAAATAAGGGGAAAGGGATAACGAAGGGATACGAATGCCAACTCTCAAGGAAAGCTAGCAGGAAAGAACAACAGAGACAAAGAAAGAGGTTGTGAAGAAGAGTAGCAGAAACAACGAAACTTGATATGTCTCTCCCATGGATTCAAGTGGATTGTTACCCCAAGCAAGAAACTGTTGTTGCGGGAGTCGTCATGGCAACGGCTGGCTTCGAGTGTTTCAGCATCCCGTGACATTGCGTCAGCTGCCTAGGATCGACGCTAGCCTATAATTGGAATAGCTTCGTGGATCATTTTCGATATCAACATGCACCTACCACCTTCAACTGTTAAGAGTACCTAAATATAGCACATGATTAAGTAGGAAAGCTCGAAACTTGATATCAAAGTTTCTTAAGAGACCCAATTATCATTTTAAGCCTATTCAGAAGAAACGCCGAACACGGCTAGAATTTGATGGATGGATTCTTTTTTCTATCGGTCATCATCTTTTGGTCATTCTATGTCAAGACAAGTTTGCAAAAATAGAAAGGATTCAAAGGCAGCCAATATCTTTAGGTGCAGGGTAGGCGCACAGAGCTATTAAATATCGGAACTGTATTTGTAGAGCTCAACCTCAGGCAGGAGTTACGACTGGAGGACTCGGCCTACATTATACGGATTGATCAAAGATACAGACAAAAGCTCCCATCTGGGCAGTCTCCAACTTACTACGTAGCATCATACAGCATACCAAAAAGTATGTCCGAAAACATGATAAAATTATCGCAAAGAGGAACTTGGAGGAGAACAAAAGCCACGATATTTAACTTCGTTATCAACTCCTCTCGAATCAACCAGACCATTGTGTGTTCGAAGTCTCTAGTAGCCTACTTAGGTTGGATATATGAGCCCGCCCAGGAGCAAATTGTTGGGTGAGTCTATTGAGTGAACAATTTGGATGGATCCCTGACATATATACATCCTAGCTTCCTATAGATATGAGTTACCTACAAAAACTTTGTCCCAATAAACCACAAATGGAGAATAACTATGAAAAAGCACCTCAAGATATGTAGTTTTGACTCTTGAAACATATATTCGCACAGATTTAAAAAAAAGAAACAATGTGATCACCGATTGTTGGATTACTGCCTGAGGCTGCCAAGATCACGAACACACTGAGTCAGCTATATAATCACCTGACCTTTACGTCAAAGTTTATGATCTGCGCTAGTCCGAGAAAGGAATGGCGTCTATAATCGCGGAAAAAAACATCTGAGCCTGTTCTGGCCTCTTCTCTTCGATCATTCCGTGTTTCCCAATTCCGCGCATCTTATCGGATTTAACTAGGTAGAATGCCTCTGCCGATTCGCTCTTCGATATGTTTTCTATGTCAAACTAAGGCGACCCTGATCGCCCCATCGATTCTTCCGACGTCATGGCAGACCACGCGAGGCATGGCCACCGTTCGATTGCGCCGCAAGGCTGCTCGGATGGCCCTGTCGCCTACTGTTGACAGACCCTCTCTGCCATCTCCTAACAAGCCACGACGGGAACGCGCTGGTCCCTTTGCCTCGATGAACCAGACTCAGGCACGGATTCGAGACACACCACGCACACGATCACAGGCGGCCCTCAAGCGTTCAGGGGAGGAGGGCAAGGCGGAGAAGAAGGAAAGCCCATTGTACAGAGCGTTGAAGATGCAGACAACATTGACACCTGTGCCTTATGGTCGACGTTCCGCTATCAAAGCTCGACTTGCCGACATCACCAGCTTCGACCACTTCCCTCTCCTTCCCGCAGTTCGACAGTCAATCTTCGCTCAGGCTCTGGCTGGTCTCACTGATGTTTCCCCCACGCCCATTCAAAGACTCGCGATCCCCGAACTGTTACTGGATGAATCCAAGAAGAGGAAGAAAGTGAAGAAGGCGAACGAAGATGAGGAAGAATACAATTTTGACCAGTATCTCCTGGCAGCAGAGACCGGCTCGGGAAAGACCCTCGCATACTTGCTTCCAATCGTTGATGCTATCAAGCGTGCGGAAGTCCTCGACATTCAGGAGGAGAAGGTCCTCGAGGAACAAAAGGCACAAGAGCGGGAGGAGAGAATGAAGAATAAGGCGTTCGATCTGGAGCCTGAGGAGCCGCCAATGACAAACGCCTGTCGTCCTCGGGCGATCATTCTCGTTCCTACTTCCGAGTTGGTATCTCAGGTTGGATCCCAGCTCAAGGAGTTGGCCCACACCGTCAAGTACCGCTCGGGCGAAATCTCATCAACTTTCACACCCCGCCGGATCAAGAACACCCTCTTCCACCCCGCCGGCATCGATATTCTAGTTTCAACTCCTCACCTTTTGGGCTCTGTTGCGAGGTCGAACCCCAATATCCTCAGCCGAGTCACTCACCTTGTACTTGACGAAGCCGATTCCCTAATGGACCGGTCGTTCATCCCAACAACGTCCGAAATCATTGCCAAGGTTGCCCCGTCACTCAAGAAATTGATTCTCTGCTCCGCCACTATCCCCCGCAGTCTCGACAACCAGCTGCGCAAGCGCTTCCCTGATCTGCAGCGCCTGACGACCCCGAACCTGCACGCCATTCCCCGTCGCGTGCAGCTAGGTGTTGTGGACATTGAGAAGGAGCCATACCGCGGAAACCGAAACCTTGCCTGTGCTGATGTCATCTGGTCAATCGGCAAGGCAGGGGACAGACACGAGCACACCGAGACATGGGGTCCCCTCAATGCGTACATGGAGCCGAAGGTTAAGAAGATCATCGTGTTCGTCAACGAACGCGAGGAGGCCGACGAGGTCGCCGGTTTCCTGCAATCCAAGGGCATCGATGCTGTCTCGCTATCCCGTGACACCGATTCCCGGAAGCAACAAGAGACCCTCTCACAGTTCACAGAGGTTAAGCTCCCACCGACTGCGGAGGAGATTGTGATTAATAAGAAGAAGAACCGCGCCGCCGGCAGCATTCCTTTCGAACTCCCTGACCGCCAAGAGCCCATTCGCCGCCTTCCCGACACCAAGGTTCTTGTCACTACCGATATCGCCTCCCGTGGTATTGATACCCTGGCAGTGAAGACAGTGCTTCTCTACCACGTGCCGCACACGACTATCGACTTCATCCACCGACTGGGCCGTCTCGGTCGTATGGGTAAGCGTGGTCGTGGTGTTGTCCTGGTGGGCAAGAAGGACCGCAAGGACGTCGTCCGTGAGGTTCGCGAGGGCATGTTCCGTGGCCAGGCTCTGATCTAGGTCCAGATCCAGATCTACGCGTGCGTGCATTTATCACACTGTATAAATCTTGTAACATACATGGCGTTGGTTTGAGGTTTTGATTTTTTTGGGAACTGGAAAACGACTATACCCATTGCCGCTGCGATAGTCATTGGATCTTTGGAAGTATGTACGATATGCAATCATATATGACGAACTTAATTCTCCTCTTGTATAATGACATCTGAGTCCAATCGCATAGCAACTGTAAACTAATATATTCCTTCTAACCTCTCACACGGGTATCTTCTTCGCCAGCCTTCGCCAGAAGTCACACCTCTTCTTTAACTGGACAAGCTTCACATTCTCAATTCCATCATCCACAACGACAAATTCCTCGCCCGTATGTAATTCTGGCACACCTGGCTGCGAAGCATTCGTCACCTTGTGTGCATTCGGGTCTCCCGTCTGGAAGAAACTCGCGAAAGCTCCCGCGTAACCTTCATAAACGACGGGGTTAGTCTCTTGAATAGCGTTGATTCTGTTCCACTAATATCATTCAAGTCAGCTTATGCCACCGGAACCAGGGAAGTCTTCAGGGGGGAAAGAGAGCAACAATAAAAAGGGAAGAACAAACATAAATAGTATCACTCCCATGCGTCGCCGGGGAAATCGTATACTCCCCAAGATACCCTTTCTCCGTCGCAGCCGACGCAATCCAATAAGCCGGACAAGCAAGTACAACATCCCGATAGACCAAGCCAGCCCGAATATAAGAAGTATTGTAACTGCCGATCGTCTCCGTGCTCCCCTCAGCGGGATAATAAAGAGATTCCACCTCACCAATCTGCTTGGCCGACAACTCAGGCACGAACCCTGCAAGCCACTGGTGGAAGCTCGCAGCGGAGGAATTAAACCCATTTACCAGAACGGCGCTGTCAAGACCCGACGGAACGAAGTTCTGGCCCTCGTGGCTGTTATACATCCCCCAAACAAACTCTGTGTTCAGAGAGCCCCTGTTCACAGTATCTGTGAGTGTCTCGACGAGGAAGGTTCCGTCTATAACAGGCGCCCAGGTGTAAGAGCTCGTTGTCCAAGTGTTGCTTGCTCCGATGATCAGGCTTGCGTCACGAATTTTCTGGACGTCCACGGATTTGAGACAGGCGAGTGTGTCATCAGCGTGGTTGTAGCTGGCACAGCCTGTTAGGTTCGCCAACTGGGTGTAGATTGCTTCTGCTTGGGGTGCGTTGTATTTATACGTCTTGGGCCAGAACGGCGAGCTGGCAAGGGCTTTGGAGAATAGTTTCGGTTGGCCATGGCGACCGTTTGCGAGGACTTGCGCGACTACTGAGCCTGCACCGGCTGACTGGCCCCAAATTGTTACGTTGTGGGGGTTGCCGCCGAAATGGTGGATGTGCCTCTGGACCCATTTTAAGACATATTGTTGGTCTAATAGCCCCGGGTTTAGATCTGAGGTTGGCGAGTCTTTGATTACCTTGCCGGGTAGGAAGCCGAAGGCATTGACGCGGTAGTTGGAGTAGATAACGATGTAATCGTTAATATTGCTGACATTGAGGACCGGGAATGAGGATGGCGGCATGGTGAATGCCGCGCTGCCTTGAATGAAGGCTCCGCCGTAGAATACAACCAGCACTGGTCTGCTGGTATCCTTGGCTAAATCCCATGGCCGCGAGAATAGACCCAGGTAGAGACAGTCTTCGGTGCCGTTGACCGTGCGCTGGGGGCACATGTCGAAGTCCTGATTTGTGTCATAGAGGTCTCCGGTGATCTTTAGTGGTGGCTGAGGCGCACGAAAGCGGTTCTCCCCTGTTGGTGGTGCAGCAAATGGGATCTTGCGAAAATATGAGAGGTTGTAGGTGCTGTCATATTGCCCTTTGAAGGATCCGTAGTCGAGGGAAACTACAGGGTTGTCCCATGCAGTGCTGGCTGTGACCCCGAGGCCGAGGAGAAGGGTGACAATCAGATTTGAGAACCTCATCTTCGGGTTTCAGCGGTTTTCGTCTAATAAGTTATTGTTCCATTCATCTGCTGTGTTCAGCTTGGCGGGCCCCAGGCCATATATAGCCTTTCTATGCACAATAAGGAACCATCGCCCCGTTTAACAAGAGAAATCGCATTCGGTAGAGGAAACCCCGAGCTTTTCTGTGTGGCTCTCAAGCAATTTGGTCATTGTCAAGTAGACACTCTCGGGTTTGGCTACGAGAGCAGCTCATTGGTGCAGTTATTGTTGATGTCCGGGGCGAAATGCGGGGACTTGTGCAGTGGTTGTCAATTCGGATTCGATCACCCCGATAGATCGTTGAGTATGTAGTGAGAACAAACCATAGTTGGCTGGCAAATCCCCAGGGCACCTAGTTATATTTATACTTAACATCATGTCCACAATTAATGTGTCAAAAATAGCTGTCAAGGGAGTCCCCGTGCGAACAAATCCCAAGTAAACACTCTCCCCTCCAGATTCCAACCCCGAAAATGCATCATTGCAAGAAATCAAAACTCCAGATCCAATTTCCATGCAATATAATGCCAGTTAAAATAAGTATTATCACAAACATCCATTCCCCTAAACCAAAACTCCGTCCTCAGTCGTCTTGTCTCATAGTCAAACAGGGCTCCAAGGCTGTACTGTTTACATAGTCATACGAAGTTCTCTAGTGCGACGTCGACTTGCCCGAGCATCACGGCGGGACTCAGTTGCATCACTGGTCTCGGTTTCCGGTGTGTTTGTGTCAGAGAGCTCGGGGGTGGGAGTGATGCCAAAACTAACGCCGCGGTCTCGGCGACAGATGCGTGATTGTGCGTCGGGGGACAAAAACCGATGGACGGTGCGGTGATCCATTATTCGTTCTTCGCCATCCGGGCTTTTGTCTGTTGATGGCCACTGATATCCGTACAGCTTGGAATGGCGTTCGCAGCGCGGACACTCACGTCGCGTAAGGTATGAGTTTGACTGGAGGAACCATGTATCACAGGTCTGGCACTCCACCCAGCGGTCGTACTTCTGGGCAAGCAATCGTGATGTCTTGGTATAGTCTCCAGGGACTCGGGCAACTTGTGACTCGGTCTCGACGGAGTCTACGATGAATCGCCGCTTGGTACGAGGCTTTCGGGTTTTGGGTTTATCCACAACGGCACCATGGGCGTCGTCTAATTTGGTGGAATTTGATAAGTCTGACAATCCTTCTTCGGGGTCAATGTCCATGGAGTGGGTGGTGACGGGCTGACCTTCAGGAGAGGCATCGGGATGATCCTCACCGCTGAGTGCTTTCGACTCAGACGGCTCCAATATAGTATCTTCCGTCTTGATCTTCGTTCCCATGTCGTCCTCAGTTGTGGGGGTAGTTGACGTCGACGACCGGTGGGATTGATCGGCGGTGGAGTTTGGAGATTCGCTGTCCGTGGGGATAGTAGAATTAGTGCCATTTGTGCCATTTAGATCGCCTTGTGCAGCCACGCTTGGTTGCTTCGCCCCCATGGCAACTGGAAGGAGGGGTTGTGAATCAGTTGGCGATGCCACTGCGGTTCGCTCTGTGATCTCTTTTTTCAACTCAGACACCTGGGGTGCAGCTTCCGCCAGAAGAGCAGTTGGAATCAGTACAGTGTCCGGGATAGGGGTCTTGTCTGATCCGCGCGTTGAAGCTGATTCCCCAGTAAGTTCAGAAACTGAGATCTCTTTTCGCAACTTGGAGACTTGTCGTTGGAACTTTGCACGTTTGCGCGGAGTGGAACAAGCCAACACAGACGAGTTGTCGGATTCCTCCACATCAGAGCTGCGTCTACGCTTCCTGCTCACATTGCTATCTTCGGCCGGTGTATCTTCAGCGGGTGTAGCTTCAGACACAGGGCTGGATTCTTTGCTGTTTGGCTCTGTGTCAACATGCGAAGACCAGCCATTTCGTACAGCACTCTCGCAAGTATGACACAGACACTCGCAGTTGTCAACGCCAAAGTAATCCTCTCCGTAGGAAACCGTGATCTCTTCTCCCTCGTGGATGTCGCGCATGGCTAGGACAGACATGCCCTCGTTGCCCCTAGTTGTCAAGCTGCCATTGGCGTCACAGTCATGGTTCGCAAAACGAGCAGGGCCCAGAAAGAATGATGGGGCTTTGCGGCGACTCGACATCACGATGCTGAAGTCTTTGCGGGTCAAGCCGAGATCCAACTCTTCTTCGTGGGTCATAGACACAAGCGTTCCACTCAGGTGTTTGATCTCCTCACCCTTTTTAATGAACCTCCGAGCGCAGATCGCAGCCTCATGTTGTGTGATGATGTATCGATTGGTCGTGGTGACCTCAAACGGACAGTCTGGAAGATACATCTGAATGTACTTGCGGAGGTGTCGGCGGAACCACTCCTTCTCTCGAGGGCTGCGGAGGTTTGCCAGGTATTTCTTTAAGCCTGATATCTCCAACAACTTGCGTTCGGCAGTTGGGATATCCTTGTCAACGATTACATCGTGGAGAAGAATGCGCCCAATATCGTCATCGTGGATTCCGCGGGCAGGGCTGTACTTGGTGCGGTTCTTGCGGGTTGTAGTCCAAAAATAGGCCTGTCAATAGCAAGTGTCAGTGGACAGGTATCTGTGTTGAATTACAGGCAAAGAACATACGTGATCCACTAGCGCATCGGTTGCGACATCGTCATAACTGGCCAGTTTAGCCAGGGTCAAGCGCTCGCGACGTTCGGCGGCGGGCGAGTTCTTTCGCGCTCTCTTTGGGGGCATGGTGAATGTAACAAGAAGCCGAGGACCGCTAGAGATCGAAGCGGGAGAAAAGAGGTGGTCTCATAGAATGCAGAGCGGGTGCAAAGGGTAGTTGGGGGAACGGTGGAGGGCGGAGGTCCGAGGGATGGGGTCGAAAAATGATTCAAAGCGCAATACAAGAATTAAAATGAGTGACTGACAATCAACACAAGGAACATTATGAAGTTATTGTCACCATTGAGGCTGTTCCAAGGAGAAAGGTCTCCTTCGCAGATGTTTTTAGGGGCGGAACGGACACTCGGGAGTGCCAGCTGAGATCTTGCCGTCTCTCTACTTTCTTTCGCTCTTCCGCCTTTCCCCTTGACGTGTTGTTTTTTCTCAGCTGATAATTATCGAATATGAGGTGATTTATTATTGAAAGTATACCACTTTCTACTCCGTATAGGTTTGTTTTGACTTGATTTTACGCGCCCAGCTCGCATACAACAATATGCACCGTGCGTCAAGCCATCCCAGTCCTTCCCCCATGCCGTATCACCGCAATTACATCCAATCAAAACAATCTTTGAGATCAAGTGATCTTTCCTTTTCTGTCTTGCGTGTAAAATATATTGTATATTATCCCTCAATGGGTATTTGCTGTGGAATATCCGTAGCCAAGGAACTACTAGAGAATCTAATAGATTCAAGTATAGACATAGGATGCTCTCTTTCGTGGGCTTTTTCAGGTGTAACCGGTGGATTTTCGAGATTAATCTTGTTCTTTATGTAGCTTGGGGATATAGAAATGACAGCCTATCTGGCTAAGTGGGAGAATAAGAAAAAAATAACGACTATATGGATCCAGATCTGGGCTGTTGTTGACCTATATATCCAGTTGATGCCGCACGGATTGAGCCAACAAAATCTCACCCATAGGCATAGGGTGTTATTCTTATAGCCAGAATTGATACCCCTTGTGGTTACTAGAGCAATACAACCGAAAATGATAGAGACACAAAACAGGTCATGTCATATTATGACAAAGCGGCGCTTCTCATACTTGCTTAGGACGTAGCATAGCTGATAGGGTCAGTTGGAGAATAAACAGACGAATTTTTATGATTTTATAAGCACAAAGCCAACCTAATTCAGGATTTGTAATAATTGAACAACACTACGAATTCCATTCCCAAAGAATCCAACTTGAAGTCTCATGAGATATTGTATAGAACGCATATAGGCCCGGATAAACCTACTCTCCGGGGAAACCTCCCTCCGGCCGCGAGAACAAATTGCGGACAAGCGCTATCTCCAGACCAAGTACCAAAACACAATGATTCAATTAAAGGTGCGCAAGCGATGCCTGCTACCGGCTCAAAAAATACTGACACTTGCTCCGCCAGACACTATTAAGTTGCATCGACAACTCCGGCGCCTCGATCGTCGAGTGCGTCAACGTCCTGAAGAAGAAGCGGCCCGCGACAATCGGTCAGTCTCCACGATACTCGAATCCAGCATACAGCACAGCAAAAAGGGAATTGAGAACCCAGGCTAACATTGTGATTGGGTATCTAGGTGACCGGATAGTGGTCGTCGTCCAGAAGCAGCGATCTGCAGGTTCCGAAGCCACCACCGCCGCTGCGCTCGCCAGTAAAGTCCGCCGTGGTGATATTCGTCATGCCGTTGTTGTTCGCGTGAAGAAGGAGTTGCAGCGGCCTGACGGGTCCCTTGTCCGGTTTGGTGATAATGCTTGTGTATTGGTCAACAAGTCCGGAGATCCCATTGGGACGAGAATGAACGGTAAGTGCCCACCGGGGAGCCTAAGATAACCGCCGTCCTCACGTTTTAGATACTGATATCTCTGCAGGTGTGGTGGGACAAGAGCTACGGAACAAGCAGTGGTCGAAGATCTTGTCATTGGCACCGATCCATGTTTAATATTTCAAGTTTCTACATTTGTTGGAAAGCGCTCTTTGTTTCTTTAATTGGTTTCAATCCATATGTATTCTTAGTTGATGGCATCAGTTTCACCCCCGTTCCGAAATCTCCACGCATTTCCTCCCGTTCCTGCTCCGAAAATATTCGCCAAACTCCGATGATATCGCAAAAAAACCGCAAAAACAAAACATTCAAGGGTATCGGAAATTGGAGACCGCATTGCAGAAAACGCAGAAATCACATGTAGACTTGGCCGCACGCGCAACAGACGTAGTAGAGTTTCTGATTAAGTAGAAGCACTAGTCAGCGCATGATTTATATCAAAGGGTCGGGGATCCATCAAAGGATGAGTTCTCACCATGCCGGTTTCGGCAGATCGTTGTTGTGACTGGAAAAAGACGGCTTCGGTTTCGCCGCAGCTTGGGCAGAGCTTGTTGGCTCGCGGGAGCTGCAAATCACGGGGGTTAGCCTATGGATGCTCAAGAAGTTACAGAGCTGGGGTAGACGCCCGGGGCTCGACTTCAGAGGACTCCAGGCTGTCACCCACAGGCGGCGCATCCTCGAGGAGATCCTCGGTGGAAGTGGGGCCGCAAATAGAACAAGTGATCAAATCACCGCAAAGGGTACAAAAACCAGGAGCACAAACCGTGGGATCAGACGTCACATCCTGAGTGACACCGGCAGTATCGCCGACTTGGCTATGGAGATGGTTTTGATAAACACAGTGCGAAGAAGCAGGCTCGCCGACATGGCAAGTGCGGCAGGTGAACATCAACTGGTTGTTGACACGATCCTCCTTCGGGTAGAGCAGGTTGGAGCTATTAAAAGTCAGCGAGATGTCCTCGAGCCGTAGATGTCCCCTGTGGGGACTTGGGAAGAGACCTACCATTCACGGCAGAACTTGAAGTGAATTTGATCCGAGGGCTTGGTGTCGCCACCCGCCGTGGAAGAAGGACTGGCAGACATGCTGCAAAGATGGGTCGACGAATTCTAGATGTGATTATTGATATCCGAGACGACGAGTAACCTCGGGGAATACCGAGAAAGGAGACGGTGGCTTGAAGATGGTAGAGGTATACCCATACCTACGTCCATGATTAGCGAAGATACAAAGCCATCACGTGATACATCACGTGATACATACAGTGCTCGTGGTAGTGTGGTGACCTGGGGGGGAATGGGAATGACCTAAGGGAAAATCTGGATGCGGCCCCGGCCCCGGGGTGTCCAGTACATAACTCATTTTAACACACTTCAAGAACAATACTGGGAATACAACTAGAACGCATTGAGTTAATTAAGAACCTACCCGTGGACCAATTATGTCCATAGTATTGATCTTGGATTGATTTTATACAAGTTCTATGGATAATAGGCTCATGTATAAACCGATGTACCTGCATTGAGACCTGCATTGTAGCTCGCATTCATTATCGCGAGTCTTTCTATATGTACCTAGGTAATGTATTCGCATCTGTACATCGATATAGGTAGTTGTTCCAGATGGTGATCGTTTAAACTGGAAGGCGGGAGAGCTAAAGCTTGAACCTGTTTGTATGGTTTGCAGCCGTTCACCCCGCAGTTTCCATTCACATAGAAACGGTTGCTACGACATAATCGCTTTATCGTTTACTTTGCAAAATCCGTTGGAGTGATATTGACTTGTACATTATTATTTACTCAAAAAATCATCAGAATCTTTTAGATCCGATATTGGAAAATGGTAGGATCAAATCATTGCTTCTGAATGTTTGCATAGCTGACTCTTCGACCCAGGCCGACACAGGTCTTCCCACCGGTTGGGAAGTTCGCCATTCCAACTCTAAGAATCTCCCATACTATTTCAACCCTTCAACAAAAGAGTCTCGCTGGGAGCCGCCTGCGGAAACCGATACCGATAAGTTGAAGGTCTATATGGCGCAAAACCACACCCCGGCTGCTCGCCCTGACGCCTCTGGCGAGGGCGAGGGCAAGATCCGCTGCAGCCACTTGCTCGTCAAGCATCGCGATAGCCGCCGTCCCAGCAGCTGGAGGGAGGCTGAAATTACTCGCACAAAGGAGGAGGCGATTGAGATCCTCAAGGGTCACGAGCAGCGCATTCAATCTGGAGAGACCACCCTTGGTGACCTGGCAGTCGCTGAGTCCGACTGCAGCAGTGCCCGGAAGAAGGGCGATTTGTGAGTTTTGACAATTAACCTACGTACTAGTTGCCTCGCTAAATTCTCAAAGGGGCTTCTTTGGCCGCGGCGAGATGCAGAAGGAGTTCGAAGATGCCGCCTTTGGCCTACAGCCTGGCGAAGTCAGCAGCATCATTGAGACAGCATCCGGAGTTCACCTCATTGAACGGTAGGTTCAATCCCGGAAGTGAAGTGAAAAATGGCTAATCTCGGATCTCGGTCTCTAGTGTTCAATAATCGCAAGCTCCCGCCTATGTCTTGGTCAATTCCGCTGCGAAAAATTTTGATCGCATCAATGCAAACCGTGGTCTCACTTCTTGGAATAATCTTCAAAAGAAATAAACTACAATGAATGAAATGCTATCTTTGTTCTCTTCTGATTCATGAGTGTCTTGTGTCTTGTCTCGGGCAGGACCAATCGAGTAGCGAAACCCGCGACAGCCTTTCACCCGCCATAGAAAGATGCCAATATATTGTTTTGAAGATGAAGTCTCAGAATGCCCAGATTTTGTGAAAAAAGATTTGTATCGCAACAGGACTTGAAGCTTGTCGTCTCTTTGGATTCAACAAACCAATGGAACTCGAGGATGTGCCTGATATCATACTCAACCCCCAAGTCTAAAATAGACTCTCTGCCTTAGACTAACAATAACGCGTTTAGGCTTAGTAGGTAGCTTAATCAACGGGAGGTTCCAAGATTGGAAAGGCAAATCGAGAACCAAAATAAGCCGCAAGATTATGTGTGGCCGCCGAGGCCAAAATAAGGATGTCAAAGGCATTGAGTGCATGTATGCAAAACACTGCTCTTACAGACGAGACATCTCCCAGATCATCTACTTTTCTTCTACCATCCTTCCTCTCACTCTTTCTTTCCCACCCACAACCTCCCTCTACCACTTCTTTCCCCCACACTCTCTTACCATACACCCACCAAATATGAACAGCATCACCCATAAACTCCGCCAGAAGCGGTCCATGATACGCCTTCTCAACCAAGGTCGCTCGATTCTCGAGTACAACTTCGATCCAAATGCCTTCGTTGTCCCCCAGTGGATCTTGGCGCCCCCCGAGGTGCGCAATGCCATGCTCACCCTCCAGTACAGAGCTATGGTAGCCATCTATGCCATGAAGAGCCTCATGATCGCCCGCGACCACCGCTACTTCGAGTTATGCCCCAAGAACACGGGCTCTCTTATCTACCAGCTCCATCAATCCTCCATGCGCCGTCTCCTCGAATGGAAAGAGGATTGGAACTTCGCCGACCCGACCCTTGCAGCCGCTGCCAAAATCCCCCGTGACACTCTGCAATTCTGCGTCGACTCGATCGCATACGGGAATTTTACCTGCCACTACACCAACAAGATCGACGGCTTTATGTCTGGTGCTTTCCAGAACTGGCGCCAGCTTCGCATGGAGATTGGGCACATGGCCTTTCGTCTCATGAGCCATAAACCGCACGACTACAACGAATGGCGTGTCTGGTGGGAAGGCAAGTTTGCTGATGACATGTGGAAATGGGAGGTTTGTCTTGAGGGATTGATCTTGCCTACCTGGGAGGAAATCATCGATGATGTTTACCTCATGATCAACGATCGAGTTGAGGATGCCCAAGATCTGGCCAACTCATTCTACATCAGCACCCCGGGGTTGGCTTCGACCACTTGACTTGGCTCTGAGCACCTGGGCTTTTTTTCTCTGCAATTATGGTTCAATGGATATGACAGCAATTACGACAGATATGTGACTTGGATTTTGGTCTGGTTTCGGCGCTGGTACAGAGCGGGCTGGTGGGCATGATGGTACTGGAGATACCTAGGAGTTTTGATTTTGATTTTTTTTTCCCTTCTGAACTGCACTAAACTAAAACGATGTAATCTACAATGGATTGTGACAGTTAAGGGCGGATGCACTCTATTAAATAGCAATTTGACTTGGCCCAAATGCAGTATGGCGAACTTGGTTCCAAACACGCCTGTTTCTCTACTACTTGAGGTCATTATGAGAAGCTATTTAGACCACAAGCACTTAGTTATTTGATATCTAATTGCCCAATGAAAGAAAAGCAAAACATTGATTTGCCTGTCAATGGTCACGTGTGTATTCGAACCCTATCGATAGTAGTAGCCCTGTAGGAGAACAAAGAGAGCTATGTAGGTACCTTGTCAAAGAAAATAAACAAAGGAAACTAAACAAAGAAACCCCGGGAAGGGAAAGATAGAGAGAGTAACCAAGCCCGCAGGAACACATGGTCTTTGTGCAAAGTTGACTTGTCCACCAAAGCTTTCTTTTGTGACTATGTATACTTCTGAATGAAACATGCGAGCGAAAATATAAGATACAGAATCTCTCGTCTATACTATTTAATAAACCACATCAGCAAAAGGGTACTAAGTCAACGAAGTTTAAGAATCTCCATCCTCCAAGATGTGCATCTACTGGATATGCAAGTACACACTGTGCGGCTGTATATGGGACATGGACCCATCGAAATGCCAAGACAAGCGGCTCTGCTGGGGTCCAAGAATGATAACACTCGAATCCCACACAGCGACATGCGCAGACTGTTGGGCGAGAGGGGACAAGCAGGTTTACGAACAACCAACATGTAACAAAACTGACAGAGACGGAGAAGCAACCAAAATGGCGACATCGAATTGCGAAAGCGATGCAGACGGGAGTGACAATAGTTCCGACGATGACGAGGCCTATTTTTCAGCTGAAGAGTCCCTGTCGCCATCTCCATACTCGCGACCTGCGACCCCGCAACTATACTATGAGGTACATTCGGAATTGTGTCCCGTATCTGAGGATAACGATTTCGATCTGACCAGGGCCTGTGACCCGGTGGACCTTGCGTCGATGGGGAGGGACTATCGAGCAAGGCGCCACAAGACGACCCCGTCCCAGTACTTGTCGGATGGTGAGGATTCTTTTGTTTCTTGTGAAGAGTATCCCGACGAAGAAACTGCAGACAAGGAGGATTTCGGTTCTGGGAAGGAAGATGATATCTACCACAGTATTGTGGGTCCCCCTGTTAGGCCTAAAGGCCTGGTCCAAAGCTTGCAGGACTGATCATAGCTGTTATATGGCTCGGTGCAGGAGTACGTACTACCCAACAGGAGAGTAGGAGAATGAGGGGTGGACTGGAAGATGTTGTCAAATGTGTTAGTATGTTGTCGGCTGCGCCATTTTCTACAATGTCTTTTGTTTTAGTGCAATTCATTTATATTTCGGGATCATTCCAGGACCAGCGTCGGATTATTGCGTAGCTGGGAACAGAGTAAAGAGGTGTGGACCCGTGAAAGGAACGGCCGTTTGAGGGTATCTAAGTCAACTAGGAAGAGGAAGATACAGACCAAAACTGATGTGCTGTAACAACGATTAATGGATTTATAACTTCCAAGGTTTTGCCTAGACCTAGCTTAGGGCAGCCTGAGGCTTGAGGCTCAAAATTCAAAAAGCAGCTCGCCCCACGAGCCTCGTGGATTGATGCGTAATAACATACATGTGAAAACTAGGTCCTCCGACAACATGCAGAGCTAGACAGTTCACAGACTCGTGTTCAGTCGTTCCAAACGTGAGGTAATTGCGTCAATAACGGCGGACCTGGAAGAAGGTTAGTCACTGAGTCATTGATAAGTAAATGAAGGAAACAACTGACTCTCGTTCGACCATCCTCATCGCATCTGCAACCTTGGCCCGTTGCAGTCGTTGCGGCACCTTAGGTTGGGCCCCAGGAGAGGACGGAGTTCCAGGTTCTGGAGAAGGCATTTTGCCCGCGACAGACTTGGTTTGGGCCATAAGGTCGAGGGCAAGGCGTTTGACCTATATAATATGTGAGTATTTCTAGCTGAGGCGAATGCGAGAAAGACAAAACTTACAGTCTCCAACCGTGAGATCAATGGTTGATCCTCCTCTTGGTCTTCACCCTGCTGTAAGGATGCAGACAATGTCTTCACCTCAGTTATCCAAGCCTTCTCCCGTTCACTCAGAGGGCGACCTCCAGAATTCAGGACCTTGGTGCGTAGTGCCTCATATCGTCGGTTCAGTTCACTTTGTTTATCCTGGGCGGCTTGTAATCTCTTATCCAGCGCTTCTCCATTTCGGACTCCCTCCTTGCGATGCCCATCTTCCCCAATCTCACTCGTGACACCCTTGACACGCTCTGCAACATCTGCAAGCTGCTTCAATTGGTCCTGCATCTCGCCCTGCAGCCGCTCACAGCGGCGGAATAAATCCGAAGCAGCTCGCTCAAGAGCATTTGTATGAGCAGATAGCACGCGATGCGCAGTGGCCACAAGGTCCAATGTCGCAGGTGACAGGCGCACTTGCTCCTTAAGCGTGTGGCGTTGCCGGTGCGGGACGTGCTTCTCAACAAAAGAGTCTAGCGGAGAGTTGGCGTAGAAAATGGCGGGAACTTGATATGGGGCTCGGCTCGGGGGCAAAATAGGCAACCCGGGCGCCGGCGCTCTGGGCTCATACAGCGATTTGTCCAGTGCCACAGATAGAGAATCCTCTGGTGTATCCATTACCGCTGCATAAGGGCTAGATGGATGGTAGGTGAGGAGCAAGTAGCCAAGGTCGAAGTCATAGAAGACAAGAGACGTGGCAAGATGCTCATTCTGCGCGGTAATATCGGCATTCGAAACCTGCAAAATTCTCTCCCGGTTGGTCACATTCCCATCACAGAGAACCTGGAGACGGAAAGCGGAACCTGCGGTGTCTTCGGCTTGCAATTCAGCCTCCAGTCTCTGTACCCAACCAGATAGAGATAGGAACACCACGTTGGTGGCGGTTGTGACAAAGAACGAGTATCGAGAATGGACATCCTTGGTGAAAGTAGGCCATGTAGCTGTTTCCTCTCCATCCTTGATTGTATCTAGTGATTCGACCAAGACCAATTCAGTCGGCTCTGAAAGAGGAGTTCGGAACGCGTTCTTTCTAGCTTTGGGTAGCCATTGTCCTTCGACGCCATCGAGCTCCAGACAGATGTGGACTCGGCCATTCCCACTAGTAAGAGAAAGAACCGTCGCCGAAAGCTTATCTTGGTCTCCGGTTTCCACGGCTAATTCTTCTTCCTCGCCCATCATGAGGTCCTCGACGTTTAGACTGGCAGCAATGACAAGAATATCACAGAGATCCAAATCATCGAGTTCATCGCCATTGTCGAAGCGGAAAGGACCTTGTAATCTTGGAATGGCGCTAGGATTGGCCGGGCGAGTGAACACATCTGCGCCTTGGATTGTTTCTGATCCGGAAGGCACATCCAGAGGCTCTTGTTCGTCAAGCTCGGAAAGCCAGTCGTACTGTTGCCGGCAGGCAATCAGCTCCTCCTCCGATTCCTCAGGTTCCTGTTCCAGAGCACCGAGTTTCGGAATAATTGCCGCAGAAAGAGAAGGAATGGTCGTAGAAGGGGCCTGCCACTTGGAAGGCAGGAGAGGACAGAGCGCATAGAGATCACCGGGTCTCATGGCCACCCACAGGGTCATAGGCGCCCATGCATCTTCTTTCTCGTTTCCATTGCCAGCGAAACAGGCCGACGCAACCTCCATGTCAATGACATCGGCAGAGAATCCCTTGTTTTTGCCAAATCCAGAAGGCGCGAAGTCCTGGTCGGATGAGGTCCCATCGACGAGCTTCTTCAGATCGATTGCTAGGGTCGGCTGGTCGAAGGACCAGTGGTTATTCCGGTCCAACTCCCACACACGCACCGCGGCATCAGCTGTGATTGTAACAATACAGCCCCCTAGATTGGTGTGCAATCCCAGTGGATGCCATAGCGCGGAGACCACCGGAGCCTCAGGAATAACATGGGTCGTCGGTCCTAACTGATATGTCTTCAGCCGGATAGAGTCGGAGTCGGAGGACGAAAGGTGCGAAGAATCGGGGAGAACGGAGATGTGAACAGTGTGTTCAGTGACGATGGCAAGGAAGGCGCCGTTTGGAGAGGGGATTATCTGTTTGATCAGTCCGTACACAGGCACTGCTAAAACCTGCGGAACTGTTAGTCGCAATTCAATTCAACCCTAATTTTTGGTTCCTTTAAATGTAGGTGTTCATACCCTGTAGGGAGGAAGCTGAGTGTGGTCAGTTTGCTCTTCAGTTTGACTAGCAGATCCCTTCTTCTGCTTAATCTCTTGTTGCCATTGGTCTTTGAGTCGGGCAAGGTTTGACCACCGTATCTCATTGTCAACAACGGCGAACACTTCATTTCCCCTCTTGGCAATCGTTCGCGTAGCTCCATTCCCCACAGGCTTGGATCCGGCTTGCAGGTCCTCCGCTGGACTTTGGGCTGAACTGCTGGACAGGAACTTTGCGCCAGGCGAGGGCCGGCACAGCCAGGCAGGCGCATAACTGTTGACCTTCGGCATTAATGATGTTTCGTAAGTTGAATTGTATAATCGGAAAGTGTTAAGAGTCTCAGACCATCCTGGGGCGGTCGGAAATTGTAGACAAGTAGCGCGGGTGAAAAAAAAAACAAAGTTGATGAAAGCAAAGTTGTTGATGCGGAGTGGAATTCTTGGTTGCCAAGATCTTTCGAAGAGCTCCGAGCTGCTTTGCTTCCCCAACTACCTTCCGTCAACCACACACTCCAAGTTCAACATTCGTCTCAATTCACCATGAGTTTACTGGCTGTAAATACAGTCGACCGACTGGATCGACCGAGCGCTTACTATGTCAGCAAAGTGAGTTCCCGCCCTGGACTGCACTTTACCAAGCTGTGTCGAAACCAGTCCGGATGGGCTATAGAGGCTGAACAACTGTACACAGAACAAGCGACGCAGATTCAACGATCGCGAGGAGGAGGAACCGCAGCAACAGGAGAAACCTGACGACAAATTGAAGAACGCGACAACCCTCTACGTGGGAAATCTGTATGCAAGCATGCTATAACCTAGACGCAAGTGCTGTTACTGACCAACATTAGTTCCTTTTATACCACCGAGGAACAAATCCACGAACTCTTTGCCAAGTGAGAATGCGCCTTCGGTTCCCCTCGAACTATGATTAACCTCGAATTCCAGGTGCGGTGAGATCAAGCGACTTGTAATGGGCCTCGACCGATTCAACAAAACACCCTGCGGCTTTTGCTTCGTCGAGTATTATACCCACCAGGATGCGCTGGATTGCTTGAAGTATATCGGAGGAACCAAGCTGGATGAGCGGATCATTCGGACAGACCTTGACCCTGGATTTGAAGAAGGACGGCAGTTCGGGTATGTGGTCTTCACCAATCGCGGCTGCGAGCTAGTAATGGCTAACTTTTTCTACAGACGAGGCAAATCGGGCGGTCAAGTGCGTGATGAATACCGTGAAGAATACGACCCGGGCCGTGGTGGATATGGCCGCGCCTATGATGAGCAGCGCCAGCGCGAGGAGGATGAATACGGCGCCGGAAGGTAGGTCAGGACATAATGGAAAAGTACTGGCTTGGCAAAGCAATGGCGTTACTTCATGGGAGGGTGAATCCAATTAGCAGAAACAGGAAATGTCTATTCACCGAATACCCTATTTACAAATTTCTTTTTTCCCCTTCGCCTTCTAATGCTGGTGAACTATTGCTTTAACTTGTTTCGTTTCAGCACTGCTGCTTGAACTTCGCGCAACCACCAAGTGTGGATTCTTGCGTCGCCTGTCAGCTCCGGGTGGAAGCTGGTGCCGAATACATTGCCTTGTCGCACTGCAACAATGTCGCCAACTTCCTGGTCTGGATTGATGTCTCGACCCTCCGTGGCGCGTTGAGCTGCCGGTCCCACTAATGTTGCTAGTACCTCGACGTGCTCTGCTGTTGCTGCTTGCGCCACTGAGTCCCGTGCTTCTCTGGACGGTGCCACAACAACATCTTCCAGTTGAATCTCTTCTGTTTGGATTCCCTCATGATGGGGAAGAATCTTTTCCACAATAGGAGCTCGAATGAATACTGCTGGGAAGGGAGGCGCGTCCTGACCCAAGAATGGCAGATCCAACGGGCCTTGGAAACTTTCTGTCTGTCGACCGAAGTGGTTACGGTCCACTCGCACATCAAGACCACCGATCAGCTCTTGCCCACCCTTCTTTGTCTTGTTGGCAGACTCGGCGAGCAAAATGAGCCCGGCGCATGTACCCCACGTTGGTTTGCGATCCACTCTGCATACCCAACGTATTAGATCGAATTGATATAGACTGACCAAATTAACTTACTTCACAAATTCCCGCAGTGGTTCGAGAAGATTTGATCTTGCTGCAACCAAAGACATGGTGGTGCTCTCGCCTCCAGGCAAGACTAGGCCATCGCATGTTGCCAGTTCTTGTGGCGTTCGTACTTCAATGAAGTGCCATTCCGACGGCGATACTTGCTCGGCGGCTTTTTTCAAAAGCTGCACATGCTCAAAGAATGCGCCCTGTAGGGCCAGAACTCCAACGGTGATAGCCATTGTCTCTAAAGATACGAATTGAGGACCTTCCGACCTCGGATTCTTTTGATATTGATGACTCTTTTTTGGAGCACGTGACTTTAACTTCCCGGCGGGGAGCTTATTATCACGTGATGGGATATTATCTCTGTCTTTAATTCCACGCAGTATAAAGACGCCCCAGTGAGGCTATTCCCAGCAGGTTCTCTCGGACGATTCCTGCGCCCACTTTACTCTGAAAATAATGCTGGAAACTCAAGTGGATAACCCCAGTCATGATAGTATAGGAAACCAAATTCACCCACAAGAAGAGTGATCAAGTAGGCCCTATATCCTGCTTCCAATGTTTCTCTCTCCTTGCTGGATCAGCTTTATAACATGATATCTTGAATAATCTTATTTATATTGCGGTTACTATTGCAATATCTCTTAGCTGTATCATATTCAGCATCATACACGGCTTGCTCCTCGTTTGCCGGCCTATTCACGCCCTTGTTGGTGGAGGCATCGATGCCTCTCAAGATACCTATAGTTCCACGCACTAGCAATACGCCGTTATCTTATCGACACGTGTTGATAGACAAGCACTCGATAAGGCGCCAATATGGCTGGCTTCTGTCTGACCGAGTGGTATGCGCATCTTCGGTGCGAATATATACATACGACCTTATGATAACAATGCAATGGTAGATTTCGGTGTGTCTGGACTTGTGAGTAACTACATGGTCTCCAGGAATGCACCACTAACTAATTTTAGACTAAAATGGATCCTAATGAGATCAAACAGAACGACATCTCGAAGGACCAGCCCACTTTGGTTCGATGGTACATCGATGTCAGACGTTGGGATGAAAAATCTTTTGATCTTCCTTTTATCCAAACCTTAACTCAGTCTGATCAGGCAGCCGTCAAGAAGTACTATCAAACTTCGGACAAGCGTCTGTCCTTGGCCTCCCAGCTGCTGAAATATTACTTCGTTCACCAAGCCACTGGCACTCCCTGGAGTAAGGTTGAGATCCAGCGTACTCCCATGCCCGAAAATCGCCCATTCTACGACTCAAGTCTTGATTTCAACGTCAGCCATCAGGCTGGTCTCACTCTGTTCGCAGGCACGCGTGCCGCAACAGCCCACTCCTTAACCGGTGGACCCCAAGGCTTGCCTCGCGTGGGAATTGACATTGCCTGTGTTGATGAACCCTCTCGTCGTCGCTCTAATCGTCCCCCGAAGACACTTGCCGACCTGACAACTTTCGTGGATGTCTTCAGTGATGTTCTCTCACCCCGTGAGCTTGCGACCATCAAGAACCCCTACGGGACTCTTAAATTGGCTCGTGAGCTTGGTCTGAATAAAAGTGACCCGAGAAAAGACAGCGAGGAAGTTCTTGCTACCTACGGCATTCGGCTGTTCTACTCGATTTGGGCTCTCAAGGAGGCTTACTTGAAAATGACCGGAGACGGCCTTCTGGCCTCTTGGATAAAGGATCTGGAATTCACAAATGTCATTCCCCCCGAACCGGTTCAGAAACTCGAATTTACTGGTCGCCCTCTCACTCCTGCCACTCCCATTGCGCCCTCAGTCCAAAATTGGGGCCTGCCTTACTCCGATGTCAAAATCTCTTTACGTGGCATTCCCAACTATACTGTGCGCGTCCAGCTCGTCGGCTTCGAGTCCGACTATATTGTCGCCACAGCCGCCTCGGGTCCCAATATCGGAGCCGTTTCGCGGCAGGTGGTGGTGAATAACAGCGGTTACCCCCTGCCCGGGTATATTACAGCCCTCGACCCTGAAAGTGGACCCGAGAACGTCCGCATTGCCCCCCTCGCGCTTCGTACAGTCGGCGACCGGGATCCCTGGTGCGTGGACTCGACAATCATCGACCCCTGGTTGCCCATGCAGGAGGTCGATATTGACATCGATATCCGGCCCTGTGCCGAGGGCCGCTGCGAGCACACCCGGAATCTACCAAGCTTCTAAGTCCGCTCTTCCTGGGATACGACTAGGTGATCATCCCGCCGAGCTACTTGTATGTTGCATCTCCTCATCTCATATTCCTTTCTGAGCGAACTTTTCGGCGCGATGATTCCCTTGAACATATTTCTGCATTGCCTTGTTGTGATTAGCCAAAATGAAACCTCTCCTTTCATTCCATCTCTGGGCCTTTTATTCTGATTACTATGCCCTTTTGTTTCAAGTATAATCCCTTCTGAGGTAGTTGTAATTCTTTTTTCGGAACACTAGGTGAGTGCCGATCAAATGCTCATCTCCATTAAGCCCCTCAATGAACATCCACTTCTAATGTCACTTACATCTGATTCAAGGTCAATCTTCCAAGATAAAGTATAAGTTGCGCGGAAAAAGATGGGTAAAGAATCCAAGCCTATCTCTATTCTATGGTCCAATATAAACCAAGTATGTAAAGTAAGAAAAGCAAGTATCCAACAGTAGCCGGGTCATGTCATGCGTTTGCGCTAAGGATATATACATTTTGAATTTCAAAGGGGGAAGAGGTGAATCAAGAGTGAAAAGTGCCAAGACGCATTGCCAATGTCTCGATCATTGTTCGTCTCTTGAGCAGTGAAGGATGGTGTCGGATATATTCGACATCTGGGGCCCTCAAATTCTATTTCTTGGGTATCGAAGAAGTGGGCAGGAACATACTGTAGTGAGTGCCGAGGGCGGATTCCTCTTTGGCTAATTGTGGTGGTCGGATTTGCTCTCTGCTGTTGTGGACTTTCTATTTGAATGCCCGTTATTGCACTGCAAATCAGGAGAGACATATAGTAAGTGCCGAGCGCGGAGCTATGTGACGAATCACAATTTTATTTTGGCACTTAGATTTCGATGGCGCTGGAGACGCCGTTGGTGCGAGCAGGATCGACCTCCTTCTTCTGCGCATGGGACATTGCTGTAAGAGTTTTGAGCATCGAATCCCGCGTCGACTGGGTCAAGCTATCCACATCGCCCGATGTCAAATCCTCAGTTAGGATGGGAGGCAAAACTATTTCAGATTGTTAGCAATGCTCTATATCATGTCTTGGCAACTTCTAATATGACCCACCTTTGATTTTGATAGTCCCAGCGTTGAATCGCCAAGCACGAGGCGACAGAACGTGCGAATAGTTCTCCGTCACAATCGGCACGATCGGCACACCGGCCTTGACAGCAAGATGGAAAGCACCCTTCTTGAAGGGCAGTAGGGTAGGCTCGTCGGAGTAACTCCGGGTGCCCTCAGCGAAAATGAAAACGCTCTGGCGGTGATCGCGCATCTCGGCGGCGGCACCATCGAAAGCCTTGAGGGCTGTCTCGCGGTTGGCACGGTCAATAAACACAGTCCGGGACAGAGACATGAACCAGCCCAGGAAAGGAATATTCCGCAGTGACTTCTTAGCAGTCACACTGCAGTATGGCGGGAAGACACTGCCAAGCATCAACACGTCGAGCTCAGTCTGGTGGTTACCAATGAAGACGGCCGGGCGTGTGGAGAGATATTCTTCGCCTTCAATAACCTCGAACTTTACGCCGGTTGTGAACCGCATCAGCCACTTAAAGCTGCGGCCTGCGGCCCACTGTGAAACGCGGCCGTATCCAACTAGCCGCAGACAGATTGAGACGAGCACACCGTACGCGGCACTAAGGAGGAGACAGCCATATGAGGCGAGACACCGGGCAGCGAAAGCGGCGCGAGGCACTTTTTGACCGAGTGCAAAGAGGGAGATGGTCAGCACCACGAAAGAGCTAACGCCTGAAACAATATAAGAGCCGAAAGACATGATGACGGTTGTTGTGCGAGTCAAGAAGAGCTGGGTAAATGCGGTCAGATGACGGAAACTATAGTTCCTGAGAGGACACGTACTTTGTTCACTGGTATATGGGCAACACCCAGCCCACGACTGCAATACGGCGAAGTAATCAGAGAAGAAAAGAGGAATAGCAGATCAAATCCAAGACTGAGCCATGCATGGCCTGTGGGGAAGGGCAAATCGGAGTAGAAACGTTGAATCGTTTTTCTGCCCCGAGGCCGACTTACCGCCTGGTAGGTGCATATGATGGTGTCACCGGAGCACTTGCGGAGACATGTGCGCAAGGTGTATTGTAGAATCAAGTATATTTTAAGGATTCAGCCAATAATGAGAATCATCTTCCTCGAAGAATAATGGAATTATGCATGCACCATCCTTATGATGCATGTCCAGGGAAAATCGTTCAACTAATGTACAGAACACCATCATATGCCAGATGTCTAAACCTGGAAAAGAAAACTCCACAGTGATGCTGTGCAAAGAGGCCCTCAAAACGCCGAGTTCATAAGAGAGGGCCCCCGTGGGAACCCAACAGAAAGACCTGGGACATCACAGGCCTACGCTATGTCCTCATCCTCCATATCGTCGTCGTCCAACGACTCCATTGCGTCCTTGATGTATTGTGCAGCCTGTGTGGGATCACAGTCAGAAAGAACTTAGAAGGGGGAGGGAGATTTGGAAAAGTATACTCCAAGACGTACCTTTGGGTCCAAGTTCAAGGCCGCCGTGAAATGCTTGATAGCATTGGCCTTGTCGTGGAGCATTTTGTACAGCTTTCCAAGAAGGTAGTGCACGTTTGCCTCATCCGGCGCCATGTCCTTCAGGACCTTCAATTCTGCCAAAGCAAATTTGTATTCGCGCAGCTTCATCAGTACGCGCGCCTTGCGGAACTTGGCTAATACCGAGTTGGGGGCTAGTGAGGAGGCTCGGCCGTAGTGAACCAGGGCATCTTGGGGATTGTTCATTTTCTCCAATACCAGACCAATGCAGCAAATGAGCACCGCGTTCGTCGGGTTGATGCTGGCTGCATTGCGGAAATGTTGCTCAGCGAAGTCGAGCTTGCCCATCTTGTCATACACCGTTCCCAGTCCGTACCAAGCATTGTAATGTCGATTGTCCGCATTGATGCCGTGGCGATAGGCCTCCAACGCCTTGTCGTATTCTTCGTTGGCGACATATTCATGTCCCTGTAGTGTGAAAGCATATGCGAATTCAGGATCGATCATAGTCGCACGCTTGAAGCATTTGAGTGCTTGATCGTGATCCCGTTGGTGAGAGAAAGAGTTACCAATAGCACACCACGCCTGGGGGAAAGGCGATCAGCTTCGAGTAGCTGGTGGGCCAAGTAAGCCAGTTCTACATCACTTTTTAGATGCCATAAGACAGTCGAGTAGATCTCCATATCCTCGATGCGAGAGGGCGCTAATTTTTGAACCCTGGAAAAGTACTTGGCGGCTTCTGTGTAGCTTGCTTGTTCGAAATAGGTCCGTCCAAGTTGAGACAAAACCCAAGGGGTTTCACGCTGCCCTTGGGAGAGAGAATTGAAAGAGCTGATGGCGTCCGCGCACTTGTAGCGGCTCAATGAGAAATATCCAGATGCAAGTTTATTGAAAAGACCCAAAAGCCAATCCAAGGCTTCGAGCTCTTTGGTTTTTTCAGCATTTTTGGGTAATGGTGGGACAGTAGGATGGGATTGCGACAAGCCAGTCCGATTATCTTTACCATCATTGTCGGGTGTCTCCATGGGTTTTCGATTGCCACTCACGACACGGCCGACAGTAGGTACGCCTCCTACCCGTCCTTTTGTAGGCCCTCCTCTTAATTTCTTCATCTCGCGGCCATCTCTGCCAGTAAGCGTACTGTTTGAAAGCTTGCTGGTTGTAGGTTTGATCTGGTTGAAGAGGCGAACACTTCGGCGCTGGGGAGCACCTGGTTCAGTCGGTTGTGACGAAGGAAGGGGGTGGGCGACTTGTCCAGAGACTGTGCGCTTGCGGTCGCCGAATCTCGATATAAGAGAGGGGTCTCTTTCTACCGGAGCAGTCGGTTGAGTCTCTGGTTCGGTTCGTGTTTTGTGTCGAGGTCTGATGCCTGTTGGACGCATTCGCGGCGGAGGTTGCCCGGTATGGTCAAGGCTCATAGTTTGGATTGTCCGCGTCTTTCGAGCAGGGGCCAAGGGTGCTTCCCATCCAGCTTCTGGGTCAGTGACGCCATTCGCAATGCGGAAGTCATCAGAGCCACTACTCTGTGCGCCTGGGGTCTCCATTCCGTCGTGGAAAACCGGCTGTGCCATAGCAGCGAAATTGACAGAGCTCCCATTCAACTTTTCCCAAAGAGCAGAGCTCCCAAATGTGGTGTCAGTCTCGCCACGGGAGGCAGAGACCATAAAAGGGTCGGATTCGGGGTTACCAGGAGGCTGCGCGGGGAATTTCCCTTCTTCGTAAGCCACGTTGTCTGGCGCAGTAGCTATTTCCTCTGGCGATGAAGATATTATTGCAAGAAGTTCTGGGCTGAGCTGGAAGATATTCGGGACTCGAATATTAACACCTGATATTGTATTAGAAAAACCCGCCCCAAGAGAAGAAAGCAGGACATACCTGTTTCGCAAAGCCCCAGGAATGCATCCCACATGAAGGGGTTCAGTTTCAGTGCCTCCACGTAGCAGTCAACTGCTTTGGTCAAATCTTTGTGTGCGTGCCAAAGCTTTCCCTGCAGAGAATAAACAGCTGCGGCATCAGGTAGGTGCTGTCGCTGAGTTTCACTATGCTTGTCTGTAATGTGGTTAGCACTTGAGCTCACAGTTGGAGAAGTTTGCCGGCGCTTACTCCAGTGGTTCTTGGAGACCCAGAGGGGTTTGCTGCGCTCCAAAGCCGTAACACCATCCAAGTATTTCCCCAAGTCCAAGCAGGTCTGAGCAAAGACATATGCACAACCAGCATGTAGACCGCGCGAGCCCGAAGTCTGGCTGCATTCGAACGCCGCCTTCACTTCTCCATTGTGTAGATGGCAAAGGGCGAGCAAAAACTGGGCCTCAAATGATCGTGGTTCATAGGCGTGGAGGCGCGAAGCGAGGAAGAGCGCATTGCGAATTAGGTTATTGTCGAGTTGGTAATAGATGAGGTGCCTTAGCTGGCTGGCAACATGCCCAGTGGACAAGGCCATGGTGAGGGGTCGGCAACACGATATGCGACAGCAGAAGGCAAGGTGGGGATTGTGTAGTGATTATTGAAAGTCGAGATAATAATGCGATTGGCAGAGTCGGTTCCTCAGCGTTACTGTAACATCAATGTCCGGCGCCTTTGTAATGTCCTCCAAGACGCGGGGAGGAAACAACGACGCGATCGAGTGGGTTGTTGCAGCGCGAGCGAATGGTCCCATCAACAGCCGCAAGACATGGACAGCAGCAAGTCCGATGTCTTGGTTGAGTTTGTCTAGATGCAGGAGCTATCGACTGCTTTCGGTACGCAGGTGTGGAACAATGAGGAATGTAAACCCAGGCCGGAAATGGTAAGCGGATGAAGGATAGAAAGAAGTGAAAAGGGAGTCCTCTGGTTACGTCATCTGCGGACGCAGGATGAGTCTCTCAGAGTGCCAGGAACATTTCCAAAGAAGCGGAGGACTGCAAGATGAGCTCAAGATGGGATGAACTTCGGCCGTTCTTTCTGTTATTTTGGTCTGAAGCGGCCTTTGTCATTTCTGCCGTTTTGTTGGGCGGTGAGGGTAGTGGAGGGCAACAATCACCGGATGTGCTATAGCTGTCATATGCAGGTTCCCTCTCTTCTTCTTCATTCTCCGCTCAGCCTCGAATTCCAGTCGTTTGTTGCCATTTGAAAGGAGAAAAGCTTGGTCATTTCATATTCATCTGGGGCACCTTGAATTTGGAAGGGACCATCTTTGGCATCAGATTGCAGATCACTTGGTGATCTCATTCAATCATGGCTCAGGTATGTAGTGAGGGCGCTTTCTTGCGCGATTAAACTTCAGATTAGCTTTGATCACTGTGTAATAAATTTACTGACTGTATCACAGAAAGCTGCCAAATCCCTGGCGACCCGCAATGGTGCCGTCCTCAGCCGTACTCACCTCATCTCTGCTGCATTGCACCTGCTTTTCCTCTTGCTGCACTTTGTCTTCCAGCGGCCGCGTTCACTGAAGCCATACTTCTTCCTGGCTGTTCCAACCCTTGCCATTGAATACTATTTGGACCGGATGGGCCGGCCCCGCTATAATGAAGATGGTTCCCTGCGCTCCGCTGGTGAGGATCTCAACGCAACTGGCCTGACGGAGTATATGTGGGATGTGCTTTACTGGACCCAGGGATGCATTGTCGCTGTCTGCCTCTTCAATGACCGGGCCTGGTGGTTGTGGGCTGTGATCCCATTGTACTCTGTGTACGCTGCCTACACCACGATAATGGGTGTGAAGAAGGGATTTGCTGGAATGGGTGGTGGTGATGCCAGCCAAGAGGCCGATGCCCCAAAGAGCAAGACGCAGTTGAAGAAAGAGAAGAGAGGCTCCACTATGAAGTATAGGTGATCTTGTGGAGTGTGGAAGATATGTACAAAATGAGTTGATGTAGAATGGGAGCTCCGAAATCATTGCCATCTTTACTAGTTGCCATCTCGAGCGCCCTTCTCATTCTATGTCTTGATATATTGGGGCAGGGAATTTTTATTTACCCTCAGCCTAAGTTCAAGCTAAGTTTCAAACTTTGCCTACGTGTTTTGTAGGCTAGGTATCATGTTACATTGATTTCACTTTTCTCTCACGTAGACATATAAAGCATCCATCAAATTCTGCCAAGGGGAAATTGCTTGCACCCGTTTATCTAGACTCTTGCTGTCAAGTGACCTACTTATCCTCAGCAGCCCGTTTGATACCTACATGTAGGTACGATGCACACCGTAGGTGATAGCCACAGAAGTCCAACCGCTCAAGTAATAAATTACACAAAATACTCAAAAAATCCATTCATTCATTATGTACTGAACATATATCACTTCAAAACAAGCCTCGTATTTCAACCAGGAAGTGAATAGAGAGGAACGCAAAATGAGGAAACAGAAGCCGAAAAAAGAAAGCGAGACTGTGCATGTTGCAGATCATGAGCATATGGCCGTCGTGACAAACTATATGGGGAATAATGCGTCGTGAGCCGCACGTGGCATTCCCAACACATGGTTTTCGTTGAGAACGAAACGATTGAGTCCGAAATCAAAAGAGGAAAAAGAAAGAGATGAGTTGATACACGGTGGATTAAAATTGTTCAAAGTTCATCTTTGACTGAAGCTGCAGCACTCTTAATGCTGCTTGTTGCATCTTTAACGTGGGATGTGGCGGTCTCAACTGCCTCGGAGACAACGTTGTGAGCCGCCAGCCTGGCGGCTAGATCAGCCAGCTGAGACGTGGCGTCTTCTTTGGCTCTAGCAATACGACTAGCTGCGCTCTCCATTGCGTTGGGTTCCTCGCCGTAGATAGCAGCGCTGGCTGTGGATTGGATATTCTCAATGGCGTCCTTGGCGACATCGATGTAACCAGATTCCTTGCCGTAAACTGCGTTACTGATCTGAGCGGAAGCCGATGAGTAGGCGTCGGCTGCGGCATCGGTGGCTTGTTCGTAGGAACCCTTGGGAGTTCCGTAGATACCAACGCTGGCGGCTTCGACGGCAGAATGGAGTTGGTCATTCGCGTGTTGGACGATGTCCTCTACGCTTGGGGCTCCTGAAACGACAGAAGTAGCGGCGGAGGATGCAGACCCATAAGCTTGATTGACGTAACTGGAGGCAGAGGAGACAGCGGCAGCCGGGTACGGCGTCTCGTATGCGGCCTGCAGCTTGCTCAGCACACTCTCGGTAAATGAAGGCTGCTTGCCCACAATCAGTTCAGAGACGAGCTCTTGGACTGCCTCAAACTGCGGACGCCCGTTGTTCACCACTTGCTGCAGATACGGCGTTGGCGCACCGTAGATCTGCTCGCTGGCTTTAGAGATGAGATTTTCCCAGTTTTCAGATGCTTGACTAGAAAGGGACTCTAAAGGGCCCGTGGAGGTTCCATAGATGGCAGAGCTAGCCGAAACTGAAGCTGCAGAGAGAGACGAGGAAGCCGCAGAGAGGGCAGCATTGTATCTGGATGAAGCATCATCAATAATACTTTGTGCTTTGCCGCCATCCGCGAAAGACATGACCGAGCTTGCCGATGCGACGACAGCGGCAAGGCTGGCAGAAGCCAACGAGGAAGCATGCTCGTATTGAGACCCAGCTTCCTCAATGATTCCCTTTGAGCTTCCGGTTGGTGTGGGGGTTGGAGAACCATAGACCGCTCCAGATGCCGTAGAGACAAAAGCAGAGTAGTGGTCGTGGGCCAACCCGACTGCCTCGTAGTAGCGTCGCTGCGCATCAAGGACGAATGGTTCGAGGCCTCCCTGTGGAAGACTGGCTGTTGTCGCTGGTGATTGCACTTGAGCTAATTGCTCGGATGCTAAGCTGAGTCCCTGATTTAGCCGGGAAGACGCGATGGACGAAATCTGGGCCAGAGGTCCGGCGTTGGATGGCGTCGGGGTAGCACGAACAGCGCGGAGCTTCGACTCCAGCTTATCTGTGGCATATTTTAGAGACCCAGAATAGGCTGACTCTATGGAAGCTAGGAGTTGGGCATGAGCAGGAGCGCTAGATTCAGCCATTTGGCCAAGAACTTGAGACTTCGCGATCTCATAGAGTACTTTAGCCTGATCTGTGGAATCAGCAAATGCTGAGCTGGCTCCGCCCATCAAAGATTGCACAACCGGTGTTGGGGTGCCGTAGATGACCGACGACGCACTGTGACAGAAATTCGCATTAGCGAGAATTCGTTTTGTATGCAAGTTCAAAACACGCTGAATATTCTGTACTACTTACGCGGCTACAGCATCACTATATTGTTCAGAGGCGTCTCTGTAAACCTTCTCCCGGGGGCTCAGAGGAGTGCCATGGATAACAGTAGAGGCGGCGGACCAGGCAAGAGAGTACTGTTCACTGGCCAATGATGCTGCCTTCCCACCGACTCCGGGGGTCGTCGATGCACCATAGATAGCTTCACTGACAGCATTGCTCACCTCGGCGTAAGTATCACCTGCCTTGTTCACAAGACTGTCTAGGACGTCTTGGCTCTCATCATCTAGGATAGGCGCTTGATGCGAATTTGCATCGGCAGCCGCAACACCAAAGCCGGATTTTGCGGAGGGCTGCTCTTCCACCAAAATATCATCGTCCATAACAGACTCAGTGTCGCCATCAAAATCCGCCTCAGCATCGACAGCTGCGGAAGGCTCATCGGTGGAGGGGTTCCCTCGTAAGCGTCGTCCGATGTTGGCGCTGCCACCTCTTCGGAAGACTCATCATTATCGGAATCCACCTTGGCGGCCTCTTCGTCAGATTCCTCGATCTCCTCCTGGGGTTTGGGTCTCGCCGGCGGGGCTTCGGTGCGAGTTTTGAAATCATCGCTTACTTCACGAGCAGCGATCTTCCAGATCCCCACATCCTTCAACCGGACAAGTTCCCTGGCAGCTTGCTCGGCTTCATGCATGCCCTGGTCTAAGATGTCACTCGCCACGGCTCTGGCGTCAGATACGGATTTGTGGTTCATGCCGATATTTCGGATCTCGTTGCGCCATTCTTCGAGTTGGGCTTTGAGGGCATGATACTTTGCCCAATCCTTGTACGTAACGCCATCCATCCACGCCCAGCGCATGCCAATTTCTTGTAAGCCTAGATCACGAATGCTGTCGAGAACATCCACGGTCGAATTGACAGCAGCAGTGACTCGGCGAACAAGTTCATCCTCGAACGAGATAGACCACTCTCGGAGTACATGGGCGCGATCTCTCACAGAGATAGCAGAAGTTCGGATTTCCCGAACCAGCAAGTCACTAGTAGACTTCTCGATCTCCGGGGCATCCTCCTCTGGCATTGAATCCGCGAGTTCATTGATACGTTGCTTGATGGAGGAAAGCTGCTCAGCTGAAACCGACTGAAGCGCGGTAGAAAGGCTCTGGCCGTGGCTGTTCGCGCTGCTTGCAACCAGGGCAGACACAATCTCCCCAATACGCTCCTCGAGGTCTTCAATGCCTTTATCAGCAGCGAGAGCAAACTTTCCCTGCCACCGCGCAAGGTCTGAATCTATCTTCTCACGGGCTTGTTGCGCTTGCTCGGTAGGAGTTAGAGTGGGTTGGGCAGAAGCCTGGGGCGTGGAGGTTGAAGTCACAGTTGTCGTGGTGTGAATTTGTTCCTGTGACTTGGTGGTCGAGGATGTAACGGGCTGGACCGTTGAGCTGCTAATACTATGGTTAGCAAGCTATAGACTGGAGAAATCAAGGGGCTATAAGTACCTATCTACATCCTCCATGACAGCGCGAAGTCGCTTGCCCTCCCTGTAGCTTGCCAACCGCTGGCCAATCTTGACCAGCTGGGGCTCCACTTGCTCAGAGTAAAGACCAGTAACGTGAGGCCATAGTGAGCTGTTAGTAAAGTAAACCACGGATGACCAGGTATACTGCGCCCCGGGCAAGACATGGGTTGTCAAAATACCCTGGCCCGTGGAGTAAGTTTTCCCGATGAAAGGTCTGGAGCGCGCGTAGAAAGGTACCAGATGGCCCTGATAGACATTGAGCACAACGGTGTTGGCCCATTGATAGTATGGAGAGACAACAGCAACGCTTTGCTGGACATAGGGGTCAATCTTGGCCAAATAAAGCTGGTACGCCTGATTTTGAGCAGTTTGTAGTCTGGGTGTGACTTGATGTTGCCATTGATCAATCCCATAGGCCTGAGCTTGCTTCAATGCCGGCGCACCATACTTTTCATATCCTGATTTGGCAACTTTCGATGCCGGGGTATAAACTCGCTGATTAATCACTTCCACGTACGGCCGGGCTTGATCAACATATGGCCGGGCTTGTTCCACGTAAGGCGCTGCATAGATATCATAATATGGCGTCACGTAAGGTTCCACGTGCGAACGAGCAATCAGGTAAGGCTTGCAGACTCGAGGCGATGTCTCTGTGAGGTCTGCGAGGCGGGATGGGCATCTGAGGAACGGTGTCACGAGTGTGTACCAGATACATAGCCTGAGAAGAGGTTAGAAGAGGTTAGAAGAGGATTTTGACTATGTACAAGCATGGCGATACCATCACTCACCTCACGACAAGTCCGACTGTCCATCGCACGAAGCCCTTCTTCCGCGGCTTTTCAAGATCTGTTTGGCCCTTTGCGTTGGCTGTGACATCTGCCACTTGGCCATTCTCTTTCACTGTCATCGCAACTGACGCTGACCCTGTCGAGGTCACGCGATTTCCTTGTGAGATTCGAGGTCGGCCTCCGTAATTTGCGGAGGGCTTCCCTTCCACACACTTAGATTGAGTCGGCTCAGTAGATGATTATCGCTGCATCGGAGAAAAGCTCACAGCCCAGTTGAATATGTGGCTTTTCGATATTGGAGCTTGAAACTGAATGAATCAAAGCAAATTAGCTGCTGTAGGCGGAATGCTCGCGTCGGTCTTGGCGCTAGCAACTTTCACGGGCCGCGGTCAGATACCTACCTAGGTAGGCTGGGTTAATTTCAAAAAATATTTAGTTCTGAGGAATAAAAGATCGGACTAAATTGAAAGGATTCAAGTTCAGATAAAGAAAACACAGGGACAATTTATTACATTAAGGGACAAGGCGATCGCATATGACACAATAATCAAGGATTTGTTTTTAGAGCTCAGTGAGGTCATCGGTGGCTACTCGTACTGCAGATACCACAATACCCCACAACCATCGCCTTGACAAGCAGGTAATGGTGTATCTAATGTACTGCCAACGCACACCGCTGAGTCAGCGAATTGGATGGCCCCGGGCAGCTACCTGGGCAGGCTGAATTGCTTTGTTACAATCAAGCACTAATGATCTACAGATTACGCTTGTGAGGTACGTTGCTCCTATAAAATGCGTGTAAATTTTGTCCTCACTAATCATTCTATTCAGCTAAACTCCGGTTGCCCACCAACACAAGCCTTCCGCATGTTTACAACTTTTCCCATTCCCGCTTGACTAGGAACATGGTGAACATCTGATCAACCACCACCGTCAACTCGGCGAGATTCACGAATCATGGAGCCCGCGGACTACCAATTCCGCGACAATGCGGATAATGCCGCGTTCCCCGATCTAATGAACGACCCGGCTTATGACGAACGGGAAAAGGGATTTGACGACCTGGATACCTGTCGGATATGCCATGGCGAGGCAACGGAAGAGGAACCGCTGTTTTACCCATGCAAATGCAGCGGTAGTATCAAATTCGTCCACCAAATATGTCTCGTTGAATGGTTATCACACTCACAGAAGAAACACTGCGAGCTTTGCAAAACGCCATTCCGATTTACCAAATTATACGACCCAAACATGCCTCAGAGCCTCCCCGCACCTCTGTTTGCGAAGCAAGCCCTGATCCAATGCTTCCGGACTCTCGTCACATGGTTGAGATTTGTTCTCGTTGCATTTGTCTGGCTGGGATGGCTACCATGGTCGATGCGCGCAATCTGGAGGGCACTGTTTTGGCTTGCTGATGGCCGGTGGTCTGCCAATGAAAACGTTCGGAACCAGGCCGCACAAACCGCCCAAGATGGTCTTGGGAAAGTGTTCTCAAACGGCAGTGCTGTAAATGCCGCGTTAACTGACTCGATTACTTCCACAATTTCTAATGCTGCTATTTCATCTACTACTGCTGTACCATCAGCACGATCGTCAATTCTCAATTTCGCAGCTGGCGATCCGCTCATGCTCACTCTCATAAAAAAGTTGATACCCAATCTGTTCATGCCCGCATTTACTTCGACTGTCGGGCAAGGCAACGGACAAAACAACGTCACGGCTAGCTCAATCAAACCTCGGTATCCATCATGGCTTTCGGATGTGAAGTTCCTGAACTCGTTGACCCCGTATCCAACAATCAACAACATGATCATGGACACATTAGAAGGACAGCTCATCACCCTTCTTGTGGTCGTTGCATTTATTCTACTCTTCTTGATTCGAGAATGGGTTGTTCAACAGCAACCCATGGTCAATATCGCAGAAGGAGAACGTGAGGCTGCTCTTCAGTTAATTGCAAATGCCAACAATCGGATAAATGATCGATTCAATGAAGAAGGTGGTCTTAGACAACCAGAACCCATTCCCGCTCACCACCCGGAAAATGAGGTCAACGATGAACGCGCAGCAGACCATGAGTTGGACAATGATATCCTTCCTCATTTTGCTCCCCACTCCCCGGCTCTGTCCTCGAATGATTCTGAGTACGGTCTCCGTGGGTTTGAAGCGGAGCTACGAGACTACAATGAGAACGACCCGGAGTACGAAGCAGGGGGCCCTCCTACGGCTCGTGCTCTGGCTTTCCGAGACCTAGTGGCCCGGACTCATGGTAACCATGAAGAAATGTTGCGCATTCTTCGTGAAGAGGCTCATGGGGATGATCTGGACTGGATTGTGAATGCCATCACCGGAGCGACCATAAACCGGGATTCATCAGCAGGGCCTTCTACTCGTCCTCACGATACCGACAATCCAGAAGTCTCAGACGGTGCCGATGCTCTTAATATTGAAGATGGAGATGTCGATGGTCACCCGCCTGATGCGGACGCCGGACCTTCTGCCCAGAACATGGATCACGGGCCACCGACTAGAGACAATGCCATTCCTGTTGCCAATGTACAAGTGGATGATCGGCCTCCGCTGGGTATTACTGAACGGGTGTTCGAATGGTTTTGGGGAGACATCACACCTGTAGAGCGCGATACAGAAGAACCAGTTCCCGAAGACGACGAGCATATTGTTCAGGATCCGGCCTTAGAAGACCCATTCGTGCCCTTGCCGAATCGGATGGAAAACAATCAAGCAGACGCTGCCGCTGATGCTGCTGCCGCCGCGAATGCTGGACTGGACCCTAATGATATCGATGCAATTGAAGGGGATGATTTCGAAGGGATCATGGACCTTATTGGCATGCATGGTCCCATTTTCGGACTTTTTCAGAACGGAGTCTTCTGTGCCCTTCTGATTGCGTTCACAGTAGCTATCGGTATCTGGCTTCCGTACCTATGGGGTAAAATTGCTCTTGTGTTGTTGGCTAACCCTCTCGAACTCGTCATCGGTGTTCCTATCACTGCGGTTGAAGTTGTCGCAGACATCGCTCTTGATACTCTTATTGGTGTCGTGGGATATCTCATGTACTGGTTCAGCCTTGTTTTCAAGATTGTACTGAGCCCTTTCAGTGCTCTTTTGCCTATTGGAGAATGGATTCCCCGGGACAAGTCAGTCACTAGTGCATCGCTTTCCCTCATCGACGCAAGCAGTCACCGCTTGAACAAAGTGATCAAAGCATTCCTGGTCTTCCATGAGTCTGATATCCCCATGTTCTCAGTGCTCTCGCACCAGGCGCTTAAATTACACCAGGCTCGCCTCAGTGCTTTGTTGCAATCGGTCTTTGCCACTGTCAAGTTCATCCTGCATGACTTCCCACTTCGGCTTGTGACCCTCGGTGTTCCCGATGCCCTTTCTTTGGACCTTGACCTCTCTCATTTCAAGAACTTTATTGGTCAAGCCCAACAACAACTCACCACCTTCGCTAAATCATCGCTTTTCTCGATGCCTGGAACAAGGTTTATGAACGCAAGTGCAGCAAAAGCAGCCTCTGCCACAGTGCCGGTCGATTATGACCTGGCGGTCTGGGATTCCAAGGATCGTGTTATCGCTATCTTCATGGGTTATTTGCTTGCATTCATGATAGGGCTTCTCTATCTACGAATCACAGGGCTGCTCTCAGGTGCCAATCGGGGACAAAGGATCGAGGGCCTGCTTGCTGAGGTCCTGATACAAGCCGGGGGAGTTATAAAGGTCATCCTCATCATCGGGATTGAGATGATTGTCTTCCCTTTGTATTGTGGCAGTCTTCTTGATCTTGCTTTACTTCCGCTCTTCTCCAACGCTACAGTGGCCTCTCGTATCGCTTTTACTGTTGCATCCCCCCTCACTTCGCTTTTCGTGCACTGGTTTGTTGGCACTTGTTACATGTTCCACTTTGCCCTATTTGTTTCCATGTGCAGAAAGATTTTGAGAAGTGGTGTGCTTTGTAAGTGCTGTTATCTATTTGCCAGACCTTGATCGGTTTGCTAACTGCCTGACTCTAGACTTCATTCGTGACCCCGATGATCCAACTTTCCACCCGATACGTGATGTTCTCGAACGCAGCATCACTACCCAGCTCCGTAAGATCGGTTTCAGTGCCCTTGTATACGGTGCGCTCGTGATCATTTGTTTAGGAGGTGTCGTCTGGGGCTTGCACTTTGCCCTCGATGGTGTCCTCCCGATTCACTGGTCGGCCAGTGCGCCGATGCTCGAGTTCCCGGTTGATCTCCTATTCTACAACTTCGTGTTGCCTGTAGTCATTCAATCATTCAAACCTTCAGATGGTTTGCATGATCTATATGACTGGTGGTTCCACAAGTGTGCTCATTTCTTGCGTCTCAGCAACTTTTTCTTCCCCGAAAGACATCTGGAGGAAGAAGGCTACCACGTCCGGAAGACCTGGTGGGGTATTCTCTCTAGAAGCGAGGGTGACTGGGAACACCCAGTAGTTGGAGATGATCAGCAGGCTGCAGCCGAGCGGGAAAACCGTGACGTCTACTTCCTGCGCGATGGTCGATACGTGCGCGCCCCTGGCTCTGATCAGGTCCGCATTCCCAAAGGCAACCACGTTTTCCTTGAGGTCACCGAGGACAATGAACGTGTTGATGGGAAGTCCGATCCTGCCGATGGGCTACATGGCCGATCCAGCAACATGTTTACCAAAGTGTACATCCCTCCCTCCTTCCGGACTCGGATTGCTGCCTTTATTCTTCTAATCTGGCTGTTTGCTGCCACCACCGGGGTAGGCATCACTATTATTCCCTTGGTCATTGGTCGGAAGATCATCGGGTCTTACTCCTCTACTCCGGCTCCGGTGAACGACGTCTACGCCTTTTCAAGTGGTCTTTGTGTGGTCGGTGCGTTTACCTACCTTGCCTACCACTCCAGCACCGCACTTAACTTCGTGCGAGAGCATGCAGGCGCATACCTTCGTTCCCCCCGCCAAGCAGCCCAGACCAGTCTGGGCCTCGTGATGCATGCTGCTCGGCTTCTCTACATGGCCCAAGTTGCCATTATCCTTCTACCGTCACTCTTCGCACTGCTCACTGAGCTATACATTCTCATTCCAGCGCACACCCTCTTTGGCGATGGAGAGTCGCATGTTGTCCATGTCGTTCAGGACTGGGCGCTCGGGGTGTTGTATGTCCAGATGGCCATCAAGTTGACTTTCTGGCAGCCCCATTCCTGGGTAGCAGCTGCGGTCAACAGTGTCTTCCAAGATGGTTGGCTGAAGCCCAATGCAAGCCTTGCTACTCGTGCCCTTGTTCTTCCAATCCTCCTCTTCACTGCAGCTGCGGCAACTTTGCCCTTGTCATTTGGGTTTATTGTGCGCTGGACAATTTTCTACTCCCACGTCGGAGTGCAGCCTAATATTTACCGTTATGCTTATCCCACCACACTCTTGATCGTGCTGTCTGTATGGATGGCGCATCTACTGCTGAGACGAGTGGCAGTCTGGCGCACCAATATCCGCGATGAAGTCTATCTCATTGGAGAGAGACTGCATAATTTCAGTGAGAAACGAGCACGGGATGTCGGTGTGTCGCGGGTGATGACAGGATGACGAAGTGGATGAGTGATAATTTTGGCCTTAATGGCATAGTCTCTCCACCGACTCTCTTACCTTTTAGCTTTATTGTATGTACATTTAACTCGAATGAATAGAATCCAATTATTACTTACTACATATGTACTTTTCGTCCTGCCCCTCGCCGGATATGTGCCTGAGGCATGAGACTTTATATCTGTAATTGGTACTGGTAATACCGTAATCTAAACATTCATTACCTGCTGCCTGCCCCCCCGTGACCCCACTTATTGGCCTCTCTCGTGATCGCTCATTGGTTAGGCAACAGGATTCCCTCGATGTGCCGTTGTGTGGTTATCGGCATCGCCATCCTCCAAGGCATCCATTGAAACTTGCTCTGGAAGTCTTCATCGATTCCTTTTCTCCTGATGGATTCTTTGATTTCCAGCGACTCTGACTATGTGTTCATGAACGTTCCCACTGCAGTGCCTTGTCTCTAATGCTCGATACTGTATCTGTCATTCTTATCGATCCCCTCCGCAATCGCCAAGATGTCAGTCCTCCGGCATGGAGGAGGCGGCTTCCTCCAGCGGCGCCTCACGAAACTATATACCGATACGAAAACCTCCTGCGAGAGTGTTACGACAGCCTCCAAGGCAATCGACGACCCTGAACTCGTCGCCCTCCACGGGAGTTTCCAGAAACAGAGGGATCGCTTGCTGGCATGGGGTCTAGATTGGAGCGACGCAAGCGCCGCGCAACCCAACGACATCGATGAATCGTTGACTGCTGCAGGCTTCAGCGATGTCGTTGAGAGTGTCATGTCATCGATCCAAGAACTCCTCAACGATGCTGAGCAAGCGCAGCATTTGGATGCGCCCATGCTCCCTTCCAAGGAACGGAAAGTCGATATACCGTCCAAGGATACCCTTGCTAGCAGACCGATTAAAACACAATGGACAGAGGAAGATATAACTCGCTCAAACAAAATCTTGAATGAACTCACTGGCTGTATTGATACCCTTTATGATCTCTCACGCTCCCGGCGGACAATGGCTTCCAGCATGTCATCCAGCAAGAACAGCGCGCGCCGCCCACGACCTAACCCCACCTCACCTTACGATTCATCACATGGCTCATTCTCCGAGTCTAAGGAGAAAGTACAAAGCCCGAAGCAAATGTTCGATGCATTCGCCTACTCGCCCACGACCGCGCACCGTGACTCCCCTAATCCTTTCCTACCATTGAACCATCTCCTCATTGATCGCTCGGCTCTACAACTATACGGAGCGGCCCACGATAATAGCCCTCCTCCATATGAACCTGTTGCAGCGTCTTCCAACTCGCGTGCCATTGGACGCCTGAAGTCATCGGCATCGCATCTTCTCGCGTCCACAAAGGAGTCCCATGTCTCCGTGCTTGTCGAGTTTATGCCTATATTGGCGGAGTCGAAAATGGATAATAAGAGTGCTCGATTGGAAAAGCTCCAGCAGTCTCTTGAGCAGTTGCTACAGAACGCCAGGATCTCGCACTTGGGGTTGATGCGATTTTTGGGTTACTGCATTGATAACTCGAATTCTCGCTATGCATTCCTTTATCAGATGCCGGTCGACTACTTCCCGTTCCTACAGAATCCGAGTGACTTGTTAAAGGAGTTAAAGCCTAAGCCATTGGTCGCTCTTCTTCCTTCGGCAGAGGAGTACCGGGAGAATCGAGTTCCGAACCTTGACACTCGCTTTCGATTGGCTTATGATCTCTTAATGTCCTCTCTCCACTTAAGAAGTCAAAATGCCGTTCATGGAAATATCAACAGCAGCAACGTTATCTTCTTCCCGGGTCGAAGTGATGCCAGTGATGATGAAAGTGGTCTTGCACCTGATCTTCGCCGTCCTTATCTCACTTCTCCGGCACGGTTCTCCGGGGATGGACCAACCCCTGAGCCGTTGTCTTCGGCAATGTACCGTCATCCAGACGACAAGAGATCTGTTGAGGATGATGGCGCGTGGGCCTATGACCTTTACTCGCTAGGCCTCATTCTATTAGAGATAGGACTGTGGGCACCAGTTGGACGGCTCTGGAAGACGAAGTACGACCGCTCGTGGTTCAAGCATCGAGTGGAAGATCTCTATGTCAAGAAACTTGGCCCGAAGTGCGGTGGTGCTTATCTTCAGGCGGTTCAGTTGTGCCTTGATGCCCCCAACTTCCATTTATCGACACAACCGATGACTGACCTTGGTCTTCGTGTTCCACAAATTTACCACTACCCGGTACTCGACTTGTCGGACCCTGATGGCACTTTCTCTTTTTCAATGAATTTCATGTACACAATCTGCAAGATTCTGTGGTCGTGTTGCCGGATTGATATCTTCTCGGCACCCTCGGCAGAAGAATTGGATGACTGCCTTCCACTTGCCCTTGTGCCCACCCCCGAGCCGGTCACCATCGAGGACAAAGTTAGGGCATACAAATCATCAAAGCGCGAGATGTCCAATTATGACAAGAAGCTTCCCACAATTCCTGCCGAGACATGGGGTGTCGTGAATGAAGACAAACCTATTGAAAAGCCACAAAAGACACGGACCGTCAAGAGACTTCCGCACTTGGAAATACCGGACGAGCACCTACGAGAGTGGAATTTCCAAATAATGCCTCGGGTGAGCCGCCTTCTTCAGAAGATCTTAAAGGATTCTTCTGAGTCGTGTGGAGTAAACCTCATCATGACTGGCGAGTCGCCTGAAAGTGCGAGAACGACGATTTGTGTTACTTGCGCCAGTGTGAAGAAAGTTCGAATGGCCCTCAAGAAGCACTTCGCTCTTGGTCGGGATGACTGGGATTTGATTGTCCTTCGTGGCGATATTGAACGGTCCAAGGTTCCTCGGAACAGGCGCCGGAGGCCGGCCAAGACTCGCCCAAATGCATCCAATGATACACCCTTTCGCCAGCGAGAGCTCAATCCATGTCACCAGCAGCGACCTCTGTGCGGAGCATCTATCGGTGCCTTTCAGAACGAAGAGCACCTACCCCCCGTCTCATATGGCGGTGCCATCTTTGTCGATGGCTTGCCTTATGGCCTAACAGTTCATCATATGTTGGAAGCTCCCAGTGAAGACGAGGGCCAAGGCAGTGGCCCCGGAGACTCCAATCAAGACGCCCCTTCCAGGTCGGCGGGGAACTGGCCCCGTGATACATCAAATACCCCACATCCTGGATTCATGTACGAATATCCAGAGGATGACTCGCCTGACATGAACTTCGATTTCGAAATTTCCGATCTGGAGGACGGAGACGATCCATCGCAAGGCCTCGAGTCTGGGTATGATGAATTCTGGCTTTCAGATGAAGATTCATCTGATGATGACTCCGTCGGCCCTGATGACGACGACGGTGACACTGCGTCCATTGGTGATACTGCTGGTATCGAACCAGGCGAAGAACCTCGGCTGCTTGTCACTCAACCAGCCATTGACGACGTACATGAAGACTTTTTTCCATCTCCAGAAGATCGCGATGACGAGCACCTAGCTTCACACTCCCTAGGTTATGTCCACGCATCATCTGGAGTACGGCGCTGGACCCGAAAGGGTCTGAAACATGAGATTGACTGGGCGCTCATCAAAGTCGATGAAGCCCGCATGGACCCTCGCAACATCATTCTCGATACTACCAGGTCCAGTATCGCTCGTCCGGGACGCCCTATCCCGCCACAACCCATATTTCTGAACCAGGTAGCCCGGATGGAGGAGCTAGGTGGTTTGCAGGTTCATTGCTGCGGCCGCACAAGCGGACTGCAAACAGGGCAGATATCCAAGGCTATGACATTGGTCAAACTTCAGGGACGGCATTCATTCTCAACCAGCTTTTGCGTCAATGGGAACTTCGGAGGTAAGAGGTACACTTCAGCGGATCCATGTTTTTGTCTATACGATCCTTAATTAGATACCCTTTTTTGTTTTGTCATGCACGCCCGTCATTTGTTGCCCTTCTTAGCTGGTAAACATACAGCACCATTCCATCCTAAGACATCCGCTCGTATCGAGTAAACATTTCACGAAGCTAATCTCTCTTGATCCGACAGCCCCTGGCGACTCCGGCGCATGGGTCTTCGACCGTCCCACCGGCCGTGTTTGCGGCCATGTTCTCGCCTGGTCCGCAAAAAGCAACACCACCTACATTTCCCCTATGGAGGTCACCTTCGATGACATCGCACGCACCCTCCGCGCCTCTATCGTCTCCCTTCCCGGCGACCCGAACCGATCCATGGGTTACATCGACCCTACCTCCCCACAGGCTGCTCAATACCGCTACCAGGCACAGCGCCTTCCAGGAGACTTTGGGCGTTTGGCGTTTGGAGCTGGAAGTTCCCCTGGTCCTCCTGTACCACCCTATCCCCATCAGTACCCTCACCCTCAACCCCACCATCCAGCTTACGGACGTCCTCCACCTCCGCCCCCACCCCCTCCTGGCTCCCGAGAAGCCCGTGGGCCCGTGTACGGTGGCCCCGTCCCTCCGATTCCGCCGTCGCTTCTGGCTGGGCCCCGCAATATCGAGCGACAACTTGCTTGATTTTTGGAAAATCTAGAATGGGAATAATCTTTTTGGGATTCATGTTATATTGATCTGGGTATATCGGTTTTGTTTTATGATTGTGTTCATGATTATGGATGTTGGGGATACCCGTGATGGCGCGATTTTCGGTTTTTCCTTTTCCGTTTACAACTATAAAATTATATCACGCGAACTATTCAAAGAGCAGTATTCGTAAACGGGAGCTATACTCGATTTGAGGTAGATACGACGAGGCTAGGGAAAACACACTCCTCTCGAGGCTGGCGTTGATCCGGTCCGTCGGCCTCGCGGTATCAACCCTTCTTAGGTGGTTTGCCCTTCCTTTTACCAATCACTGTCACCCTTGAATCAGAATGTGAAGTTTACCATTACCATTCGCATTGAACCGAAAGGATGTGAGCGATGCTGACGTCCTTTGTATTCCTACTATGTAATTCTGCGGCCCGTTTTCTCTATAAAATTGCTTATTTGATGCCGTGAAACTTAATAGTCCGTGGAACAGCGATTACAATACATTTTAATTCGTCTTCATAGAAGTAAGTACATGTCCAAATAAGGATCTATTGCTATTCTACTTAAGATGGTTTATCGTTGTCTCTCGATTCCGCCATAGTCCCGGAGTAATTATAAAAGGCACTTTGTATTTCTCCGTCTTACGCTCTGGTGCTCAAATCTTAAACCAAACAGGCGAAGTATTGACTCAATCGTGATATCATGATTTTTGCTGTCGTTTTTGAGAAAACAGTACCATTAAAGATCATCCAAAGGCCATCGTATGATAGCACCAAAGTACACTCATTTTGGAAAGCGACCCATATACAGTAGAATTTTATATAGTGGTGCTTTATACGCAGAGTGGCACCAACTCAGCAGCCTCGAAATACGAGCTGCTTATAGGTGATACCACGAAGGTTCTCGGTGCAACGCAAGTTTGAAATGAACCAAATAGAACTGGAGCATCCTGTCCTGTGGGATGAGATGATACCGCGCACGTCTTCGCCGGACCATATCCTTAAGCCGCCAATCTTACTGAGGCGTTTTTCATTACATAATGACTCTCTTGCTGAGTAAGTTTTTCCAGCCCTTGTGCAATGTCGAAACCCAGCTGAGCAACCCAGATGACCTTGAATCTTGCATCCGGTGGATTGAGAGTTGACATACCCATTTGAGCAAGCCCTGAAACTAGCTAGAAGGCAAGAAATGGCGAGATGGTAACCCAAGAATGTGACATGAGCTGGGCATAGAGTCTGTCGTAATACATACTTGTTTATTGATGTGCCGAAGAACACTATGCCATAGGATATATAGTCAGAGCATATTCCAAACAAGAGAACCACTGTTAGGTTAACTGCAGACTAGTCAAAAGGTCTTCAATAAAATTATTGCGCAAAACATCAACGGCTCAGCAAACCAAGCAGGTAAGATCAATCCCGTAATACCAAATCTGACCTCTGAGGACTTTGAGACCAGGGTCCAGCAATCACTTAGCTAGAGTCTCTTCTGCTGATAGCTCATTGCAACAGGAAGATCATACTTATAGTAGTTGCAGCAACCCCCATGGCGATTTACAAGAATTTGTTGCTCCTGGTACTAGGGCTCGTCTTACTAGCAACCGATGTCCTAGGAGCAAGGGTGGTTTATACAGCATGGTACACACAAGGGCTTGGGGGTCATCCAGCATCTACTAGTCGCCACGGAACGATCGCAGACGAACATGTACAGCCCCTCCTAGATCACATTGCACAATGGTCGGGGGGAAGATACAGGGCCTCAAGGAGCAGACACAATCTTATCAGCGTCAGTGCACACCAACACGTGCACACAAAGAATGAGGCTAGTCAAGTGGTACAGAATATGGTCCACCTAGTTTGCCAGCACTTGAGAGAATGTGGCGCGACTTCACCCGACTCTGAGTGAATTCTTAATGCACATGTAGTTTTCCCCACTTCCATAGCGAAGGCGCTAGTTTCCTATTCATGTGACTGATGAATGGAGATGGATTTTCCAAGGAACAAGCAAAACCATCGAGTCCGACGATAGCTCAGAGAGGGCCTTCTTATGATAGTGGGTTTGGAATTATAGGATGATTGGCCAACTGGTGAGCACGTGAGCTTTCCAAACCTAATTCTATCCCATCAGAGGAAGCTTTCAAGGCCCAGTACTTCTAAGTACGTCTGATCCTAAATAATGATCACTGCAATTATTGTCTATTACAGTATCTTTAGACGTTAATTGACAAAAGGAGAGAGGGCGATAAAACAGTCAACAAGGATTCGATTTTTGAAATCAACTTCCTAACTTTGGAAGCTGATGATCCACTGATAGCTGAATGCTAAAGACAAATTGAGTCGCCGGCAAGGACAATGGCACTCCTGCAATATCCCCCAGAACGTCTTCCTTCGCCCAAACAACAAGTAGATCAGAAAGAAACCGATCTGTGTGTCGTGATCCGCATGATGTCGGTGATATGGAACGCAAAAGAACATTCACGGTCTGATGGCACGGGCAGCCCGTATTTCAAAGTCGATATCGTGCTCGAGAAAGATAAAATATTGAGCCATCAGTTCACTGACTTCCAATACCCGCTGGTATGAGTGCTCGCCGAGAATCCGGGGGCCACTCTTCACATCAAATCTCTGGCTGTTTCGATCCCAGACAATTGCTTCTCCTTCACATGCGCCATCAAGCTCCCATCGCGCCTGTATTTTTTTGCTGAAACTATTCTCGCTCGTAAAACCTGGATGTTCGCCCGCGATGACATACATAACCACATCACAAGCAAAACAGCAAATTGTCTCGCAAATCAACTTGGAGGACGAAGCATCCATCAACAAACTCTCAGGCACAGCAAACTGGCCGATGTTGATGGGCTGAGAAACACTCTCCGGAGCTCTATCCGTATTGTGAATCCCCCAGCACTCCTGGGAAAATAATTCAAATTCATCTCGACCAACCCACACCACGTCGTACATTGGGACAAACTTGCGTAGGAAGTAAAAGCACTGTCTCTGCCGATGAAAAAGGACCTCAATTTCCTGCTTGCGAATCCATTCGATAGCAACGTAGCGGGCCTCACGATTCACGTCGGCGAGCGGTATCTTGACACGGATTTTATCAAGCGAGTCGTAACGGAGCTCCCACTCCACATAGGTTTCATAGACTGCATGCTCGTAAGAGAACCAACCTTCACCCTGGTAGGGAGTAAACGCCGGCGAGTCAGTTTCGGGCAAGGTGTCACGCCATATCTGGAAGCGTAGTTCGGGTGGAAGGTAGGGAAATGGATGAAAGGTTTGGGAGCCGGCCGCCGACACGGCCAGATCGGAGGAACTCATGATTGACTTGAAGATTTCAGAGTTCAGCATTTGATGATAACTGAGACTCCTGATGGAGGGTAGGTTAATGGTGAAATAAACGTGGTGGAAGGTGGTTACACCTGAGTTTGACGCCGGTGCCTAAGGCACTCGTTTTTCGATACCAACTTGAAGAATGCCTCGGCACTCCCCTTCCTTTGTGCTCTTAATTCTTTATTCTTTTCGATGGAATGGAATATTTCGTAGCTGTTGGAAGCCTCTTACCAATAACCGGGAAGAGAGAACCAAGCAAGATTATTTACATTCTTGGTCAAACCGTACCTTCATAAGCAGCTGGAAATGAGGTCTGATCTCAGCTAACATGTCGTTTTTCTTGAGGTCGCCATATAATTGCATAATAAATATCTATTATCTTAAACTTTTACCGATATCTAGATATGTAGGACTCCAGACAAAATCCGGGTATCTCTTTGTCTTTGTGTCGATTTGAACTCATTCTACTTGGAACTTGACGCAGCGCAAAAGCAATACTACAAAAAGCTAGACTTCACCGAGTATGCACTGATTCTATCACAAAAGATGATCAGAAACTGTTAATGTGGGCATGGCGAGCTCGACTGTCAGCCTCCAAAACTAGATGTTTGTCTTGATTCGACCCCTTGTAAGAGGCCATGGTATATCAAATCCTCTATCATATCGGAGTCAGAAGTTGTATTTTTACAAATTATATTATAAATCAAGGACTCGGACATTAACCATATGTAGAGGAACAATCCAATGAACATCACATAGCCTTTTGGCTCAGTATTCGGAGCAAAAGAAGCAGTGAACTAAGTATTCAGAGAGGAAACAACAGGAAGGTAATGCGATACATTGCATGCACCTGTGGCTATGAGCTATTTAATACTCTATGAAGAACAAAGAGGAACAAGAAAGGATTGTAAACTGTCAATGAGCTGAAAGGCAGCTCAATATCAGTTACTTTCGCGAAGCCAACTGACCTACACTTTCTATATAACTTCTACAAACTTCATAATTTGTTAGCCATCTATGGAGCATTGTAGCAGTGAAATATTGATAGGAGTGCTTTTCTCCAAATTGATGCCTCTTGCCCAAATGGGAAATGGCCTATCGATAGCTCGTGACTTGGAAGGGTTTGCCATGTTAATCTCATCTTCCGACTTGTGTATAAACAGCGTGCAGTATCGAGTCTCTCTGTCCGCTCATACGCGTCTTCGACACAGCGCGTCCGTTCATTCGTCTCTGTTTACTTCTTATTCGTCCGATCCCTCATCTCTATTTTCTTCTTCTCACTCCTATTCAACATCACCGAACGATTTTAAATTTCACACTTTTCATATCTTGTCTTTCATCTTTCAATCTCATCGTACTTCGAAGTGGCTCTGCGTCCCTCTGGGATTTGTGGCCATGCATCATTTGCACACCTTCCACGGAGATCCCGAGCTGGGCACTCGCCCCCTCAAAGATCGGCCTGACAGCTTGAATAAAGCTATAGAGGCTCTCGAGAAGTGGTATGACAGTGATAAGCCTTTCTTCACGAAGAAAGACCTGGAGAGCGTCTCCAACCAGCTCAATCGCCGATACAACACACGGCGAAAGAAGGAACAAAAGCAGTTGATCTCTGTCAAGGGCCTCAGTGGCTCCAAAATTTATTATGAAGTGATGACTGGACAAGTCCTCGAAGAGGCGGCGAAGAACGAAGACTGGGAGATGTATGTTGTTTGTTAATGGTCTCCCTTCAGGGCTCTTCTGGCACGTGACCCCAGCTAACACATACATGTTTCAACAGACGTGAACCAAAGATCCGATACCTATGCTATGAACAACTCATTTCGTCGTCAAAGTCAGAAGATATTGGACTGGTGGAAACCTTCTTTCCGTTGCAGATTGAGCATTTCATGCTCGTACGCGCGAGCGACACAAAGTTGCCCATCTTCAGCGACTACCTCGAGAACTCCTGGGATGTCGATGAGTATCTCCAATCTATGCAGGTGTTCTGGAAGCACAGCCCTGAATGGAAGAAACTCAAGTCACTTCTTAAGCTTCTCACCCTTCATAAAATCACCAAGGTTATCGGTATCGCATCTGGATCAATGGAATTTGGTCCCGACGATAGAGACTGTGTCTATCGCAGCGCCGTGCAACATTCCCTGATGATCACTGTCAAGGAGTTCATTGAAGAGATGTCCAAAGAAAAGATCAAATGCTATGCTCAGGATCCTCGCTACACTGCCGTTGACACCTGGGCTCTTGCGCAGCAAGACTGCGAGGTTCTGGAAGACCCCAAAGCTTTACTTGAAATTGACGACTACTGCATTCTGTTTTCTTGCTGCCCCGCTCTTCCACTGAAAGAAATCACTGTTGACTTTGCTCGGCCTGCTATGCTGATTTGGGATCGAGTTGTCCCTGAACCAAATCATGGGTGGTGAGTCTGATTCTGATGCTGTATTCTCTTCGTCTTGCTTACTGACCAGTTCTCCTAGCCATAACCCAAACACCCCTCGTGTGCTGCGCATGATTGAAAACGAATACGACTGCTATGAGTTCTGGGATTATCACAAGGTTGCGGTTGCTCCCTTTAGGTCCGACCTTGCTGTTTACATCCGCCGCCAGGAGGTGGAGTAAAGTCACCGCAAAGATGATGTGTTAGATTATGGTGTGTCGGGGGCGATGGGGATGCTCAAAGCTATCTGTCAGATTCTTAGTTTCATAAAATGGCTTCAACTACTCAATCATCTCAAATTCCACTATACACCTAGACGTCTCTATAGACCTCTCCTAACGGGTTATGAGCCCGGAAGCTCTATTCATTTAAACTTCCTCTTCACGCACGACGCCATTGTTAACCTCTCAAAGGCCTCTCTATCGAATCTATCACCATCATCACCAGCGCCTCTCTCGACGACGCGCTAACCGGCCGGGCCAGACACCCACCTACAAACGGTATCACCTATCTAGTTCCTACACTAGCAAACTGTGTTAACAGACGTGCCCCTCTCTTTTCGACAGTCATCACCACAGTACCTCTTCATCAACGCACTCATCAATTTCATCAACATGTCTTCCAACAACAATAGCAGCTTCGCAAAGCCCAAGATCTCAGAGCTCGTCCCAATCCTTACCGGCGAAACCAACTTCGCAACGTGGTCAACCGCACTCAAGTGCGCTCTCAACACCCGGGATCCTCGCCTTTTCGAGATCCTCACCGGCAAAGAGGCTCAGCCAGCCCCCGATAATCCAACGCTTAACGAGTGGACTCGCAAGTCTCACCTTCTTTCGTAGACGTCTCTAGAGACCTCTCTCCTAACACTATCTATTTGATCTTGGGGGGAAACGCTTCGGTCTCTATGTGTTGTCAGGGGCATTTGCAAGGCCCAAAGGGGTCTTTGATTGAGTGGGAAGCCAATTTGCGTTTAAAGAAAGCACCCATGATTTCCACGCCTGCATAAGGCCGGGAAGTGTGATTGTACCCTTCATGGCTTATTTATGTCTTTATTTCTCTGTGCAAGTAGCTTTACCAATGAATCTCCTCTCCACGTCACAATATTATTAAATGGTCCTTTTCGACTGCCCGTACTCCTATAAAAAAGCAAGCATCTACGGCTACCAAATCTAATGCCATAACAAATGTTTTGTATGTGAACCTTCTGGTCCCCATAACGGGCAGATATATTCTATATTTATAAGTCTAAAGGATGCATACCATCCACAATTCTTATAGACAGTATAGAAAGGTGATTCACAACAGGTGTGGTCTCGAACAACAGCCGTAAACTTGGTTCCTAATGACTTTAGGTCTTAAAAGACTGAAGACCTGGGTGGTGGTCATGTATTTAGGCCTCTTTGCCTCTGCACTACCCGGGGTAGCTGTGAAAGTATACCGAAGACTCAATTTCCAACGTTGGAATACATACAACAGCCACACCTTGTTCTGTGATGGACCCACTTGGCGTGACCCACTTAACACAACCTTATCCCAAGAAAGACCTTGGAAGATATATATCGCATTAGTTTTAGTTGTCTTTTATGTTAGCAGCATTGCATTGGATAAAAAGGAAATGCTTCGGTGGTGAAGAGAAGTTCGTAGTTCTACTTTGCATTTCTATTACTACCCATATTTGGTGATCATGACTAGGAGTTCTAGATATTTTTGACTATGCTCTACCATTTTGATTTCGGTACTTTCCACTGTCTGTTGATCTCCTGATCGAGATATGATTCCCCAAAAATGTTCTTTTCGCTGGTTGTATTGAAATTGGAGGCTGAGTTGTCTATCGCCTCTGTGATGGAAACACATTGTACCCTTCCATCAATTCCAAAGTTCCAGATTTGCGGATGCTACAATATATGTGGCCTGAGAGCAACAGCCGTCAGTGATATGACGGACTGCAGCAAATTAGTTGTGGAGAGTGCATGATCCTGCGACGACGCACTGAAGCACGCAAATTCCACGCCAGTGAGGTCCCCTGCATCGGGGATAGTCAACGGCAAATCTAGGCCCCATCGGGCACATGTGTGCCTGGTTGTCCTAATTCCCCTCTTCACCTTCATCTTCATCCTCGTCCTCGTCCTCGTCCATACTCTCCCATTCATCTTCAACGTCGCTTTGTAGATCCGCTTCTTCGCCAAGCATGCTAAGCAGTTGTAACAATCCGGCCTGTGTGCGCCAGGCATCTTCGGATGGCAAATTTGGAACGGAGTTACCAAGACCGCCGCTATCCACTGCTGAAGGCTCATCCGTCTCGCCGGAGGCAGATGAAGATTTGTTAGAGAGGTTAGGGGCCAGGCTGAGTATGCGGATGACTTTTGTAGGAAAGACACGAGGAAGGTCTCTGCCTTGCGGTGGAGGTATGCCACCTGGAACGTTGGTGTCACGCCAACCGAGAGTCTGCGATTTCTGGTGTTAGCTCTTCAGCTTTGTTTCTTTTTTTCTCTTTATGTTCATAGGTCAGAAAAGATGCTCACGGTGTAGGTAGTCATAATAGCATCATCAGCCAACGCCATGTAACTGATCGGCACAGCAAGCTGCGGCGCAGAGCTAGTGAGCAGCGAGTACGAAGCACGGGCAGGGTTCTCCACGTTTTGAACCCTATTGTTGTCATCAAGGGCAACAATATAGATCCGGTCTTGAATTTCGAACATCACACGGTGGTTGCGAATTGATAACCAACCACCAAGGTCAAAGCTTGACCCGTCTGATTCGCATTCCAAAATGGAGCTGTTCGCTGCAAGACTAGCTTCGTCACGGAGAGCCTTGTGGAAGTCGGGGCATATAAAAACACGACCAGCGCGAGAAAAGCCCACAAAGAGATCGCCGTGCAACATCCCCGCTCCCCATTCATCCTCCCCATGCCACACGTGACCTGGGTCGTCTGGTGGTGATAGTGGACCTTTGGCGACCTCAATTGGTACCAAACAATCTTTTCGGAAAGCCCCAGGCGCGAGGGGTTGAGGTGTAGGGCCAAGTCTCGCAGCACCTGCTAGTGCTGCACTCGCAGAAGCAGAGGCAGCTTTGGGAGGAAGGATGTGATATTTTTCCGTAGACTTCGACGGCTTCAGCGTTCCTAAGAACGCACCAGACTCCTTGTTGTAGGCAAAATAGCCTTTTGCACCCATCGAATAGATCACAATGTCTTCGCTTTGGTCCAGATGGCCAATGGCACCTCTCTCAATCTTCAAGTGTGTGGTCAACGTAGGAGGTCGCTGTGTCATATCGTATACAAAACCCTGACCCTCGTTGGAAACAACACAAAGAGTCCAGTATGACAATTGGAACCCTCTCGTCTGGCAATCATGGTTCAAGGTAGCGATGCGCCGGAACTCTCCCCGCTTCGCACCTTCATGGTCCGTCTGCCAAACCTCGAGCGAATCTCCTTCACTATCAAACACAGCCATTCCATCCTGATATTCCAAGTGTGCGTGTTGGCGAACTCCATCTCCGTCGGTGTCCTGCGCCGAAGGGAGTTGCCAGAGGATACGGCCCGTGTCCATATCAGTGACGTTCAACCCGCCAGCATGGGAAGTGGAAACGAAAAACCGGCGCTTGAAGTCGGCACGGAATCGCCAAACGGGATCATTGCCAATTTGTAGCACTGATTCCTGGCTAACTGGATGGGGCTCGGCCCAATTGCGGGCTAGTAGTGTCTGGCGCTTGCATAGGTCTTTCCATGACTCCGTGCCCTCAAATACTTTGGCAAAGCTGTGGGTATCGGAGAGGAAGTTGAAATCGCGGCTACCTCCAAGCGGCTGGGCAGTTTTGGCTTCGGATGTGTAAATAGCTTCTTGGTGAGTGACGTCGATAAATTGATGCCAAGCCTTGGAGGCCGCAGTCAGGGACGCAAGGGCGGAGACAGGGGTGAAGTGCAAGATTTGCAGGACAATCTCTGGGGGCAGGACGGTGAGAGGGTCCGCCATGGGTGAGATGGCGGTCATATTTCCAAAAGATAAGTAATGCAGAGTTGTTGCAGAAAGCAAATCAGAGAGGTGGGGGCTCAATATTTTGTCGTTCTCCACCGTATATGCGATGACGTAGCCGTTTTTAAATCCGTGGATAGGCACAGCAAATGGCCTCCAGGGGAAGTATTTAGGTAATGCCCTAAATTTAAGCTTAAATTGGTTTGATATGGCTAGTTCTCAATCCGCTCGCCTCCAGGTCCTCCAAGTAGTAGATTCTTCCCAACCGAACCTCCGCTGCAATGCTTGCCTCATTTCAAGGTGCCTCATTCGCTCCTCCATATGCTGAACGAACTCTCGCCGGTCTCTATAGCGTTTTCTGAATTCCTTCACAATAATCGGAATAACCTCCCACCCAACAAAAAGCAATAGACCAGCAAATAAAGCAAACGACTGGTCTTCTTCGTTAATTGACTGGGGGGAACATGGCATGAAGAAGCATGAATGTGATGCCTTGACACTGCGGGTCACATAAGCCATGAAAGCATACCCACAACTCGCACATCCAACCGTAACAAGCCAAAACAACGGAGCTGCAAGCAGGAGTAAATAAAGACCAAGCGGAGCTAGTGGTAATAGTCCAATCCACCATCTTGAATCTCCTGTAGCGTTGATCATGATGATCGAGAAAGGCACCACAAATAATGACACGAAGGCGAAAAGGCGCACCGCCTTTGTCACCATCCTTGATACTATCGCGTTGTTGAACGCTTGTTTCAACAGTCCAGTGGGCGTTTGTTTCAGGAGTCCAGTGAGCATGCTGGGTAACAATGATATGTCCATATAGATGAGCAGCCATACAGAGAATGGCATGATATAATATGGAGTGCCAGCAGCAACAACCAAATTAAGGTCATAGGCACCGCTGTGCATTCCGTGCCAGTATAACGCAGGCACGTCCATTGTTCTGATAGGAGCAATTGTGTGCATGAGCGCGAGGGAGGGCAATATCATTCCGATCAAGAGTGTCCATAACCGATAGCGTCGGGTCTCTGGGGTTTCAAATAATATCATTGCAAGGAGATATTGCATCGATCCATGAAAGAGCCCCCAAAAAGTGACGTTAAACGCCGCCCCAATGGAACCATTTAAGCCGCCCAAATCTACATCGTAGGTCAAGGAGTTGCGTGGAATGCTTTGAGCCACACGGACTTCACGAAAAAGACCAACAGCGGCCCAGTTGGTGCCGAGTAGAAATAGCCACTTATTTGGATCAAATCTCTCTTCTGAAGCTCGAATGAGCCGCCACCACGATGCCACGATGGAGAGGAACCAGGCTGCCCAACTTCCTGGTCCATAAAACCCGCTCACATTTCCGATACCAAGGACATCAGGTGGTTCGGATGTGACAGCTAGATAAACCGGGGGTCCGGTGTCATATAATTCCGTGCCAGGCGAGGGAGCCGCATTGGATGAGGAGCCTGTCTTGTCAGTTGATGTTGTGGATATTGTGGTATCGGAGGCTGGGGGGATAGTGGTGTAGCTTTGTTCGACGTGAATGACTGCTGTTGGTTTTGAGCCCGGTTCTTCTCTTGTTTGGAGTACAAGCGCGCATATTGTGGATATAAAGAGGAAAGACAACAGCACCACCCTCCAAATCATCGCATGTATTGCAAGGAAAAGACTAAGAATTTGAGGCTATTCTTGATGAAATTCACCTCAAACCTTCGTACTTTCAACTACTAACTGGTTCGAAGTCCGATCGGGGCAGTGATATAGGAAATGGATTTCTGCTCAGCCTGGAGGTCTCGTATAATCGGGCTGCGACGAGCATGTCAGCAGCATTCAGCCATCAACTAGCACTGTGGCGTCGATGACATTTCAACAAAATAATATGTCTCGTCTTTTAAGGTATTTCCCATTGTCGTATGGAAATATCACTAGGAGGTTGAGGAAATGTGGGATTTGCTGTACCCCGCAAGTACAAGCAAGTACAAGCGACAACCCTGCATATATTCACCAAATGACCCGCTGCTTGGCACCCAACGAGGCTGAGCGCAAAGCAGCCCAATTACGAGAATTCCTTTGATTTTCTCCCCATACCCCTCATCAGTCATGGGTAACGAGACCCTTCAAGAGTTCGCCGCCCTCGATCTCGACTACTTGATTATAGGTGGAGGTACCGCGGGTCTAGCCGTTGCTGCACGCCTCACCGAGGACCCTGAATTTCGCGTGGGAGTCATCGAAGCCGGCCCATCGGTCTTAAACATAGATGATAATGGCGCGATCAATGTTCCTGGTCGATATGGCGAAACTATCGGCTCAAAATACGACTGGAAATTCAAAACTACCCAACAAGCGGGCCTAGGAGGAAGATCACTACCATGGCCACGAGGTCGTATATTAGGCGGCACAAGTGCGCTCAATCTTATGGCCTGGAATCGGGGTCATCGCAAAGACTACGATGCTTGGGCGGAACTGGGCAATGAGGGATGGGGGTGGGAAGATCTACTGTATGAGTTGAGCAACTTTATAAGATTCGGGCTCTATCTCGAATCTCGCTTGCTGATCTGTGAGATGCTGAATTCCTTGCAGGCCATTTTTCCGCCGCAGCGAGAACTTCCACCCACCCAGTGCCGCTCATCAGAAACATTATCGGTCTTCCTATGATCCCCAGGCTAATGGAACGAAGGGCCCTCTACATACAACTCATGCCAAGCAGTATGGTCCCACACATCAATATTGGCACGAGACACTCAATAGTCTGGGCGTTCCATCCACGCGCGATAGTCTGGCTGGCGATAATACAGGTGTCTGGAATATGGTCTGCACAATTGATCCAGATAGTCAGGAGCGCAGCTACTCTGCCTCTGCATACTACCAACCCATTGCGAAACGCCCAAACCTGCATATGCTAACTGAAGCAACTGCCATGGAAATCCTGTTAGAATCTGAAGATGATGAGTGGTACGCAACAGGGGCTCGAGTACGCTGGAACGGGCTCGAAGCAAACATCAAAGCATACGAAGAGGTAATCGTCTGTGCCGGTAGCGTGCAATCACCGCAACTTCTGGAACTATCCGGCATTGGCGATCAGGACGTGTTGGAAGCTGCTGGAATTGAGACGAAAGTCCACAATCCTAACGTAGGAGAGAATCTACAGGAGCATATGAGTATGAACTATAAACAGTTCTCCTTATGAACTTGGCTGATGTGTAGAAGTGACTGCCACCATCTTCGAAATACCCCCCACGATTCCAACCCGCGATGACATTCTCAAAGACCCAATTCAGCGCGAAGCTGCGGACCGCGCCTATTACGCTTCTCAGACCGGGCCTTGGACGGTGATGCCCTGTTCAGTGGCGTACTGTCCGCTTTCGAAGATCCTATCGCCTGAGGAATGCAATGAACTACACACCCAGGCTAAGGAAGTCGCACAAAATACAGGACGTACACATGACGCTCTTCTAGCCAGTCAGTTCGAGCCTGGTCAAGCGCGCGGTCAAGTCGAGTATCTCTTCGATCTGGGTAACTGGAGCCCATATTTTGTCTCTGAGCCAGGGAAGAAATACGCCACAATGCTGCAAATGCTACAGTACCCTTTCTCGCGCGGGTCTATTCATATACCCCCTATGAGCGAGAATAATTATGAAAAGTCAACAATTGATGACAAACCTGTGATTGATCCGAGATATTTTCTAGGACCTGGGGAGATTGATAAGAAGGTCATGGCCAAAGCACTCAGATGGGGAGATCGAATCTGTCAAACCGAGCCTCTGGCCCAACTTATTCGCGGTCGAGTATTTCCTCCTCCTGCCAACGGGGCAGACTCCTATGAGAAAGTATACGAAGAGTTCGTCTCGAATTATACTGTAACCGACTGGCATCGTATGTTCTCCCTCCACTATTCATTCAGCAAATCACTAAAGATACATACAGCGGTTGGAACTTGCGCTATGGGTGAAGCAGATGGGATCAATGGTGGAGTTGTGAATGATATGCTACAGGTGCATGGGGTCCATGCTCTGCGAGTTGTAGATGCTAGCATCATGCCATTGCAGGTTGGGGCACACATCCAAGCCACCGTGTATGCGATTGCCGAAAAGGCGGCGGAGATGATTATAGATGACTATTTTGCTCGAAATGGTCCCCTATGAATCTCATGAGGCTTGTATCCAATGATAATAGTACATCTAAATGGTCTTGTCAATATTTTGCCCAGTAATTGCACACTAAGAAGGGCGACTGTCACAACAGCATGTCCATCCATTCATATTTTGCAAGTTATCATTGTCACACGCATCCCTCGGGTTCCGGAAATATCCCTCAGACCAAGTGAACCATCCGATTCTATCGGACTGCTCCTCACACTACTCCAGCATTCTCCATGTCTGTGAAACACAGCCTGCGCGCACAAGCAATCTTAGTCATGTCTCCTAGACGAGGGTAGCCTGGAAATTTCTTCAATAACAAACACAAAAAACGGGATGGCTAGGATATGCTCTATATAAATAGACCGGGGACTGAAAACAGAACTCCCCGAAACTTCGGCTAAAGCCGATCTTATCTTAGCTCTCCCCTCTTTGGAGGGGCAACCGGCCTATTTAGTCCGGACAATTGCGACATGGAATGCATCGGATAATTTTCCAGAGATTTAAGGATTTACTGGATATTCACTAAGCTAACAAGACCTCCCACATATTTGTAGTTGCCGCCGACATACTATTGGTTGGTTGACTCATCTCATCCGACACGGAAACTGATTCCCGCATTGAACCATATATACCGACTCCTCTTGCTCAGTACAATATCACACACACATATCCTATATCCTACATCATGATTTCTGGAATCGCCCACATCAACCTCACAATCCCTCGGGATACATTAGAACAAGCCGAGGAGTTCTACGGGACAACCCTCGGACTCACCTCAGCCCCGGTACCGGAGCTCCAGAGGGGAACAATTCTATGGTATTAACGGAGTTATTTTTCAAAAAGACGCACATTTCTAATATTATCAACAGGTTCGACATCGGCGCCAGCGGGCAGCAAGTGCATATTAGCTTCGGTTCGACTGATCCGAAAGGTACCCGGCACCCATGCTTCAAGCTGTCTTCCCGTGAGGAACTAGAGGAGATTAAAACAAGCATCTATAACCATCATGTCCGTGGTGGTCCTGCAGCACCAATGTCTGCTGATAAGCCTGGCGAGGAAAACTCTGGTGAGATCTCTGTGATACGGCCCCGCGTACGATTGTTTGCTGATTACTGCTACAGGGGCTCAAGGGAAAGAATATCCCACACGGTTCTTCGCTCGGGATTTTGCTGGAAACAGGCTTGAGTTTACTATGTAAATATTTTTGTTTGTTTGAATCGAGTTTGTGTTTGCGTCTACGAAAGCGTGGGTGTGGGATTATCAACGAAGTCGCTGTTTCGACGGTGGCTGGAATAGCAATGAGAAACGAGCCAATATCTACTATTTCAATATGATATCGAAGCACCTACCTAAGGTAGATACTATGTATGCATTATTTTTGAGCCTAGGCTTGAGAGGTCTTCATACCTCAAAAACCGACATGAGATATTAGAAATATGCGAAATTATTCATTATTCTATACTCTGATATTGCTTTTTATCAGTCTATAAATAAAGTCCCAAGTCCTGTACATAAGGTCTCTCTAAACAGTTACCTCACCATCTCCTATCTCCTCCCCACGGTCCCTCCTCTCCCTCACAATATCCCTTCTAAATATCAAACTCCAAAGATAAGCCCTATTAACAACCTCATGACCACCCTCCTTCAAAATCCACACATTCCCAAGGAAAGTAGTAAGCAAAACAGACAGCCACATCAACGGCATCATAGCAATGAAGGCCCACATAACACCACCCTTCGGATCTCGATCTCCAACCCCGCTCTTATTCGTAAACACCGTCGACATAATAGTCAATCCCAGCAGACCTCCAAAAGGAACCGCAAACGACGCAAGACAAGTGATCTGCGCCGTCATCGCGGGGAAATATGCCAGCCCATGCATAGACGCTGGGTTCATTCTCATCCCGACTCCGTGTCCAACTAGCGCCATCATGCCGTAGATGACGCTTGTTTTGCCTGCCTGCACACCCCATGCCAGCACGGTCATTCCTACTGCCGACGTTATGCTGCCGAGGAGAAGGGCTGGGAAGGTTTGTCGGGGCCAGACGTTCGAGGAGAACATCGCCATGTACAGTCCGGCTATTTGAGTTAGTCAAGGTCCTTTCCATATAGTAAATAGCTAGGTATAACATACCAGCTAAGCCAGGAAGGAAAAATAGCAGTGCGATACCGGCATCGCTAGAGCTCCTCCCTTCCACCAGCGTAAAGTATATATCCATGAAATACATAACAGCAAACATGGCTATCCCGACCGAGAAGTTTATCAGGAACAGCAAGCCAATATCACGCTGTCTCAGTAATTCCCAGGGCACCATTGCCCTTTGACGCGGGAGGACCCGTGCCATCAGCGCTCCAGGCACCATACAGCGCTCATAGACGACCCAAGCAATTGTCAGAATCCCGCCGATCACCAACGGCGCCAGGACGGCGGCGGATTTCCAAGAGTATGTACCACCCGCCCAAGTCAAAGCGAGGATAAAAAGACCAAATCCCCAGAGAAAGAGCATCTGGCCACCGCAGTCGATCGTTGAGATCCTCGTGAGGAACCGTCCAGACCGAGTCGAGACACCTCTCTCCTCCAGTTCAGGAATAGGCTGTGGACCCTGCAACTCAGTCCTTAGAACAAGGACCACAACAACCATTGCTACAACCGCGATGGGCAGGTTGATTGCGAAACACCAGCGCCACGACGCCTGCGTCAGATACCCGCCGATCACGGGGCCGATGCTAAATCCGATTCCAGAGACGAGGGCAAATATCGTCCAGTTGACTGCGTACTCGGCGAGGGAGACGCGGTCGGCGAGGATAGTGCGAATGGAGATGTTCACGCCTGCGGCACCGACGCCTTGCAGTGCGCGGCCGACAAGGAGGACGCTGAATGCTGATGTTGGGGCGCCTGTGCAGACTGCGGAGCCGATCATCATTATGAATATTGCGGATTGGAGGACGATGTGTCGGCCGAAGAGGTCGGTTAGCTGGGCCCAGAAGAAGAGGAAGGCGGCTGATGTGAGGTTGAAGACGGAGATGATCCAGTTTAGTTGTTTGATTTGGTCTGTGGGGTGGTTAGTTGCTAGTTGAGAGTTGTCATTGAGAATTGCTGTGTGTGTGGCACGTACTGAAATCCTCTGCGATAAATGGTAGAGCTGAGGCCACGATCGTTGTATCCAGGGCTTGCAGGCAGTATGGACTGAATAGTCCCAGGATGATCTTCCAGCGGTAGACATTCCTTCGTTTCTTCTCTGCAACTTCTTCCGGGGAGCGGATCTTCTTTTTCTTTCCCCCATCATGCTGTGGGATATCGATTGGTGCGTTTAGTTCGATTGCATTGTCTGGTGTATTTGAAACTGTGGAATTTAGGCGTTTCCGCTCATTGCGTTTCTTGATTTTCTTGTATATCAGAAACATGAGTTCGATGAGATATTCCAATGAGCAAGAACGGTTGCTTCGAGGCAAAGCCTTGGGAGCGTGAGAAACCCATCTTTATACCCTCCTCTACCTCACTCTTTGAAGTAAGAGAAACAGAGAAGGTCGCTAAGCATACTAAGTGGACCCAATATTTGCCCAACTTGGGTTTAGCGTGCAGTCTAAGCCTCAGCACTCAGCCTTGGAGCTCTCCATATTGAGAGACCTCTGCGATATCTTCATGAATTTCTAAATAGGCAATGTTTGCGATTGGCAGTTATCGCAAGACCTGTGGATGATTTCGAGTTTTTCCTATTCCAAGACTTGTAGAAAAAGTCCCAGCACTCGCACTCCTATCCGGATCGGGACACTTGTGCGATATCAAGATTTCATTTCAGAATTCCATAGGCGACATTGTCAACTCATAATAAGTAACTCCTGGTCTGTTTATTCAGAACAATAAATGTAGCGTGTCTCTCCGGCAGACTTCGGGGATTTTTTACATCCCATTGGGGCGTAGTCAACGCCATGGCTCTATCCATTCTCAGCCTCAGCCTCAGAAATGGATATAGATAAAGAATCGACACGAGAAGCCGGGTAATGGCGTAAAGGGTGTAAATGGTGCCAAGGTCATTTAAACGGACGAATTGGAGTCGCCGATGTACGAGCCTGTTGCCGAGCCCCACATTGATATTCGGACATGTCGTACGGCGTAGAGTTAACAACCTTGCAAGTACTCTGCTTCAATCACCAACAGCCTTACAAGAATACCTGTGAATATCATCTACTATGGGGAATTCACCACCTACAGAACCGGCTCCAGCCTACGAGGACCTATTCCACGAGCGCGGCTCAAGCTCAAGGAATGGTGTAAGTAAATCACTTCCATAAGACCCGGGAAGGGATGGCTCTTAAAAGTCCAGCTAGTCCCATCAGCATGCTGATCAACCAAATGAATACAATAGTATGCTATGGTCGGTCAAATAGACGACACCACGGAGCACCGAGACGTGGAACAGGGCCACCACCTTCATGACGTCCCCGCCCCCATCGCAGTGACAGCGGCTGATGAGCCGGATCAACACACCCACTGTGCAGAATGTGATCGACAGCGGGAGCGCAGAGAGAGAAGGGAGAGTTCCCAGAAAGCGTGTGGCATGGTTGCGAAAACATTCATCTTCATCTCTCTGTTCATGATGATATTGGGGATTGTTAGCGTCCAGGCTTGGAAGGATGTTCGTATGAAGAAGTCACATGGTTAGATTGGTATGATGTATGCTGCGTATGTTCTATAGTAGCCTATGTAGGGAATCACCCTTGATATCTCCTAGGACAGATGAATACACTCCCATGCCAAGAGGTTCCTTGTTAGTTTCTTATTAGCCATTCATGGATAATAGTAGCTCCACCTTACGGCCCCCGATGAACAGCCCAAGCGGCCCCTCAAAGCCCACAATATCAACATCAACATCTCTACTACTCCGTACTCCTTATACGCTTCGCATGAATCATTCCTAGGTAAAGCTAAATCCCCCCTAAATCCACAATCTACCTCAACCCTCTTCCCGACGGCTCTACTTGTCCCTGAGCTAGTTATAAACCAAAAACTAACATCTCCCTGGCAGGTATCAGACCAGATTCAGCCCCCTTAAAAATGTTCACCTGGCTCAAAAGCCTTTTCGCCAAATCAGAGCCCTCGGATCCCTCAGAAGCAGCCGGAGAGCCTAAACATAAAGGCAAGTCGCATAGCCGATCACATAGCAGAAGAGTTCGAGAACGCGAGCGCGATCTGCGTCGAGATTGGACGGGTCAGAAGGGTGGATGGAAGAAATTTTATAGTAGGGGGGTTATGCGGGTGTTTGTTGAAGGTGTTGGGTTTCTTACGGAGTTATAGCTCCCATGATTGGAATCATATCGCATAGCTTTATGTACTTTTACTGTCTACTTCGTTGCCTTACGCTATTCATGGAGAGAAGTTGATCTTATTGAATATTGTATTGAATATTAAAATTGAATATCAACATTGTATAGTCTTATATAACTAAAAGGATCCAAAACCAAAATAAATAAAATAAAAACACCACGCAATCTGTAACAAAATATAAAATCAAAAGAAAAAGGAAAAAAACCATCAAGTCATAATAGATGCTCCTGTGCAAAACATGTGCAAACGGATCTAAGCAGAACCAAGGTACTTGAGCACATTCTCACGTTCCTCAACAGGCAACATAGAAAGCACCTGCTGCACACCGCGCAGACCACCCTCCTTGTTCCCAATGAGCAGCTGAGCAACCTCAGACGCAACGCCATCAGTACGCAGCGACTCAACCTTGCTCTGAACAACCTTCTTGTTCTCCTCATACCAAGTAGCAACCTTGTGGTCATCGTGTTCGAGTTCCTCGTCCAGCAGACCAGTCCAGGCGTGCAGGGTGCGGAGGTGCGCAGCACGAAGGGACTCGCCGAAAGCGTCGGCGCCGGGGGCTGGGGGCGCCGAGGCGGCGACCATGCGCTTGACGATGGTCTCTTCGCTGAGACGGCGACGCAGACGCCAGTAGAAGAAGCGGCGGGAGTTGACCCACTGCAGAGGCTTGCGGATGGTGTTCTTGGCTTGCATGCGGCCGGCACGGTCGTGCAGGTCGGCGAATTGAAGCGCAATCTGCATGTACACGGGCAGGAGCTGCTCCTCGCGGGCCGCCATCTTCGCCTTGACTTCGGCGAGTTGTTCGTTGGTAAGGGAGTTGTCGGCCAGGGAGCGGCGGAGATCACCATAGGTCGCGTCCAGGCGGGCCATAGTGTCCAGCTGCTTCTCGCGACGGTACTTGATGTTCACCATGCCCTCAGGCTCGAGGACACCACCGCGGGACTCTTCGTCCGCGTACATCTCCATCTGGTCGGGGTTGATGGTGGGGTCAACGACGACCCAAGATCCACCGCGGAGCTCGCCGTGGGGAGGAATGTACACGAAGATGGGCTGCTCGTACTTGACGAGAGCGTCGACGATGTACGAACCGTACTTGAGGACCTCGTTGTACATGTCACGCTGACCACCGGAGAATCCTCTCCAGTTAGCCAGGATCATGACGGGCAGTTGCTCACCGTTGTTGAAGTCGCGCAGAGCCTGGGCGGTCTTGTAGGCTGAGTTGGGGTACCAGACACCACCAGCCTCGGTGGAGATCATCTCCATGGAGTCGGGGTTGGCGGGATCAGCAGGGGTGACGTTCTCAACCGAGCGAGTCTCAACAGCGATCACACCCATGGGGATACCACCAAGGCGGGCACGACCGACAACGACGGTGCGAGCCCAGCCACCAAGGGCCTCCTCGAAGGAGCCCTTATCGAACAGACCAGGAAGGAAGCCATCGACGTCCTCCTTACCGCCGATGAGCCATCTGACATCATAAGGCTGCTTGGGAGGAGGGAAGTAGCCAATGTCACGGTCCCAGTTGTCCGACCAGGGGCGAATGGGGATAGGGGCATTCTTCTTGTCGGGGACGAAGGACATCCACTCTACAATCTTCTCAACACCCTCGAAGTCATCGGTGGCAGTCATGTGAGAAACACCGTTCTTGTACATGATCTGGGTGCCACCAAGTTGAAGGTTGGAGGTGTAAACCTCGCGACCGAGCAGCTTGTTGATGGCAGGGGCACCAGTAAGGATGATGGGCTGGCCCTCAACCTGGATGGCACGCTGACCGAGACGCACAAGGTAAGCACCGATACCGACAGAGCGGCAGGTAACGAGAGTGATGGTGAAGATGTCCTCATAAGCCTTGGAGGTGGCACCGGCAATGAGACCGGAACCCTTGAGACACTCGACACCAAGACCGTCCTTGGCACCAATGACAGTGGTGATCTTGTGGCGCTCCTCACCTTCCTCGTTGATGAGCTCAGTGATGACCTCCTTCTTCTTGCTGGCATCAAAGCGCTTCTTAACCTCGGGAGTGAGGTAAAGGTACTTGAAGCCGGCCTCGGGCTTCTCCGGGTTGTTCCAGGCAACGGAGAAGAAGGGGATTATCTCATCGGCCACACCGATGCGAGCACCGGAGTTAGCAGACAAGTAGATACGGGGAATACCCAACTTGCGGGCAAGCTCAGTGCACTTGTGGAAGAATTTGTCTTCCTGAGGACCGAAGGAACCAATTTGGAAGGTGATGTCGTTGGCGACAATGATGAAACGTCTGCCGCGGGGGTACTCGGGAGTACGGGCAGTGATGATCCAACCAACCATACCGTGAGTGTTGGTACCGGGCTCGCGAGACACCTCAACAAGGTTGTCGGTGTCATCCAAGACCAGCTCACTGTAGTCAATACACTCTCCAACGGGAGGGCGCTTCTCGTAAAGGGAAGGAATCTTCTCGGCAATCTTGGTCCAGCTGTTCTGGAAGGCCTGGCGGAAAAGCTCGGGGAAATCGTACACGTACTGAGTTCCCATCAAGTGAGCCTTGTAGCGCTTGGGCTGCAGCCACTCCTTGGTAGGGTACGGGGTGGAGACAGGACGCAGATGCATAGAGCCCAGCTTGGCGGTACCACCAATGCTCTGGAAGATCCACTCACCCTTCTCGGACTTGCGCTCGATGTACAGCTCGACGTTGATGATGAAACCGTAGGTGTTGCTGATAATCACACGCAGGGGGTAGGGCATACCGGTAGCCGGGTCGGTGCAAAGGATGCGGATCTCTGCGCCAGTGACACGGAGGCGCCACAGACGGCGGCCAAAGCGATCGAGGAAACCGGCCAGGGCTTGCTCGACATCGACGGGCTGGAGGTTGAACACGGGAGAGAAGTTGATGAAGATGTGGTTCAGATCGGAGTTGTTGTTGCCAATGATCTCCAGGGCGTCCAGGATGTCGTTCATGAGACGGTCGGCCTCCGAGATCAAGTACTCAGCGGTGGGGATATCGTCACGCAGACGGCCGGGGCGAACCACGGCACGAATGAAGTAGCGCTTGTCAATAGCCTTGTCGTTCTCAGGGCCCTTGCCAATAGCCTCGTAGACGTGGATGTTACGGTTTTCGGTGAAGACGGGCTTGATGTTGAACTTGGATAGACGGCCGAGCTCCAGCTGGAAGGCAAGAGCGGGCTCGCTGTGGCGGATACTCAGATCCTCCTCGTAGTGGGGACCACGGAAGGTGAAGTAGCCGGGATAGACACCTTGCTTGCCGCAGATGAAGGTAACACGACGAACGCGGCGGGCGAGGAGCTCATCCTTGTTGTCAGCGAGCAGCTGCTTCATCTGTTCAACAAGCTCCGCATCTTCCATGTCCTCGATATCGCGAATGGCAATGTTGCAGACTCCAGTGAGCTCGCTGTCACTCACGGGCTTAGGGGCAGGGCGACGCTTTCCTTCGAGGGTGGCAATGAGGCCCTGCTCACTGGGGCGCTTGACATTGGCACCGCCGAGAGGGAAGACCTCAAGGGCCTTGGAGAGGAGCTCCTCAGCATCCTCCAAGTACTGTACAGGGATGATAACACCCTTGCGGACGGGGTCACTGGCAGCGTCGCTCACAAAGAGGGACATGTCACCGATAGAGTTGATCCGTTTGAAGGGGTTGATCTCCGCAATGGGAGTACCCGGGGCGGAGGGCTGAGTGGAGTTGAGAACACCGAACTCACGCTGGCCAAGTTTGCCAAGGGTGAAGTCCCAAGACAGGAAGGGTTGCTCAGTCGAGGCATTGTATTCGATACCCTCGAGAGTGTATGCACGGTAGGCACGGCGAATGTAAACTTCCAGGGAGGCGAGGGTGACCCAGGGGTCAGCATGGACGAAGAAGCGAGGAAGAACATCGAAGACAGTGTACTTCGAGTCGACAACCTCCTTCAAGACCTCCAAGGAAGGCTCACGGTGCTCCCATCCTGTCTCACCGTAGCGAGACTCGACCACGGAAGAGCGCAGAATGTGCTCCATCTGCGACAGGCGCTCATCCAGAGATGGCATAGCGCACTGAATAAGAACCTCACGGGCCTTGAGAGTAACCTTGGCGGAAGAGCGAGCCTCGAGCTCGGTCAACTTCTTGAGGATGGGCTTGAAGTGGGTGCCAACATTCTCGACGAGGGGCTGGTTGGGGCGGTACATGTCCAAAATGGCCAGGACCAGGTTGTTCTTCGAACCGATGCGGCTGTGAGAGAGGACAGTGTGGACAATGCTGGTGATGTCGTCCTTGTTCTCCTCACGGAGCTTGAGAATGACATCCTCGTCGCGGAGGTTATGGGTAGAAAACAGCTTCTCAACGTCGTAGTACTGTTCGAGCAAGCCAATGAAGACATTGTACTCGTTAGATTTCAAACCATCCACGTACTTGTTAATGACCTGAACCAGGGGCAAGAGGGTGGACTTGAGAATCTCAGCATCGGCAGGGCCAATGTTATCCTCGATGAAGCGAACGATGGCCTTCTGGAGCTGCTTGGCAGGGAACTCGGCCTTGCGGGCCTTGGCACGGTCAACCACGTTCTGCAGCTGAGTATCCAGCCTCTGGGGAATACGAGAGTGCAGCGCAGAGGACTGCGCATTCCACTCTCCGTAGGGAAGATCGGGGTTGCGCAGCACCTCAACAAGATCCTTCAGGGTGGTACCCATAATGACCTGGTTGTCGAAACCGCGAAGAATGTTCTCCAGAATGCTGTGAAGCAGGAAGAATCGCTGGGAGGGCTTGTTACCGAGAACGGTAGGCGAGCCAAGCTCGGGCAGCTGACCAGTGAAGGGCTGAGCGTGCTTAACGCGGGAGGGGTCATCCAGGGCGAGGATACCGAGGATGTCTCCAGCCTCCAGAGTGGCACCGGGCTGCTTGATGAGCTGCACGATACCATCCTCCTTTGCGATGAGGGGCATGTACATCTTCATAACCTCAACTTCGGCGTAAGACTGACCAGAGCGGATGTGCTCTCCATTCTCGACGGTGAACTTGACAAGCTTACCAGGGGAGGGCGAACGGAGCTGAGTAGGATCGTTCTCCTGCTCCAAGAGGCAGGTCTTGCCGTCAACACTGAGACGGGTGGCAGCAGCCTCCTCCTTCCAATAAACGTTGTGACTGCGGCCGCTAAGGAGAACCAGCAGGCCACCGTCAGCCAGGGCGCGAACACCGACTGAGCACTTGGAGCCGTTGATGAAGAGGTGGTAGCTGTCCAAGCTGGCACGAGTGGCGGTGAACTTGTAACGCTCGCCTTCGTAGATGAAATCGACGGGGAAAACAGTCTTCAAGATCTCCTTGGAAGGGACTTGACCCTTTCCTAGACCATTGCGGTACTCCTCAATACCGGCCTCGCTAGCGAGGTGGGCCTTGGTGACGGCACCACAAATGATGGCGACGTTCTGGTCGGGGCGCTCAGCAGTCAGCTTGTTAGAAATAAGCTGGTCGAGCCATCCAGTGGTGATAGTGTTGTCCTCGAAAGCGGGGGTTTCGAGAAGCTTGATCAGGTATTCGACAGTGGTTCGGAAATCACCACGAATGCTCAATTCCTTCAAAGCAACAACCATGTGCTTGCGTGAAGCGGATCGGTTCTCGCCGTAGGCGAAAATGTGACCAAATTGACTGTCGGAGAAACTGTGGATACCACCAGCAGTACCGACAGAGAAGTAACCCCAGACGTTTGACGAACTGCGGAAGTTCAGCTCATGCATGGTACCACTGGAAGGCTTGAAACCCTCGCCGGGATCTTCAGAAGTGATACGGCAAGCAGTGGTGTGGCCCTTGGGCTGGGGACGGCGCTGGGTCTGGAAGCTCTCCTCCTTGGAGAAGTCGAAGTCAATGTCGGCGGAGGCGTTAGGGTCGACACCGTAAAGGAGACGAATATCACGAACGCGGTGCAGGGGGATACCCATAGCAATCTGGAGCTGGGCAGCGGGCAAGTTGACTCCCGAGACCATCTCAGTGGTGGGATGCTCGACCTGCAGACGAGGGTTCAACTCGAGGAAGTAGAACTTGTCATCGGAGTGCGAGTAGAGGTACTCGACGGTACCGGCGGAAACGTATCCGACCAACCGACCGAGGCTCACGGCAGCGCGCTCCATGGCCTGGAAGGTGGGCTGTTTCGCAATAGTCACAGGAGCCTCCTCGATAATCTTCTGGTGACGACGCTGGACGGAGCAATCACGACCAAAGAGGGAAATGTTGTTGCCATACTGATCAGCCAGCAGCTGCACCTCGAGATGGCGGGCGTTGCCAGCCAGCTTCATGATGAAGATAGGCGATCCAGGAATCTCGTTTGCGGCGGCGTTGTACAAGGCGTGGAACTCTTCCTCGTTCTCGACCTTTCGGATACCCTTACCACCACCACCTTCGGAGGCCTTGACCATGACAGGGAAACCGATTTCCTTGGCCTTCGCCAAACCCTCTTCGGGGGAAAAAGTGCAGCCCTTCTTATAGACTTCGTCCTCGACTGTCACAATACCGTACTCATCGAGCTTCACGGCGTCAACACCGGTTCCAGACCAGGGAATGCAAGGCACACCGGCATGCTGTGCAACAATGGTAGAAGAAATCTTGTCACCCAGCGAGCGCATGGCTGAAGCTGGGGGTCCAATGAAGATGATCTTCTTCGGCGACGCAGCGAGAGATTCGGGTAACCGAGGGTTTTCGGAGGCGTGACCCCTACAAAATGAGCATCAGTATTTCGTTCCTCTGGTTTTCTTTTCCCTCCTTCTTCTCGGTATCTCCAAACCACTTACCATCCTGCCCACACGGCGTGAACATCCATCCGCTCCGCAACATCGACAATCAACTCGACGTTGGCATAATTATTATTATTGGTTCCACCGGGAACCTCGACGTATTGGTCGGCCATACGAATATAGTCGGCGTTGGCGGTCAAATCTTCTGGCGTGGCCATCACGGTAAATTGGATAGCCCGCTCGTTGCCGAAGGTCTCGTAAGCCCATTTCCGCACGGAGCGAATCTCTTTGACAGCGGCGATACCGTTGTTGGCAATAAGCACCTTGGAACAAGTCAGTTCCGCGTTCAATTTCCCGATTTTTTCCACTCATGGCTGTTCCAATCATGGCTGTTCTTATGATTTCCCACTTACCGATGTGATAACGGAGTGACCATCGTGAGCGGCCACGAAATCCTTCACAGCGCTAGGGGGTGCTGATTCGAGGGCATTGCCACCGATGAAATGTGAGGGGATGTCCTGTTTGGCGACAGTCGGGCCATTGCCATTTGTGATACTACCCATGATGTTGATAATCACAGGTCAGACTCCCTTATAGGAATTGAAGTTCTGCTTTTCGCGCGGTATGCAACGGCGCTGATTAAAAAAGTAATGTACAATGCTGGAAGTGGCGGAAAGAGCCCGAGTGGTGGCTGCAGAAAGAAAAAAGTAGGGTAGAGAGAGAGAGGGAGAGGAAGAGAAGGATAAGCGTCAGGAATGAGCTCTGGAGGGGAAGAAAGGCCAGGTCAGCATGTGTAATTGGAGGCCTTCGGGGCTCGAAGAAAGGATCCCGTCAAATGCGGAATTGGTCTGCAGGTCGCAAACGGATAGGGAAAAAAAGTACGAAGTAAGACTTACCGGGAACCACCAAAACCCGAACAGAGATTTCGTAAAATTGAATATAGAAATTGAAGAGATTCAGAACTCAAGATAATACCTAGGTAATTAAGTCCAGGGGAAAAATTGCTGAGAAGATGATTCTCTAGAGGTCCCACCCAATGTGGAGAGGATCCCAACTGGCTATGATAGATTCCCCCAAGTGGCCGAGGACACATGTACCTTTACATAGTTAACAGTATGGAGAGGTACTTGTCTAGGAACGGGCTCCCCCAACTCCCTGGCTTTGTTGGGCCAGGTTCCACTACAATCTCTTGCTCACCACTTCTGCCGGATTTTGATTTGTTTTTTTTATTTTATATTTTTTTTAAAATTACGGAGTACATAATTAAACGTTGAAGAGACCAATCCAGCCTTTGCTATTATACTACTTACCAAATATAGAGAGATATCTCATCTGAGGTACTCCGTATATACTCCGTACTCCGTACTCTATAAGGAGTACGGAGTAGCTACACATATTGTACTACTCCCTTCCCCACGGGTCTCGGCACTACTTGGGCGTTCGGCACCCGATTCGGTCAGCGTCTTCGGAGAGCGGTGATTTTCTTTTTCTTTCCATTTTTTCTCTTTTTTTTTCCTAATCATTGTAGATTTAATGGCAATGCTGTTGTTGAAACTTGGAAATTCCAAAATCAAATTGGTTGATCAACATACTGTACTACATCTATATGTATCAATCTTCAAATTTGGAAGCAACCTGGAATATCCATGATGCAATCTATAATCTATATGCTCCACGCCATTGCCAATCTGAGCATGGCGCACACGCTATCCCAATCCGGCCAACCTGCATGATTCAACACGATCAGCCTTAGTTAGTGCCAACCTTGGAATTGCGTACAGAAAAGTGCTCGTAGACCAATCACATGCGTGGCCACCATATCCCAACTCAACCCATTCTCCCCATGGATCTGCAACACAACGCAACTACGCCAAAATGGACGGTCAACCTATATTGTACAATGCTATAATTTGGAGCATAACATCATGGGTATTATTGGATCTTGAATGAAAAGACAATCGCTGAGACACAGCTTAGGACGTCCCCAGAATCCACCGGGGGCCACATTGCACACAATTGAACCAGGCCTGGCTGGTCCGTGACGAGTCAACATGCAAAAACTGTACAGGAAGGGATATGACCAGAGCGGTCTGTCGGGAAGGCCCCCCACTCCTCTTGTAGAATGCAGTGGATCAAAGTCAATCTTGGAAGTATGTAAAACAAACGTTGAAAACCTTAGCACACAAACCACCCGTTCACTAAACACCAATTCAAATTCCATAAATACTGAAGTCGAAAACACGAATTAAAAGGTCTCCCCCAGGTCGCTGACTTGGGTCTTCCTGTTTGGCGGCGGCATGCTACCAGGTCCGATGCTGGTCTTGAAGCTTCGGGGAGCCGGGATGCCGCTGATGGTTCGCTTCTTCACTATGGGGGTGGGGGTGGTGTTCACGGATGGGCGTTGAATCTCCTGGGAGATGCGGGAGGTTGTTGGCGTAGCAATGTCTTGGTCCTCATCGATGAGAGACATGCCAGCGATGTTAGGGAGTTGGCCGGCATGGTTGCTGAGAGATGACCGAGGCCGTCGGCCCTCTGTCATAGGGTTTGTCGAGTAGTGACCCATTGGCGTTTTGGCCCCGGGACGACTCGAACGACTTTCGGGCCGAGCAGTTACGGGGACACCCGAGTGCACGCTCTGGCTGAAGGAGCTGCGGCTAGAAAAACTAGTTCGGCTGCTCGGGCGACTCTCGCCTGTCCGTCCAAATGACTGACGACCTTGTGGGGGGTAAGATGGAGTGCTTTCACTATCCCGCGCTGAGGAACCAAGGCTACTATTACTCAGCCGCTTGCGAGAATTCCTGCGCACAGTGATCGACGAGGGGACGATCGGGGTGTCGCTGATCACGGACCCAGAACGAGGGGATCCGCGGGAGGAAGTGTCAGATGGGGCGGGAAGTCGGGATTTGGCTGATTGGACGCGCTCTTCGAGCTTTTGCATCTTACCAATAAGACCACGGATCTGGAAGAGGGATCCAGACTTGGGAAGCCCCGGTGGGCGCGAGGTGTTCATTCTTGTCAAACTGTTGCGAGACGAGATCGACATAGAGGGAGTGGACCGACCATTGCCATTTCCATTGCCATTGCCGGTGCTATATGCGCCATTGCTGTAAGCGAGAGACGGGGTTCGTGAATGAGTGGCGCGCGGTTGAGTCCGAGCGTGAAGGGTTCTAGAGTTCACTGGATCTGCGCCAGCGGCTCTCTGTCGAGGGAATGTAGGCGTGGAGTTTGCATGGGGATTGATCGACTTGCGCATATTCACAGACGACTCGGAGATAGGGGGCGAAGGTGGGGTAGCGGTCGACGATGCAAGGGATGATTTAGCCGGGGGCGTGGCAAATACTGGGGAAGATGTAGCGGTGCCAGGCGAACGGTCAAAGATCTCCAAACTCTGTGGAGTTGCCGGGCTGCGATGGTACAAAGGAGTAGGCTTGCGGCGGCGCAACCCATGTCCTTCGGAATTTCGAAGCTTCTCTTGGATGATCTCGGTCTCAATCTTCAGATCTGACAGCTCGTCTCGGAGGCGTTGGTTATCAATGCGTAGCTGCTCCCGCTCCTGCTCCCCATTTCTCATTTCCTCCTCTAGCAAGACTCCACGCTCAATGCCGATGTTGTATTTGGACTCCATGTCCTCCAGGGACGAGGTGGTGTTCCGGGCTTGGCGCTCGTAGTCATCGTTGGCAACTTCAATATCTCGAAGCTTGAGCTGCAAAGTGCGGTTCGCGTCTCGCAGTGTGGTGATTTCTTTCTGCAGGTTGTTCTGCACAGAGTTGCCTTCTGTTTTCGACTGCTTGTATTTGGTCTACGAGCGCAATGTTAGCGCCCGCACAATTGTGAGCAATGAGCATGATCCCTTACCTTCCACTCGTCGACTTCATATCGCATCGTGTCGAGCTTTTCCCTCAGTTGCCGTTCACGCTTTTCAGAAGCTTCAATGTCCTTCTCCATCTCAGTCTCCAGCTCCCGGCTGGAGGACTGAAAGTCCGCAAGCTCCGCCTCAAGTTGCTCATACTGGGCTTTGTAATGAGCCAGTTCATCTCTGTAAGAACTGCTCGTATGCTTCCGTTCGGAAGGTGACTCATCGACGGCCGGCATCTTCTCGCGTTGGGCACCCAGAGGACCGGTCGCAAAGAAGATGTCTGGACGACGGGTGTCGTCCAAAATTGGCGAAAGTCAGTAGAGACTGTACACCAGGCTGTCTTGCCCTGCAGATCACACCAGCCCCTCTCAAAGACTCATATGTTGTGTGGTGGCCCGATGTCAACAACCGTGCGTTGTGATAAGAGCCCCTCGCCGAGGCGGTGACGCAAGGGATTGATTTCGGTACCTGGTAATGTGTCCCTTCACAGAAAGAGGAAGAGAAGATCGAGGGATGCGGCGAGCTAAGATGTGCAAAGCTGGGTTACCTTCGACCCGCCTCGTGTCGAAAAGCGGGTTAGATTAGATCGGGCTGGGAGAAACCGATGTTGTTGTTTCGGTCGTCAGGGGGGCCGGTATATGCGCTAGTCCTCATTTGGCAGATCTGGGCTCAGCCACCCACCGCTCTTTTGGCGCGTTAAGGCAGAGACTTTCTGCCCCAGGCATCTTCAGGCACCATTGCGGAGCTAAGCCTCATTGGAGCTGGAAGTGATCATGATCGACCTCAGCTCGTGATCTGGACTCAGCAGTCCCCAGTCTCCAGTCTTTTTAGGTCTCTAGGGCAATCAAGTCGGAGAGGTAAGTAGCTTTGTCTACCTTTCAATATTTGCTCTAGAACCCTCTGTGAGCTTCTAGGCTCTAAGAACATGGGTTTGTTGCCTCCAGACACTTCTCTAGATGTTATGCCCACGCACGCTGTTCTTAAGATCGCTGATCATCCTGTTTGCTTCCACGCACTTGTTTACCCCCGATTATTCGCAAGCTTCATCTGTCTACCCCAGTGTCGAGGCGCATTAGCTAAACGTGGGATGATGATATGACATCTGAGCTTACAGTTTCTGTCCCTTAGATAGATCCCCTCCACTGAGGCCAAGGCCCAACCCGATCTATCACCATGGCAGACTCAACCGATCTCAACCTTGACGATGCGCCTAGCGACCTTCAAGACATTCCTGAACTGGCAATGCAATTGGTCCCCCCTCCGGAGGGGACATACCCTGACAAGTAAGTTCCCATCCCATCGCCCCTTGCTTAGTAGGGCCAATATCAACAACTTATGTCTACAGAGCATCTCTTCTCGCCGCAGTCCAGGACCATGGCAAGGAACATGGCTACAATGTGGTTGTTAAGTCATCAAGCACGCCCACAGAGAAGAAACCTGGCCGCACTGCCAAGGTGTGGCTGCGTTGTGACCGTGGCGGCCACTATCGGCCACGAAACGGCCTGACTGAGGAAACGCGCAAGCGCCGCAGAACCTCGCGGTTGATGGATTGTCCTTTCATGCTAGTCGCAGCCGGCTCTCCGGGTATCTGGACCCTGACGGTGCTAAATGCGACTCACAACCATGGTCCTATTATCGAGAAGCCGCGACAGGTGCCTCACCACAAGGTCCGCAAGGGCCAGCTGCCAGCCATTCCATATGATTGGCCCCATGATGCTTCATTCACTCCATACACCACTGCGCTTGTGATAATTGACATGCAAAAGGACTGTGAGTATTTAAGACTATTACCACTATCAGTGGATCATCTGGCTGATTTTCTCCTAGTCTGTTTGCCCGAAGGATACATGGGATATCAGGGCTATGATATTTCCGGCGCGCAGGCTTTGATTCCCCGCCTGCAAAGATTGCTTCATGCTTTCCGCTCTGGGGGCTTCCCGGTCTACCACACTCGCGAGGGTACTTAGTGTTCCGTGCTTGGCTCCCAATATGTTTTTACTGATTTGTATCAGGACACCGACCCGATCTATCTACTCTCTCAAGTCGTGAGGCATACCGGTCCCGTAACAACGCATCCGGCTTGGGTATTGGTTCCCCCGGTCCCATGGGCCGCCTGCTTATCCGTGGCGAACTGGGCCATGACACTGTTGACGAATTGTATCCTCTCCCCGGTGAACCGGTCATCGACAAGCCCGGCCGAGGTGCCTTTGCACACACCGATTTCGAGCTCCTCCTTCGCAACAAAGGAGTGAAAAACCTCGTCATTGCGGGTGTGACTACCGACGTCTGCGTGTCGACGACCATGCGCGAAGCTAACGACCGTGGCTTTGACTGTGTCGTCTTGGATGACGGCACTGCAGCCGCCGAGCCCTCGCTGCATCTGAGCACGATGGAATCGATTAAAATGGAAGGCGGAATCTTTGGCACTGTTGCCAAGTTGGAAGACGTGATTCATGCTGTCGATAATTTCAAAAGCGTCACCATGAAGAAGCTGGCTCCTCAGATGACCGTCTAAGTATGTACTATTTGTTTTAGCGGGTTGGCTTTGGACACTGGGATTGGAAGGAATTTCCCCGGCGTTTGGGACTGGGGTTATCTCTTTTCTGTTGAGATACTGCAGTGCGCATACTCCTTACTTGTCTTTTTCGAACCTCTTCTTTTTTGGGGTTTTAGCGGGCCAGGGACTTCGTTGATCCCAGATAGTGTCATTTCTGCCAACCACTTTAGGCGCAGAACAATACCTAGGTAGTCATTTGCACTTCTAGTTCAATTTGTTGTGTTGAATCATAAATAATAGGCTCATTTTTGTTTGTATTACACTACACACTAGATTATCGACCCGTCATTGACTTGTAAACTTGTTTCTCCATTATGCAGAGCAAGTCAAAACAATGCAATAGATACAGAGAAATAATCAACCCCCAAGGAATACATGCCCTAGAAACGCCACGCTCATGAACTAAAAATACCAAGAGACAGCCAAACTACAGCCACTTTTTCCCTGCAGCAGTTACCCGCGTTCTGAAAACAGGACTCTTGATCTCCATTCCCTGCTTATAGAACGGGCTCATCGCCGTTTTGACATAGCTCTCGTATACCTCGTTCATGAACTGGCGCACGGCCTCTTCAGTCTGCGGAGAAGTCGGGTTTGCGGCTATGGAACTGGACGAGGCGCGTGTGGTGGATCCTGCTGTGCCTAGCAGTGAGGAGGAACCAAGGCCGCTGCTTGTGCTGGTTGAAGAGGGGAGATTCGGGGGTTGGTGGAGGAGGAGAAAGCGCGCGCCACTTGGCGTAAGGAAGGCCGTGATGTAGGCTGCTGCCGGTGGGTAGGTGTCGATATGCTTCAGGTACCTTTTGTGACAATTTTAGCTTTGGGATTGGAGGCTTGATGTGGGGTATAAAGCGTGTGTTGTTGGGATTTAGGGGTTTCTTGTGTTCATATGGCTTTCAGGGATTCAAGGTCAGGGATTCAAGCCAGTTTACAGGCTGTTTGAGATGTGGAATAACTTATTATACTCACATTCCGCCATTAGTCCATTGCGCTTCTTCCAATATGTCCAGACTTGAGTGGATGATGAACTGGTTCATGTACTGCGCTGTCTCCGGGTAGCGGAAGCGGGCAATGCCATCACCACCCCCTTTGATGTGCCAAAGGCGATGTTGAACAAAGGTGTGTCGGTGGGTGATAGAATGGTGAAGTAGTAGGACATTTTGAGCAGATTGGGATTATTCAGGGTTGAGATGGACCCAAGGACCGCCGAGGAGCTGGGGATTGCAGCTTTACTAGCGGCCGCCATCACGTGTCCGATAAGAACTGAGCTTGCCCAGGTGAAGATGATGTATACAACTTTGATATGGTCAACTTGAAATTGAAAGATATTGTGTAAAAACGTGGATTTCTAGCTTTTTGAACTAGTTCAAATTGATTCACACTGTCTTCAAGTGATTTTTGGGTGTGATATCTTGTCCGAAACCGATTCTCAGCCATTATATATCTTCCATCAGAAACCTAGAATTGATGAATTTGCTAACAGTATTGATGACATCCTTGAGCTTGGCAATACAATCAGCCCAAAACATACATATCATATGAACATCCAATAAATATATTTGGAGCTCTTAATGACCAAACCGACATTACCTTATGTTTGGTATACTTCAAATGCTCCGATCTCCCCGCAAAAGCCACCAGCACGTGATCGACTGATAACCAGCCACGGCTTTATCGCGGTCCCTCGTTGTCGCAACTTTTGACCTCGACAAGCACCTCCTGCTAAACACACCAGTGTCGTTTCCATTAACCCGAGTACACAAAACTCTGGAACTGCTTGGAAACCTGAGTTCCAATATGCCGACAAATCTCCCTTATGGATTGAACCTTCCGAACAAAAGTCTCGCGGCGACGAAACCGGGGAATGCTCTCGGGCAGAAAAGAAAGAACATTTTCGACGACGACTCCGAAGATGATGACCAGCAAACTGGCGATGGCACAATTGAAGTCTCAACGATTGGAGGGCTAGAGGAGCCAGCTACGAAAAAGAAACCCCCGCCAAGCGCAGGGCCACCGCTGAAACGCAAAATCCAATTCGGGAACGGTCCCAAACCAACAGCCAAACCGCTCAGCAAGAACTCGCTATTTGCAGACGATGAGGATGAAGACGAAGAAAGAGAAAAAGAACAACAAGGCGCAATGAACCTTGGATTGAACCAGGCGAAGTCGAACAAGCCAACCGCCCCTGCCCAGAAATACACCAATCTCGCGTCAATGCATAGCAGCAACGTGCAGGCAAAGGCAGCCGAAGAACTCGACCCATTGATCTACTCATATGATGAAGTATACGACAGTCTGCATGCCAAACCCGCCAAGGCGTCAGTGGAAACCAAGAGCGAAACACCCAAGTACATGCAGAACTTGCTACAGAGTGCGGAGATCCGGAAACGGGATCAACTGCGAGCTAAGGATCGCCAGCTAGCTAGGGAGCGTGAAGCAGAAGGTGAGGAGTTTGATGACAAGGAGAAATTTGTCACCTCTGCCTACAAGGCACAGCAAGTGGAACTGCGGAAGGCAGAGGAAGAGGAAGCACGACGTGAAAAGGAAGAGGAAGAACGGCGCAAAAAAAGTGGTGGCACTGGAATGATTGGATTCTACCGGGACGTTCTGTCGCGAGGAGAAGCACGGCACGAAGAGGTCATCAAGGCTGCGGAAGAAACTGCCCGCCGCGTCAAAGCTGGCGAGATCATCGAGGAGACGGAGGATAAAGAGGATACGGATGCCCAGAAAGCGCAGGATCTCAATTCTCATGGAGCCCGTGTTGTCGTGAATGATGAGGGCCAAGTTGTCGACAAGCGCCAGCTGTTGTCTGCAGGACTGAATGTGGCACCGAAACCGAAAGCTCAACCATCTGCCGCCAAAGCAGGGGCTTCACGGCCTACTGCTGGACGACCAGGTGCTGGTTACCAGGGTGGTCGTGGTGCCCAGCGGGCTCGACAGACCGACATGGTCGCAAGCCAATACGAGGAGCGTGCACGACAAGAAGAGGAGGCTGAGGCTGCAAAGCAAAAGGAGATCGCCGAAAAGAGTCGCAGTCGCAAGACTGAGACAGATGTGTCCAGCGCCAAAGAGCGGTATCTGGCAAGAAAGAGGGAACGAGAAGAGGCTGCTGCCAAGGAGAAATCGAAGGGGACCTAAGTGTATGCCAAAAGGTGGGCTGGATGTCTTGCATCCATGGAATTTTGGAATACCTAATATTGCATAGCGCTGGAGAGAAACTTGTACATTACTCGCGATACCAAAACGAGACCCCGAGTTTGAGTCATAAGGCTGTTTGCTATGGCGAACCTTGGGAAGGTCCTAGGGCAGTAAGAGCTGCGTCAGCTCTACATACGTAGTTGGGAATATAAATGTGTAACAGCTGCTCGCTCCCTCCCCTTGAGTTTCTTCCCTTTCATTCAACCATCAATTCCCACTACCATAACACTCGGTAAGTTCTATCGTCACACCCATCTACCTCGGAGAAACCATTGCCAAGACCCCTTAACCCCGGCTTACCTCACCAACTTACCCTCACATCACATGACCCCACACGGGCTGAGTTAATCCGGACCGAAAGCACTCGCTAAGCCGCCCCACACAGGTCGCACTCCCAATTTTGCACTCCCAATCGAGATTCAAGAATCGCTTCATCACCAAACCACTTCCATCTCCCGTTTCATCAACGTCAATAATCCAACATGGGTAAGGTTCACGGCTCTCTCGCCCGTGCCGGTAAGGTCAAGGCTGCCACTCCTAAGGTGAGTTCTCTTCGATTTCCAGCCAACGCCACTTGATACACGATCGCAGTGGCCATCCATCCGACCAGTCTTTTTAACGACAATTTTGCATCCAGGTCGAGCCCCAGGAGAAGAAGAAGAACCCCAAGGGTCGCGCCTACAAGCGTATTCTTTACACTCGCCGTTTCGTCAACGTTACCATGACCGGTGGCAAGCGCAAGGTACATATCGAATGACTCACACCCACAACGCACAACCCAGCACAACGCACATTCCGCGAAATATCCACGACCACACACCACGAATACCGAGAGTGAAGGACAGAAAGGCTGACCAGTCGCGAAATGCAGATGAACCCCAACCCCGGCCAATAGATTATTCAAGTCGTTAAAACAACCACCTGAGCCGCGATCGGCTAGTCGAGTTCTACGATGAAAATCTTCGCATAACCACGGCACGACCACGGCCCAAACGAACGAAAGCACACCAGATACGGCTGGTACTTGTACGGATGATATCACGCTTCTTCGTCTTCACTTGAATTTTTTTTTTGCTGGCAACGGATGGGTTTTTTTGGAGGTTGATTCGCGGAAATGGATGAATACCCATGGCGGTCTGAGGATGGAAAGCTGTGGCTGGATGTGAGCTGTCTACGGGCAGTCCTCGCAGGCTAGACTTCAGAGTCACTTTTCGACTCATTTCATAGGCTGTTTCATGAATTGCATTTCCGATCCAGAAATGGACTCTACCTCTTTTTCCATGCTTTTCGGGTTATCTCTACTCGAGACAGTGCCTATGGGCATACTTCGAACTTGCTCTTCTTACTCAGATGTCCGCCTCTCCAGGCCTGATATTGGAGTTGTAGAATGTATCAGACGGACCCTTCCATGGTGGGACTCGACCCCTCTGCGGTTTGTTCTGTTGGTATCCCAACGACAAGAATGTAATACAAACCCCCCAGCGGTACATCGAAGTATGCTCCGAACTTCTATCTATGTATATGATGTTTGGCCCACGTGTCAGAGCTCATTAGTATATAGTCCAAGTCCTCACCTTGCCCTTTCAACTTTTGTGTCGCACCACGGGGCCCCACGTCATGAAAAGTGCGGGGGCTGATAGAAATTGGCAAGCCTTTCCGCTTTAGCTTGATTCAAGAGAACGTTGAAGGATGGAGCACAAGGATTCAGAACATATCACTTTTATACTACCTACAAGAATAGTCGGCCTCTTATCTTTGACGTGGGATTTCAATAATTTGTCTCAAGATGATATTAGAGACGTTATATTTATGATAATGCTACATACTACACCGTCTTTTTTGGATGTCCTTCTTTGGTGTCTTTCTTTCCCCTTTCTTGTATTCTAGATAGCTGACTGCAAATCGCAAAATACTTGCGGCGAAGAGACCAATTCCTATGAAACGTCTTTTCCATGTATAACATGTGATGCGCGTAGAGTCTGCTATGTTAAATAGAGCAATGTCCGCTAGAAGGAATTGCAATCGAGCAAATGTTGAAAATGATGGAAAAAAGGAAAGAAATACCCAGAAACCAGAAAAGGGCAGGGAGATTATTTGAATTTTCTAGGAAGAACCAAATAAAGGCACTTCGGCCCATCCCTGGATACTATAAAAGTATAGTGTGTAATATTGGAAGCGTTTATCTTCTGTAAGACACGCATGAACACAAATAGCTTCATGATCTCACACGTTACTATGTTGGTAGTCATATGATAGCGCCTCGCAATGACAAGGACAGCCTCGTTTAGACCGAGAAGCTAGAGATCTTCTGGACAGCCTGGTTTTGCATAACTACCCAGGTGGGAGCTCGACGTCATGACATAAATGGCGGATGTTCCCGCGGTCGTTTAGCGTAATGATCACCCATAAACAAAGAGGCATGACCTCACCAACTCAATGCCGGATCAACCGGAAATGAGGACTCCGAACATGTTTGGCAAAATGATTGAACCTTCCAAAGCCGAGACGCCCACGGATCGACGACTTAATTTAAGGTTATCGGGGTAGCGTAAGATGACTAAGGTGATATTGGCCAGTCGCCGACTTCAATCCTGACCTCCACATCCACTTGAGATAAATATGGGACACAACAAGCAGATATCCAGACATGTCTAATCGTCAGTCAGTGGAGAAATGAATGGCTTAGGGGCTATTGAGTTCAACTGGAGCCAATTGTCCAAAACTCCTTGTCTCTACCCCACACATTACAATGACATCGATTCAACTCAATTCCAAGTCCTTGACCGGTTGGTACTACAAGGCACAATCCAAGAACAGGTCTACATGTTCGTTGGACAAGGAATTGCAGAAGAATGAAAGTTTGCATGCTATCATAATCCGTCATCTTACCTGGAGAACAAAAGAACATTGGATACAAAGCGTGAAAACCTGGAGTGGACACGAGCTTCTGGAAGATCCACCTATCCCGCTCCTTCCCTCTGGTTGAGCATCATCGACTTCTGATATTATGCTGTGCCATGACATCGAACTCCCCATTGTTTTCTTGGATTGGTTAAGCTGAATACCGAGCAGGCTGTTCCCCCATGCCCTCACTTGCCCTTGGAACCCACTGCTGGATATGAACGTCGCGCGGACATTACCGAAATAATTCCATGATTTAATATCGGTGATGCAATGAGGAGAAGGGTGGTTGATAATATTATTTAGGTCTCCCCAAGGCCCCAATTCTGGCTCGGTTCCCTTTTCTTGTATTCTATCTACTATTTTTGAAAACTGAACAAACACGACTGAATGACATTATTTGATTAATTTTTATCTTTACGATCCACCTATAGTTAATAAATTTACGCACCAATTTACTACGCATCAATCTACCACCCATCAACATGTTCGCCAAGGCCAAGGGAATCCTCGAAAAGAGCTCATCCATCCGCGATGAAGTCAACCAAGGCAATTACAATGGCGCCAAAGACATCGTGACCAAAGGTCAAACCAACAAAGAATCGACCAGCCAGGGAGACAAGGCCAATGAGGTCGTCGATAGAAGCTCATCCACCCGCGATGAAGCCAGCCAAGGCAATTCCAACAGTGCCAAAGAAGCTAGCACCCAAGGTCAAACCACTAAAGAATCGACCGGCCTGGGTGCTGTCGGCGGAGCATCGAGCAGCGCTGCTGGAATGAACAAAGAAGAACTTAACAAGGAGAATGTTCAAGAGACTGGGACGCAAATCAGCAAAGGAGGGATTGGCCAAGACAACACCGGCACCTCCACCGCCTCTACTGGCGAAGCGAAGGTGGAGCAACGAGATATTGGCAATGAGAAGCGAGAAGCTGGCCAAATACAGCAAGACAGCACCAATACAAAGGAATATACTGGCTCTGAACAATATGACCACAGAGGCAGTGTCGCGGCCGGAGAGCTTGAACCCAATTACGACATCCGCAAGGGCCCCATCACCATGCCGGGCACTTTCCAGGAAAAGAACTACCACAATCCGAGTGGTAGAGAAACACTCGTTCAGAGAGGAACCAGAAGCAAAGGAATACCCACCCAAGAAACGACCGATAACTCTCCTCAGGTTTCCTTTGCGGGAGCAGGAAGCGGCGACAAGGCCAGCCCAAACCAAGAAAAGACTGGAAAAGCTGGCGCTGGAGGTGACTATAGCAAGGAATCCATTGAAAAAGAGCTCCATGACTATGAAATGATCAGCCCGGACGTCTTCAGCGATGAGACCACCAGCAAAGACCTGTCCAAGAAAGCTGCCAGCGAAGACCTTGGAAAATACCATATCGACAGAAAGCAGCTTGACAAGCAGGGCTCTCAGCCTTCCCAGAAAGCAGGGATAAGCGAAGCTGCGGCCGCCACTGCTGCGGCCGCCGGTGGCTATGGTATGAGTAAAGGAGCCACCAACCAGACCTCTACCACCCTAAAACAGAGCAAGAGGCATACCGTCTCTGGGACGAGCGCAACCAGAGTCCAAGATCTGCCCCCCACTAGCCAGAAGAGTCAGGTTGCATCCACCGTGGGAGAACAGGGCCGCGCAGGTGGACAAGGGGTGGCCGCCTCAAACCCGACGAACAAGGGGGGTTATACTTATGCCCGTGCGGTGTCCGATCAAGGCTTCACTCCCAAGACCCCGACAAGCACAGGCGATTCTACCGCCACTGGATCCAACCAAACAAGTGGTCTACGTTCTACCACCACGGGCCAGACAAACACCGCCATCTTCAATACCGGCGCCACTGGATCGAACAAAGCAGGTAACGCCGGCGGAGGAGTTCTGGGACTTCACCAAGAGGGTAACTATGACTTATCCGGCAACGACAACAGCGGAGTCAACCAAGGAAGCATTGTTGGCGGAGAAGGAACCCGACAGGGTGGTGCCTATGGTACCTCTAGCAATCCCGGCTTCAACAATGGAACCACCCAGCCTAGCTCCGGTACCAAGAGCAGCGCCGAAGATGGGGTGACCTCGAAGCGCATTATCAGAGAGCCGAGTAGCAGTGGCTACAAGCTCACTATCCTCCAAGAGAAGATCCAGGCCGTGTCCCAGAAGTGCAAGACTCAGCTGGGCCTGTCTTCCAGTCAGATCAGCAAGCGCAGCCCTATCGTGGATGCTTTCTTCAATGCCGTTGCAGCTGAACGTCTCCGCTGGATGCCTCATGATGGTAGCAGACTCGACTGCAGCCTCAGATGGGCGTCCAGACTGGCGTATGCAGTAGATGCTCTTCGGGAGTCCGTCGGAGTCTTCGCGCCTGCTGCCCATGAGGCGGCATCGCTCATCTGGGGATTCTCTATCCTCCTTTTGGAGGTGAGTTAAGGTGGTTGGTGAACATTTTTGGACACAGATACTAACTAGCTGTATAGTCTGATATGGACAACACGGATGTCTTCGAGAGCGTCTTTGGCCGATATGGCCGGGTCGCCGTGGGTATATACTTGCTTCTGCAGTATGAGACCGCGTACAAATCCTCTCCTGAACTCCAGCCATATGTTGCTGCGGTCTTCGCAGATTTGCTTGAGATGGTCAGTAGCACGGCCATGAGCTGTGTCGAGGGATTCAAGAGCAAGGAGTCCGATCAAGTTATCGGACGCAATGTTGATGCCGCTTTTGTGACCTACGCCAAGCGCTTTTCTACCCACTGGAATTGCGTTGTCGATGCTCACACTGCGGAGCTCGTCGAGGACAGCTCCCTGATTTACTCCTCGCCTGAACTGGGTAGTTTGCGTCAATTCCTGGGAGTGCAGGATCGCCCTCTCCAGTTTATCCTCGACTCTCGCGGTCACTCGCTTGCTGAAGGATCGTTTGAGTGGTTCAACAACACCCTCTACGATTTCAGTGTCGGCAGCTCCCCTGTTATGCTGATTTCTGGTGGCCCTGGCTCCGGAAAGAGTGCACTGGCCCAATGGGCTGTCGAAAGACTACAGGAGTCGGCTGAACACGATAGCTGGAATGTTATTCCATACACCATTCGTAAGTTTTCCTGTTTATATCTTTCGTTGATTTGCGAGCTAATCCAGTAAAGGTGCTGATATTCCGGTCGCTACTTTACCCCTGCGAATCCTGAAGGGTGTCCTTCACCAGATGCTGGATCATTCTGTCAGTGACAAGAAGACCCAGGAGGCTATCCTGGTTGAAGTCGCCAGGGCAGCCCAAGGAGCGATTGATGGCGCTGGAGATGACGCAGTTGAAACAAGCCTTTGGAGGGGTATTCGTGCTGGTCTCTCTGCGAACATCCAGTACATGTTTGTGGTTGACGGCATCGAACAGATCAGGGGTGGTCATACCAATGCCATTGCCTGTCTTGATCGCTTCTGTGAGACCCTCTCCGAACAGAATGCTGGATCTAAGATGATCGCTTTCACCCGACCCCTGAGCTCGAAGGTCAGTTCCAAAGGCGTTCAGCAGTTTACCCTGCAGAGCTCCCAGACCAAGACCAACCTCGCAGCGTATGTCAACAAGATGCTTGCATCTAGAGCCAACTTTGACACCCACAAGGGCAACCAGCTTCAAGCAGCTGTGTCTGCTATTGTAGCCCGCTCTCAAGGCTCTTTCAGTTGGGCTGAAATGGCAGTTGC